GTATGTATGGATTATCTCTTGTTGCCTATCAATTTTCTCTATCTCCATGTCTATTCTCTTTTCTTTTTCTTTTTTCATTAAGACAGAGTATATTTTAGTTATTTCTAATGAATGAATAGCATTAACTTTTTTCAAAGATATATTTGCGTGTGTATACTTTTTATTATAAGAGTTGTTGTTTTTAAATGGACGCCCTTGACCGTGAAAAGAAAAGAAAATATAAATAAAGAGCCACAAACACATCAATTGTTGTTATCGAGAAAATATCCATGACATTGACGGTCGGATATCTATTTGTGTGTGTGTGTGTGTGTTTTTGGATTCATTTCAATGGATTTTGCTATTTTAGAAAAAAAAACTGACTCACTGACTTACTGAATAATTTAGATGAAAAAAAAGGTGAGAGATTTCCTTTTTGTTTGTTTGTTTGTTTGTTGGTTGCTCTCAATTCTTTCGTTAACATACAAAAAATGGGACTCTCTTTTTTTTTTGTTTACCAGATTCTCTCATCGAGATTTTTTTGTTTCTTTTTTCTTACATACAATTCATCATAAGGTTTACTAAAATCTCTACGTGCATATTGAGACAAAAAAGGGTGATGATGATGTGAATTTCTCATTCATTTTCTTTTGTTGTTGATAATGATAATTCTGGTCAAGATAAGTATAGAAAAGAAAGAAGAAGAAAAGAGAACAATAAATGAAAAGAAAAGATGAGACACACACACACACACACAAAGACATCATGGTGCTATTGGTCTATATCTTGTCCAAAAAAAAATCTAAGGTAGTATTCGGTTTACTTCGGTGATAATGATAATGATGATGATGATGAGAAAAATCGTTTTTATTTCATTGGGTTAAAAGCAAAATGACATTGTTATTTTCGATTGTAGTGATCTAGTGTGTGTGTGTGTGTGTGTATAGTTTATTCCGACATCGATATACCGGGATAATGTACCAGAAAAAATCCAATATTTCAAACCAATCATCCATCGATAATAAAAATATAAAAAAATAACGAAGAGCTTATGTTGCCAAAATAATAATAAAAAAAGTGTATATAATCAACCAAATAAATTTGAAATGAAGAAACAGTTCAACCATAACCAAAAACAATGAAAAAAAAGATGATTCCATATCATTCACACAATAAACAAATGAATATGAATGATGAAAATATGAAAATGTGAATCCAATCATCACTATCATCATTTTATTCATAAAATTTCTGTTTTTTTTTTTGACAATCAACGTTGTTTCAATTCAAAAAAATAGTAGAAAAAGATTTTCCTGTTCCTGTGTGTGGTTGTTTTTTTCTGGTTTTAAATCCTTAATCTAAATCAGTTTCGTTAATTTTCAATCAATTAATTTACCTAACTTTGATATCGACTTGTTTCTGTTTTATATCATCAAATAATCATTGAAGATTTTTGTGATTATTATGTGTTTTTGTGTATGTGTTTTTTGGTTTGTTTGTTCGGTTGTTTACTAAGTAAAGTGTATGTGGTTGTGGGTGTCGAAATCAATAAATGTCCAGTAACAATAACAACAACAACAACAAAAAATGTCAATATCGATTCCGATACAAAAAGCAAAAAACATCCAGAAATTTGAGAATAACTAACATTCAAACATTAAGAATTTCTTTTATGATTGCATCAAGAAAAGATCCATTTTTTTCTTTCTATCAAAATTGCTTTATTATTCAATTAAATCTTATTTCTTACCAAAAAAAAGTGATGATGCTACTATAGATTTGGGGTCACATAGAATTATGATGATGACAAAATAGTGTTAAAATACGAACAAAAAAAACTAATCAAATTTATTCTTTTCCATGGAGAATAGCAAAAATAGTTTTTTTGGTGTGTATTTGATAAAATAAATTAATAAATTGACCACACAAACATTATGTAAGAAATAGAGATCATTGTATTCAGTGTATTTCTTTCTTTTTTTCTTTTATTCAATTTGTCATCATCAATGGTATCATATTTTGTTTCTCAATTGATAATCAAGACAATTCGACTGACGACATCAATATGTCTATTATAATCATAATCATCAAACATGAATTTACTATAAATCAATATATTTGAATGAATAGTTTCAGTAAGCCAATTTAATGATATGAAATCAGAGCAACCACACAAACAAACAAACAAAAAAATCAATCAAGTAAACGAAAATGACATTCAACCAAAGCTAATAATAATGGTAATAATCGATTGGCGTTTGATTGAAAAACAACAATAACGAAAAAAGAAAGAAAGAAAGATCCCAAAAGTGCCAATAACAATAATCTTCATTCAAATTGCAGCAAACAACAACAACAACGAAGAATTCAAAAAACAAAAAACAAATTCATCATCTGCATAGGTGAAAATGCTAACAAGTTTTAACTATAGACAACGCTTTAGACATTCATTATATTTCATTTGAATCAAATTTATCATGCATGAACAACATTAATAATATAGAAAATACTTTTGTTGTTGAATTATATGTATAATTTTCAAAGTGATACAAACAACAAGAATCAATAAGAGTAAATAATAGCCATTTGTAATCGAAAAGGAAGCAAAAAAAAGCCACCGATTTCAAGCCAAAGAAAAAACCATTTATTAAGGTTATTTTTTGGTTACCTTCTTCAATATTCAAAAGAATAAAATAAGAGCAAAAAAAAATGTCCCATTTTCATCACCATCATCATAACTATCAATTTCATCATCATCATCATCGTCATTCCGAACATTGTATGAAATATGTTAGAAAATCAATTACCAGGTAATAATGAAATTATTTTTTTTTTGTTTTGATAAAATCAAATCTATTCAGAATCACTGAATACAGATTGACCCGGTTATTGTGAATTTGTCTATAGAAAACAAATTCATTAATGTTGAACTCATTATACATTGCCGTATAACAATTCGAATCTTTTTAACACTAAAAAAATCAACTTGAATGCAATAAAAAAAACTGTCCCTTTAATTAGCATCATCTCTATTGTATACGAAAGGGCGCGTGGCTCACACCTAAGTGAAAGATGAACAATTATTCCGGCAACCAGGCAAAAGTCTTTTTTTTCTCACATAACACCAGTTAGTCATTATAAAACAAACACATCAAACTATCTTATTATTGTTTTTTTTTTCATTTTATTACATTCAAAACAGTTAGTATGATGCAAACAAAATTGACACTTGAAAATTTTGAAGTTCTCATTTCACACACACACACTTTACAACCCACTTGATATATTCAGTTCTTATTGAATCTTTTCTTTTATTCTCTCTCTCCCTTTTTGATTCAATAACTAATTATGATAAGCAAAAGAAAAAGAAAACTTTTTCCTATCATTACAATCGGTGTTTGATCGATCCGATTATCATTATTATTACAGTGATTCAATAACAAAAAGAATTTTCGGTTTTTTTCTGTTGTTTAAAAAAATTCTTGCAAGCGTGACAAACATTTTATATAATTTTTTTTGCTGTTGTTTCCTAAATGGACAAATTTGTCGATCTCCTTCAAGAAATCAAACATTTAAAGACGTGAATTGAAAATATTAAAGAAAAATTTCAAAATTTTATTTCAATTCTTCCGAATAACATTGAAGAAAATAATAATAAAAAAAAAGTGAAAGGAATTGATTGTTGAAGCTCGAAAATCTACCAATCATGATTATATAATTAATCGATCATGATTGGTGATCATCATCATCATCAAAATTGTTGCCCATCAAGCAAGCTAAATTACCCACCACCACACATAGATTATAGCTGGATGTTTTCTTCAATATTAATGTTAGTGATAAATTGTTTAATACACCAGGAAAAAACGGGGAGCCGTTGATTTTTTTTTCATCTTAGCTGTTTCCATAATAAACGATTATTGATGATGATTTGATCAGCTAAATTGACTGAAAAAAATATATTAATCTTATATATTGTATGATTAAATGTTGCATATTTATTATGGTTACAATGAAATGATTTGATTGACCACAACAACAACAACAGTAATCGATAATTTTCTTACAAGAATCAAAAAGAGAAATTAGAGCAACCATGATTTCTCATTAATCGGTCAGTCGGATGATTTTGTTTTGTTTTTCTTTTTTTGATATGAAAATGACATGACAATGGTATCCATGAAAAAAGGTAGTTTATTTTCAGTCAGAATTCATTTGACATAAATGTGACATTTTTTGTGTTCATCGAATTTGACAGTTATTTTTGGGTTGTATTTTTTTTCTCCTTTCACATTTGAACTACTTGTTGTTTGGTTCGGTAATAATCAAACGAAATATCAATCTTTAGTTTCATTGGTGTCATGTTTTAGATTTTAAAGAAACCATCGTAAACAAATCTTTTTTTTCTGATGAAGAGAAATTCTTTTTTTTCAATACAATTGAAATCAACCAACAGGTAGGCAAACATTCATTCAATTATTTTTCAAGCCACAATTGAATGTGAAAATAATCACCAACTACAACCAAATGCCATATATAATATATTTATAGCTTAGCTTGAATGATTTTGAATGTCATCTTCATCATCATCAGTCAACCAACCAGCCAGTCAGTTAGCCAGATTGAATTCCAACAATTTATTCGGAACGATTTTCCAATCGAATGATTGTTATACATGTTTCAAACAAACAAACAAACAAAAACCACATATGTTTTCAATAGATAAGAAGAAGTAAAACGGCAAAAAAATGACTATTAATATAGTTTATTTTGTTTGGAAAATATGTAAATAACCTATTATGAAAAAAAATATCTTTTTTCAGTAATGGTAAATTTAAGGAAAAAAATTTAAACGTTTTAAATTATCCTGAGGTTGTTTGAATAATAACACATTTTGAATAAAAACTATTATACCAAACATGAAAAACGATTAGCCTAATTGTTGTTTTTTTTCTCTATTTTCTATTTCCCCATAACACGTTTAGACAATTTGATTATAATGATGATACGAAAAACGATAATAGACAAAAGTCAATCAGAATCATCAATGAAGAATACTCCATATTCAAATTTTACCTGTTTATCATAATGAACAATATGGCTTTACAATCATTTCATCGTCATGATGGTCGTTGTCCAAATTTACGATCATTATTGTTTATATTATTATTGGCCATCATTCATATTGTTGAATGTTCACCATCAGCAACTATGATGATGATGATGAATGGTATGTCACCAAGAACCATAACCAGTCAACCATCAACAGAAGCTATGTTTGACGATAATTTTTCCATTATGCCAAAAGTCATCGATAATGATAATCGACAACGTAATTTAAATATTCGTAACAAACGTCAATTATCTTCATTATTATCACCATTACAAATTCGATTTGGTCGTCCACAAATGGATCGTCGTATTTCGGCATCGTCAATCAAAGCTCGTCAACGGCAATCACCATCATCATTTTTGAATGGCTATTTACTGCCTTCACGATTACAAACATCTAATCATTCAACTTCATCATCATTTACTGGACGATTGATTACGAAAATGATCAAGAATCAACATAACTTACTTCATCAATTTGCATCATCACTGAATGAACGATTACGACCAATAGTAAATTTAAAACAATCTCAACGATTGAACAACAATAATAATAATAATACTAGAACAACAAAAATGTTAGAATCATCAGATACCAATCAAACTGTACAATTTAATAAAACGTCAAATAAATCTTCACGAAGAAATGATTATGATCCTCTTTGGTATAACAACGATATTATTTTGTTGGATGATTATGATCATGAAAATGATCATCATACCACTGTTAGCGGTAGCCTAAATGATCATCTATCCTCACCAACATTGAATGTCATCGATGATGGACTAAATAATACAAAAATTGCTCACAATATTTTGATCGTACATAAAAATTCTAAACTTCAATCCAGTTCAAACAACGATAAATTTTCTGTTCAAACTTATGCCGAACCAAATAGGCTTTTATCTCCATTGATAATCGATGAATTAGAATTTGTACCTATCAAAAATAATCATCGGCCATCAACTATGATGAGTTTGGCACAATGGAAACAAAAATATCAACAGCAACAACAACAACAGAATAAGTATAGTACAAAACCATTGGAAGTGGTAACATCATCACCAACCACTTCGAATTCGTTGAAACCATCCGAAGATCAAAATGATAATGTTGATGATAATCAAATGCCAACTTCATATGCTGCATCATCATCATCATTGTTTCCGTCTACTTATGTACCTCGAATATCATCACCATCATCATCAGCATCATCCATCACAACAACATCGTCACCTGTCACAAAAAAATCATTTGATAATCGTCGATCAACTGTGACCATCGGTCATAATAATAATCGAATTCCATCAACAACAACAAAAGCACAACTTTTATTAACAAATTGGCCTTCAATGATAATAACAACAGCAACCATGACAAATCAAACATCAACAGTTCATGGACTATTCGCATCAACAACCATAAAACCTCAGCATGATGATAATGAACAGGCCACCTGGAATGTTCATAGTGATGACTACCATGGTCAACTAATAACATCGAATCCAATCAACATGGATAATGATGGTGATTCATCAGCTACGCTGATTACCGAAAATCCATCAACCACATTGACAAATATGATTGATGTTGCTGATGGTGCAACCATGGATGATAATACATTTGAAATGCTCAAAGAATTTAATGAACAACTAAAAGAAATTAATCGTACAACATCGAATCCAATCGATCTATACAATGGACAATCCAATAGCAATGATGCTGAAATTGCGGCTGAAAAACAAGAACCAAATCTTGATGATCCGACAATAATTGTTTTTAAAAATAATCACATCAAACCGTTCAAGAAAAGACCAATCACACAAAAACCACCGACAAGTCGTTATACTGGTAAACCACCTTATGCTACAATATTCAATTATCCAACTACTACAGCTATGCCTTCACGACGAACATCAATAAGTTTTGCTAATGTATCCGGTTATCGAGTAAAACAACCGGAAGAGATTAAATCCGCTACATTGACTATATTAGATCCACCATATTCTGCCAATGGAATGCAATTACCAATTAATACAACAATAGTACATAATAATCTTCTTGTGCCAATGAAAGAAGGTCGACCAAAACCAAAATTTCCAATACGAACAACGACAGCATATCCATCATATCCGATTATGACCGGTAGTCATTGGAATTCACAAACAACACCTCCTTGGTATATGACAACTGTAACAACAAATTCTCCGGATCGTTTTGATGATGAAATGATTGCCATACCATCCGAGAATAACTATACAATGATTGAAAATGATTTTAATTCATTTGCAACAGCTTTCCAACAATACAACTTGACTACAACAACAACAATATCGCCATCAACTATTGCAATTACGAAAAAAATTTACAAAGCACCTACTGTTTATACGTATCGTCCACAAAAACTAACAACAACAACAACAACAACTACACCTAGACCATCACATCAAACACATAAAAAACGACCATCAATGTTTCATGCTATAAATGCACCACCAATGCCAATCATAAGACCACCGGTATCGATTGTACAATCAAATCATATGATTTTTACTAATTTAATGTCAAGATTACGTAAATTTTGGACATCTACATTTCCAGCTCCAATGTCTGGATCACCACATTCAATATTGGGATTTTTACGTTCAACTGTTTATTCATTGATGGTTATGTTATTGCCACCAATAGCATTGATGACATTTTTTGCCTGAAAATAAACCTCCAATTCTAATTTATCTAACCGAATTTTGTGTGTGTTTCGCTTTCTTTCTTTCTTTTATTTATTAATTTATTATTATTATCTTATGATTTTTTTTAAACTTTTACTTTTGATTCATTTTAAATAAATTATAAGAATCAATAAAATTTGATTCTAACAAAAAATTAAAAAAAAACTAAAACAAATGATTAAACAATTGATATGGTCAGGCTACTAATCAAAAGCTTAATGATTTCGAGAAATAAATGATCAGATTACAATCACGATTAACAATCATTTAATTATTCATTCATTCAAAATTAGGGACAAATTCAAACCTAAATACCAAAATAGATATCACCATTGATTAACTTGATTTAGGATTACAATAACCGAAAAAAATAAGCAAATGAATTTTATCTCTACAAATCGATCTTGATCTCATTTTTTTTTGTTTTTGTTAGTCAATCAAGATCGTTAATCATAATGATAATCAACGAATGATCATAAATGAATGAATGGATTGTGTAATTGTCATTTAAGGTACTACTGCACAAACACACAGCAGTTATATAATATATTCTCCATTTAAACATGTCAAGAATATCGGTGTCATAATCATATAATCGTTGGGGTGTATTTTTTGTTTTTGGTCCAAAAATAGAAAAAAATAGGAAATTAGGATAACCAACTATCAATATGAAACATGTGGAGTTGACCTTTTTTTTCTTTCCAAAAGTAAATGAAATGATAAGTTATGAACAATCAAAAAAAGAAAAGAGACAGACAACAATCACCATTCTGTGTGTGTGGTTAGTCAACAATAAAATGATTCAAAAGAAAAAACAAAACAATAACCGACTACCGGGACGATTACTCTACATATATTTTTCATTTCTTGGTTATTTAACCTTGAAGGATTGGATTTTCATCAATAGTCTCTGCCCAAACATCATCATCATCAACAACAACAACAATAACAATGGGTATTACAATCGATTTTTCTTTTCTCCTTCTAATATTTATGTTTAGTTTTGTTCAATGAATATAATATTGAAACTTAAATGAGCATCATTTTTCATATATTCTTCAATATATCATTTCAATGTGGATCAATTGCCTATAGAATTGCCTGGTCAATTTCACTAAATGATGATGGCAGATAATAATAATGAAAAAAAAATCTAGGATAAATGATCATAGATAATTCTTTTCAATCACTAACTACTGTTATTATCTACATACACACACAGAGAGATCGAGATATAATTACAAATTGGTTTTCAACCAAAACACACACACACACACACAAAAAGACATCACAACAAGCATCCAATATGATGATCTATCATGCGAATAAACAATTGTATAGTAGATGATATTCGAAGAAAAATGACTACATCCAGAAAGAACAAAAATTCGTGTATGCATTCATGTTTGTCGGTGTGTGTGTGTGTGTGTTTATGTGATTGATTGAAATGTGATGTTATCGTTATGATTTATCGCAAAAAAAGAAGCAAATTGTTCAACAAAAAAAAATTAAACATGCAGAGTTTGAAAAAGAAAACCAAAGGTAGATAAACTGTCTAACCAATTTAATTATATAAATATGATCATTCAAATTCCAATTCAAAGTTAATTTTTTTTTTTGATGTTTCTCTTTAACGAATAGACATATAAAGCTAGCAATTGATTAGATCAATTGAATGATGAATCTTTGAGGCCAATTGAAATGTTGTTTTTTTTTTGGTTGAAGGACAATCATTCTTTCTCTCACTCAATCAAATGTAGCCGGAAAAAAAATCTGACCAATTGAAAAATTGTGTGTTTTGTTTGTTTGTTTGTTTATTTGTTGGTCAAAAGAAAGAAAAAATTCTTGACAACTATGATAGAAAAAGATAGTTAACCCAATTCAAGTAGTCGAGGAGAAAAAATATGTCTGTCTATTTATTTCAAATAATTTAAAGATTATAAAATTTTGTTTTTTTTTCTTCAAAAAAAAAAAAAATTTCTTCTGTTGCCTATATGGAACATTCTATCGAAAGATAATCAATCAAATGATAAATTGATTGAAAATAATCAAGGTTATAATAATAATCATTTTGAAAAAAAGGTAAATTTTAAACGATGAATTTATAATTGATGAAATGATTGGCTTGAAAAAAAGATTGGCAATTTGTTTGTTATTCGAATCATGTTAGATGATCATCTAAAATGATTGAAATCATTTTAGATTATTTCAAAAATCAAGTGATTTGATTTAAAAGAAAAAATTTCGATTGCGGTCATCCACCATATGAATACCAGATTTTTTTTAAAATAAATGTTCGGATGCGATAAAGCCAACAACAAAAACTGTGTCAAACAGAAAACCGTCCAGATAAAGAAAAAAACGATAGCCCATAAATAATACATGATTCTGCCATTAACACTGGGTTAAAATGTTACACACCTTGATAAAGGAAGAAAAAACAAAACGAAACTAAATCCGAAACCAAAACATTGTCGTGCATTGAATGTAAGGTATCATCACAACCAAAAAAAAAAATCATCAACATCAATGCTGATGATGGCACGAAAGAACAAAGTTAATTAGTATTTTTTCTACAATCATCTACAGAAATCTTGCAGAAGCAAAAAAGAAAAATAATTTTACCAGCAAAAAAACGATGCTTCTGATTCGTATGGATGAATGAAGCGGAAAAAAAATAGAAGAAATGAAATTGGATCCCTTTTTTATAAGCTCATGACAGGTAGGTGAAAATGGAAACCAAACAAAAAAAAGAAACTAAAAACTAAAAACTAAAGAAAACTAAAAAGATATAGACAATGTGTCAAGTATTCAAATGTTAAGTATCATCATCAACATCATCATCATAAGAAATTCTTTGCGGTCGGGCTAACATCATGGTTATCATATATACACAGTATTTATGTAATTAAATATTATAAACACTGTGTTGTGTTGTTGTTGTTGTTGGTTAGTTGATGGGTTTCTCCATAAAATTAATGGAGAAATCAAGTGTGATGATAAAGATAATGTCTATTTAGATAACATTTATGGTTCTATATCTAATTTAATTTTAGCATACGAAAAAAATAAAATATTTTCTCTTTTTTTTCCTTTCATTTAATCGTAAATGAAATTTTTTTTTGTTCGCATGCAAGTAAGAAAAATTATTATACGGAACATTTCATTGAATCATGAATGATATTCATCCACAAATAAACAACACATTGAAAACATTGAAGAATTTTCATTGTCCAAATACACAACACCAACAACTTTGTTAATTTTTATGAATTAATTAAAAATTGAAGTAAAAACCCCAAAAAAAACTTTCGCTAATGATTATGATAAAAAATGATAATGTAATGGATAAAACTTTTTATTTTTACCCGAAAAAAAACGAAAAACAAATAGAAAACTTTTCAACACACACACACGATATCAAAAAACATTAGATAATAAATGTTTAATTTTGTTCAACATCCGTGATTATTATTATTATTATTATTATTTGAAAAAAAGAGTTACGGTAAATGGAGAAGAAAAAAAAGTTTCGTTCATGTTATATTACACGACACAAAAAGTATTAGTTTAAAAGAAAAAAACATAGACTTTGATGGTCATTCATTTAGTTTTCATCACTTCTTCTTCTTAAAATGAAAATTTATCAATCTTTTTTTGTTCTGGTTACTCGTTCGGTTAAGTTATAGTCTGTTATACGCATTAATCTTAAAATAAATTATACCAGATCATATTGATTGATTAGATGATTGTTTTGGTCATTAAGTAATCAATAAGGGAAAAGCAGAAGAAAAAAAAGATTTCATCCATCATTGTGTTATTGATCGAAATGTTGATGAAGGAAAATCTTCCTAACGATCCAACAATTTCAATGTGTGTGTGTTATGAATTAGATCGAAACAAAAAACATATTGATATCTTCATTGATTACTATCATTTTTTTTTGTTTAATACCTTGCCATAACTTCTGCAATTGATAAAATCTATTTGAAAAAAAACCAAAATGATTATGTTCAATCAAAGCTAAATTTTTTTCCAACCATTAGATCATCATTACCGGACAAAAATATAACAAAAATCTTTTTTAAATTAATGTTCACATTCCATGAATACACAATATTGTATAAGACACGTTACATTCAACAACAAAAACACTAACAACAAAAAAACTGATTGAATTTTTTTCTAGTCAATATTTTATAAACCGAAAAAAATGGAAAAATTCCTTAACAACATCGAATCAATGAATCGCTATGTTATGAAATTTTATTTGAATCTATTGTCATCATATCTAATTTCATCAACATCATCATCCAACAACAACAAAAAAAAATATTACTATTACTGATAATTATAATAACAGAATAGCCAGAATAATTGAAAATATCAGGCCGAAAGCAACAATAATAATAATAATAATATCCAGTTGAAAAGAAAAAAGTATCCAGGAATTTCGTCGTCGTCATCATTATCATCATCATCATTCTGGATCTTTCATTTTTTCAGTAAGCAACAGTGATTTATATATATAAGTAAATATAATTTAATCAATTCTAAAAAGGTATTATATAGAAGAGAAAAAAATGGCAAAAATGAGGATCACATATAACATTCCAATGGTGATGATGATGATGATGATTTCACCAAAAAAAAAAAATATTATGGAATTTGAAAGGCAAAAAGAGAAAAAATCAAATCAAATTCAATATTCTAACCAGGAAAAAAAAATTGAAAAACCTGGATAGGAAGTTCGAAGTAATTGAGCGTCTTGCCCCACCAACACCACCACCACCTTACCAAAAAAAAGTTAAAATGAATGAAACTGTTATAAGGTCATTATTATTTTGGTTAGTTTTTTTTCCTATTTCAAATACACAAATTTGAAAATGAAATTTTCTTCTTTTTTTTGAGACTCCGGAAAAAAAGACAACCCAAAGGCAAACATGAATAGAATTTCTAAATAAAAAATGAATGAATGAATGAATGAAAAAACGCAGATGTAATGATTATCAAGTTTGTTGTTGTTCATTCGAATTTCGTTTCTGATGAACATTCAAAGTGATGAAGATGATGATGTTCAAATAACATACAAACATCCTCAACAAATTGGCACATCATTAACATGAAAAAGTGGATTCTGTTATTTTTTTTTTGCTACATATTATATTGATGTTGAGGGGAAAGGTATTGAGAATTTTACATGAAATAAAAATCCTGTAATGGTTAAGTATAGTATAGTTTGAAGTTTTTTTGAACAACAACGTATATAACCGAAATGAAATTTCCTACACTATTCATTTTTCATTTTGTATTTGATTACAACGAAAAAAAAGGAAAGGATCCAAAATGTAGATCACGAATTTTTTACAAACTCTTCAACTAATCTTGATCTAATTCTTTTTTTTCATTACATTTTTTATTGTTATATAATGTAAAATTGATTGGTCTGGTTTTTGGACGACAACCAGCCGCTTTTTTTTGATCCGGATGATTATCAAAAACAAAAGAAAATCGATATATGAAAGAAAGAGAAAGGAACAAGCTGTGTCGAACTAATTATTCAAATAATAACAATAAAAATATTAGAAATCAATTGATTGTTATGTTATTTTTTTCATATTCATTATTATTATTGAATATAAAATGATGTCAATGTCATTGCCAAACTGAACAATATTCATTACTATAGAAATATTTATTATGGATCGTTGTTGTTCCGGCATATATCTGTTTTGTTTTTTTTGGGAAATTATGCCTTAACAATATCTGAAATCGATATGGATAGATATTATATTACAACCACCAAGTGTGACAATCCAATCAATCAATCAATCAATCAAATGAATCAATGAAAAATCGATTTGAAATTATTCGTTTTTTTTATTATTATAATAAACAAGAATATAATAGGAATTAATTCAGTTACTTTAGGTTACAATTTTTGTTTTGTTTTGTTTTGTTTTTTTGGAATCTAAATGAACGATGATGAAATTCTGCTTAATGGGTGGTAAATTTGATCGATTTTTTTGTTTTGTTTCGGTAAATCATGGGGATGTCATTTTCATTCATTATTCAATCAATCAATGGGGTGTTTGATAACCGAATGAAAAAAAAAATGAATGAAAATCTACAAAGATTTTTTTTTGCGTCTATCCTTATTTTTTACCATAGAAAAAGAAAATTGAAATTACAAATATTTGTAAGCAACAACAACAAAGAAAAAAGTTTTGATTTAAAAAAACAAAATTCTTTCATAACAGAACAAAACAAAAGAAGAATAGTGGTGAAAGAAAAAACTTAATTGAATTTATAATAATCAAAAAAAAGATGAATCAAGCCAAAACTCAGGAAATCTTAGATATAATCATCACAAAGGATATGAAAAATGGAAAAAAGTTGTGACGGAAAAAAAAGTTTTTTTTTCTTGAAACTTTTCTTTAATCAACCTCAGGTCAAAATAGTGAATTTTTTTTCGAAAAAAAGAACAGGCTGGTTTGATGACAAAATTGAACTATAATTTAAAACCAATTTTATTCCGAATCTTCCTATTTTTATTTGTAATTTTTTTTTGAAAAAAAGTTAAAAAAAACTGCATGTTTAAAAAGTAAATCAACCAAACTAATGCAAACTACACAGTAACGAACACGAAATTCAAATTTCCGACCGAAATAATAATATTTTAAAACTTTTCATTCAACACTTTTCAGTCATTTGAATTTTAAACAAGATATACAAAAAAAAACACAGAAACTTTAGTTGAATAGAATTTTTATTTTCGTTCGTCCTCCGGACAAATCATCATTGTGTTTTTTTTTTCATTCAAAATGTATTAGGCCAGTAAAAAAAGGATGATGATGATGTTAACATTAATAATTGATTAATATGGACAACTGAATTCAGAAGGGGGAGAAAATTAGTTCATAGTGTTAATTATGACGATAACGGTTGAATTTTGTGAAATCAAACAATATTATCATGCGAAAAATGTCTTTAGATTGTCTTTTTTTCATCAAGAAATTCAAATGTTTTAGTATTCTGGTTATTTTCAAAACAACAAAAAACCAAACATTCAATGTAAATAATTTTTCTGTTTTTGATGAAAAACATGCCAAGCAATGCAATGAATATAAAAGATATGTTGATTGACCAAGTTTGGTCGGCTTTTGATTCAACAAAAGCATCAACAACATCAACAAAAAAGAATGTAACCAATTCGAATACAATTCATTAGATATTCAACTGGCACACGCACACAGTATATTTTTTTCGATATGACCAAATTCAATTCAATTCAAAAGAAAACAACAACACACGATTTCAATGTAAATTCAAAATGAATGATATTTTTTTTAAGGGTAAGGCAAAGAGAGTAATGAGAGTATTCCATTTTTCTTTTCTTTCTTTCATTTTTATTTATTTATTTTACTAGGACATTATACAACAACAACAAGGTGAATCTAAACCAACATAGAAAAAAACATCATGTGAAAGGTGTGCCGAAATTTGTGGCGACACATAGACATTGCATGATAATGATATTGAGCTCAATTAACCTTTTTGGCAGTACATACACACACACAATCAACCTCTTATTTTTTTTTTCGTTGTTGTTTTCCTTTGATCTATTCAATCTATGATTTTGTTGCATCTGTATATGTGTGAGTGGTTGGAAATGCCTAAATATTCAAGAAACAAAAAATTGTTTCAAATATAAAATATCTATTGAAAAAAAATACTACTGTACTGTTATAAGCAGTAAAAAAAATATAAAGTAAAGTAAATTCAACCATCATGCCTAATTGTGCAATGGAATCTATTCAATTTTTTTTATACAGTTGGTTGGATTCGTTTTAAAATGAATGAATGATCATCATCATCATTTTCATTGTTGTTGTTGTTGAAAAGTAGAAATAAACATTTTTTTTACAATACACATATACAATAAAGCAAACTATGATCTGTTAAATCGCCGCTTACAATTTCAATCAAGTTCGGCTTTATAAGCACACGCCGAGTGAAAAAATAAAAATTTAAAAATTACTGTCAATAAAAAGACAAGATCATCATCATCATTTTGTAGAATTTGAAAAAAATATATTGAGAGAGAATATCTATAAATCCAAGACATTGATGGTGAACATACAGAGTAAAAAAAAAGAGAGAATAACATCACTAACATAGATTTGAGATATAAATTGTGCCAACAGAAAAAAAAATAAACAAATACAAAATAATCATTGTATAGTCATTTCATGTGGATTTTATCATTGAAAATTATGTCGAAATATTAAGGGTAAAACAATTTAAAATAGATTTTTCATAAGAAAAACGAATTATATCAACAACAACAAATAAATAAAACCACAGATGGTCATCATTTTGTTCGTTGAACAAAACCAATGAATAAAAACATGATCACTGTATCTAAGTTGGAAAGAATATAAATATAATTCATAAACGGTCGAATTGATGAATCAAAGAAAAATTATGTTTAACTAACAACAAATTGCTCTTTGAAAAAAAAAGATTTGAATGAAATAATATTCAAATCAAAAGCCGGCAAAAGATGAAACAAATCATATGAATATAAAAAAATGATAATTTAGGTTAGCAGAAAAAGAAAAAATGGTGGTTATACATCCATTCAAACATGAACCCGATGATGATCAAAAAGTACCCAGAAATGTGTTGAATATTTTTCAATGCATCAAAAATTACAAGAATTTCAAAAAAAGGATCGAGTAATGAAATAAATAAAAAAAAATTTCCAGTCAACCATATTAATATGGAATGAATGACAAACAAAAAAAAATTGTCACACTCTGAATGTCAATATGATTATGACAATAAGATAGAAGAATTTAAAATTTTTTTTCCATTTTATAACTTCTTCTTCTGATGATGATGATTTGGTCTATTTATCATTTGCATCATTGTCATTTGGTTTTTGTTTTGAATCACTGTTCAGAATATTCAACTTTGTATTTATACATAGATCTTATTCATTATTTTTTGCAGTTTTTTTGCCATTAGTTCAATGCATCGTTGCATCTTTATGCATATATAAAGTTTTGCAATCGAAATCTTAAATGATTTTTTTTCCAACATTACGTTTTTCATTGCGACGACTTTACATTAGATCAGTTTTTTTTATAAAACAAAAAAAATTCTGAATATAAAAATTTCTTTATATTCAATCATCATGTTAATATCGTTTATAAGAATTTGGTCAAGACAAATTTTAATTCTATTATGGCCAATGATTCTGTTGGGTGGTGGATGTTTTTTGAATCAATGTCATGCATTTATCGGTGAAGATTCAACACCAATATCAAATCATCATTATTTGTCATCAAATATTCATCAGATAAATCATAGTAATTCTTGGCCAATCGATCGTTATGATAACGATGGTGATCAATCAACAAATCGAGAAAATATTAATTTTTTCGATCAAATCAATGCAAAAAATCATCGACCATCCAGTTTTATATCACCATCTGAAAGTCAATCTCGTGTAGCTATAGCATCGCCTGATGATGATAATGATTATGATCATAATTATAATTCAAAACATTCAAATCGTTTGCAATTTTCGGCTCAATCAACCAATCCTAATGTTTATTATTATAGTCCGAAAAACTATGGACGAACATCAAATCATTCATCATCATCAATGATAACATCAACTCCAGGATCGACAATCGAAACGCAACAAACTGCTTCACATCATCTTAATACACCAGAAACAAAATCTTCATATTCATCATCACCAGTAATGACATCTGTGGACAAATCGAGTAAAATTCAATTTGAATCAAATGATCCATCATTATCATCATCATCATCCTCTTCATCGCCTGGAAAGACATTATTGATACATAAATTCTATAATCATGATCTATCACAAATGACTGCCGCTTTGAATAAACATACGGGTAATAATGTTCCAGAGATATTCATTTCAAGTGGTCATTTGAATCAAGGTTCAACCAATCCGAGCAAATCGGAACATTCAACTATAGATCAAGATAATGAAAATGTAACTTATGATGACGATGATGATGAAAGCGATGTAAATGTGCATAATGATCAAGATGGTGATGATCAACTGTCACCACCTTCAAATATAATATATCGTCATAGACAATTCCCATCAGATAATGATCGTAGCGACAGTGGTTCATCATCACCAACCTCAATTAAAAGCGTTTATCGATTGCATAAACCTAATAGTTCATCTAGTAGTCCAAGGTTATTGCGAAGATATTATACAACGGGAAAATCACCATCAACATCGATACCGATGGCAGCTACTTTACGACATATGCAAACATCTCATTCTCATCCTATGCCACATTATTATATACCATCATCGGGATTATCAACACATTCACATGGAATGTATGATACATCATCATTAGGAGGTCATCATGGTACAAACCATCATCATATAAGTTTACCAGAAAAATCTGGTACATGGCTTGGATCAGGATTGGCTGCTGGTATCTTGATCGGTGCCATACCATTTGGCATTATGATGGCATCGATGATGCCAACTTTATTTACTGGTGCAATGCCGATTGTTAATACAGCTGCAGTAGGTAAAAGACGTCGACGTAGAAGTATCTTAGATGATTGGGCAACAATTGTTGGTCAACAACAATCGACAAATAGTAGAAGATCGATTAGTTTATTAGATCATGTAACAATGGATAAATTAGGTGTGTTCATACGACGAGGTATTGTCGATATCATAAAATTATTGAATGAACAAAATGATAATTTTGGTCATGATATGGCCAAAAATAATCATCGGGTTCCATTCGATCGAAATGATGGTGTCAAACAGCAACAGCAGCAACAACAACAACAGCCAAAGCCATCATATTTATATTCTGATGGTAATTTCAATGACAATGGTAACAATTTGTATATGAAAACGATAGCTAAATATGCATTGGCTGCATTGGACGAACCAAAATGTATTAAAGAAATGTTATGTTCATTGATGGCCGATGGTCGACATGCACGAACAACACCATGGCAAAAAACTTTATATTTATTGATCAAATGGTATGAACAAATCTATAATATAAATCATTAATGTTTATCTGGTTTCATTTATATATTTTTTTCCTATATTGAAATAGGTTGCCCAAAAATTTTGAAAGAAGTATTGGTTTGGATGATTTATTCACAGCTGTACGACGAAATTCATGCCTACAATCATATAGATGTCCAATTACAATCCATTCATTGAATACAAATCATAATCAATATAATGATCGTCATCCAAATAATAATCAAAATAATCATCATCATCAACAACGGCAACATGAATAATCATTATTATCATAAACACATGATTATTGAACAAAGTGTTTGATCAAGGTCAACGATTACGAAAAATTAAGTAATAATAATGAAAATCAGGCCAAAAACAACAAAAATTTTTGTTTCATTTTTTTTTCATCGTCGTTTCATTTTATTTTATTTTTTGGACAGAATTTTAAAACAAAACAAAACAAAATAATAATTTAATAAGAAAATGAAAAAAAATCCCAAAACTAAACTAAAATAATAATAAAATGAATTCTATTTAAATATAATATGAATGTGCGTGTGTGTAAAAGGTAAATCCATTTTCAAAATTCCATTTTCACAAAAAGTTTCCATCTTTTTTTCCTAGATGAGAGAGTTTACATCTGTTATGATGATGAATGTTTATCCGTGTATATACCATATACGAATATTGATGATGATGATGATGATGATGTTATGTGAGTTTTTTTAGATGAATTGAGATGTATGAATGCTGGAGGATACAAGTAAAATAATTCAGAAGAAGAAGAAGAAAAAAAACGATTACCAGGCAAGCAGGCAGGTAAAATGGAATTCAGTGATGCTTAAGAAAAGAAAACAAGGAAAATAAAATGAAAATAAAATAAAAAATGAATTTTCTGTTCCCAGGATTTTTTTTCACTCTATTCCCGGATGACGAATGATCATACAGATCAAAATTAGATTCTAAAAATGAGACCAGAATAAATATAAAAAAATAATAATTTAAAAGATAAGTAAATTAAATGCTAAAAGTGGACGATAAATCATTCAATGGGCAATAACATTCTGAATATTATTGCCGTTGCATTATAATTATATTCCAAAATGTAAAAATAAATAGATTAAATAAAATAAAAAAATGAATGCAGAACCGAGTTGGAATTTAATTTTTATTCAAGTAAAAAAAAATCTGATACGTTTGATCAAAGAAAAAAAAAGAGAAAATTCCTTGAAAAATAAATGAATTATTTTTGGGTTTCTAAAAAAACAAATTGTGAAATACAAGTGAATTTTTTTGTTTGTTTCTCTCGTTCACTAATTATTCAATTAAAACTAAATTTAGAAAGTGTCAAAAGTGTGTATGATGAAAATATGTTGACGACACTAACCAACACGGATTCTCATTGAAAAATACCAAACGAAATGGATATCCGTCTGATGATTTAAAACGGAAATCGTATGGGAAAAAAATAGCTTAGTGAACATTGAGTTCATTGATTGTATTGACTTTAAGGGTGGAATTTTTTTTGAAAATTTTTCTTTTGGCGCGTACCATTTTCACTTAGTATCGTTAGAAAAATGATATAAAAACGATTGAATTTTTAGACATTTCGGATTTTTTTTTGGCAAGATAAATTTGTTTAAAGTTCAACAACAACAACAAAAATTATCTTAGTGAACAATCTTAGTGAACAAAACCTATTATCATGGATAATCGGTTGATCTGTTTGATTTTGGTCATCCAATTTACAATAACATCATCATCATCATTATCATCATCGATATTCGACGAAAATAATTTAGAAATGGGAAAAATAATTAGAAATTCCGCTAAATATTTGATAAAAAATCATGGTCATCATCTTCTTAAACAATCTGGTCGAGCTACAACTACATCACAGGTAATGATAACCAATTACAGTATGCTTATTTTCTTAGATCAAAGTTATAAGATTTCTCATCAGATGTAATTTTCATCATTAATGAGATTGTATATAAAAATGACCCACGCATTCGCACCATTAGATAGACAATAGCAAATAATAATCGTATATTAATGTAGCCACATTATATGTTTGGCATGTGAATGGCAGAAAAAATTAACAATTTAAATCAATTGTTAATTCTAACAGCAGCTTCACTTCAACTTGAAAATATTCAACATTAGCATTGTTATTGTTGATGATTATATAAAGTAGGATAGATCACCAATTAGAAATTCCAATGATGATCATAATCCTTGAATGATGAGAATGGTTACGTTTCGTTGATGATTAGCCACACCAAAATCCTAAACATTTGAAAATGTCGAAAATGTTGGATTTGAGCATTTTTGTTTAAAAAAAATTAAAACAATGATTTCGTTTTTGGACTTGTTTTGTCTGTTTTTTATTTTTTATATTTTTTTAGGTCATCGAATATAATGCCCGTAACATTGTTCTCATGACACTATTGAATTCAGTTCTAATTTTGGGTGGTATTCTTGGTTCGTTTAATCGACCAGATTTACCATTCAATGTATTAGGCTCTGGAAATAGAGCTTCTTTACCATTCAAAAGGATTGATTTATTTAAAAAACGTTTATGGCCAAAACGTACAAATCCTAAACCGAACGCAATCATTGATGATCAATCCGTTCAAATAGAAGCACTTATCAAAGATCTGATGAACAAAAATCAACATATCGAACATTTATCAAACGATATTTATCCCAGAATTTTGGAAACAATCAAACGAAACGATAGACGACGATCGGACAATTTAGATTTATCCGATGTTGAAGAAGTCGCGGATACTGATTCAACCGATTGTGCCATGTTGATTCAATGCACGGATGCAAAAGGCAAATTATATTATCCATCGTTGAGTTCGCTAGCTAAAACAGCAGTTCAGTAAGTAACTTATATTAATGCAAATGTTGGCAAATACTCATAATATTTTCAATTAAGATTGGTAAACAACAGCCATGCAACTGATGATGAAACGAAAAAATCTCCATCAAAATCGAAAACGAAAAAATCTGGGCGATCTATGACCAGGAGACCGAAAATGTTGTTGGATCAAGTACAAGAAATGATTGAAATGGAACAGAAAGCCAAATGTCAATGGAAAGAATTATGTCAGATTGAAATCAAGCAATAATGTTGTTTATGATTTTTTTAGCTCAAATAAAAAAAAATTTTATTCGTTTAAATTTATGATAAAAAGTAGGTCTATTGAGCTTCCGAGGGCATGCTTTTGATGATATCAGAATCGCCCGGGTCGGTGATAGTCAATGAACAGACACGAAAGTATTTACCGCATGCGGTACCCAATTCAATGTTGTTGCCCGAATAATGATGGACACCAGTTTTAGCCAACATAGCATAGTATTCGATTTCACTTTTTCGAAGTGGAGGCGTATTGTTCGATATTATAACCAATTTTGCTTTGCCCAATCGAAGTGCCTTCAATGTTTGTTTGTAGCCAAAATGATATTTACCAGATTTCATGACTAAGGCCAGCCTGGAATTGATACTTTCCATGGCCTTTTTCGATTTTTTGTCCGTCACTGCCATTGTAACCTGATTGAAACGAAGAAAATTTAATAATTAGATATCAAAATATATAAATTATGACTACAAAACCTATGGCCAAAATTAGAATAGTGTTTTGCTGAAAAATAGAAACTTAAAACACAATAATTACCGTTTTTAAATTGAAAAAACAAGAAAACAAATGAAATTTTGTTGTGAACGTGTGCGAAAAAGGAAAAGACAACACTGTCAGCGAGCACACAATGCACGTTGTGTTTCCGATTGTGGATCAAAATAGTCGTATTTCGATTTCGACTCGAATGGTTCAGTGGAAAAAATTCATCACATGATTTTTATTTTCTTTTTGAATTTCAATAAAAAAGAATTATGTCTAAATTAAAATCAGCAAAAAAAGGTGTAGAAAAAGTAATACATAGTACACCGTTACGAATATGGATTGGTGCAGGTGTTGCACAACCTGGACCGCCACTTGGACCACAACTTGGTCAGGTACGTTTTGAAAAAAAATATAAATTTTACACATTCGATTTGACTTTCAACATGCTTTTAGCGAGGAATAAATATCGCTCAATTTTGTAAAGATTTTAATGAAAGAACAAAAGATATCAAACCCGGTACACCACTTCCATGTACCATTTCGGTCAAGGTAAGTTGTCGTGTGAAAGCTGCAGTTGCAATTTTTTTTTCTGACTATTCATTTTATTGGCTATCAAAATAGGCAGATAGAAGTTATGATATTCAAATTCGGGTACCGCCAATTAGTTATTTCATACGACAAGCCACCGGACAGGCACGATTAGCAATGGATCCTAGCAAAGAAACTTCTGGTATCTTGAGTTTGAAACATATTTACGAGATCGCTCAAATAAAGAGTAAAGATCCGCTTTACGATTGTGTACCGTTGAAGAAAATCTGCGAGGAAATTATCGAAGAAGCGTTTGGTTGTGGTGTCAAAGTGGTCGACAGGATTGATGAACAAAAATATATGGAATTTATGAAACAGAGACAAGAGACTGTCGCCAAACAATTGAAAGAATTGGAAGATTTAAAACAATCAAAACTTTTGCGTACTGCTTAAAAAATTTTGTAAATTTCTTTAGTGTATTTCTTATTTGAATAAATTTATTGATCTATTTAGTTATCTTACAGTTGATTCGATTACAAACATAACAGCTGCAGAAAAAAATGAACAAAACTGCTAATAATGGGAAAGGGAATCCTAAAAGTATTTTCGAAATAAATAGCCAACCGATTTCATAGTTGGACAGGAAGAATATATTTGAAATGTATGCCAGGGCAAGCAATGGTGATTCAATTAAAGCTTTCACATGGTAGGCATCATTATACTTGAAAAAGATGGCAATGATGCGATCACAATATATAAGCAGGATGTTCATCATAACCCAAACAATGATTGAGTCATGAAGTCCATGCCAAAAGGCAATAATGGTAAAACAGGCTATGGCTGAAAGCATTCGCCTCAACACGCTACTTGTTGGTGATCCATTCAAAGGCTTGTAAAAATACCTGATCGAATAGAAAAAAAAACTTGATCAAATGTTAGATTTTCAAAATAACTTACTTCAGGAGAAATGAATAAAGGCCGCGATCAAATTTTTGCCACAAATAAGATGTTTGATTTATGTGGCCAATACATGCGGGTGGTGATGCAATAACATTGTCTAGGCCATCAATAATGGCTAATTGTTGGCTAATGCCATAGATAATAAAATATTTTAGAAAAAATAAAATCATCAAAGAATAACCAAGGCCACACAGGCTCCATGAATCAAATGTATCGACAATATAGACGTAATACTGAAACGATGATGAATAGATGAAATGAAGGATAATTTCTAAAATTAAGGCCCATAGTATGTATCGAATAAGTTGAACAATTTCAATGATTGTTAATATCGGTCGTGTGTTTGAATTCGTAATCAAGTTTTCGATCTATCAAGTACAAAAAGTATGATAAAATGGAATGTACAAGTCAATAAACTGATGACATACGGATTTATGAAAATCGTCGAAATTATAGATTGGTCCAAAGAAAAAGGGTGGAAAATACAAAAGATAGGCTAATCGAATTAGGGTAAAACGCCAAGACTTTTTTTGGTCATCAAAATATTCACTATCATAAAGATCGATCGAACAGCTCAATAGTTTGGCATTGAGCCATGAAAAACTGACGTGTATGAGAAAATTTTGTTCATGATCAGCAGTGACAAATTCTAACCGATGAGCGATAGCTAATGAATAGGCAAAAATAATATAATGTGGAATACGTAACCAACGGCGATTAATATTACTGCCAAAATAAAGTACAAAAAATTCCAGAATGAAAATGGCACCAATATTTATCAATATCAATAATAGAAATCTTAACGATAATAAATAGGATAGAATGAATGATGAATATAGAATGATGAACAAAGGTAAATACTTTGGAACAAAAAGAAAATTAATGAATTGATATAAAAATGTAAGATTGTAAATTACCTGTGGATATATTAATCGAGTAATTAGGAATCCGATCGAATGATAAAGAAGATATAGGATTTTGGTGCCGATATAATATTGTTTGGCTGATTGCCATTCTAAATCGGTCACATCTAACGGATAATTGATGGCGAATGTCCGAGAAAACCATGTGTCAGTTTGAAAATCACTTTGATCGACATCATATAGATTAACTAAATTGTATCAACAATTGTTAATGCAAAAACAAAATCAACATTCTCATGAACTTACGAAGAGAAGTTTGGAAAAAATTCCACACCGAATAAATGGTCGATGAAATGAATATAAAACTATAGATTGTCAATTCAATAATATTTATCATCGACATGATAAATATGGCGCCAGTTTGTTTAATTAATGAGAATAACAAATTCTATTATATCCTTTTTTCACGAATTTCAAGTCAGCCATCGGTATTCTTTCATTGCTGAAAAGACCCTTCATCGGCAACGTAATAATTTCTATTGGAATGTTAAAGATTTACGAATTAGAAATACGACGAATCCGACAGTTCTCTAAAACGGTAACGAACAGGGTAAATTGAATAAACATTATTGGTTATTGACATTGTATAGAACCTATCGGAGGGCGCCATAGAGTGAGAATGCGAAGAAAATTGCCAAAAAAATAGCTACCAAATCTTGATATTCTTTTTTTTGGACATCTTTTTATTATTCGAAAGCATTTATATACATAAAATCAAATCATCCAATATATTGAGACAATCGACGCCGACGTTGATGGGTGGCAAACAGAGCATAGGAATGAAAGAAAAAAAAATAAAGAATTCTAGCCCCATTCATTTTTATAGATGGCAAAAGAATGTATCTCATTACCCACGACAACTAGCTTCTTCTTATCATTCAATACGCGATGTGTCGCTTAATTCAATCTAACAAAACAAACAACAAACACAAAGAAAAAAAGTGAAAAGCTATAATTTTTTTTCCAATGGAAAACATGAATATCAGTTTGGTCCCTAGCCCGCCCATAATCACATCGATATAACCATGACAACAATAATTTTTCTTGACTTGTATCGAATTTCGGATCGATATCATCATCATCCATATACGAGTGAAAATATGTTAACTAACGGAACCTAAAACCATTTTAATTTAAATAGTTTCAAATTCTATTTTTTTTTCTTCTTCAAAATTGCAAAATTATGCCCCCTTGACAAAGGTCAAGGAATTTCTCTTTGTCATCATTTAGCTTCATTCACAGCTGATTGTCATAACAGCTCGAATTTTCCATTGATGATATCATGATTGTAATCGACAACATAAACAACCACAAAAAACAGTGTTTGTTTATGTAATATCGTTTCTCGTACACTGACTTACTAATTAAATATAAATGACTTGTTTTCAAAACAACGATTGTCCTCCGGCATTTTTATTTTATTAATTTCATTCCAACTTATTTTAATCTCATCATCAACATATAGACTTGAAATTTGAACGACAACATAGAAGCTTTCCATCTGCTTATTTCAAAATCATCTTCATTTATTCATAACGATAATCGGACAAGAAAAATTCAATCTAATAATAATCTGCATCGCTTTTTTATCGATTTCACAACTGTTCTTCAATGGAAATTCGGACAAAATCTTAATCTCTTCGAATAGCTAAAGACTAAATCTCTCTCGCTCTTTTTGTTGTTGTAATCATTCATATGGTCCATAAGAGGCAAAATGATCGATATATAATATCACCTTGTTGCCAATTTTTTTCAATTTTGTATATTCATATTTATCAAAATCATCAACAAGATTGGATTACAAATTTTCCTCGATGATGATAGTGTAATTTATACGCACAGCTACATGGTGATGATTACGATGACTGATACTGATAAATAATATATTCGATTTCATCAACAACATCGTTTTTCCATTCTTTTTCGATAAAAACATTCGTTTTTTTCATTCTATTTTATTCCTTATGATGATTATTCAAAACAACTACATTCACATTCCGATGACAAACAACGTATCGTAAATTGCTGACAATCAAAATCAGCAACAACAAAAAACCACCACCAGATACAGTGAATTTGTTTTTGTGATTTCGTTTGTTGGTGTTTGTAGTGGTTTTTTCATCCAAACAATAATAGAAAATTATATTATTTCATTTTGAAATCGAGCTGATCAATCGTTTTAAATACTTACATTTTGATTTCAATCATATTGGACAAAATAACAAACAACTAATTTGATGTTGTGAATTTCATTTTTTTTTCACATTGGCAAACAATAACATCCACATATGGTATGTGAATAATTATTGATTCATTAATCTTTTGTTTTTGCTATGAACAAAGTGAATTCAAATTTGATTTCCAGAAGCCCAACAATTTGTTGATAATGATGTTGCCGTATATCATCGGTTGCAATCGACGATATCGTTGACAGCAAACAAACAAACAAAATAAAAATAAAACAATAAACATAAAACGTGCTGATAAAAATACTTATTCATAAGTAACAATCTATCCATTCCGTCATTCAATCATTATCTAAAAATTCTGTACAAATCCGGTTTGTTTGATCTAAATCATTAACTAAAGATCAAAATGTCAGATTCCAAGCGAGTGGGCTATTGTTGGAGTGAACGTAAAGGACAAAAAATAAATGTAGAAGAATTGGCCGAAAATTTTGCAAAAAATGGCTATGAATTCGTCAAGATTAATTTGGATGAAAATTTAGAACAACAGGGACCATTCGATGCCATTATTCATAAGCTATCTGATCTGTTATATCAAATTGATACCGATGAACAAGCAAGACGTCAGATCAAAGAATTTGAAAATTATGTTGAAGCACATCCAGAGATTGTTGTCATTGATCAATTGAAAAATGTTAGCAAAATTCTTGACCGCTATCATCAATATAAGATCATAAAAGAAAGTGATCTGGCTAAAGAAGGTTTGATTCATGATTTTTAAATATTTTTCATTCGTTAACAGATTATTTTGCAGATGGAGTGTTCACACCCACATTTGTAGAAATGACATCAACAAATGTGGATGAAAATCTGGCTAAATTAGAAGCGGCTCATGTGAAATTTCCTTTCGGTAATTTAATCCATTTCTAATTTTTATCATCATTATTAATTAGTGGGTTTTTTTCGATAGTTTGCAAGCCAATGCGTGCTCAAGGAACGCGATTTGCACACAAAATGTCAATTATATTTGATGAAAATGGCCTACATTCGATCAGTCCGCCTTGTGTGGCACAAACATTCATCAATCATAATGCTCGACTGTATAAATTGTTCATCATTAAAGATAAATACTTTGTCATAGAACGGCCATCGATCAAAAATTTTAAACCAGATCGTAAGTAATTTTTTGATTTTTTTTAATGTTTTTATATTGTTTTTTTTTTTTTTTTTTTTTAATTCAAACAAAACACTACGAAACGGGGCATTTTTATAGCCAANTGTATAAATTGTTCATCATTAAAGATAAATACTTTGTCATAGAACGGCCATCGATCAAAAATTTTAAACCAGATCGTAAGTAATTTTTTGTTTTTTTTTAATTTTTTTTTTTTTTTTTTTTTTTTTTTTTTTGAATTCAAACAGAACACTACGAAACGGTGCATTTTGATAGCCATGACATTTCCAAACCATATTCATCATCATCTTTGATTGAATTAGATGAAGATGAACGTAGTAATCGTATTATCGAACCGGAAAAGGAACGTCTCGATCGTATCGTCAAAGTCATGTTCGAAGAACTTGGTCTATATTTATTAGGCATCGATGTTATCATTGAAAATGAAACCGGCCGCTATGCTATCATCGACATGAACACATTTCCTGGCTATGATGGAGTGGAAAATTTTCCTCAACAATTCTGTGGTATTCTTGTCGATGAAATAGAAAAATCTCGAATGGCCTATCGCCAAGCGAATTCTAATGTTAACGGCCATCATCAGCAACAAATTCATTCAAATTGTAATGGTACCTATACGAATGTGGATTTTGATAGTGGTATCGATACATCAGATTCATGTGACGAAAAGAAAAACCCACCACGATCAAATCGTTTAGATCAAAATCCTCCTGCAAAATTTTATAAAAAACAACGTTGGCATCAACAACAACAACATCAAGTGCAGCAATTGAATAGTGTGGCCGAAACAACACTATCGAACACAACAACAGCTAATGAACCAAGTGTTATGAAAAAACACGACAATCCAAATCGAATTCTTTCCGGTATCGACCAAATATGACCAATGATTACAATTTTTTTCCTTTCTTTATTATACACTGGCATAAATTATTTTATTTTATTTTTCTTCCTTTTTTTATTATCTACAACTATTCTATCTTCATCAATCGATTGAAATGTTCATTTTACTAAATTTTTTTATTTTTATTTTATAGAAATTCGCAACTCGAATTCTGAATCTAATAGCATTTTTCATCAACTGAAAGATTTTTAAAATCGATAGTTTAATCAATCGATTAAATTTGTTGTCATTTTTTGTGTAATTTTATTTTAATTTGAGTCATTTTTTTCATATTTGCTAAAAAATGACATTTTTAATAATAATTAATAATTATAATAACAACAGATTTGACATTTATTTTATATCATACAACAATAATATAAATATGATAGGTTATCGGGATTCAATTTGATTCTATTTGGTTTAGTATTATTATATATTCAGATTATATTATTTCAATTTGTCAACTGATAGTTGTTTTCCCTTTTCTTTCGATTCATTTTGTGAATAGCAGTTGTTATTTTTATATAAATTCTGATGGAAAAAAGAATTAATTTTTTTGAAAGATATCTTTATGCAAAGGCATTGATCAAAAGGATGATGATGTTCAATTGTTGTTTATAAAAATATTTAAATGGTCCAGACATTGATTTTTTCAACAACCACACACCAACACATTGCAATTTCATTATAGTATGTATCGATTACATGTAGATTCTGTACATGTTCTTCTATCATTTGTTCCAATTCACCGTGATGAAATATATGATAATATTGGTGTAAAGTTACAGGTGACGACTGTTGCTGTGGTGCAATAAAAGTATTCGTAGTATCAGGCATTGAGGAGGCCATATTATCTATGATTGCTGTAGAATTATCCGCTGCCCGACCAGTAAACTCATCAATCGATGATATGGTTGTTATTGCATCGTTTTGGCTTTCGGTTGATTCTGATCGTGAAACTGATTTGATCGTCGCTTCTAGAACCGATGATATACTGGTATCATCCGATGTATCATTATCCAGACTTTCACAGTAAGCATCTTCTTCTTCCGATGAACAGGAATAAATCTCGTTCGGTGAAATTATAAGATCAGTTGTACATTCATCATCTTCTTCTAAATCAAACTCGGTCATATTATCACTAATGTTGATGCTTTCACGCGCATTACAATTGGCTGGAATGATTGTTACAAATGATTCTTCACTATCCATACTTATCTGTTGATGATGTGGAATATGATCGACATTATTATATCGATGTGTTTCGATATTTGGACTAGCCGAAAATCGTCTAGGTGGATCCGGTTGTAGTTTGACTTCTTCTGGTTGATAATCAGCACTAAAACTACGCTGTCGGAGCAATTTTTTTGCAAATTTCGCAGCATCTATTGCTTTAGGTTTTGCTGGAAGAGGTTTGGTCGATTGATCTTCATGAGCAGCTGACACTACTTGTTGTAATTTTGTTGGTAAGGGTTCAGATTTTTCGATTGAATTGCGTTTGAGTGCTGTATCATTAGTGGAATTTTTGATATGTAAGGATTTTATTGTTCTTCTAGGTTTTAAATCGGAATCTAATAAATAATATTTAAAAATCAGAATGAGATTTCCAACAGTAAATACAAATAATAAAATCCTACCTTTTCTGTGAACCTGTCGAGAGAAATTAGCCGGTTCGTTAAACAATGTGCTTAATTCAGGCATTGAATAATATGCTAATAATTTAAAATGACAGCAATGTATAATGGTTGCCGATGATGATTCGGCTGATAGAGATTTTTGAAATTTTATACGATTGAATTTCTTTTTCGATTTTTGATTCGAACATTTTTTGATGAAGTGAAATTCGTTTCCATCTATCGTTTGATTTTCGATCAACTTAATGTTTTGTTTTGCAATCATTCGATTCAAATTGATATCCTTGTGATCGAAATCGGTTCCAGCATTATTGTCTGATGGTAAAAGCATCATTTGTGTACTTTCTAAATCATTCGAAGCATAGATTTTATTCTTTGCTGATTTTGATTTGGCTGCTGACGCCGATTTTGGTGATAAATTATTATCTAGTGTTTTATTCAGATTGCTAATTGGACGCCATAATCCAGCAATTGGCAGGCTAAATCGATGATATATTTGAGGCTGTTGTTGTTGCTGTTTCAATTGAAAATTCTTATGTGAATCGTCTAGATTCATATCATCCACATCAAATGATTGCAATGATTGCTCAATACTTGTGGCTACTTGTGCTTTCCATAATAAAAGATGCTCTTTAATAGTCATCAGTATGGATGATGATGAAAACATGACATTATTCATTGTTGATTGACTTGTTTGACTCATACAACCAGAACTACGATTGAATGATGAACTCAATGCTGAATCGGCATCTGATGTTGTTGTTGTTGTCGTCGAACTATAAAGACTAATTTTATCACCGTCTTCTTCATCAACATTATCAACGTCATCATTCAAATTTGTCAATTCAATAGGATAATCATCACCGTTACCAAGATTAAATATAAATTGATTATGGATTGTCGCAGATGGCGAAGAATCTATTGATGTTCGAAATGGATAAATATTGCTGGATGCTAAACTAAAACGTTTGATGGCCTTTTTAAAAAATGAATAGCAATTTTCTAATTCGGAATTATTCGATGAACTATGACCATTTTTTGTTTGATCATCATCCGCAAAACCAGATGCGCTAGATTCGGATGCTGTTAATGAATATCGTTTTGAATTTCCATCGATATCCACTATTTGTTTCTTATTATTATTGGTTACTTTAATCAGTAAATCCTGTGACTGTATACGATCACCAATGGCTGGTACATTACGATAGCCAGTCACAGTGATCAATACACGTCCACCGATACGCATAATTCTGGCCAATTCTCGTAAGGCTATTATACGACGGTCAAGGGTTGATAAATGATGTATGACACCACAGCAAAGAATACCATCGAATAGATCATCACGAAATGGTAGATAGACAACATCACCAAGTAATAGATAATTACTTATCACATTATCACTTTCATGGTTGTAGTTTTCATGTTGAAACCATTGTTCACAATGTTCCAAACCAACTAACAACATATTGGAATGCTGATTCAAATATTGACCATCTGCACATCCCACGTCCAAAATTAGACTTCCGGATTCAAAATCAGATAGAAATTGTTTCACTGATGTACCGTACGGCGATATGCATTGTAAATCCGGTGATTTAGCTATAATTGAATAAACATCGTGCACATATGTCTGTTCAATAGCTTTAGTTCGTGTAAGAAAATGTTTTTGTTTCCGCCGACGATTTTTCCGATGATTTCTTTGATTTTCATGATGATGATCATGTTTTTTAGTTCTATTGTTGATAATAGGTACATCCAATAACGTTGATATTGTCGTAGGATTTGTAGCGGATGAAAATGATGAAAAACTATTTCTGTTTTTTTTCGCCGATATATCGATGTATTGTGTCGATTGTAAATTACTTGAGATCGAAACGGCCATATTTGATGGTGAATTTTCATGACTTGAAACAAATTTCACTCAAATATTTTGGCAATGTAGATGATTCTAAAGATCAAATATGTCAATCCATTTTACTTACTAATTTTGATGAATCTTAAGATATAATATCCATATATCAATTTTCTCGTTCCATTTTCTTCAAGAATTATTGTTGTTGACGTTATGAATGTTATGCTCCGCTCATGTTCATTATCTCTTTTTATTTTAATGCTTATTTCTAGTTGGTTCCAAAATTCTATATACACAACCCACGCGCAAACATTACAAGATTCTTGCTTTTCGATCCTCTACATCCTTTCGTTAACTTTGCATGGCTGTCGATTGAAGGAAAGGCAATAACAACGATATTCAACCAGCGGACTGTGAAGAAATTCTTCTTTTTTTGGCCAATTTTTATCGGTTAAACCGATTCATAAAAAGAAATGGAATAAAAAATAAATCAAAATGGTTGGTGACCACTGGACATAAATTTGTTCAATTCTCTTTTAGTCAAATATTTATGGCGTGGGTGTATTATTTTTAGTTATTAAAGATATTCATCAATTATGATAGAAAGTAAAAAGAAATTTTTGGCGCCAGCGCTTTCCAATTATTTTCAACGTTACAACAAAATGATGACGTCGATACAATATGCAATATAACAAATTAGATCCATGAATTTATAAATTTTGATTGAAACAAAAGTTTTGTTTCGACTGTTGCATAATAAGTGTACGTGTATTAGTACATTAGCCTTTTTTTTGAATAATAATCATATGTAAATGATGAGGATAATATTATCCATAGGTAATAGGATAAAAAAATGATGAAAAAAAGAAGGAAAATTGTTAAAGATTCAGACTTTGACTTTTTTAGTTTTTTTTTCAAAACTCTCCCACTTTTATGAAAACATTCAGTTAATGTATGTGTATCGTTTGATTCGTTACACATAAACGTTAAACACACATAATCGTCATAGTGACCAATTCTGGTTGCTTGAGGATTTCCTACAATGAAATGCGTTCTGTTTGAAGCGTGTTTAATGTTTTGCTCGATACCAATATTGCTCAGTTTATTGCGCTATAGTAATTAAGAGGATTTGTAAATCATGGTACGAACTGCCGTCATTGGTGCTGGTACTTTAGGTATTAAAGTGGCGGGTAAGTTGAATATGCAAATAAAAAGATGATAATCCAATATTGTCGTTGTTGATCAATTATTTGAAATGATTGGATTTATGGCAGGATATCTGGCATATCGTGGTCATGAAGTTCGTATTTATGATAGCAATACCGCTGCATTGAATAATGTTAATCAACGAATTAGTGAAGATGCACGTATCTGTAAAGAAGATGGTATAATGACCAATTGCAAATTCTTGGTAATATTTGAATAATGAATTATGGACAATCCATGTTCTTAGAGTTGTTTTCGTTACATACAATGTAGGGCGATACATATTGCTTTAGCAAACTGGAAGATGCAATACGTGGTGCATTATTCATATTTGAATGTATACCAGATGATCTGACCATGAAACAGGAAACATTCAAATGTAAAGAATTAAAATAATCCATACCGATAACTAAATAATTCTGAATGTAATTGATATCTCCCCCCAGTGATAATGCAATTTTGTAGTGAAAAGGCAATCATTGCAACAAGTACAATGCGTTTATTGGTGGATAAAGTGTTTGAAAATTGTGATTGTAAAGATGTAAGTTATTGATTCAATTGATGATGAATCTTATTTATTTATTTATTTGGTAGCGATGCTTGGGTGTCCGTTTTTTATATCCCGTTTACTATGTACCCGAAGTCGAAATCATGCCCATAAGGTCGTATACTTCTGTTGAAACATTAGATCGAGGTATCTTGAAACATTTATTTGTTCGACATTTATGATCATTCTGAATCATTGATATTTAGTGCGACAATTTCTGGAAAAGATGGGACAAATTGCTTTTTTTCGTTCCGGTAATGAACCAATCGTTTTGAATGAACAACAACGAAATTCACGTCGTGAGGCCTGTATTAAACAACTAACAGAAGGTAAAAGCATAAATAACCGTTTCTCACAAAACATTCCAAATCTGGGCCGAATTCAATTTCAACAACAAAACAATCAATCTGGCGCCAATATTTCGAATGTTAATGGCGACAGTGATAGTTTGACAGTCGATTCAAACGATTCTAATTGTGATAAACAATCATTAATCATACGCAATAATGAATGTGTCATCTGCATGGATAATCAAAGAGGTAATAAAATTAGAACTTGTTTTGATTTGATTAACAAATTCTAATTTTATTGTTATTAGATTGCGTTCTTCATCCATGTCATCATCTTTGTGTTTGCATCAAATGTGGCCGTCTATTACTTAAACGAAGTGATAGCTGCCCAATCTGTCGACGTCCAATCAACAATGCATTTCGTATTTATCGTTCATAATCAAAGTTTTATTACAATTATTTATTAACAATAAAAAATCAGTTTATTATATTTGTATTATTTGTATTTTTTTGTTTTTGTGTGATTGTTATTATCAACATCAAGTTTACGTTTATCGTGATTATCCGTTTTGGCAATGTTGTTGGAAGGATCCCATAAGGCATTTCGTATCATATTCTTTGCAATTCTAATATTCAGTGTTGGTTGATCACGTTTGATTTGTATATAATCGTTCATATATTTTCGAACACGAGTAATTTCTTCTTTAATTGGATGTTCGCCCGTTAGATCGGTTTCTTTCAGCAACAAATAAAGCCAATAAATTGATGTATTAGCATAGACGAAAGTAATGTTGGTATCCAATTTATTCCATACATTATCATCATTATCTGGTTCTTCCATTTGTTCGAAATAATAATTTGAAAAATTCGTAGCCATTTGTTCCAATTCGGTCATATTCGAGCAAAACTTTTGCAGTTTATCTGTCAGATTTGAATCGGCCATCATGTAGATTATCGGGTTTTGAAATTGATCTTTTGAGCTGTTTGAACCAAAACACACGAATTCACGTGTCAACCAAAATCAAATTCTTGATTAAAATTCGATGAATCTGTCCATAGAATACGTTCGAAGATACAGTGATACTTCGATTTTCAAAGTTACTAAAGGCTAAAGCATAATTCTATGACAACATTGTAATGTAGAATTTTTGTATTTAGCGGCATTAATCAAATATAATGAAATTCTTTAAAATTTATTTAATTATTGATTTAATAAGTTTTAATTACAAATTTAAATTTGCAAAACAAAAAGAGAAACATAAAATCATATGTATTTTTTTTTTGATGGAGGTGTGGGCAAATCAATATAATACTGAAACCAAAGAAAAACAGAGAATTCTGTCTTTACATCATTTCTTCAAAATTTAATTTCAATATTGGGAAGAAATTAATTCTAATCATAATGGACAGATTTTTGTTGTTGTTGTTGCTGCTGTTGATTTTCATAAATTCATATACAAACCAATTTAATTTCGAAAAGAAAATAGTGCTAATTTGTTGCTTGAGGAGGTCTGTGTATCTTGTGTATGTTTAATGTCTGACTAAATTATTTTTATTAGCTGATGAACTAATCTAACAATGAGATGACAGATAGATAGAAAGAACGTTAAAACAAACAAACAAACAAAAACAAAAATGGTTAAGAAAACAACAAAAAGATATAAATGTGACAATGTGTGTATGTGTGTGTGCAGATTGTATATATTGTTGTTGTTGTTTTAAATAAACATGGTCAAATTTATTTCAATCGCATCAACGATTCATACATCGACAACCATCTTTTTATGAATGTCGGTGTTTCCAACCACCTATCAGAATTAAGAAACAAAAAAAAACAAACAATTTAATTAAAACTGAAATTGTGTTAAAAAAACAGATACATACACTACAGAATTCTTCAAATGAAATTTTACCATCCTCATCTTTATCGGCAAATAGAATAGTTTTATCGACAATCTGTTGTAGTTGTGTATCTTTCAGATTGTTACCGACCATCATTTTCAACACTTGAAACAATTCACCATTCGAAATAAAGCCATCATTATCCATATCGTAGATTCTAAATGCAACTATATTTTAACAATTAAAAAATTAATCAAATTTGATCTAGTGATTATATCGAATAATACGTACACCTAAGTTTTGATTCTTTATCGCCTTTCACACTGAATTGTGAAACACCTTGAATAAACTCTATAACAACAAATAATAATTAAAAATTTACTTTTGAAATTTTTTCTTTCAATTCGACAAACCTTTAAAATCAACTTCACCATTGCGATCAGTGTCAAATATATCGATCACTCTTTGCACCAAAGGATTTTGTTGAAGCTCAGGTAATGACATAAATTCATCAATCGATAATGAACCTGAATTGTCCAAGTCCAATTTACGAAATCGTTTACCAAGACGTTTAATCTCTTCAGCATCAACTATATATATCAAACATAAAACGATAATTATTTGTTTTTAATTTCATTAATGTTAATACTTACAATTGGAGCACATCTCCATCGGTAATGAAGCTTCGTTACCCTTTTTGTTTCAAAAGAAAAAGTTTTGAAAACCAATTTGAAATGATTCGATCACAAGAAACTAATATATATCTGGCTTACCATTTTTTCCTTCTTTTTTTTCTCTTTTGGTTTTTATAAGTTACAATAATAATGATTTGTAGTAATAATTATGTCTATATTGAATAGTATTGAAGACACAATTGGATTGTTATGTTTAGAAGAAAAAAATGAATTTGTATGAAAATTATGAATACAGATTGTAGACACAGATAAATGAACACACACACACAAACACACGATCCAAAATAACTGATTAGTGGTAGAAATTTGAAACCCAAAAAAAACACTATGGTTATTATTCAAACAGGTTACGCCCAATCCAAAATGATAATGTAAAATTTTTTTGTTTCTCCAAGTTCCAAAATGAATAAATGATCACAATGAAATACCAGAAAACAAAACAAAAAAAACTGGCCAAAATATTTAATTGCTTTCTATCCCTTCAATACTTATGTTAATGTGTTTATGTGTGTGTGTAAACTCTTCCTTCTTTTTTCGATGTTTGATTATATCTTTTTGTTTCAGGTTGTGTTTTGTTGATATCTTTGTTTTTTATGAGTGGATAGTGGCAATGATGATGGTGATGATAGTGGTGGTGGTGGTAATGATAATGATGATCAAGATCAATGATGAGAATGTATGAATGAAGGATTCAATGTTGAACGCAAATGCGAATGAAATGATGATGAGAAAAAAAAAGAAAAATAATGGTAAAATTATTCAAATGACTAATGATACTACCGTTTTGTTGGATCATCCAAAAGGCGTCAGACAAACATACGGAGAGAGTAAAAAAATCAACATTAGAAATGGGATGTTGATGAACAGAACATCAAAGTATTACCCTAACACAAACTCAACAATCCGAAAGAATTTAATTTACTTATGATGGTATTTACGACAAGAATCATATAGAATAATAATAAAAATACATAAATGAGAGTGGTGAGTGATAACTTTGTTGATGTTATGTCTATATGTGTTTGTTGTTAGTGTCTGGTTGTATAGAATCTATACATTGAATTGGATACAAACACCACCAGTTTTGTTGTTGTTGTATATAGTATCCACGACGAATAAATACTATATTGTAGCGGTAAAATACAGCAGAAATACTTGACACAATTCATATTAACAAAACTATACACGATAAATCGACTACTGGCTGATGTGATGGAAGACATTTGTCATGACTATCTATAATCCAAGGTTTTTTTCCTTACACTTCTGATTGTTTGAGGAAAAAATTATACAAATTAATCATCAGTGATGAATGGATCGATGTAAATTTGAATAAAGTTATGATCATAAAGCTTGCATATTCTTTATTTTTCAATTATTTTCAATACAATTTCATGTAATTTTACATTCTTCTTGTTGTGGATTCTGTAACAATGTATCCAAAATGGAACGTGCAAAAAATGCCGATATAGAATTTTTATCCTCTTGATAGAATTCCAGTATAGTTTGTCTCGGATCTTCGCCTTTTTTGTATTGACGTAGCGCTCGTTCGACCAACTAAAAATTTGATGAAATCCATTTGATTAATTTTCAATTCAGATACTATTAATCACTTACTTTATCTAGATCAACTGATCCACCAAAATTGAAATTAAGTTCGGGATTTCTTTCGAGTATTATGTACATAACCATTAATAACTATGATTGAAATTATAAGATTAGTAAATACGTTTTTTGAATTGAACAATTATCAAGTTACCTCTACCAATATTTGTCGATATTCTGGTGCCGGTACATGTAGGATAAAATTTTCTACTTCAATTATAAAATTTAGATCTTGTGGTGATGTTTGTGAACATAACAAACTGGATAGTTTGTAATTACCAACTGAAACACCATAACGGGTTCGTTTAAGAATTTCCCAAACTTTATCACTGAAATTTGTTGGAAATCGACCCAATGATCCATTGATTTGTCGTTGTTGTATGGGCTTGAGATCTTGATCAGTCAAAACACGTAACAATAATCGACGTAATTCAGTTGGCGATAGTGATTCTAGTTCAGTTTTTCCTACATTAACATATTCCTCTTTAAATGATAGATAAAATCGCATAGCCTGCATCAAACCGGAACCAATTCGTATTTTAAATATTCCATCAAATAGATTCGGTGATGTTGAAATTAGATGACCAACATAAATAATGATTTCCTGTTGTAGAACTGAATCGCATACATTTTCACTTGTTGAATAAATAAGATTATGAGTTTCAGTTGGTGTGCGAGGATAATCGATGAGAACTTCCTTGAATCCAGTTCCAATAGTAATCTGCTTTTGATTAACCAATATGGATGTCATATTTGGCGATATGGAATCGACAAATTTTTTCAATATTGCACTGCAAAATCTGACTACAGACCATAATCGAAATTGTACGGCTCGTCGACAAACATTTTCAATGTTTTCCTTTATGGTCGAACCGAATTCCGGCAATGTATAATGTAGACCTTCACGTTTCAAAAGAATCCATAACAATTGACTTTGACCGAATAATGTTTGGCAGGATTTAAGTGCTTGTATCACTTCCCATATGGGTTTTGATTCATATGTTCGACTATTGAAATCATTCGATTCAGCATAATGTACATTTTCAGAATTATTATCAAATAATTCGAATCCAGATTCATTTTTATGTTCTGGCTGCCTAAACGATTGTAGTTCGGGTAATTTTTCTAATTCTTGTGAAAATTGTGCAGTGAAATCCAAATGTTCGATACTTGATGAACTAATCAGATTCTGTAGACGACCTGTTTTAATCCTTAAACCTGTCGATGTAAGATAACCTTTTTTGAATTCAACAAGTAGATTGAGCATTTCTTTGAAATTAACATCACGTAAATTTTCCTCTCTCAACATTATACAAACGGTTGGTCGTCCACTCATTCGCCAATATTTTCCTATAAAATTTAATTCATTTTTGATATCGTCGATCAAAAGGGCCATATCGTTTGATAGATAGAAATCTGAATTCTCGAAAATCAATGGATAGCATAAAACAGTTCGACCTAGAATTCGATAAAGTTTACTAGTTCCTAACGAGCCAATCGGTCTCGCTGGTCGTCCTTTAAGACCAAGCTTTTCATTTATTCCTAGATATTCATATATTTTGACCAATTGTGATGATGACCATATTTTAACCGGTTCAACCTCTACCGGTGTCTGTGTTTGAATTCCATAAGTGGCCATCATTGCTTTCAATCGAGTTGATTCGGAAATCAATACAACTTGTACGACTAATTCGGCAGCCGTACCATATAGTTTGCCCTGAAACACGGAATTCGGACCATTTTTACGATTACGTTCATAACTGGGTGAATAACGGCGAATAGGATCCAATTCTTTTGTGTCCAAAAATCCACCCATCAAAAGTTGTGCAACAAGTAGTACCGACTGTCCCATTAGATGTAATGATTGAAAAGCACCGTCTTCGGTACTGGAAAATCGGGGTAATGAATTCGGACTGATTCTTTCAGATTCAATATATTCCGGAGGTACGTAAAAATATTGCGGTACAATCGGGTCACCATGATTTGGTTCTCGACGCAATAATTTTTCAAACACTAATTCCTTATATTCGGCCAATTGTGATTCATTATTCTTGAATATAGCATCGATGATCATAAACAAACCGAATATTGGCCATGTACATTCAATATTTTCAAAACGTTTGATTTCATGACACGAATAATTACGATTTTCATTATTAATCGTGATCGATGTTCCATAGCCATCCTTAAGAAATCGTTTGAATCCATATGGTGTTTTTAATAAGTCAACAATTCTAGATTTAGTTGAATTGTATAATACCGAATCATGAGTTGCAAAACAAGGCCAGCTAATCGTCGGTAAAAGACCTATATTTATTGAGTTAAATTATTGAAATCATCTTTGAAATCATAATCAGATCTTACTGGCATCTGTATTCTTTGAAATAGATTCACGTGGTAACAAAGTTTCAAAGGTACGTCGATTTCGTGAATGTGCATCAATGTCCACATGAATGACACTCCATGCAGCTCCTTTCTCGCCGAATAGATTGACACCGTTAATCGATTCTAATGCCGATTTAGCCATTCCGATCGAAGATGCATGTACTTCTGGTGTTTCCGGATTAAACAGTGAACCATGTTCCCACATTCCATAATCAGGTGTACGATAAGTTCGTTCAATATAATAGACTAGATTCTGTATGAAATGTACTTCATCCATTGTATAAATGATCTGCAATCCTGAATTGATCACCTGTACCATGAATAAGAGATATAACGAAACAATATCCAATTGAAGATGGCGAACATTTTTGTCATCATTTTCCAATAGTAAACTGGTTGTAAGATTGACTTTTGACGGCAAGGCAACTCGAGGATTTTGATTTGTTTTGAACACTTCCAACTTATCTTTCGAATGTCGCATCCATGAGAATAGGATTCCACGCATACATTTAACAACACTTTGTCCAAGTTCACAGGCCTTTCCATGGCTATCATCAACACGTCGAATATATGCTTGATATAATGACCAAATAGCCATTGAACAGTAGATAGAATCGCGTATTGATGCTTCGATTTCATCATTAGACATTGAAGGGAATAGACCGGTGGTTGGTGATTGATATTGTAGAATCTGCCGTTTTGCCTGACCATAGAATTGATCTAGACCACGAAGACATTCTGCATAACTAGCGAATATACGTAAATTACGACTGGACAATTTTTGTCTTGGATTCTGGCTAACCGAACCAATATCTCCGGTCTGTATGGATTCATCCACTAACATTTTCAATGTTGAATAAATTATCAACAGCTACAAATTTCATGTGTAGAAAGAAAAATCTTCGAATCAGAGTACAAATTGACAATAAGGTGAGAAACTTTCCATGAAAAATAAAAAACCACTGCATTGCATCAAAATAATTCGCTGAGAAGTTTTCAGCAATCTTATTTATTCCTTTGATAATTTTGTATTGCCATTACATGAACACATTTGATGATTGAATCATTTACGAATTGATTCAAGTTAGAATTTTTTTCAAAATTTTATTTACATTTTTTATATTTATTTTCATGAGCCAACCACAAACACTATATTGATATTGATTATCTATTAAATGAAAAAAATTGATAATATCCATGGTGATCAACATCATATGATAGTGAATATTCTTAAATTATTTCAAAAATCCAAATTCATATTTTTATGATTAAATAAAAAAATGCGTATTCACTTGCAGACAACCCAAACATATCGATCCAATTCAATGTTTTGTTATTTCTCTCCCTCTCATTTTTAGGTTTAATGTTTATTGTCCGTTGTTTTGATCTATCAAAATTAATAGAGTTTTTCCTATTATGATACACAAACAATTGCACAATTGAATTGAAAGAAATAGTGGTGGCTATTAGCTTGAATATATGTACTGCTGTATATATTCACAACCATAACACAATATAGAGTATGCTATGTATGTATTCTATTCGAGTGTTGTCGTTTCAAAAAAAAAATAAGCCTCACTTTTACTGTCTTTTTCTCTCTCTCTATCTTTTTCGGGCTTGGATGGTTAAAAACAAAAATTTCTCCAATACACATTACATTGGAAAGGATTTGTTTTATTTTGTAATTTATAATTTGGTTGAATGAATGTATGGATATTTTTTTTTTTGATATTATTATTCTCGCCTGGTCTTGCTTCGAGTCGATGCTAATTATCTATGTGTGAATAATTTGTATGTATGTATAAAATGAGAAAATATTCGTATGGTTATTTTGTTCAAATGATGTTGATGATTATTATTTAATCATGTATTGGCATCTTTGATTGCATGATGGAATTTTTTTTTCTTTCAAACATTTTTTTTCTAATCGAATCGATTTTACCATTGCAATCAATGACGAGTGACGACAAATAGCAATAACAACAACAACCACCACCACCACCATCATGATCCATTGACTAATTTTGAATAATTTTAAAATATCAACAGCTATTCATTCTTGATTTTTTTTTTGTTGTTGAATTGTTTATTTTTACAATTAATCTTACAAAACATTAAATATTCAAACAGATGTGATTTTATAAATAATATCGAACATCAAATTCAATCATTGACATTGATGTAATAAAGATCTTTTTTACTTTTGTTCGAATGTACATCATAAACAAACACAACAACAAAAAAATGCACTGAATATTTATCAGGTATTTAATGAATATATTTCATATTGACATTGATTTTCATTTCATTTATCAGTTTAATTGTAAATGTGTTGTTAAATTTTTTTTTTTGACAGTTGAAAACTATTTCCATATCATAATTGTGAATTATTCGTCTGTAATCTCGTAATTGTAATCAATCAAAATATCAGCTAAAAATTTCATCGACTTATACTGTTTCATGACGAAAAATATCAAAAATCATCTATATCCGAAGCTTCATATCATTTGATATGGTGTTTATTTTTACTGACAACATTTTTTCTAATTGTAAGCCTATATTTCTGATTTTAATCATAATGAATGAATTTAATTTTTTCAAAGTTAGTTTAATTTTTATCTGGCAACAATCATTTCAGAGGCGATGATGATATGAAACGTTAACTATCGACATATGTGTTCTGGTTCTTTGTTTCCAATAACCAGTGTGTGCCTTTTATGATTCAGCCAATTCGTCTCCAAATTTTTTCAAGTTTACTTGATTTTTTTTCGAGCGTCAAGCAGAAAGAAGCTTCCTTTTCGCCTTATATTAATCATCTTTATAGAATTTGCTCGAATTTTTGGAACATTTTCCATTATCACCTCATAATGATCATATTGATTGTATAGACAGAAAAAACGAATTCAATTAATCAACAAAAATAATATTAATAGCGAGGAAGAAAAAAACGCTCATTTAATTACCCGAAATTTTTTTTATTATGATGAGTTTTCATAAACGTAAAAAGAAACAACAACTGAACACATCGATTATTGGATCAGATGACATAATTACGAATATAACAGGCAGCAGTTGTAACAATAACAATAATAACAACAAAACAAAAACGATCTCGTTACCAATAGCATCGGAATTTGTTGTCATTGATACATCATTATCCGGCATTTATAATCATTCCAATGTTAATCAGGATATTAATAACAAATTGAATGGTGATGATAAACAAACGGCAACTAATTCATCAACACCTCCTTCATCGCAGCCACTAACATTCACTGATAGTGAAATGATTCTCATTAATAAAATATCCATTTGTGATAATATTGTCAAAGATGTTGATAATAAACGAATCGAACCAAAAAAAGAATCTACCAATATGATTGGTAATAATCAAAAGGATTCCATGTTGACCAGTGTTCCTGATGATCATCTTAATTCAATGACAACTGCAAACACGCCATCAACTAATGCTAAATTATCTTCAGCCAAACGAAAACTCTTAATACTAACCCGTTTGTTTAGGCCTTGGCGATGGAAAAGAAAACCTAATAAAGGTAAGTGGCTATCTATCGAATTTGATCAATCTTTATACAAAAACGTGTCATTTTTTGAAAACTCTAGCTGCTTCTGTAGCAACCAATGAAGAGACAAACAAATCGATCGGAGAAATTCGTGCCGATTGTCAAAGCAATCAATCGAGTCAAATGATGTTGATACCATTAACTTCAATGAGCTATTTGAAAGGTGCCGTTGCAACACCATTAGCTGCTTTAGCAAAAAATCCAGAGCATAATCAACAGCTAATGTCGATTATTAATCGACGGCAACAACAACAAGCCATTGCCAATGAAAAATCATCCGATTCAACAGATTCCTCAAAGATATACAACAGCAACAACAACAGTCCAAATAATAATAAATTTCAAACTCTCGAATCGACACAACCAAATAGTAATGTAAACAATTCAAAAACAAATGAAATGATTAAAATTGATGGATTCAAAATAGAAAAAGGTTTGCTTTTGCTAGTTTCTTTCAAGAGTTTGATACATTTTATTCGTCTATTTATCTTAGTAATTACTTCGACGTTGCCAACAAAATCAACTATAATGATACCGACATCGTCTACAACTATTTGCATACCTGCAACATCTTCATCATCATCGATCAAATGCAATATGATCGAATCATCGGCTGCCAATCATCAAAAATCTAAGAACTATCTTATTCATTGCAATTCGAGCAGCAATAACAATTGTCATAATAGTCATAATAATCAGATTCATCCAATCGAATCAATATCTCCGGTGACCATATCAAGTATTCATTTTGAGGATGATGTAGGCCCGATACCTCCACCCCGAATGTTTAGTGATTCAATCGTATCAGCATTACATACAGCCGAATCAATGTCGAATGGTCCCGAATGTGAAACAAAAGCAATTGAAAATGGTGTTAATAATAAGACTATCGGTGATGTCAACTTTGATCAAGATACATTCAATATTCAACAGAATCAGATGGATTTTATTCATAACAACTATAGCGACGGTTTGATTGAATCTTTTTTAAATTATATAATGAATATGGATTCACTCGATGATGGTACGGGCGATCAGTGTAAACAGAATCCAGCTGATGATGATAAAGATGAATTTGACTTTGATGAATGGAATTCTCCATTAGTCGAAGAAGTTCCGGTTAAACAGCCACAATTTACGGCCATTCCAAAGAAAAGTGCTCTAAAAAAACCAAAAGATTTTGCCGCCGCAAATGGCCAAACTGCCAATAATAATAATAATGATAACAATGTAAATGCAAGCAAACCTATAGTCAATACAACAAAAACAATAACGGCAACGACACCCACTGAAACTACGAATAAAAATAATCACAAGAGCTCTACTTTTACTACAAACATACCAAATGGGTAAGAAAATTGTTTATTATTATTATATTTTGTTTGATCAAGTTGATTCGATTCATTAATAACTATTTTTCTTGTTTCTTATATTTTTATTAATTCTTGTTCAAACAAAAAAACGCATACAAATATAAGCTCCGTATTGTCTAAGATTCGTCAATTCGACTTGAACGCCAATTCATTCAATGAAGCAGCTAAATTGCATGTAGCCAAAATACAAATAATGCCCTCAATAACGTTGACGAATTCTGAAATGAAATCAGTTAATATAAGTACGGCCAATGTTAATGGCGATGATTCTGTTTCATCGGACGTCAATTTAAAAGACTATTATGGGGATGATGAAAAAGGTATTTATTCATATTAAATTCGTTTTTTATTCAATTTTTTTTTTATTTTGTACATTTTTTTTGTGGTCTTGATTCAGGCAAAATTGCGGCCAAACTAGCCCGTAAAGAATCACTTCAATTGAAATTGTCACAACGTCCTGATAAGCAGGAACTTATTGATAAGAATATTATACAAACAATGAGTGATAATGAAAAACAAGATTCACGTGAAGCAATCGGAACCAAATTGAATCGACGATTAAGTTTAAGGCCAACCCCTGAAGAATTGGAGCAACGTAATATACTCAAACAACAATCACCGGATGAAATCTGGAAAGAAAAAGAAAATAAGAAACAGACACTAATAAGAAAGGTATGCCTTTTATTTATTTTTTTTAATTGTTGAAATCTCATTTTCAATAATCAACAACAGTTGAGTTTTCGACCAACAATCGATGAATTGAAAGAACGTAAAATTATTAGATTTAATGATTATGTGGAAGTTACACAAGCAAACGATTATGATCGTCGTGCCGATAAACCTTGGACCAGATTGACTCCCAAAGATAAGGTTAGATAAGCAAATAAGTTTTTTTGGTCATATAATTCATTTTTTTCAAATAGGCTGCTATTCGTAAAGAACTGAATGAATTTAAAAGCTCTGAAATGGAAGTTCACGAAGATAGTCGTCACATGACCAGGTATTTTTTTGTTGTTGATGAATTTTTGTTCCATTTTTTCAATCAAATTGTTTTTTTCAGGTTTCATCGATCATGATTTGTTCATTTGGAACAATTAAAATTGATTTTGAAAAAATTTGACTGATTGACTGGAAAATCCATAATCATAGACAACAATTACTGTGATGTTTCTCGATATATTTTATTTTATTTTATTTTTTGCTTATATCATTCATTCATTATTGTTTTTTTCCAATTATTGGACCGATCATTTTATTATTGAAATACGGTGTGCCATGACACACACATACACATCTCATCATCATCTCATTTTCTGATCATCAAAATGATATTCGAATATTTTTTCAAAATCATCACCGGACATTTTAGCATACATTCCATTTTTTAAAAAATGTGCAGGCTATATAGAATTTTTTTCATAATTTAACGAAAGCTTTTGTATAATCAAACAATTTTTCTAATTTTATAGCGAATCGTTGATTTAACGAATTAAAAAAAAACGAAAATGTTTTCATCAAATAAATTGATAATTTTTATTGTACAGTAAATGATTTATGATAAACACTTTTATCACCTATATTGTATATTTGAATATTTAATTGTTTGACTTGTTGGCCGTCATTAACATTGTCAGAAACTTCGTTCAATTTACAACGAAGCATTTGGCAGAATTTTTTTGGATTGTAAAAATTCCATTGTTTTTTATCGAGTCGATCGATTATAAGAATGATATGAGTACAGATACATTGTGCAAATAGTGAGTCATTTATTTGATCAACAAGATCGGGAAACAATAGTTCTGGATGACATATGATAATGAGTAATTTAAGTTTTTTATTGACCACCATTTGCGTTTGCAAATGAACATTTAAACATTCAATCATCATAAAATCATCGATTGGTTGAAATAATTTTACTTGTTTTGATTGAAATTTAGGAAATAATTTAAAATATTCATCAAAATCGATGATAAATTTTCCGTCGAGTATTATGGCATTTGGCCAATCTTCATTATCATCATCAGAATTTTGTTCACTTTCAATGGACTGTTTGATCAAATAATACAGGTATGCTTTCAACGCTATTAAATCACTAGTTCCAGAATCAATTATTGTTAATTTTTTTTCATCTGCAATTGTTTCAGTATCCGGTGAAGATCCAACATCGATTATTCTGCATAACAATGATTGACAAGATTCGAAATTGGAATTCATGTTCGGAGATGAATAAATTGTGATGAATAATTCACGTTGAATGATGTGTAAATACTTGCAGTGTATGATCACAGCAATGAAAAAACAGATGCCGAAAAAAAATCACGTTTTTTCATTTACTCGTGTTAAAACGATTGAATTGGCATTGAATTTTCAATATATTTTTTAATATTACAAAGATAAAAAACATGTCATTTGATTTGCCCGGTAGCAATGAATCTGGTGGTGGTGGTGGTGTCGATCGTGAACTTAAAGAATTTTTACTAATGGAACAAAAGAAAGCTCAATTTCAACAACAAGTAAGTTGATGCCAGAAGTTTGATTTTATGTTTTGGATTTCTAATTTGTTTTACTTTTCATTATTTAGGTAAATCGCTTAAATGATATTTGCTGGGATAAATGTGTGACCGATAAACCTGGATCAAAATTAGATTCACGCACAGAAAATTGCCTGAAAAATTGCGTCAATCGTTTCATTGATGCTTCATTAACTGTAGCTCAACGTTTTTCTGGCTTGATCCAAAAACAACAATAATCAATGCTTGTTTTTTAATTTCAATTGTAGAATAATAAATATAATACTTTGTTTAAAAAATGATGTTCATTTTCTTATTCGCCAATAAATTTCGGATAGATATTTTCAGTTTTTGGAAATCAGCTATTGATTACCATTGAAAATCTATCCATCTATTGGTTTTTAATCGATTCTTTATTATCTTATGAGGAATCAATCTGTTGATGATAATGGTCATAATTGAAAAAATATTTAATTTTTTCATACAGGAAATTAGAGGTTCATTTCTGCTAACGCCATCTATTATAATTTAGATGTTTACACAAGGTAGACATTTTCGAAATTATCTTATCTGCAATGCAGTTGTTGTATGATGTCAAAAACTATTTGTCATAACAATAAGATGTCTTTGTATTCTGTTACATATCATTAGATATGATCAATAAGTGATGATGATCGCTTTTGTGTTGTGTTAATCGGAGATTGCAAATGAATTCAATTTCTTATTTGTGTTTTTCTGATTATAAATAATTCATTTCATATTCGCTAACAATATAAACAGTTATTTTTCAACAAAAAAAAATTTGTGTCAATCTTTACAATTGAAAATGTGTTTCAATACCTAATGATGTTTGTTGTTGTAAATTGCTAAGAGAAAATGATAAAATTCCATACTAAGCAACCAATATTAGAATCGCAATTAGAGATAGACTTCTAAGATTTGATTGTAATGATTATTTCAATCATAGTCATATGTTTGCAATCTCGATGATTCAATAGTCTTATTTATTTGACATTCATCATCATCATCGTTTGTTTAAATTTATGACCTGATTCATTAATCAACAAATGAGATGGCCTACAAATCATTTTCATCGGTCTTGATTTTCACTATGATTATCATCAATGATCTTGTTTCTATATTAGTGTTGACACAGAATATTGATACCACATATCCGATTGTATTCGAACGTCCAAAATCCTCATCATCTTCTTCATTATTTGGCCATTCCGTATTGATGCATAATTCTGAACAATATGGTCCAATGTAATACTTTTTCATAATTGCATTACATCTAATTCAGTTTCAATTTTTGATATGTAGGATTATTATCGGAGCACCAAATGCAACAGTAAATCAACGAAATTCTAGCAATAATACCGGTATCATATATCATTGTGATTGGTCAAGTTCAACAACCGATTGTACCATGATTGATCTTGTCAATCAAATGAGTTTCTGTATGAGATTTTTGTTTGTTGTTGATTTAATTAATTGAATTCCTACTTTGATGGTTCTTTTTAGACGAAAACAATTTATTCACCAACAAAATGCATCTTGGCTGGAATCTAATATCACGTTCAAAAACGAACGAATTTCTGACCTGTGCATTTTCATGGACATTTAAAACTTCAGCTATAAATCGTCAAAATAGAATAGAAACATGGATGGTGCCAAATGGGGCTTGTTTTTTACTTCCTGATTATTTCAAAGATGATGATTATTCTAGAAGAAAACCTATATTGATATTGCCAATGTCAAAAGATAGACCATTCAAAGAAACCGGGGATTATCTTCATGCATATGCTATGGCTGGATTTTCCGCTACTATTTCGACCGTATGTATTCGCATTAAATTTTATGAAATTCTTTTTGTAAACTTTCAAATAATAGGATCAAGACAGCATTTTTCTGGGTGCCCCCGGATATGATGATTGGCGTGGAGCAGTTGCCAAAATTAATCTAAATGATTTTCCTGATACAATTAAAATTGATGACGGTAAAGTTAAACTTGATTCATTGGAATCACTAGAAAGAGGTGAGTGTTAAACCTTGAAAATTTTCACTTACTAATCCTTGCTGGAAATTATAATCTTAGATGTTTATCTTGGCTATTCAATTACATCCGGTAATTATTTCCAGGGTGATCAAGAGATAATTGCTCTGGGTATACCAAGAAACAATTTAACGGGTTCCGTTATTTTGATTACAAGACTTTTTGGTCAACCGATAACTATTCTCGATGGCCAACAAATGTATGAATATTTTGGCCATTCATTACTGACTATCGATGCTAATCAAGATGGCTTTGATGATCTACTAGTTGCTGCTCCGATGTATTCATCATGGCGAAATAATCTTTATGACGAAGGTCGTGTATTTTTTTATCAAAGTAACCGAGTTCAGGTAATTTATTCATTGAAATGTTTTATATAATCATGAACAATGATCGTCATGTTAGGGATTCAAAGAGCCTAAAATTTTATCTGGGGATTCTAAACCGATGGCTCGATTTGGTACTGCAATGGCAAATTTGGGCGATACCAATATGGATGGATTTCCTGACGTAGCTATCGGAGCACCGTACGAAGACGATTATCGAGGATCCGTTTACATTTATCGTGGTTCTCCACAAGGAATACTTGAAAAATATGTTCAAAAAATTTCAGCTGCCAAACATTTATCATCTTTAAACTTGAATGGATTCGGTTACAGTTTTTCTTCTAATGTCGATATTGATGATAATGAATACAATGATCTACTAATAGGATCATATTTATCAGAAAAAGCAATTCTGCTTCGGTGAGTCACTTTTAAAATTTTTATTCAAAAAGTTCTGAATTCCAATTGTTTTCAAGCACTCGACCAATTATATCGATTCAAGCATCAATACATTTGAATGATGATTATGTTGATTTGCAACAACCATGTGAATATGACAATGGCCAAATCCTAAACTATAATGCTTCGTGTGTTCGAATCAAATTTTGTTTTTACATCACATCAAAGTACGAAAATCATCCAATCGATTCCGCACTGCAATGTTCATTACAATTGGATCCTATTTTCAATCGAGCATTCATTCTTCGATCAATATCAGGTCGATCAGAATATCTTTCAACGAATAAAATCGATCAAAGTTTCACTTTAATACCTCCTGAAAAAAAGTATTGCTCCGATTATTACATTGTCTATTTTAAATCATTCGATAAACTTGACAATCTTGTTGATTCGGTCGTTTTTCAATTGAATTATTCGCTTGAATCCGAAGTGAACGAACATTCACCATTGGATAAACAAATTTTTCATATACCGATTCTGGAAAATGAACAAATTTCCAATATTTCGACCGATCTTTACTTCAAAATGTGCAACAAAACTGCTCGCGATTGTTTATCAAATTTTAGATTAGAACCATTATTCATTTATGATGATGATGTAAGACTAAATTTTGCTAATAATTCATTCCAACAATTTTTAGAAGGCAAATATTATAATATCACATTGTTCACAAAAGTAATTAACATCGGTGAACCAGCGTTCAATGCTCACTTAATTTTACAGACCAATGCCAACATTTCTTTAATAAGAATTGATAAAAAATGCAACGAAATGAAAACATCTGCATCAAAAATTACAGAAAATCAAAACCAAACTTATTCATGTAAATTAAACAGTCCATTGACCCAAGATGATTTCATCTTTATTACATTCAAATCATTCGAAGTTAAAGATTCTGAACTAATTTGGTTCAAACTGAACACCATTGCATCAAACCATATTGATTCTACAAGTCTTCATAATTATCAAATAACCTTTCAAACAATTAAAAATGCTTCTTTTGATGTACAAATGTAAGTTGTTTGAAAAATGTTTTGATAAATTCAATTTCTAATTACTATTTATAACAAATAGTTTGCGTCCTGATCCCATCAAAACATATCGAAAATTTGCAAGTTCTGATACAAAATTCATTTTTTTGAATTCATTATTGAGCTTTGACCGACACGGACCTAGCAAAATTGAATCAATTGAAATGAATTTCATCTATCCTGAAAGTTATAATGAAAACAAATTAATTTACGATTTAAACATTGATCTGGTATTTATTAATCTACTCTAATCCTTTAATCTAATTTCAATTCAAATAGATTTCTATTCCATGGGAATGTGATAAACCAGTTAAAATCAGTACGAATGGCACTGATCGACCTGTTTTCAATTCTACCACCAAATCAATGCATTTGGTGAGTTAATTTTTTTTCATTAACTATTCTGTTAATTAATTACTTGGTTCCGCGATAGAATTGTGCCAACAACCGAATTATTTGCAGCATGATTCGTTGTCGTTTTGGTTCATGGCCGAAAACTTTGCCAAAAATCTATGTTACAATGTCTGGTCGTATGGATATCGGAAACATTAATAAAAAAAATAAGCGCTTGTCCTTATCAAATATAACTGTTGATATTAATTTTGAAGCCAAAATAAATGATAAATTCATTAAAAACAAGGATAACGAAATGAATAAATCGACAAGTCAGATACGTTTCCATTTACAACGAATAGAACCAAAATCTACAACAATAATTCCTTATATTGTAGCTAGCATCATAGGCGGTTTGATTTTATTATTGGTAATTGGCTTGTGTCTTTTCTGGGTAAATATTATCATCGAAATTGTTTTCAATTTTTTGATTATTCTATTTTATAGCTTGGATTTTTTCGAAGAAATATAGCTTCGGCCGAACGTGCTCAGCGAATCGATTCAAGAGAAATAATTGATTGAATAATTGATCAATTATCATCATCGAATCGAATCGATCACCACAATTATTGTTATGCAATTCTTTTTGTTTTGTTTTAAAATTATTTTCATCATCTACTAACCAAAGAAATGAATGTGACAGCTTTTATTGTAATTACTTATTTTATTATGATTTAATAGTTTTACATCAATTATTTGTTATACACATATTACATTTATTTATTTCCAGAATTGTCAATTTTACGTTCGAATGCCAATTCAATCATCTTTAGAAGTTTTTCATAATTTTCTGAATTTCGATTATTTACCGATTGTAACATTTCATTAACGAGTTGTATGACTTTTTGATCTCGGTCAAAGTAATCAGAAAATAAACCCATCCAATTATTTTTGAATTTTCGCAATGAATCTATTAATGTAGCACTTTTTGGCGAATAATTGCCCAAAATTGATTGCCATAAATCCTCGCCAAACGTTTCTTTGGATTTTGCAATAATAAATTCAGCTAGACGACTTTCGAGAGCGTATTTCGAATCCAATTCTTTGCTAGGATTAGTATCCATAGGACTTGGCGGTGGCGAGTCCATTTTTGTTGATAAATTTGTGAGATATTTTTTTAATGGCAATTGTTTTGTGTTGTTTAAAGATGATGAGTGATTATTAGTTCGAAAACGTTTTGAGGATGAGCGACAACTTGTGGCGGAAATGTCCGTTTCAACACTATCGGACTCGGCAGTTAAATTGGCCATTACACTGCTGTTGCTAATTTGGACGGTTTCATCAGGTGATTTGTATTTTTGCATCAATTCTTTTAAGCTATAACAATCTATTCGATGAACAAGGGCCTTATTTTGCAAATTTTTATCATTCGTAATTAATGAAATCAACAAATGTTGCTTATCTATGTTAAGTGTAGGCAGAAATTTTTGCGGATTTTCTATAAATTGAAGGCACAATCGATGAATTAGATCATCATTATTGCTAAGAATATCTTTTGTATCTTTATCTTGGATAAACTTTTTCAGACAAATTATTCGAGATTTGTCTCCCAATTTCAGCTGTTCATTAATGAATTTTATGGCATTTTGAACTTTTTTCACCAGGTATTTGTCTCGATCCAATTTCAAACCATCCAATTCTTGTATCACAGTCCATGGTATAATAATTTTATAAATTTGTACATTGTTTATATTAGATTTGATTATCAATTTTTTTAAAATGTTTAAATCTTCAACTAAAACATTGGTATCGATAACAAGTATTAAATAATAATTATGATCACCGTCTAGTGTCTTGAGTCGTGATAAATGGCGTTTCGCTTTTAAAACTTTGCGATCGGATACTTTTTTCTTTGTCAAATCGACCGAAAGATGAGATGAAGATGATTGTAGATTTGATGGAATTCTATCTTTTTGCTCAGAATTCGTTTCTGCTTGCCTTTTTATGTTTGTTTTTTGAGCCTGTACAGGACAAAGCTCATCAACATCCATTGATTCGATTTCAATCGCAGCACCAGACATTTTTTGAGCAAGAAAAAATAATTTATTCGAATAATCAATGATTGAATAATTTCAAAAATAAAAAATTAATTTAAACAAATTACATCTTAAACAATTGGCAAATTTTTTTTCAAAACATTTGTTTTCAGTTCGAATAGATGCAATTGTGTTTGATATTTAGGTTAAAATAGGCACATTTTTATTCTCGTTGAATTTTTTGGTCCAGGATTGGGTAAAGTTTATTATTAATTGTGATTATTATTATGGCAACATTTAAAAAAACTGAAAATCAGCTCAGACAAAAATTTCCCGAAGATGAGAGAACTGATAAGAATGAAAAAAGAAAAAGGGCAGTAGAAAGTGATGATGACGAAGACAACGATGAAGATGATGATGATGACGATGAAGAAAAACCAATCAATAAATTCGCTAATGATGGAAGCTTTTTGGAAATGTTTAAAAAGATGCAACAACAAAAAGAGCAAAGCTTGCCGATTATCTCTTCTGCTTCAACATCATCAACGGATGTCAATTCTAATGAGGATGATAACATTAAATCGGGGACAATCGAGGTTTGATTCGTATTCCGATCCTATATTTTTTTAGGAATTTTCATTTGGCATGCTGTTGTTGTTTTTTCCATATAGAAAACAAAACGAAAACCAAAAATATTGAAAGTGGGAATCATTGAGAAGACAAAAAAATCGACAACAAAGACTGGTCGTCGACACGATGATGATTCGGGCGAGCATGAAGATTCTGCATGGAGCCGTTATATGAATGAAGTTCGAGCTTATAAAGAAAAATATGGTGATGATGAAGATAAGAATCGACCATTGGTAAAATGATTTGAAAAATGTGAATAAATTTTTGTGTTGAAGCCCATTCGATTGTTTGCCATAGAAATTCATCTATCTGGTCATTATCATTCCATTGTTTTTTGTTTGTCTATTCATATTCGTGTATAAGATTCAGATAGTTTCATGTTATTTTTACCCAATTTTTGACCCACTATCATTATCATTATCATTTATAATCAATCAAAGTATTTGAAAATCATTTTGAATAGATAAAAATATTATTAGTTAAAACACCTAAAAATCGAAAAATAAAATGTAATGAATTAATGAAAAGTTGTGGACAATGATCGACCGTTCGGTTGTTGTTGTTGAACTGTTGCCGGAGCAGACATGATCGAAACATATTGTTGTGATTGTTGCTGCGAATTAAACTGTTGCGGCTGTTGATGAGTAAATGGATTATAAGATTGAAGATGATGATGGTTTAATTGTATGGATGCAGTCGATGCAGGCACAGCTGCGAATGGTAATGATTGCTGCTGGACATTGTTTGTATTGACCACAACTGTTGGAGCGGTGGATCGATATATTTGTTGTTGTGCTGGATATTCAGATTCTCTGTTATTGTTCGTTGTATCATTCTGAACGGTAGGCTGATTATGCCATTGAATTTGATTTGTTGAAGATGCAATTGATGGATGTTGCTGCTGTTGATTAGCAAGAATATTCGAAGATTGTGATGATCGTGTAATGATGTTGGTATTGACAGCAACATAATTGCTCATTTGTCCAACATCTTGTCCACTGTTGGTCGTCGGATAAGAAATTATCGACTGGCCACTTGGTGTAACTGATGTCGCGCCAAACGAAAGTTGTGGAGTCGCTATGACATCATTTGTCGCAGCTAATGCCGTCGTCGCAAATTGCTGCTGTTGATGACTATCTTCAAATGCTTGCCGATGTTCTTGTGTGTTGACATGATTCTTCAGTGTGGAACTAACGGCACCTAAATAACGATCGCAAATTCGGCAATAAACACGACCAGCATCGATGCCCGTAGTAGTAACATCATAGAAAGGACATAATTTTTGAAGTTTTTTCACTAATTTTTTAGCAGATTCGATCCGATCTTCAATACAGCGAAAAACGGCTGTGTTTGATGATGATAGTTTCGAATAATGATGATTATTATCCGAACGCTGATGATGATGACTGGATTTGCTTGAATCATGATGATAACTTGCATATGATCGATGATGTCGACTATGGCGATGCAAGTATTTTCGGGATGAGGATTCTAGATTATGACATGATGTACTACGATGTTCATTGTGATATTTACGAGTTGGAGATATTGATCGCTGTCCACTAGTATTACAAGATAATGTTCGGATCGAATCTGGTGATGGTAATGATGATGGTGTTGTTGGTGTCGATGACAATGATTCATTATATATCATAGCAGCATCTTCCTTATTATCATCTTGTTGTTCATTTTCAAGTGGATTGTTCATGAAATGTTTATCTATGTAATTTTTCAAAGTAGGTTTTGCTGCAGCTTCACACGGATTGAAATCAAACGACGTTGATTTTGGTGAAGTTATTGATGATGATGAGGATGAGCCGGAATTGTTACTACTCGGAATATTGCTTTTATTATTCATTTTGGCAAGCGTTTTTCTTCGTTTCGACCGATCAGATCCTCCATTTATATATTTATGATTGACTAGATGATTATCGTTTTCAACATCGGACTCAACAAGTGTAACCAGTTCATCATCGTCATCGTCATCATCATCATCATCGTCATCCTCATAATCATGAAACTTGATCAAATGATGGTTGGTTGTCGTTATCGTTTTATGATGGGTGGTTGTTAATGTGTTGTTTGTATTGTTTTTTTTCATTGTTCGCGTGTTGAACATCTTGGATAACGATGATGATGATGATGATATCATTCGTGCCCAAGTCGATGAAGATGAATAACAGCTAATTTTAAGACCCTTTTAAATTCAAAATACAATATATATTGATTTTTATGTACAGAAAGAAATCTCTTATTAACTTACATCAATTCGTTTTCTTTGTTTGAGTTCATGATCTGGTTTGGTGAAATATTCTAATGCTTTGATATGATGTTGTTCCACTTGTTCGTGCGAAAATCCCGACAATAATCGTAATATTCGTGCGCACCGATAATGTAATGTACCAGCATGTTTATATTTATGAATGGCATCGTAATTACGGATGGCCGATTCGAGACATTCAATCGTTGCCTTAATGGTTTGATCATCTGCATTATTCATTTCATTTTGGTCAGTTGGATCCATCAATAAAATGGCTGCTCGTTCGAATGCTTTGGCAGCACCAATATAATTGCCATGTTGATTACATTTACGGCCCAATTGCTGATATAGATAAATGGACTTTTCTCGAGTTGAGGTTTTCTGGTTGACACTATCAAATTTTGTTATATGATTTATTGAATTAATGATTAATCGATTAATGTTATACATACAAATTAATGATTTCATTAAGCTGTTGTTTATTCGGATCATCGAACGGTATTTGTTCCAATTTAACTGTTGATTGTTCCCATTTGTAAAGTTTTTCATTACAAGCAGCTAAATTTTTCAACATTTCAATTACTTCAGGTATTGGTAAGGAACAAAGACGTTCATCATCTTCGAAATCTACAGATGGCTGTTGATTATTATTTGATTGATGATCAACCTTATTATTTGTTCCTGTTTCGTTTCTTGGTACCATTAGCCATGATTGATTTATCGATTTTTCCGATTCATTTATATTGGTTGATTCTGTAGATAGTTGTAGTTGTTGTTGATGCTCATTTTCAATTTCCATAATGTTATCGTCAATAAATGGCCCTAGCTTTGTTAAGATGAAATCACATTGTAACTAGATTATATCAACTTGATGTTTAGGTACAAAGTTCTAATCTTATCTAACAGATAAACTTCTTGATTGAATTTGATTGTTCCGTTCATTCTGACTAAAGAATTCTATTTCTATAGAAAAGAAAACCATTTAATACTATTGCAACAAAAATGATCCTTTGAATAAGGAATGAGAATAAAGATCATTGATCACATGAAAACGTCAAACCTCAAAGTCCTCTTCGACAAAAGCAAAGCCAAGCGAAAAAATTAGCTTTATCAAGAACCAAAAAAAAAAAGATATAATGATGATTATCTGCAGTTATTAAGCTCATGATGATAATGATGATGCTCATCATTGAAACTAGCAACAAACCGACAAAATCGAGATTATTTCGGTTTGGCGTAGTAAGCAAAAAAAAAACAATAATTTCTAACAAGTATGTACAGTGGATTTTTCATAACATTAAATCGACTTTTGGCGGTAACTTTTTCAATTATTTCTGAAAAATTATAATAATTCTAGTTGGATCAGTGACGACAAACTACATTAAGAAATCTTAAACGAAAATTTTTATAGTTACATTTAATCGATGGATTAAACCAAGATTCAGATTATTACTATGATTAATGATGAAAATTTTCGTTGGGAATCACAGGAAAACAAGTCAATTTGCGAAAGAGAACGTTACTGATTATTTTAAAAAATTCAATGCGATGATGTAACAAGTACCATAATGAAAAAAATTGAAGAAAAATAATAAAAAAACGGAGAAAAAAATTTGTCGATCCATCAAACAAACAACCGAACAATGTTCTTGCATTGAGTGATTATCCTTGTTTCTAGTTGTCTTGATCATCATCATCGTCATAATTTTAATTGCAGCAGTCATCATCATCATCATCATTATCATCATTATCATCATCATCGTAATCAATTCTATCTTTTTAGCTATTAAGCTAATGCTGATACATTGCGCTAATCATCATCATCATTGATGGTACTTTTTTGTCAATTTAATGATAATTTTCTCAGTATTTTAATATCAAACTTGTATACGATAGCTTGTCATTTTCAGTAATTGCGATATATGATGGGAATGAAAGACAATTTTTCAATGAACTACTTCGTTTATGTATTTAGATATTTTGATTTGGGTCCATTTTGATTCTCTCAAAATAATAAATCTTGAATGTAGTTTTACTCAGCCGATTGGTGTGACTATTGTTATCAGTGAGATAAGATAATTTTATGATATGATTAGACAATAAGCATCAACAAATGTTAGCCGGAACATACATCGACTGATTATGTCTATCGCGCCAAGGTTAAGTTATTCTAAATCGTTTTGAAATCATTTTCACATTTTCAAATGTTTATTTATTCAGCTGATTCAACCAATATGGTAATAATGGCTTTGATGATTAAGCTTTAATTAAATTAAAATCGAAATGTTCTCGAAGTAATCCATTTTAAAGACCATCGATTTTGTTATCGATATATTCGTCCTTTACTTTCTGGTCTCGTGATTGAAGCATGGATTAAATTATCGATCCCAAGTTTTGTTTTGAAAAGCAAGAATTTGAAGAATGAGAGCTGTTATACAACGAGTTAAATCTGCATCAGTTACTGGTATGTTTTAAATAGAATTGTAATCATCTAAATTATTTGACTTATGTCTTTTAGTGGATGGAAATTTGATCTCGAAAATTGGTCCAGGATTATGTGTCCTCATAGGAATATCTCGTGACGACAAAGAAACCGATTCGGATTGGATGTATGTCAATCTCAAATCAATCTAATCGTTTGTTATTAAAATGTTTTTTATGCAGTGTGAATAAGATTCTGAAACTTTGTCTATTCGACAATATTGAATCCGGACGCCGATGGTCTTCCAATGTTGTTGACCGTCAGCTCGAAATACTTTGTGTATCACAATTTACTTTATATGCAACGATGAAAGGAAACAAGCTGGATTTTCATCAATCAATGGAATCATCCACATCACGCATCGTATATGAATGTTTATTAGATAAAATGCGCCGTTCTTATGATGCATCAAAAATTCACGATGGTTTATTTGGTGCTTTGATGGCGGTTGATATTGTCAACGATGGGCCAGTGACGATCAATATTGAATCACCTCAGAGGCCTGCTGAGAAGCAAAAAGTTATCATGGAAATTAAAGATGAAAACGAATGATGTTTATTATGTTTTATATAGTCATATATCAAATAATGAAACGAAATTGCAAAGAATATTATCATATAAATATTAAAAAATAAAAAAGTCGATATCAAACAATTATATACTAATTTGCATTTTACTTGAATCCCAATAATTTTTCAATGTAAATTTTTGTTTCTTGTTGCATTTTCACAATCGAATCTTTAAGAAATCGATTTCTTGATTTGAGACTTTTTTCTTCCAGCATTAGTTTATTATAATTTTCCTTTTGCTTTCGTCTAAGTTTAAGAGCGGCCAACCTATTTCTTTCGCGTCGATCACGTAAAAATTGTTGACGATTATTGAAACTTTTGGTCGATTTTTTTTCTTTATTAGAAGCATTTTTGCGTTTTGAATGCTTGACATCTGTGAACTCGGAATTGGCATACGTTGGGTTTTCATATAAATCTAAATGATGATATCAATTAGAAATTTAAAATGAGCGAGAATGAAATCAGCTTACCGTAAGTAGTTTGATTATCAGAACCAAAAAATGAATCGGTATCATAATCAAATTTCGAAGATTTTGTATCAATTGTGCAAACAGAAGTAGGTCTGTGATTAATCGGTAAATGTCCTATTGGATTCATAACTTTATCATTATTACGATTCGAACTTGAGAAAAAAATTTCCATTCGACGCTTATATTCAAGGTCATGATCAGAATAATAGAGTTCACTGAGCTTGGTAAATGGAGTGTCGTAATCGTTTTGGTCATTTTCATTAAAATTTTTCATGGTCATTGATTTATTGGTTTGACTTTGAGAAAAACTAAATTCTTCGATGCGATTGATATGTGCATCGGAAATGGTTGATTCTTGACTTAGAGTTTTTTCTTTTTGTTGGCTTATCACAAATGATTGAATAGGCTTATTGGAATTTATTTCACGAATCATTTTGATCATTTCTTGTGAGGACACATTTTTTGTCTGTGATGATACAGTAGATGATTCATCTAATTCTTGGTAAAGTTCTTGAGAATTTTTTTCGGCAAATTTAGCAGCCTCATCAAAGGTTTGTTGAGATGATTGATTTATTATTAAATCGAGAAATTCAGGTGTACCCATTATTGTTTGTTTTTGTTGCCTAATTAAACGAATAGATAAATATAAATGAATAATTATTACGAGTAAATACTTTTGATATTAAAAACTTGACAAAAACTTCAGTATACTCAAATCAGTCAATTTCGAAATGGTAAGAGAAAAAACTTTTGTTACGAAAGTGAAACCATTTGTGTGAAACATTTAACGAACCTCAAATTGATTAAATCAAATTGAAAAATTTTCAATCACAAAAAAATATAGTTATTGAAAAAATGATGAAATGTCCTAAAATCGAATTATAACTTGTCGTAAAAAATGTTGAGCTGTTGGATCAGTGCGAAAAAAAATACCCCTTCCATTGAATTCTTTGCATTACAACACTTGTTAGCACACACGATTCACAGACGTTCAACAAACATGAAGCACACGCTTTAACAATTTTCATCTTTAACAAGGCGGAGCTTGTTGTTAGCATTTAAAAATTTAAAAAAAATTGGTAATTTAAACATTGATCCACTAAATTAACTCTGTTAGGTCACTTGGGTAGTTTGTTTCACGAATGTAAGAATTTTTCCGTTTTTTAAATATAAAATTCAAATTTATTTTTCAAATTTTTATCATTATTTTGCATTTTTAAAAAATGAAATTCTTCTAATTGTTTGTTTTAACAATAGATTCGGAAGGTATTTGACAGACTGGACATTTACGTGAATTACTTGTTGTACGCCAAGTTTGTATACAATTCCAACAGAATATGTGGCTACAATTTTCCAAACGTCCAAAACTTCGTACTATCTGTTGACTTGTACTTGGATTATCACAATCGGGAACTCGACCAATTATTTCAAAACAAATTGAACATGTACGATTATTTTCGAAATCTTCGATACATTGTTTAACATGTTCTGAGCGTTTTAGTTCACAAAATGGATGTAATGAATAACGTTTGCAAATATCACAAAGTTCGCCATGAATCAGTTGACAATTGTAATTTTCTTGCTCATTACATCTTCCATTCTGTTCATACTGAGGGCATATTGAAGTTGAAACTAGTTCATCATAAATTTCGTCATTAAGTTCATTGTTTTCTATACATTGGATTGATTGATTGATTTCATTAATCGTATGATTACTTAACTTTTGTGTCAGTTTGTCGAATAAACAATTGATTTCATGTTCTTTCCTTAAATTTTCATTAAACGGATGTAGAGCGTATTGTTGACATTCCACACAAAAATCTCCATGAACGTAATGACAATTTTGTTCGATTTGTTGTTCGCAAAATCCATTCTGAACATAAGTTTCGCACAGACATCCGTTTTTTAATGATTCATAATCGACTTCATCGACATTCGACATATCAAAGTTTTAGTTTTGTTTTTTATTAGATGCAAAGTTTTACATTTCTATCACTTTTAATTATTTGCGTTGTAAATCATCTCTCAACAATTTTTCAGATCATTTTAGAATTAGAATTATAAATTTTATTTTAAATTATCTGTTAATGTTGTATTTATGAGTGATTTTACATTTATTGTCAACAGAAAAAAAGAGATAAAGAAATAAATTTTGTTATCGCTATGAAACCATCTGTTTGAGTACTTATTTGAGGTGGTAAGAAAATCTATAAATCCACCCTAAACTGATATCACTCAAATACACAAATAGACAATTCGATTATCAACAATTGGTAAGCAATGGTAATAAATTTGATAACTGATATAAAGTTATGGTCGGATGATAAACAAGGTTCAAAAACATTATGATAATGAATCCATCTGCATATATGAATGTATAATCTTCGTTTATTTGTTTGACTAACAAAGTGTTGATACAGAGGAAAATTTACAATGGTGTTTCTGTGACCACAAACATATCGATGATGGAAAATGAGACTCATTCAATTACTAGATTTAAAAACAGATTCTGAAGGCACGCGACAGATTGGACAATCGTATGAACTACTTTTCGTGCGCCAAGTTTGTATACAAGTCCAGCAAAAAATATGACAGCAGTTTTTCAATCGACCAAAACTTCGCTCATTCTGTTGAAATTTGATTTCATCACCACAATCGGATGTTGATGTTGGACCAATCATTTCAAAACAAATCGAACAAGTTCGTTTCATTTCAAATTCTTCGATACATTGCTGGAGATGTTTTTCACGTTCGAGTTCATTAAATGGATGTAATGAATATTGTTTGCATATTTCACATAGATCACCATGAACCAAATTACAGTTTTGTCTCTCTTGCCCATTACAACGGCCATATCGTTCATAACGTGGACAAATCAAACCTGAAATCAATTTTTCATAGATTCCATCGGGATCAATGTTTTCAGGACAATTTTCGATATCAATCTTTTGATCGTGCATTTTTTTTGTCATACATTCGATTTCATGTTGTTGTCGTAGATCCACATTAAACGGATGTAAAGCGTAATGTTGGCATTCATTGCAAAAATCTCCGTGTGCGGAAAAACAAACCTGTTTGATTTGTTGCATACAGAATCCATCACGAAAATAAGTGTTGCACAGATTTCTCGAACTCAATGATTCATAATGTTTGACTGCATCGAAATCTGACAGCGTTGATGTTTTTTTGGCCATTATACAATAAAAATATTCAGAACATTTCCATCCACCCAAATCAAACGGTGGTTCTTGAATTCGTCCATCTATAATTTGTGGTATACGCCATTCATCCCTTCTGATCATATATTGTATATTGACGGCGCCAGGAAAAATAGAAAATAACTTTGAAACTAACCTGTCAATGAAATCAAGTTACATGAAAAAGAATATAATTTCGAAAATTCAAACTTGTACATACAAAGTTCCATCGGTTTCCAATGGTACAAATACTGGTAATTTGCCTAAACATTCACAGATAGCAATACGATGATCATGGCCACCAGCGATTTTTGATTTTTGATTCATTTTGATCGCTTATAATTAAAATGAAAATGAAAGATGAACTCAAATTTCATAACACAAGAATCTCAAATGACAACACAGCAGAACACGGAAGTCACTATTTCGACTTGAATGGACTATGAAATTTTTTTTCAATTATCATTTTATGGGCAATGATTTATAGATTCTCTGTGACTACAGAATTCTAATAATATGGAATGAATATAATGATATTTTGTTTGTAGATAATGAAAGCATTTCGTCTTTATATCGACCGTTAGGATTTTTGATACAAATTTTTGTGTTTCTGTTTGTTTGAATCCATTTGCTCGTGCGATCAAAATCCGAATACACGTACTTTTTGTATGGATCATGCCCGTTTGTTTTGATTATTTTAGACCTGGACACCGAAATTCTTTTCAGTTCTTTAAGATGAATTATTTCTTTTCATGAAATTATTTCCATATTAAGATTGAAAAAAATGGAAGAATCTCAAACTGATTTGCTTAAATTCATTATTCAATATAATGACGAATCAGTACCGCAAATTATGGATGGTTCATCACAATTATCCATTGGAAAATTCATTGAACAATTGAAACAATTGATTAATCTTCTGTTACATTTTCGATACATGTCGATATATATGAAAAAACGTTTAGATTCAACTATCGATAATAAGTCGATGAAACTATCTAATCATCTTGTGAAATCATTGATTAACGAAATTAGTGATGATATACAATTGTGTTCGGAACAATTCGTTCAGCTTATTGATTCTTCACCCCTTTTTGATTTTGTTCGAAAACGAGAACATTTTTATTTAGAAAATATGGATTCGTATTATTCATTCAAATGCGATGATCATCAAAGCGGCAATAAACTAACAATTTTCAATCAAGATCAAGATCAAAATATTCCGGTGGTCGATGTTCTGATTTCAAATGATATTGGTATTAATCAGGAATCCGATTCTTCTAATACTATGAATGATGATTCAGTATCAATAATAGGTGACGAATCGCAGCAACCAAATAATTTATTGTATGCGAGTTTTTTGGATGGTTTTTTGCCTACGGCTGATAATCAACATTCGCAACAACATCAAAAGTCATTTGATGCAATCAGCGATCCATATTCTGCTGAAACGCAACAGCAGTCGACCAAGGATCTTTCACAGACACAAGCAGCTAAACGTCCTATTGAAGATAGTGATAAACTTCAATCAAAACGTGCGCGATCATTAGCCATAGAACATGAAGATGATCAATCGACCGGATCGATTGTACCAACCACCGATTTGTTACTCGTAGAATTTCATTGTCAATTCGAAGGATGTCGATATAGATCAAAGTCATTATCCCAAGTTAAAGACCATGAACACCGTCGTCATGTTCAACAAGTTCAGCCATGTCAATATGAAGGATGTAAGGCTGTGTTCAATGGAAAAGAAGAACTTGATTCACATATGTCGAATGAACATTTGAATTTGAAACTTCAATGTGAAATTGATGGTTGTGAACAATTGTTTCCAAATGTTTCGCGATTGCGGCAACATATTAAAGAAGAACATCGAACGTCAACAATTTGTAGCAATCCAGTTGGTAAAACAGATAATTTTACCTGCCGTAATTGTGGCAAAGATTTCGCAAGACGCAAATATCTTCATAAACATATTAAACGGATGCATGATGAAGCAGCAAAAGCATCGAAGGAAAAATCCACATCAAAAAGTAAAAAGCCAAAATCTGTTGAAAAGGATCCTCCCAATTCATCAACCTCTATCATGAATGACGATAATGATGATGATACTATTGAAATTGGTGACAATAATTGTGCCGGTGAAAAGCAAGAAGTTTTAGCTAATTCTAAGAAAAAATCAACACCAATCTTTGAATGTTTAAACCAATCTTGTAATGAAACATTTAAAGAAAAGTAAGTATAAACATTCATAAGAAAATAAAATTGATCATATCTCATTGAAATTTATTACAGATCAAAATTAAATCAACATGTTCGAGAAAAACATAGGACCGAATATTTAACATGCAAATTTTGCGATAAAGTTTGTCCTACACGAAATAACCTCACCAATCACATATGGATTATGCATGAAGAAGGTGAATACCGATGCCCATTTGATGATTGTGATTTTATATCGAAATTTCGTAAAAATTTACTGAATCATAAAAAACTACGTCATCAACGGCATCGTAAATGTCCTATTTGTGGTGAATTGGTAATTGCTACACGTTTTCACCGCCATACAAGTAGCTTACATAAAATTAAAAATTATATTTGTTCTTGGCCTGATTGTGGTAAAGCATTTGCTGATAATTCAGCCTTAAAGAATCATGTACGAATACATTTGAATTTTAAACGTTTCAAATGTAAATGGCCTGAATGTGGTTATGCATCTGAACAACGTTTTACCGTTATTACACACATTCGTGTATGTCATTTCAAATTGCCTCGAACAAAAAAGAAACAAATGGAATTGAACATAGTACAGGATGAACAAACACAGAATCCATATGATTACCTTGAATCATGCCGTGAAGATATTTGCATCTAAAATTGAAATTGTTTTCATTTATTTAATTATTTTTTTCCGAATTATGCAAAAATAAAAAATTGATCTTTTTTTCTGTTGTAATTTGAATTTTAAATCTGAAAATTTCACATTCAATCTATAGATATATTGTTCAAAAGACCACCATGTGTGTGCACAATGTTCAATGTTTGCTTGTTCTTTTGTCTTCGATCCTATTGTTCCGGTTTTATTTTCTGATTGTCCTTCACATAGGTGTATGTATGTATTCGGTTCAATTGAAAAAAACACAATGGTATCAATATAATGATCGATCAGGCATAAAAATGATCCATTACCAAAATGTAAATAATCCACGACAAATTATCAGGCATGGTTATTTGTGGTCTATTAAACCATGGTAAATCGTATTTGTCATATTTCTTTTTTTTTTGTTTGATCCAAAATCGTATCGATGCTCGTTTTTTTTCCTATGCTATTTGAATTATGGCTTTATTCATTTTTTTCATTTATAAATAAAATGAACGTTTCTTTTCAATTGTTGTCGGTGGAAATTGAAAACCAGCTCAACCATGATTGAGAAGATTAAAGATTATTGAATATATTAGAACATGGACTTACCAATGATTTTTTTCTCATGTTTTTCTCATTCGATGATCAGATTGATCATTTCCAATTCGAACTTAATCCCAGACCTATGATTTCAACATCCATGGAAATTAAATTTTCTAATACGCGTAACGTGTTTTAAAATGAATAATTTATTTTATTCATAATTTTTTTTATATCAAAAAAAAAACACATTCAATCACAATAATAAGCAAACACAAAAAAAAATTTCAGTTTTATTCGAAACGGACATGCTCTAATCATTCGTTATGATATCAATAGATGACCCTCCTAGCCGTTGTTGCTGTTTACGCCATTTTGCTCGACGATTTTTGAACCAAACTTCGATTCGTTCTTCACGTAAATCAACACGAGCAGCCAATTGTTCACGTATAAGAACATCCGGATAATGTGTCTTAAGAAATGCTGCTTCCAACAATTCTAGCTGTTCTTCGGTAAATATTGTACGATGTCTACGTTTCCGCTTATAATAACCATTACGACAATGAAAATATGAATTTGGTAGTAGTGATTTTAATGATTCGGATGTATGTGTATGATGATTGATTTGTTGATGATCAATTGAATCAGACATAAATGATTTATCTTTCAATATGTTGTTTGAATACAATTCTTTTCTTCTATGTTCATCATCAGATGTACATGGTTGATTTTGGCTAAGTTTCGATGCAACTAAACCTCCACCATTGTGACCTTTAATAATATAAAAAAGATGAGGTAAGATTATATCATCTTAAGCAACAAAAAAATTAATAACCAAATCAAAAACATACTTAACACATCGAAAATAATTCGTTGATTTGTCGATTCAAAGGTATTACCAGTTGGAAAAGTCGATGTTGTTGGTATCCTCAACGAAGCATATGAGTTGTTATTTGATGACATGGCCATCCAATTTGCCATCAACCAAATCGGATATGATGATGATGATGATGATGATGATGATGATAATGTGGAGAAATGATTATTATGCTGCGTTTGTTTTTCATCATTTTGTAAAATATTATCAATCGTAAATGATTTCGAACGTTTCATTTCGACTTTCGGCTCTGCTGTTGTTGTTGTAGTTTTTGCGGAATTTGATTTCGAATCTGAAGTATTTGATGAAGTTGTCATGTTTAATGTTTTTAGTCAACTAATAAAAACACTTGAATCCTTTTTGATCGACTGCCAAATGGCTACTAAACTTTCGCAAACACAATAAACTAAATAATAATGATTGTTGGCCAATAATCGATCAATCAGTAGGTTCTTGTCAGTCATTGTACCCCACACAAATACACACCACAAACAACCATCTCCTCCTCTAAAAACCGCAATTCTCTTTTTTGTCATAATGACTCAATTATCCACAGATAACCAAACATAAAGACCCGATGAAAATGAGATATTTAAACAACAATGGAAAAAAAATATAGAAAATAGGCTAGATTTATATATACAACATTGACCTATTGAGATTAGAGGGTATTATTAGATTGGTTGTTGTTTTGATCGGGTCCCTTTTCTTTTATTTGTTTTTTTTTTTGTTAGAGACCACCAACCACCAACCATATGATCGGAACCACACCGAATGAACGTTTCAGGATCAACTTTGATAAATATATCATGAGAGATGAGAGATAATCTTTTTTTTTGTTTTGAATTCAATTTCATAGAATGTGGTCGATATTTTTTCTAAATAATGCATTAAAAAAATGAATTCAAATTTGACAGACAATTTTTTTTTGATATTGATATGACCAGATTGTTGTTGTTGTCGTCGTCGATATCTTGTTAATCTTGTCATTGTAATATTTTTTTCCTTCAAAAAAAAGAAAAGAAATGAATTGATTGTATCATGAGACCACAGCCACCATCATCAACGAATCGTGTTTGGGATTGAAATGAAAATCATGCAAATTAGACACATACCTCTTCTCTATTAAGGGCTTGTTGTTTGGTGGATTAAGACTTAATAATAACATAATTAAGTTTTAAATCAGTTTGTATGTATGTGTGTGTGTGTGTGTGGGTATCTGCTTCATATGATCGAAAAAGTAATGGTGCAGGTGATCTACAAAGCTATGTTTGCGGCTATCATCAATTGATCATATTTAAGCGATCCATAAGGTAATTTGGTTATGTGTATAGACAACAACAACAACAACAACAACAAAAAAAAAACCGCGTGAATAGTCATCAAGACCACACACACACGCACACCGGCCGAAGACACATATATGTAAGAAAATGATTGAAATCTTTTCAGACTAGACATTAAAATGGTCAGAAAAAAAATTATGTCTACAAAAATATGAAAAATTGCTTGGAAACAAAATAAAAAATGAATCGATTATAATTATTAATGATAAATAATAATCGATTAGTTTCATGACTTTTTGGAAAAACAAACAAAAAATAGGTAGTTATTATTATTACTAATCATCATTTGAATTTTTAAGCCATAATTATTTTATTCGTGTATAAACAAACAGATAAATTTATTTTTTTTAAGAACACAAGAATCATTGCAACAAATATTACTTATATACTTTAAAATCATTTTTAACCAATTTGATAAAATTTTTGAATCCATCGTGAAGTTGTTATTTCGTTTCGAAGATGATGATAAATCAAAATAGACAAAATAATCGTCGTTTCCTTTTTTTCTTTTGCTGTTGCTGTTTTCGTGATTTAATCAATGAAATTTGTGTCGTTGATGAATTTATAATGGTAGATTGTTGTTTGATTATTGGATGAAAATGATTAGAATGATAATGATGATGATGGCTGGATTTTGATTTAACCAATGATGCAAGTGCTGAAAATCGATGTCGTCGATGGTTTTGTTTGGCACCATTATGTTGTTCAACATTATCAATGTTAATTCCATTATGTGTATGATCCAATGGACATCTATGAATCTAAAATGAGTATCTCTGTTATTAACAAACTAATGTATTTGACATACCGAATAAATTTTTTACTTTCTATCGTCAATGCGATCGGATCGGTTTGTACCGATCGATCTTCGATTAGTGGAGAATGAGTTATCAAAGCCATAGGCTGTGGTTTCGAATAATCGGTTGATTCGCTTTGTTTATCCATTTCATCGTCATCATTATCACTATCAATCAGTTGTTGTCGTTGTTCAAGCTCAGCTCGAAGTTTTTCGTTTTCACTTTCTAAACGAACGATTTCTGATTTCATCTGGTCCATTTGTTGACCCAAATCATCAATTATAACATCAGCCATTGTTTCAACTTTTGAAGATGATGAACGTTGTTGTTTGGAATCAAATGATGATCGAGGTAATTGATTGAGATTCAAAATTGAATATGAACACCGGTTATAGACACTCAATTTATCGTTGGCGCAATTATTTATCTGTGAATTGCTGGACAATGGATTATTAGATCGAAATTGAACAGCATTATTCTGTCGTAATGGCTGTGGTGGTGTACCCATCACTTCTATGTATGACGGACAATGACTAGTCAATGTTGTTGATGATTGATTGAGGTTTCTATTCAGATCATGGTTACGATGATTATATTGTTCATCTAAAAGACGTCGTAATTCTTGATTTTCATCACTTAGATCAGTGATTGAAATCTTGAATTTGTAAAAAGAAATAATTAAACTAAAGAAAAACTAATGTTTTTTGAACTTACCAAATATTCACTAATCTTGGTCTGCATTGATTCAATATCACACAATAATTTGGTGGTCATTTCACGATTTTCACCATTTAACATGATCTGCTCTCGAAGAACAGTATTTTGTTCGCCAAGCTCATCAACAATCGTTTGCAAACGTTGTAATTCTGATTCTTTTCCAACTAAATTTCGACAAAGAATTTTATTCTGTATTACAAGTTCTCTACATTCACCATTGGAATGTTCCAAATCTTGCCGTAAACGTTCATATTCATTCAAATCAATCGAATTATTTAATGTTTTTTTCAAATCCCATAATTGTTCAGCTTGTTGTTGTAATAGTTGATTCAGTGTAGATTTTTCGGTCATAACCGATTCAAAACGAAATTCAAGATCATTATATTCACAACGAAGTTTTTCATATTGCTTTTTTATTCGAACATTTTCATCAGATAATTCAATCCAATCGTTTAGCACTGTTTCATCATCAAGATGATGACTAGAATCGATGTGAAATAAAGATTTATTATTATTCGAAACAATTCCATTGTTTGCTGATGTCGATGATGTTGATGATGATGATGATGATGATAATACTATTTCGTTTGAATGTTTCGGTGAATTTAGGCTATTATTATTGATTTCTTGTTGATCTTCAATCATTTTGTCATTTGATTTTTTTTTCTTTTTTGTTGACCAATTTTAATTCAAATTGCAAACCAACAAAAAAAAATAATAACCGGTTACAATTCACTTGACATGTATAAATTTGGCACTTTGAATCAATGAATGTTAACCGGAAAAGAATTTAGAAATGGTGATGATGATGACGATGATGATGATCACAAATGATTTTTGAATTTTTCGATGGATATGTTTAGTGGATAAATTTTTTTGCAGCTAAATATTTTTTTTTTGTGAAAAGTCTGATGAATTACGTTTCGTAGTCTTTTCTTTTTCGTTCAGTTAATTTCCTTCACCAAAAAACATATCCGATGAGATTTAGCCGAATAGAAACGTGGGTGTGAGGGAAAAATGAAATGAGGAAAAATGAATTAAGAAAAAAATAAACGGTAATTTTAGCAAAATGACGATGATCAATCAATGACGAAAATGAAACTTGTAATTGTTTTTGTTGTTTTGTTTTTTGCTTTTTATATGTTTGTGTCATCAATAATTATTATTTGGTGACAATGTTCATCATCATCATCATCATGTCTTGTCATACTAATGTCGTATAAGCAAAGCATATTATTTTTTTTAAATACTGTATATATTGAATCTTTTAAATCACTCACATTCAATCTCAATTTTTTCTACAAATAAAATATAACATAATAATTTAAAAAACACAAAAAAAAATCAAGCCATCAAAAGCTATTCAAATGAAAATAAATGGCAGCAAGAAAAGCAATAACGACAGATTCATAAATATTATTATCATTTGAAAGTTATTTTGATGATTCTTATTTTTTTTTGCTTTATGTTTATTTGTTTCTTCCTCTCAATCTTTCGATTTTTTTTTCTTGTTTTTGACGAATCAAAATGATGAAAGAAATTGTTGTTCATAAGCTTGTATAGAAAAAAAAATCTAAATTCCTTACCAGAATAAATTGAAAAAGAAAATGAAAGGAATAACATGATAAGTCGCACAAAATCGTATGAATCGATTAATCTTGAACATACAATTGTCATACATCATTGTCATCGATCCAAGCAATGACAATGTTGATGATTGCTGTTGAATTGATTTGTTTGTTGTAGATTTTTTGAATTAACCGAACCAAAAAAAAGAAGAATTCTATAACCAATGGATTATATTATTATAAACATCTTAATAACAGGATGAAATCAACAACAACAACAGCAACAAAACGTCAAACAACCATTATCTTTGATAGTGACGAATGAACTAAACAGTGGCAAGAGAAAAAAACTTGGCGAACGATGAAACATCCGAAATATCGAAATGAAAGCAAAGCTATCAATGAAAAAGAAACTGAGAGAAAAAAAATGAAAATGAATTGATGCCATCAACATTTGTTGGTCGAATAACCGTAAAAAAAGAGACGATTTTGGCAAAAAAGAAAAAAAAATATTGGCTCGAGGTTGTCATATTCATATAACTGTGAGATGGATCATTGGACATTCAATGGAAAATTCAATTTGACAGTTCATCTTGAAATTTAACGTTGTTAAAATTGAAAATTTTCAAAAATAATTCATTATGAAGTTCCCCCTTTCTTTCTTCACGATGTTCAATTCTGTAAATGATAAATTTTTCGACTGTTACAAAGTGTGGTGGTTGTGTTTTTTTTTCTTCTCTATTTTTGAATTCGTTCGTTGGCTTGACGCGACAAGGAACTGACATATTGGATGACGAATTGTCGAAAAATTCGTCTTTTTAGCTTTTCTCTTATTGCAAATTTTTAGTTCAAATCATAAACTGAATCTACTGATTCACTGGTGGTTAACAATGATAATTTGAAATTTTAAAAATTTCAATGAATGAAATTTACTCATTTTATGTTTAATTCTATATTCTTCACTTTAGATTATACCGTAACATGACAAACAAACAAACAGAAATGATGCAACATTGTGATGATTGTTGATATTTGTTCATTTTTTTTGATGACAAAAGCAATTTTTTGCCAATTCTTTTATCAATTGTAAGAAACATATATGTATAGTCATCATATTATACTTACCTCGCTCAAATCTCGGTTATAAGATTTTTGTTTTTTCTTTTGAAATAAGGAAGGAAGAAAAAAAAATGAGAACAACCAAAATTAAACAAAACACATTTTTAACCTGGAAAAAAAATTTTAACCAAAAAATTTGTTGTTCATATAGAAAAATCAGGAGGATAAAGCATATAAAATTGGAAGTGTGTGTAATACGTTTGTTTATACAACAACAACAAAAAGTTTTAAGTCAATCCTAAATTGATGATCAGTTTCAAGAAGATGTGAAAAGGGCCAAAAATGTCGACATACAAATCGCGGCTATACATAAAGCTACAGTGAATGAATTTTGACAATCAAATATTTACTAACTAACACTTTGTTGATGGAATTTGACAGCGGACAGGAAAAAAACAAGTGAAAAAAATATGTATAAAGAAAAATAATGTCATCATCAATTTGCTAATATGAACAACAAGAAGTTAACAAACACAACCAAACCCATTGATGAACAACAGCAACAAAAAAACAGATGAACCATTTGATGACAGCCAAAAGAAAAAAATTTGAACTAGAAAAATAAAAATCACACTTTTTAACAGTTAAATTTTGATGATGGCATACTTTTTTTTAAAAGAACAAATTGGTAGTAATGAAGCAGAATTCTTAACAACAACAACAACAAAAAAAGTAACTTAAGAAAATTTCTATTCAAAATACCAATCGGAGCACCTAATGGTAATGTTTTTTTTGGTTTTCACGTTGATTTTTTTTTTATAAATTAAAATTTAATCATATTATCAAGGCGTAATATCCGATGGCTATTTGGTTTGTTCGTCTCCTAAAAAAATCTAAAACTATTTCAATAGAGATAAATTGATTGAAATAAAAAGATTCAATTTGATTTTCAAAAAAAATCGATGAATAAAATACTTTGGAATAAGAGTACTCTAAATGCTAATTTCATTCACTTATCATCCTTTAATTTTCAATTTGTAAGTGGATTGTCACACAAGATATCTTTCATTTTCAAAAAAAAAAAATCTTTTAATCATCATCTAATTATTCAAATATTAATTCAGGGAAAAAAATAGCGTTCTAAACAGTAGCCATTGATTTTACTACTGTGAATGATATATATCGAATCATCATTGGATTTTCCTGACAAAAAAAATCAGCCACCAAAAAAAAAGAAGAAGAAAGATTAGTGAAAAAAAGTATGAAATAGGAAAAACAACAGCCAACAATATTATAGATGATCATTCATAAAGATTTGGTTGAATCATTTGTCATTCATGTATATATTTAAGGCTTAGAAAAACCAACTGCTGCTATGGATATAAAACAAAAAATGATCCTTTTGATGTGACTAAATTTAGACTACATTGAAAAAAATGAACCAAATGTTGACTGTTTGGATGTTCAAATTCGAATGATGATGATGATGACAAACGCGTTGATTTTACATTGTTGATTGCATCATGATAAATGAATGAATGAAAAATAAAATATTTTTCAATTTTTTTAGGATTTTAAGAAATTAAAAAAATTCATTTTATCAAAACTGACCCGATACGATTGAAAAGATAGATAGATAGAAAGAAAGATAAAAATATTATCATCGTATTACGGTTATACGTATGAATAATATATGGCTCACTTTCAATGATCATAAATCATCATATATGGCATCATATGATGGTGGTCACCTGGCCAAATCAAATCATATAATCATTTATAACTCTTTTTCTTTTTTGCTAAATTAATTTTTCTCTTATTGTATCCACTTTCTATGATGTAAAATATCATCGAGGTTTGTTTTTGTTTCTTTTCTGTTGTGGTGACAAAACGAAAGATATGAAAAAGATATCATTTTGATAATAATCAACAAATATCATCAAAATATTCAAATATGATGGAAAAGATCAAGCAAAAAAAACAGAAAAGATGTTTATCAACGTCTTTAAATTCATTTTCAAAAAAAAAAAAAAAAAAAATTCAATTTTAAAATTTATTAGCCACAAACAAAAATTGAGAAGAAAAAAAATGATCACATAACTCTAATCAATTCTGATCACGAACAAAAAAATGAGATGAAATAAATTATTTTGAAAAAAACTACTACCTTACTTTTACAATTTAGAAAAAAAAGTCTAATCTTAAATGGGCCCTTATCGATGATATGACCGATCTGAACAAACAAACAAACAAGATATATAATAAAAAATCATCAAATGGTATTATCATCATTCACATTTGAAGTATTAAATTTTTGTTTGTTTGTTTGTACCTTATTTTTATTTATGATAATTGATGCTAAATGTAAATATTAATTCAATCAAAATGATGCGTTTGTTTTTTTCTGGCCGTTTGCAAATGCAAATGTTCCCTTTTATCAGAGAATGAAATTTAAATTTTATTTTTTTTAAAACATTCGATAAAGATGCTTAAGATGATCATCATCAATATACTGTTGTATGTTGAATAATAGAAAAGAGATGAAAAGTAAAAGTTTTCAAAAATTGCTTCTGGAATTATCAAATTTCAACCAAATTTTATTGATGATCCGATTTTTGAATATTGATTTTAAAAAAAACAAAATTATGATAATCAGATACAATTTCATTGTTGTTTTTGTGAATGATATGAATATTTTTGTTTTTCAATTCAAAATTTATTTACTTACTTACTTGGTTCCGGTTAAAATATTTGCTATTTTTATTTATATTGTTGATCACGATTTATTAAATGATGATGATTTTTTTTATTTGAAATTTTGTTTCAAAATTTTTCAAATTAAAGTAAAAAAATAAATCGATGAAACCTTCATTTGTAATAGTGATGATTGTCAATTAATCAGAAAATGTTTTTATTTTATTTTTTTTTTGTTTCGAACAAATTTGATTTGACAACGACAACGACAATGATAAAAAGTAATGAAAACCGGAGATGACAAATGAATGAAATGTCATTGACTGTCAATTATGGTTCATTGCCAACACAATATACGAACAAGAGACACATCAGAAAACAAAAAAAAATCTTTATTATTGTCGTTCGTTCGTTGTACGAATGAATGTATTTTCAATTGAACACAACAAGGATCGAAAAGAAATATTATTTGTTTATTCGTTTTGTTCGTTGATTTTTTTCCATGTCTATATTTATAAGACTTGAAAAGATTCAAAATTGATGATGATGTTGGAAAAATTCACTAAATTAATGATGATTCAAATCTTTGTTTGCTTGTTTCTGCTTTGTTTGACAACAGCAAAAAAAAATTGTCATTCAAATCAATTTATTAAACGAATGAATTCAATTAATATTATTGATTATCGTTTGAAGATGGATCAATCATTTTTTTTTGATTTGCACCTGATTTGAAGAAGAAAAAATTTGCACCAGGAAAAATTGCCGATGGGTGATGATTCAAAATAGATGATGATGATGATGAAAATGATATTTTCAGCAAGTAACAAAGTATATTTGAGAAAAAATAAAACATTTTTTTTTTGAATATAAATGATTGGAAAAATATTGTCGATAATAACTTTGGTTGTCAAAGTAAAAAAAACAAATTTCAATTTCGAATCAATCTATTTTATTTGAAATTGATTGAAATTCGTTCCAAGTATGAATGCAAAATGCAAAACCGAATGATGAAATAAAACAAGTGTTACAGGTGGTCTAAACACACACACACGAATGATTGAATAAAGAAATGATGATGATGATGAGAGTAATTTTATTTTTGTTTATTATTTTATTTTATTTTTGTTTCCTGAAATGGACTCATCATTCAAATTGAATGAAAGATAATTGCAATGCAGGAACAATATTTTTATTTTAAACATCATACAAAACAAATGAATCGATAACGATGAACAACTGAACAGGTAATAATAAGACCAAGTCAATATTATCAACAACATTAAACAATCATAATCATTATTATCAATAACGAAAACAAGTTTGATTCTTAATGGCATTTGTCAATCATAATCTTATTGTATTATTAGACAACAACAAAAAAAAAATTCATTTACAAACATAGTCAATAAATTTTTTTTTAATAATAAGTAAATAATCACCATTTTTTTCCTCATGACAACATGTTTATCACATATCATTATTGTTTGTATTGAAAATTCAATGTCATATCGATGTCGTAAGGAGGATTGTATTATTTGAATCTTTTTTCTTCTCTTTTTCCCTCTCTCTCCCAATGTGATTTACAGTTAAGAAATTACAACGGAACAACAAAAAAGAAGAAAATTTAGACAACATGACCATAATATGACAAACAATTTTTTTTCTCTATTTCATATTGCCGGGTGTTGTACAAATAAGTGTCATGTATCCATCATACAACAAATAAATTTATCAATTTTCATTCATCATCGGTATTATCAACAAAAAAGAAAAGAAAAACATGTTTACTCCTTGTTTGGCCTAAATTTAATGCTTAACCTTGTAAATTTTTGCCATCATTTTTTTGATGATTATATGTATTTAATACCGTTATTAATGAATAGAATTCAAAAATATTAGTTAATTTGTCAGATTTGTTCATTTGAATTCATTCATTTATTTTAAAAGATCAATTACATTATCATCACATTGAATACCAATCAACAATTTGACTTTGATTTGATTTATAACATTAGTTTACTTTTTTTTGTAAACCAATACACAATTATTGTGTATTTGTTTGTACTTTTTTACATATTTAATAACAATTTGATTGTATCGAAGGATGTTTGATATAAATATTGGTATGAAATTTTACTGTAACAATGTTTTTTTTCTGGTTTATGTTTGTTCATTTTCATTATTCTTGTTATTTGAATTTTTTCCATTGACAACATTTGTTATCGATTTATAATTGAATGACACAAACACACCAAATAATAATATGGGCTTGGTCAGTTTAGAATCGGTTAATAAATAAAGAAACATTTATCTAACAACAATATTCAATTGTTTATTTACCCGGTTTATTTCAAACAAACAAAAAAAATTTATTTATAAATATTTTACTTTGATTGTTTTGGTTTGTTATGTGGTTCTTTTGTTTGTTCAACAAAAAAAAACCAAAAATATTCAATGATAATTTATCATTTTCAATGATTAATTATTCTCTGACATTTTTTTCACAAAAGGAAATGGAAACTGAAACATTGTTTGTTTTATTTTCGTTTCATTATTGTTTGTATTCGTGTATAGGCCTTTTTTGAAATACGAGCAAATAAGAAAAAAAGACAATCAATCGATCAATTGATCTTTATTATTATCTTAATTTTAAAAGTTTCTGGGATAAGCTAATATTTTTTTTTCTCAATGAATATTCAAATTGTTTTTTTCCCCTTTATTTCAAGCCGTGTTTGATGATGATGATGATGATTATCATCATTATTATAAAACAACCATGATCCTATTTGAATGTAATGATAAAAGAATCCTTGAGTCTATATTTTCCATTTTATACTTGATAACACCTCTGCATCATTCATATATCGAGATAATTTTTATTGGTTTAAATAAACAATTATTTCAAGTTTTTTTGCTGGAGTTTTTTTTTGGTTTTTTTCCAATATTTTTTTTACGTGACAAAGTTGGCCAAACATATCGGATTTTGTTGTTGTCGTTGTTGATTCATTTTATTTGTTGATCCACAATGAACAAACGATATTGTTGTTGTGTCTGTCTCTACACTCTCAAATCTATCTTAACAACAATAATCAAAAAAACAAAAATTTATCAATCAAAATTGATTAAATCAAGTTTATTAACTTGAACAAAAAAATATTACGAAAACTTGCTGTTGTCGTTATGTCATGATTGATAATGTCAACTTTTTGTTGTTGTTGTTGTTGTTGGGTATCCAAAAATATATCTAAAGATATTTGTTTGATGATTTTGTTAACATAATAATAATAATAATAAAAATTTCTCATTCATTTAGTGAATGGAACAGATAAAAACCATTATAACGATTGTATGAAAATTATTATTGTCTGTTTTTTTTCATCATTTCATTCGATGATGATGTTAATGATGATGATAATAATGATGATATTGGCCAAGGTCAATTTAATAACATAATACAATCAATTGTCGATAATTAAATCAAAGAAATGTATTCTGTACAACTATGATTGTACCTAAAAGTGCAACATACAATATATTTTTTAAAAAAAGTACTTGTTCCTTTCCATTAGAATAATCATCATAATTGATAGATTACACGCAAATGTTGTATATCTTCAACAACAACAAGAAATGGTATGAGAGCATTTTGTGGAAAACACTCGAAACTATTGGAAACAGATTTTTTTTTGGCTATAAAAGCTCTGCGTTGATTAGAATAAGTTGTCACTTTTAAAGACAACTCATCAATCAATCATCGAAGAATTTTACGAAAAAAAAAATCCAACAAAAATGTCGAAACCAATTTTTTACTATCATCCATTCAGCGGTCCATGCCGAACTGTTTCAACAGTTGCTAAAATTCTCAATGTTGATATGGAAATGAAAAAATTGGATCTTCTCACCAAAGAACATCTTAATCCAGAATTTCTTAAAGTTAATCCTTTTCATAAGGTTCCAACATTTGTCGACTCCGATGGTTTTGTCGTTGATGAATCACGTGTAATTGCCATGTATCTTGTTGAAAGTCGAAAACCTGATTCTTTCCTTTATCCGAAAAATGATCTTAAAAAACGTATCCAAATTGATCGTTGGCTTCATTATGATATTAACTTATCAACGACTATTTCTGCTCCAATGGTAAGCAATTTTTTTTTCAAACAGTGACCATTAATCGAATATATTTTTTCACGTTAACAGTTTTGTGTATTCCGAGGTCATCAAGTTCAGGATTATCAAGTGGAACAAGGAAAAGAAACCCTTAAAACATTGGATGGTGTAATGCAAAGTTTTGAAGGAAAATTCTTGACTGGTGCTGATCAATTTACATTAGCCGATATTGCTATGTATTTTAGCCTCAATACAATGGAAGTTTATCCCAAATATTTCAAATTTGATGATTATCCCAACTTAAAATCCTGGTATCATCGAGTTGCAGAAGCATTAAAACAATACGATACAGAAGGAACAATTCCTAAAGCAATCGAAACGATGAAACAATTTATTCAACAACGAGCTGCCGAAGCAGAAAAGCATTAAAAAACTGTTGTTGAAATAGAATGAATAAAAGAATACAGTTGAATAAATAAAAGACCTTGATGCAATTTATTCGATTGCTGTGTAATGTCATAATAATTATAATGATTGGAACGTTTTCATATATGGTTATCATGTTTCCATGATAACTGTTGATGATGTTGGTTTCGAATCACAAATTTTTTCATATATGAGGCGTGTTCGAATCAACTTTCGGGTTGTGTGCACACCATTCTCCAACACATTCAAGTGTTCATTTGAATCGTGACGTCACTTTTTTCTCCATATTTATTTTTTCTGTGCTATTTTTGTCAAAATGAATGTTTATTTCTCGAATTGCTTTGATCCAGGTTTGAACAAATTTCATAATTAACAAGATTTTATTCATATTATTCACATCAGTAATTGTTGGTCAAAAGCAAAATGGCAAAACCAGTGTTATACTATATGCCAGTTAGTTCACCATGTCGTACAGTTATTGCCATTGCTCGAATGCTCGATATAGATATGGAAATGAAAGTGATGAATTTGTTCGAGAAAGAACATTTATCACCAGAATTTGTTCAAATCAATCCATTCCATAGGATTCCAACATTTGTCGATGTTGATGGTTTTGTTATGGATGAATCACGAGCTATCTGTATGTATTTGATACAAAGCCGCCAACCGGATTCCTCGTTATATCCACGCGATGATCTTAAAATTCGCTCACAAATTGATCGTTGGATTCAATTTGATATTGGCTTTTATCCAACCATTTCAATGCCAGTTGTAAGTTGATTCAATAATCAATGCTATAAAAACAATCTATTTATTCTGTTCTGAAACAGTATTCGGCACTGTTTGATCGACCGCTAGATCAATCACAATTGGATCGAGCGAAAGAAACACTGAAAATTTTGAATGATGTAATGGCTGGATTTTATGGCCGATTTATTACCGGTTCCGAACAGATTACTTTGGCTGATGTAACCATGTATTTTACTTTTAACATGATGGAAATCGCATCTGATTATTATGATTTTGATGATTATCCTCATCTTAAAACATGGTATCAAAGAGTAATGGAATCATTAAAACCATATGATTCGGATGGTATGTTTGTCGAAGCAATCGAAACTATGAAACAATATGTACGACAAAAGAAAGCAACTGGTACCAGCAATTGATTGATATGTTAAGACAAAATTTCAAGCAAGTTTTAGCAATTTAATCGTCACAAAAAAGAATGAAATTCATTTTTAAAAGACAAAATTGAAACTTGCTTTTTTCCCATTTATCCAAAATAAAAAATCTCTTAAAATTTGGATTTCATACTAATATTATCTTTGCCTTTAAAAGCATAATCATTCTGTACGGAAAGCTTTTGCGGTTCGTTAATTGGACCTTTAGTAGAATATGCTCCATATTGTCGTTGTGGATATGTTCCATCCGATAGTTGTTTGTGAGTAGGATATGTTGTTGATACAGGAGATGCTGATCCAGGAGATGTTGATGCAGATGCTGATGCACTGAATGCAGAGGAAGATGTTGGAGAAGGATTTGGCGGATTTGCACTAGTTCCAGCAGTACCATTCGTTGGTGGTTTGTGTCCATAGAATCGATTTCGTCCAAATACACATCTTTCGATTCGTTCCATATAATGATATTGCGCACGACGGTATCCCCAAGCATAGCCCCATCCCCAATCATCTAATGGTCCTTGTTTCCAATCTTCTTTTGTAAATCGAGTACCATTTCTAAATCTGTTCTTTTTGAGACGGACACCAACCACTCTAGTGCGAGGAGCATTTGGTTGTTGTGATACATTTGGATTAGCTGCAGAATTAGGATTAGCTGCAGAATTAGGATTCATTGATTGGCTCATTTTTTCAATCTATAATCAATCAAATTCTATTTAGTATTCACAAATTTCACCAAAAATACAAAATCAAAATCAATAATAGCCATTCGTTTCTTAATGTTCTCTCTAAATAAATTTTAACGTCCATTGTTCCATGTTAGAATTTTATGCTAATTTTATCTAATTGATGAATGCATTGTTAAGTTTTTTTTAATGATTCAAAAATTTGCAATGTGCTGCCATCTTGTTCAGTGCTTATACTGTTTATAATGAGATTTATCAAACATAATTCAGCTCACTAAAGTGATAATTTATCAGTCGGCTAATAGAAATTCACAAAAATGGATAGCGAACTTATCCGTAATGGGCGTCTGACATTTTTGATCGATTCGACATGGCGTGAAGATGTTTCTAATCTACCACAAGAAGATATATTTGTTCCAAACATTCATCTACCTGATCCTGAACCTGATAATGGTACTTCGAATGAAACATTAAAAGAATTAGATCTTAAATGGACCGATTTGGCTCTCACTTCGATCGCTACTGATGCAACATTAAACTGATATATTTAATCAATGAATAATTTTGTTTATTAAATATTATTTCTTTGAATTTTTTGCCATTTATCGACACGATGTTGACTAATTTGTGCTTTGATATTAGCATTGACCGTAGCGATTGGTTCACATAAACGTAATGACCGTTCTAATTCTATTAACATGTAGGCATCTGGTTTGTATGAAACTAATGTAGAAACATGACCGACAAATGATGACCCGAGACGTCCTGTTCTGCCAGATCTATGAATATAATCGGCAACATAATGGGGACAATCAAAATTGATGACATGTTTCACTCGACATGTATCTAGGCCTCGTGATCCAAGATCGGTAGCAACAAGTATATCATATTCGCCTTGTTGAAACAATTGAAAAGCCTGACAACGTTCTTCTTCTTCCATCGTACTCGTTAATCGAACACAAGGAAATTCATTTTCGTTAAGAAATGAAAATAGCCAATCAGCAGCTCTGGCTCGATTGACAAACACAATGACGGGTGATTTTCGCGCTCGACTTTCGAATAATAATTCGAACAATTTGATTTCTTTCTTATATCGATTAACTCTGTAAAAGCAATGTTTGATGTTTGGATGTAATGTATGAAGATTTTTGGTCGATATTTGATCAATATCAGCTTGCATGTCGACCAATGTTCCAATAGTTGAATCTAATGTCATAGGCATCGTTGCGCTAGCACATATTAATTGTGTACCATTAAGGACATGCGATTCATTAGATTCATTGTTACATTCCTCTTTGTCATCATCACAGTTCTGACCATGATTGATCTGAAAATATTAAGGATTAAATTCTGAAATATCTATCATTTCAATTATTACATTTAACTTTTCCAGTAAATCCATCGTTTCATACGTAAAAGAATCATCCAATAACGTATCAGCCTCATCAATAACGATATGGTTCAAATTTCGAAGTGAATAAACACCATTATTCAAATGTGATTCAATTATGCCAATAGTTGTTACGACTAAATCGATACCTGTTTGATGCAGATGTTTTGGTAATCCGCCAATCATCGTTGCCACACCAACATCGGTATTTGCACATAATTGTTTGGCAACAACTCCAACTTGTTCAGTTAATTCTCTTGATGGTAATACAATCAATCCCAAAGGACATTTACGACTACGATTCGAATTAACAACTTTAGTTTGTTGAATAAGTTGAATTAATGGAGTAAGATAGGTCATAGTTTTTCCGCTGCCAGTTTCAGCAGAAAACACAACATTTCTGTAACGAAGTATTAATGGTATGACTGCTGATTGTATCAATGAAGGACTAATAGAACGACCGCCATTTATAAGGTCATAAATGGATTGAGTGATATTTTGTCCTAGTCCTAAAGATTCGAATGATTTTGGATCGTTACCAGTCATCACTGAAGGATTCGTATCAAAATTATGAATAGTCATACATTGTCCTTTTGTTAAATAATATCAAAATTTAGATCAATCGATAGATTTGATAAATTTTTCTTACCATTTGAAGTTTCTTTGAGAAAAAATTTCGATATCAACGGAACATTATTGGGATCATATCGGCGACCATAATAATGAAAAAACTTTTTATCTCCTGTCCAGCTAATAATTTTTTTATTAAAATGTTCAGGATTCAATGGATTAGCTGCTTTTTGACGTCGTTTTTTATTCGTTTCTTTTACTTTACGATGTTCATGATAAATTGTATTGCCCAAATTATTTTCCATATATTTTGGAATTCTAATGATCGGAATATCTTCATGATTTGAGCAAAAAAATTGTAGCTGTTGACCAAATGCTAAACCTTTTTTTCGGTCAATAACTGAGCGTTCTAAACACCAAAATCGATTAAACATAATTGAATTACGAATATAATTAATATCTGTAATTTTACGAATTCGTAAAATTTTTAAATCACATGTATGGAGCAATTCATAGATGTAATGATTGAAATTTCACCTGATGACAAAATTGTAACAAACAAAAATAATTTTTTAAAGTATAAATTCTTCTGATGGATCATTATCGAAATGATGGTGATCGTTATAAATCAAGATCAAAAAGAGATCGGCCATCATCGTCATCGTCACCAGATGATCGTAAAAAATTAAGTCTACGGGAATTGAAAGAAAAAGCTCGTCGTGAAAGACATCACGACCGTGATCGAAATCCAGGTAGAAATCGTAACCAAAGTAACAATCAGCAATCCGTTCTTCCAAAACTCGATGAAAAAAGTCGAAATCCAAGTCGAAGCCGAAGTCCTCATCATCAACGATATCGACGATCATTCGAATCGAATACCAGAAAGGAACGTGAACATAACAATTTATCTCGACTAAATCGCCATCGTCATCATGATGATGACAACGAAAGCAAATTCAGCAGACAAAAAAACAACGGCCAAACCGAAGAAAGTGAAAAACCTGAAGAAAAAATCCCTGAAATTCGACCAAATTTTGAATTGACAGGTGCATTAGCTCGCGACACAAATACTTTTAACGGTATTGTCATCAAATATAATCAACCGCCAGAAGCTAAAAAACCAACAAAACATTGGCGTCTTTATCCATTTAAAGGTTCTGAAGCATTGGATCATATTAATATACATAATCAAAGTGCCTATCTATTTGGCCGCGAACGACGTATAGCCGACATTCCAATTGACCATCCATCTTGTTCGAAACAACATGCTGTTATACAATTTCGTTCTATACCTATCGAACGATCGGATGGTACCACGGGAAAAGTAACTCGACCCTATATAATCGATCTTGATTCAGCCAATGGAACATTTGTTAATTATAAAAAGCTTGAACCAAGTCGTTATGTGGAATTATTCGAAAAAGATGTGATTAAATTCGGATTTAGTAGTCGAGAATATGTCCTATTACATTCACAATCACAAGCAGATGATGATCATGATGATGATCATGATGACAATAATTGATTTAAAAATATAATTCGATCTTTAATCAATGTAATTTATTTCAAAAATTCATCCAAATAAATATTCATTATCCATTTTTAAATTAATTGATATTGTTTTAGTTTCCATATATTCTTTCATTGCTTCTTCGCCAAATTCTCGGCCAAATCCCGACATACGAAAACCACCGAACGGTGTTTGCGGTCGAACAACGAAAAAACAATTAACCCAACAAGTACCGGCACGTACTTCACGAGCAAATCGTAAGGCACGATTAATATTCGGAGTTAACACTCCTGCACCTAAACCAAATTTATTTTGATTAGCTCGTTCGATGATTTCATCCAATGTCTTAAATTTCATAATACATTGAACAGGACCAAATATCTCTTCACAACCAATTTGCATTTGTTCATTCACATCGGCAAATACGGTCGGTTGAATAAAATAACGTACACTGGAATTATGACCAGTGGGCAATGATTTTACAGTGCCCGGTTTACCACCTATCATTAATCGTGCTCCCTGATCGATACCACTTTGAAACATTCTGATTATTTTATCAATTGATTGTTGATCAACTTGTGGTCCATGTTCAGTATTTATGTCCAATGGATTACCTACTATTCGATCACGGGCAAATCGAACACATGCCTCGACAAATTGATCATAGATTTTTTCTTGAACATAGGTTCGACTGCCACAACAGCAAACTTGTCCATTCGATACGAATATAGCATTCGTTGCCAATCGTGCAGCTTTTTCAATATCAGGTACATCATCGAATACAACTAAAGGATTTTTTCCTCCTAATTCAAGTGTTACACGTTTCAGATTAGTACGAGCTGAAGCAGCCATTATCGATTGACCAACTTCTGTCGACCCAGTAAATGTTATCTTATCAATGTCCATATGTTCGGCAAGAGGAGAGCCGACACCATGACCATCACCAGTAAGAACATTAAATATACCAGGTGGAAATCCATCGATTAATGTGGTTAAATGTGCAATGAACAATGCTGATAATGATGTTTGTTCGGCCGGTTTAACAATGACAGTATTACCGGCAGCCAACGATGGAGCTACCGTTTTGGCCAGCATCAATGTTGGACTATTCCATGGAATAATGATGGCACAAACACCCAATGGCATACGAACGGTCATTGTCATAAGATCATCACCACAAGCAGTCGGTAAAGTTTCACCTTTAATTTTATCAGCAATACCAGCATAGAAACGAAATATTTCTGCCGATGCATAAGATGTATGTAACATTTCTCGAATCGGTATACCATTCTCTAATGAATCTAATGCCTTTAATTGAATAATGTTTAATAAATTTATTGTTGATTAAAAAATTGAAAAATTAAATTTTTCCTAAACATACCGCCAAATGTTGATGATTTTGTTCAATCAAATCTGCTAATCGATAAAGATATTTTCCTCTTTCGGGTGATGGAACAGATTTCCAATGATTGAATGCACGACGTGCTACCATTACAGTACGATCAACATCTTCTTTTGATGCTTGTTGTAAACGTGCAATTATACTATCAGTGTATGGACAAATTGATTCGAATGTTTGTCCATTGCTAGAATTACAAAATTGTCCATCAATAAATAATTGAGTGAATTTTATATCCGGCAAATGAATCGTTGAAACCATTTTAAATGTGATTATTTTTTGCTAAAAAATTGACGTCCTTTTATAGCAATTTCAATTTCTTTTATCGATTTAGAAAGAACAAAATTGATTTTATCTACTTGTGTTTTTGTTTATAAAAACAAAATATTAAATATCAGCTTTTTTTTTGTTTCATTCGATTTGTTATTCAACCGATACGAACAAGTTGCCAGTTTATGGTTATCTAATCGAATCAAATGGCAATATTATTGTGAACATTTTTTTACGGTTTAAAATAGGCCAGGATGATGATGTCCTAGTAACAAGTTTATTTTCATATTTATTTTATCGATTCGATTTTAAACAACAAAAAAAAAATGTTTCAAAGATATTTCGGCTTATGGAAAAATGGAAATCAGAAAAAAATATTAATGTTATAGAAATAATTTTAGCTACACGAGGGCAGCATAGTCAACATTTCCGTTATCAATATGTTTATTTAATGATTTTTTTTTCTCATGAAAAAAAAGATACTAAGATGATAATTTTAGAAATTATCATCATTTAAATGGATCGTCGGGATTGCGATTTCGATGATGTTTTTGAGGTAAACGATCTTGACACCATTGTTTGAATTTTGAATATAAATCTTGTGGTGCATCTACTTGAGGAATATCGGAATAATTTTGTGTTAAATAGATTCCTGTATAAATGCCAAAAGAAAATATTAATAATCCACGAAACATTCTTTCTTTGTTCTTTTTTTTACCAAAAACAACAACAACAACAACTAATCTGGATCGGTTTATAATCACAAATTGCTTTTCGACAATATTTAATATTATTTTTCCAATTTATTCTTGATTAATTTAATTAAAATTCAAGACTTATATCACCCGAAGGGTGTTCTATAGGATTTTTTCTTCGTTTCGGATTTCATCATTAATTTCTTATGAGGGCAATATTCTTCTTTCACCTTTCGTTTTGTTCTTCGTTCAAATTAATTTCAATTTTTTGTTATTGTTGTTGTCGCCGTTAGTTTCTCGACAAATCATGATCATTTTTTCGTTAACTTCGTTGTCAGTGTTTGTCTTTGAATGTTGATGATGAATAATTATAAATGAAAAAAGCATCGACTTTGGTTAGAAAGAAGGTTGTTTATTTATTTTGTCGTTGTTTTTTCTTTTTTTGTTGATCGATGTCAACCAACCGACAAAAAAAAAGTAATCATCAAAAAAGAAGTAATAAGAATCGAGGCGAAAAAAAAATATTCACATCGACAAATTTCATCCATAAAATGCTTTAAATAGAATGCCTATCTGGCTTTGCTATCGTTTCTATTTATTTAAGATGATGATGATGAAATTATCTCAAAAAACATTAAAAAGCTGATTTTTGTTTTTTCCTGAAAACAACAACAACAACAACAACGAATATTGAATTTAATGCAAATTTTTTTTCAAACCACTAAAATCAAATTAAAGAATGAAAAAAATAGGCAATAAAAATACTGGCAGTTTGTCAAAAGAAACAAAAAAAACTATTTCATCTCAAACATCATCATCATAAAAATCTGTTTCTGTGCTAAAAGGTTTGCAACAAAAATAAATAATTAACCGATTTTAACAAATTTTAAATTTATCTTTTAAAATATTGGATCATGTTGTTCATTCAATCATATGGATTTAATGTCATATCAAAATAATCGAATTAGAATTTGTTGTTTTTTTTTGACACACACACAAACACAAAAAAAAAATCATGCAAATGAATCGAATCGGTACACTTGTTGTAAGTAATGAACCATATAACAAAAGACATAATGATTGAATAAAAGATAACGGTGTAAAAATTCTAATTTGATTTTCGAATAAACTAATCGTATTATACCGAAAGAACGAGAGAACAGAAACAAACAAAAAAATTTAAAGCAGATTTGAAATGCTAATTTGGTTCAATCATCATTTATGAACAAACAAACGAACGAACAAAATAAAAGAAAATTAGAATTTTTTTTCTTTTTATTTGTCATTCGAATAAGAGATGTCCAAGAAAAAAAAATTCTATTATATTTTCATTTCAGGGAATTGTGTTTTCATGGAAAGAAAACATTTGCAAACACACACACACACAAAAGACTTTTTAATCATCGCATATATGGTTGTTATCTGGTTGTAACAAACAAACAAACAAAAACAAATTGTTGTTATTGAAAAGAATATTTGTAAAAAAAACAACAACAACAATTCCAATATAACAAACAAAATAATAATCATCATAATCATTGAGGAATCGAATGTTTTGAAAAACACACTCGACACACACACACACTTGTATAAATAGCCATCGAATGTTTGGAATAATCTGATAGAATCAATTTTTTCAATATTTTTTTTTCAATTGAAATTCTGCATGAATAATGTTGATGTGTTAAGTGGACAACAACAACAAAATTCTTTCATGATTATTGTTTTTGTTAAGAAAAAGTTTTTATTTTATTTTATTTGAATATTGTAAGATTAAAATGTAATTGGTAATAAATAAAAAAAATCGACAACAAAAACTATCAATTATGAATTCAAATGGATAGATATTTAAATGATTAATATAAGATTCAGAAGAATTTCTAAAAAAAGAATCAAAACGAAATTGAAATTGTGTGAAAAACCAAAATTCTTACCAGAAAAAATTTTGATTTTTTTTATATGGGAAAAAACTCAATTCTTTTTTTTCGCTGAGAAATCTGAAAATAAAAAAATAACCAACGTGTGAACAAAATATACGGGTGTGAAGGTAAATTAATTCGGGTCGTTTTCACATGAATGAAATCTCATCGAAATCTTTCTTTTTTCTTGAAAAATAACATATGCACTTGTGAAACATGAAATTCTTGTCTGCAATCAGCAAAAAAAAATGAAAAAAAGTTGTCTTTTTTCACACAAAAAACAAAAACAAAGAATTTTATTCCAATTTTTTTTCGTATCCCGGGAATCATTTAATTACCTTATTGGTCTAATTTTTTTTCACTATTATTGGTCATCATTATTTTGTTATGTTATGAGAATTTTGAATTTTTTTTTTGCTGAAACACTTTGTTTCAAATATTTTTAATGTTTCGATACTGTGGATACTGAAAATAGTAATGAAATAAACGAAATGTATTCTGTTTTTTTTCTGCTGGGAAATTATTACCGGACAAATGAAATGATTATATGTATGAACAGTGATTATATTTTATTATATAAATAGTTGTTTTTTTTTCGGTAAAAGTAAAAATCGACTTGGTAATGGTTGTTGGTGGGTGATAATGGCATAATGATGATGATTGTGTGGTGGTGGTTGTTGGTGATAATCTAACATTTCGATGATGATAATGATGATTCAATCTTTTTTTGTTCACTCTCTCTCTACTTTTTGTCATCATTCAATTCATTACATTACATTTTACGGTCGTTTAAAAAGTTGAGTTGACCGACTAATCAAGATATTTTATTCTGAGAGAGAGAATAAAAAACCAGGACAAACAACCAAAAAAAAAAAAAAAATCGAAATACATGCTTGCACGCATCGTCAACACAAAAAAAAACATTGTATAATGATAATAACAACAAGACAATAACTTTGAAAATATTTGTCAAACTATTACAAACATTAAAATTGGATTGGCACTATTTATTTTTGTAACAAATGTATCCACAGACATAGAAAGACCAAAAAAAAAAGAAAAAAGAATTCGAACGTTATTACGGCGGGGGGAAGTTCATATAAAAAGTGACAAAAAAAAAATCGAACGTTTTGAATCATCATCATTCGAATGTTTGTAAAAATAAGAATTTTTATATTTAAGTTTAANAAAATTAAAATTGGATTGGCACTATTTATTTTTGTAACAAATGTATCCACAGACAAAGAAAGACCAAAAAAAAAAGAAAAAAGAATTCGAACGTTATTACGGCGGGGAGAAGTTCATATAAAAAGTGACAAAAAAAAAATTCGAACGTTTTGAATCACCATCATTCGAATGTTTGTAAAAATAAGAATTTTTATATTTAAGTTTAATTTTTATTTTTTTTTTGCATCATAATGAGATTATCAACTTTGTTTTGTTTTGTTTTTCATTGTAAGAAATAGATTTATGGACCTTCATCGATGATCGATTAATGATCGATTCATAATTGATTGGAATCAGCACACAAAGAATTGTTATCCCTTTTATCGTTTTTTTTTCCAGATAAACCAGATAAATTCATGATACCTGTATGTATGTTTCAACATAAACTATATATATAAAAAAATTGTATATGGGAATTTTTCTTTGTTGCCTGGCAAAATTATACAAAATGAAATAGAATAGAAAAAAATGAGAATATAGCTTTGTCGGCGTGAACAAAAATAAAAAAAAAACATAGTGATAATATCTATCTGTGAACAGTTATTGTGGTGGAAGCATATATCAATGATGTAGGAAAAAAAATCGATAGTGGAATTTCGTTTTCGTTTTGTCATTAAAAATTCTCTTGTTGTTCATCGAATCATAAGAATCCACAACATTCTGTGGCTAGAACATTTGATGTTTCGTTGTCTGGCGCGTTCATTCGTTCATTTCATGTTTTATTATTTTTTGGGCGCGTTAAACATTTTTTTCAACAACCAAAAAAATTTTTTTTTCATCTTTAAAAAGTATAGTGAAAAAAAATTCTCATTTTCATTGACACCGGCCACTGAGATTAATCGAACTGAAAAAAAATCTATAATTCTGGGCTTCAAATTTTCAAATTTTCATTTTTCATTTTCGAATCTTTCTATAAAAACGTTTTGGTTGTCCGAGAAAAAAAACATTAAACATTCAAACTATCATGCCCATATTTTCACTCCGGGTAGTTTTTATTTCGATCCAAACCAAAATAGGTTTGACTAATAAAAAATAATTGGTTATATCCATAATTGTCATATCTATAGATCGAATTCTTCATTTTTTTCCTATTGGAATCGATTCGAATTCTATAGACAATTCAAACGGTCAATTTAGTATTTGATGAAAAATAAAAACGAAATTGAAATCATCATTAAAGTTTGGGTAAGTTTTTTCTTTTGATTTTGTTTTTGTTTTCGTTGTTATTGTGTTATTATTTTCGATTCTTTCATTAATAGCTTATTATTTTATTTTGTAATCAATCATAAATACAAATTCTTTTCTTTAGAAATCATCATCATCATCATTATATACTTGATTTTTTTATTTGGTGGTTTTGTGTGTTTTCATTTTATTTCATGTTTGAAACTTTTGTTGTTGTTTTTGTTCTGTTCTGAAATCTATCGATAACATAATGTTGTTGTCCAATTGTGATCGGCAAATAAAAATTGTTGCTGTCGTTAATTTTTCATCAACATCATCATCATCAGCGATCGCAGCAATTCATCGATCTAACAACCTTATTATTGTGCAGTATGAATTATTGGCAAACAATGGTCAATGAACAATATGATCATTATCTTCGTCATAAACAACACCAAAAACCATTCCAATCACAACAAATTCATCATCATCATCAACAACAACAACAACAACGATCTACGACAACAAACGGATCTATTTATTACAATTATGAAAACTGCAACAACATCAACAACAACAACAATCGTCAATCATTCCACGGTCTGCCGAATGGACATTATCAACATTATCATTCTGGACAGCCACAACAACAACAACGTTTGGGTTCGACATCCACTACATTATCATCAGCATTATCATCAATACCATCAAGTGGGGCATCAACAATCAATTCAGCTACATCATCAAATAATCCTATTAATCATCAACATCATTTACATGGCCAATTATCTTCAACATCATTTACAAATGATGGTAATATTATGGATCTGGTACAGGTGGAAGTTGATTCACCTACAAAAAAATCTATATCTTCCATTACGGAACAAATTGTTAAACAACATCAACAAACAAACAATGGTTCGGCTACGATTATACAAAGAATGGAACAATCATGGTCACCACAATCATCACCATCTTCATCATTATCACAACCAACAGCAGAACAATGTAGCTATCAGAATGATCATATGGACCAAAGTCAAATTATTATTAATACAATAACGACCAAAAATCGTAATCCATTAAAATCAATATTGAAAAATGCTAAAGTAAGCCCACCGCCATTACAACAATCGAATGCCATCATCATGACAAATGAAACATCAAAATCTTCTGCAAATTCTCATTCAACAACAACAACAGTGATGACTACTAGTGATCGATCACAGCCAAAATTTGGCATATTAAAAAAATCAACATCACCATCAATGCAAATATCAGAAGAAATATCTATCTCGAACAAAATAGGTTCCATACGACGAAAAACCAGTGATAATGATTATAATAATGATGATGATGATGTTGACACAAGTGAAAGTATAAGCCTTAATCAAAACAAAAAATCGGGTCGAAAAAATTTGCTCAGCTTTTTTCTTCGAGGTGGTGGTGGTGGTGGTAAAAATAAATGTGAAGAAAATACCGATATTGAAGCTAATCCGAATGTGAATAATTATAATAATCGTGCCAAAAAACATTCAATATCATCGTTATCATCTAATAACAGTGTTTTGACAATTGATGGTGATAAATCTCAAAATTCAATAACTAATAATAATCTGACACCAACAAACATACGATTTCAAGTGGATTCACCAACAACAAGTAGTAGTAATAATACAAATATTAGCAATAATACAATTTCCGAACAACAACAACAACATATCCATCATGAAAATGATGATTTAAAAATTATTCAGGTTAGTTTATCTTTTGCTAAATTGTTTATTATTACCAATAATATATTGGTTTAAGAAATACAATCTATTACAAATAACATTTAGACAAATAAATAAATAAATAATATAAATGACAAAGAAAACAACAACAACATTAAATCTAATGAATCAAGATAAAGAAACAACATCAACAACAAAAACAAAAATATGATCATTATGGATATCACATCCGATCGATAAAATAATCTCATATCTTATCCACTCTGTATATAATGTAATAATTTAATCGATCGGATTGATGTATGTGACCATTTGTGTTTGTTGTGTGTGTTGTTAGTGCATGTTTTTCATTTTCAATTCTGTTCTTGTTTAATCGTTATTGAGAGAATAGGGATTCTCTTTCTCTTTTCTGCTTGTCTACGCTAATATCTACTATCTGCTTGTGTCATCACATAAATGTCTATAACCACGACATTTCCTTTCGTTGTTTGGATCGATATGTCTTTGTGCAAAGCGATTTTCGATTTTTTTTCTGGATTAATGTTTCACAACGATAATATTTAGGTCATTGTTTCCTAATAGTTTTTATAGTTGGACAGAATAATTTTATTCTCTACTTGCTTGTTTGCTAAAACAGATCAACCAAAAGAAACAAAAAATCATCATTCTTTCATAATGATCTAATTTGATCAGACATTTTGGATTAATAATTATGATAATCATTATCATCACATATAAATGATGAAGAAAAAAAGCCGATCGAAATTGAATTTGAAAACATAAGAATAGAATATAATTGTATCACATATGTCTATTTCATTGTGTTTTTGTAAATTTTTTTTCCAAAAAGAAAAACTCTAGACTCTAGAGTCTAGAGACTTATTTTGTTGTTGTAAAACATATATTTCTATCATCAAAACATAGTTTTAATTTGATTTATTATTTTTTCCGAAACTTTTCACTCAAAAAAACAAAATTATTTAAATAAGAAAGATACTGACATTTTAAAAAAGTCAAAAGTCTAACTCAAGAAAAAGGATGAATAATTAAACAAGATGGACAATCACTTAAAAGTTTTATTATTTTCAAAAACAAAAATTTCAAAAATTTCAATGATTTGTCCAATCACAAGTTGAACAATTAGCGATCCTTTTTTCTACCTTTAATTTTATGCTAATATAATTGAAATGATATTGATATCGTTTTTGGAATACAAATGAATACAGTACAACAAGGAAATCTAATTTTTTTCCTGATTCAAAAAATATTATTCTATTCAATATTAATGAAAAATATAAACTTTTTAATAATAAAGGACTACACTTCCGGATTTTGGCTATTTCGAAATGATTAGATTATGGTATGTTTTTGTATGTCTGTTTTTGTTTCTTCAAATGAAAAAAAATTTCGAAATTTTTCATAATTTCTATTTTCCTTGTAAACATATCTAAAATTCACCTATTCATACAAAATGTTCTTTTTCCGATAAATAAAATAGGAAAAAAAAATCAATTCGTTTCATCGAAGATCTCAGGAGAAAACATGAAATTGATTCCATTTTTTCTCTTTCTCTCTCTCTCAAAAATGATTACACTGCCAGATCGTGTTGTCAGATTATGTGTTTTTGTTTGAAATAAAAAATATTTACATTTCTAAATTCATACTGTACACAATGTGATTGTACAAAAATAAATGGGAATTCTATCTTCAATTTTCTCAATGTCTGTTTGTTTCTTGTGAGATTTCAAAGGGCCCAAGAGAGAGAGAGAGAGAGAGAGAGAGAGAGAGAGAGAGAGAAAACAAAGAATTTTCCAAAATGTTCAAAATAAAGGATTTTTGAAATTGTTTTTTTTCTGTCTGTTTTTTTTTTTTGGTTGAAAAACTATCTGTTTTATTGTTATTGACATCATTCCATTTTTTTCTTGGTTTTCATACACGATGCTAATTTCTTTTTTAGCATTCATTTTTTGTTTGTTACAANGGAGAGAGAGAGAGAGAGAGAGAGAGAGAGAGAGAGAGAGAAAACAAAGAATTTTCCAAAATGTTCAAAATAAAGGATTTTTGAAATTGTTTTTTTTCTGTCTGTTTTTTTTTGGTTGAAAAACTATCTGTTTTATTGTTATTGACATCATTCCATTTTTTTCTCGGTTTTCATACACGATGCTAATTTCTTTTTTAGCATTCATTTTGTTTTTGTTTGTTACAAAAAAACGGATTCATTTATTTTATTTTATTCTGATTTGACAGAATAATGATTCTTTTCTTATATTTTTATTAAGAAAAAAAGTAAAATAATTCGAGTTTGTTGTTGTTTTGTTCTGTCGAATCAATTTATTCATTGTTTTCTTTAATTTAAAGTTATTCTTTTAAATAGATATTCAAGCGATCAATATAATATCTATCATCACTTTTATCATGTCGTTTATCGTTGGAATTCATTACAAGGATAATGTTGATGAGCTTTTTTCAAAAAAAGCATGATATGTGCAAAAAAAAATAAACTAGGTCCAATTAGAACCTTTTAGTGAAATGGCTTTTTTTCCTCCGGAAAATTCTTATTTTTTCTCCTTTATTCCCTAGAATCACAATTTTCAACGATCGTAGATTTTTTTTATCATTTATATGGTTGAAATAACAATATCATCAAGCTCGTGGTGTATGTTGGCTGATTTCAATTTCAAAAAAAACGAAGAAAAATTCAGTTCAATTGCATGCCTGAACACGCAAGAATCTATTGTGTTCATTAAATATAAAAAAAATAGCAAGAAGCAAATATTTTCGTTGAAAGAATGGGAAAACAAAAAAACGAGAAGAAATTCCGCCTAAAATAATTTCCTATTTCATCATTATTATTTCAATCATATCAGGCTTTCAAACAGAAAATTTATGCTCGATTGATTGAATGTTGGAATTTTTGTAATCATCATTTTTTTTAGTTTAAAAAAATTGAAATGACATTTAAATTTGAATTTCTAATCAAAATTCATCTTAATGGTTTGTCTTTTGATTTCATCATTATCATCGAATGTAAAAGACATATCATGATTGAATGAATGAATGAAACATTCCAATAGAAAAAGCAATGATGATGATGGTCAATCATTTGATTCAAGAAAAAACAAAACAAAACAAGAAACTTTTTTTACTAAAAAAAACAATTAACTTGCAACAAACATACTCAATTCATTTATAGGGCGTGCGTGGGCAGCAAAAAGAAAAAATAATTCTCTTGTATTTTATTGTATCATATAATCAATATTGATTGAGTGATCTGAATGATCCAAACAACACACATGACATTACATACATGACCATTTGGAAATCAAATTTCAAAAAGCTTCCGAATACATTCATGCATCATTGGATGACAAATGGATGAATGATTTTTTTTTTGGTATTGTGTTTTTTTTAAAAAAATCCGATATACAGAAAGAAATATCATTTCAACAAAAAAAATAGTATTGAATCTTTCGGAATTCGAGTGTTGATGATCATTATCCAAAAGAAAAAAACAAAATACATACATTGTTTCTAAATTTTTCACTAAATTATCATCATTTTTTTTTTGTTGTTATTCACTATGTTCGTTGACATTCATTTTATCTATTTTTCTTATATTCAAAATCATCAATTTTTTTGATCATCGAAGAATTGGATTCATTCGATTCATTTTGATGCATAGCAAAAAGACAAAAATAAAACAAAACTTTCTATAAATAGCATTAAATTGTTGACTAAAAATTATTATTATTATTATTATAATCTTGTTCATCATTATTATTATTATTATTATTATAATCTTGTTCATCATTATTATTATTATTATTATCAATCTATAAACGCTCAAGGCAACATTTTTTGTTTTTGTTTTTGTTTGTATCCATGGATATTTTTTTGTCTTTCTATTTGTTTCAAATGTCTTTGAGTAAGTTGATTATAATCATGAATATTATTATTGAAACCGGATATGATCGATGGAAATGAAATCATGATTTTTCAAACATAAACATATATTATGAAAGATAGAATGAGAGTTGAACAATAATGATTTCATATTTTTCATTGAAAAAAATATTTCATTTCTACTGATTCGTTTTATTGTTTGATTCATGTTCAGAATTTTTATTGTTAAAATAAAATATCGATCGATTTTTCGATTCGGTTTTGGTCGATGATAAATATAACAATCATTATTTCAACAATAATCAAAAATCAAGTGTATCATGTTCCCTGTAGCCAAAATGGTCATTGGTCAATTTTGAAATTCTGTTTTCGATACTGAATAGAATAGGCGTTTGAAAATTATTTTACCTTCTGGTGAAGAAAGAATAATAAAGAACTCGACATTCAGGCAAACCAATATACTCAATTTATTATGTGATGCAATTCCCTTATCATGATGTTTCAAAATGATCCCAGATGATCAGATATTATGAATCCTAGGCAACAATTTTTTTTTGAGAAAGATTTCTTTTTGGCTGGCTGACCATTTCAGAAAAAAAACTTATGTTCATTGGGAATTTAACTGTAAAACAACAACAACAGCAAAAAACATGAATGATCATTTTATCATTCATTTTTTCACGAGAAACAAAAAATTGAATTGTGCAACTGGGGATTTTTGTGTTTAAAAAAAACAATTGTTTTTTTTCACAAAAAAAACATTTTCATTATTTTCACATAAATTCTTATTTGGATATTTAGTCAATTTATTTGGGATATAAGAAAGCCAGAAAAAAACATCAGATAAATTATGTATTATGCTTTTGTCCATCATTATTATATATGATGATGACAAAAATTCTTCATTTTTTTTTTGATCAACTTAATGGACATTCTTTTATTATGACATTGTTTATATGTGATTATCATTCAATTGTCATTACTTTTTATTGTAGTAGTGGTAATTGTTGTTGTTGTTGTTGTTTTTAATGAAATAAAAAAACTTTTGCTATCATGAAAAAATCTAGAACATTATCATCAATCATCAATGTTCATCATCATCATCATCATCATCATCACTGTTTGTTGTTGGATCAAATTTTTTTATTATTATTTAGTTAGAATGTGTAAATTCCGAACAATTCTTGTTGTTGTTCATTCATTCATTCATTCATTAACCTTTTTCTCTCTCCTAAGGGTTTATTTTTTCATATTAAAAACATTTATAAGGTAATTAGGCAGAAAAAAATTAATATCATTATTATTTTATCATTAATAATTAAATTGATTTAGATCTGATAGATCTCTTGTGATTATTATGTGTTGAACAAAAATAAATAACTTTTTTGTTATTACGGAGTTTAATGCTTTGGAGTTTTTTGTTCACATTGAATGTGGAATTTTGATTCATTTTTTACTTTATAAAATTTCAATTGAATAAATGCGAACAAATATTATGTGTGTTTGATAGTGAAATTTCTTTGAAATTGTTAAAATTTATTTGTCAAATGATGAAAGATGAATGATGAAATTTTTTCTCGATTCGTTTTTTTCATTTTCACATTCAATTTGATTTGCTGATTTGGTGGATTTGGTCAAAATTGAAGAAAAAATTTAACCACAAAATTGAATAGAATGAAAAAGATATGCATTCCAACAACAACAAAACTAAAATAAACTATGTGGATTTTATCTTGGCTGAATATTGTCGTTGTAAATTTTATGCTTATGAATGACAAAAATATCAGAATGTGAACAAAAAAAAAACTAAATAACACTCGAAAAATGATTCTCAGTTGGATTTTTTTTGCTGCTCATAATTAATGCACATTTTTTCGACCAAACAAAAAATTTTATTTGGAATGGCAACGTTAACTTTGAACAAGATTTGATTCTTGGTTGACTGCAACATTGGACATTTTCAATTTCAATCCAATGGTATTTTTTGGCTAACATTTTTAATTATTAATTTTCTTGACACCGGTTCTTTCGTACTGGTTTTTTTCATCATCTCTAATTCATCAACTTCCATCACATAGATCCATAACAGAATTACGATACTAAAAATACACAAAACACACAGAAGCTAAATATGGCTAAAAGAAAAAAATCCTGTTAGTTTTTTCCTATATGAATTGAGTTGATAAATTATTTTTCATTTTTTCTTTTGGTGAAAATAAAAAATTGAAATCATTTTATGATCATAATCCTCTTATTATATAAACTATTACCGATTATATAATAAAATATTATAGTCATTTTTACCGTTTTTATTATTATTATTATTATCATTATTATTGGCCACTAATAATCATAATCCAAAAAATTTCTTTTCCCTCTATCCAATGATATTATTTGAAGAAGAAAAAGAAGAAGAAAATATTCATTACTCACATATATGAAAAAAAATATGAAAGTCTAGTCATTTTGAAAGTCAATAAACCTCGGTCCTAAATTTTTTGTTTCATTTATTCTTTTTGTTTCATTACTTTTGATCTGTATATATCACATGTACGTGTGTGAATGAATGAATGTTAAAATGGAAAAATTTTCATAAATGACTTTCTAAATTCAATGGCACTTCATTTGAATAAATGACATTTATCAAATACCAAAAAAAAATGTTTATTATGAACATTGAATTGACAATTTTAAATTCAGATTCATGAATACTCATTTTCCACATTGAATATATTGATTTTCATTACTCTGTGTGTTCATATCTTTTTTTTTTCATCCACCATGTATAATGTAAAAGAATACGAGAAATTTTGTTCTGTTTTCTTTTCACTTCATAAAATATTAAGAATCGAAAAAATTCACTGAGTAAGTAAGGGATGTTTTCTTGGTTTGTTATCTTAGGTAAAAATTTTTGTTTTCGCACATTCCTTCTTTAATTCACAAAATAAAGTGGTTGATGATTTTTTGTTTTTTGTTTTTGTTTTCACGGATTCCTTTCATGAATCTAATTGAAAATGAACCAAAAAAGAGAGAATTTTATGCAAACTTGAAAATTTCTTATTCTTAAAAACGTTTTTGACATATTTTTCACGGGGAGAAAAAATCAAATTTTCTATTTACTTGAATTGAAATTTTATTAAATAATTTTCAACTTGGGATTTTCAATGTAAATTAACGAATGAATGAATTTTTAAAATTTTTTCCATTCTATAGAGATACTGATGAAAAAAAACAGTTGAAATACTGAATTGATAATAACTATTTCAAAATTCAATTTCAATTCAGTTTTTCAAACGAAAAAAGTAAAAAAAAAGCAAATTCTGAATTAATGATTCTTTTCAACCGTTTTTTTCTCAACATTTGTAAATAAGCTCAGTTTTTTTTCACTAGTTTTTTTGCTATTGTATTGTTACAAACAATGCGAAATAAAACTTGAGATGGCCAATTCTTTTTTTGAATGAATGAATGAATGAATGAAAAGAAATGAAAATTATGGTCACCAGAACAAAAGAAAATGAATTCAATGAAATAGCTACATTATCATGATTGAATTTTAAAAGAATTCTAGCGGAAATTCAACAACAAAATATTTCATAGTTTTTTTAACCATAACTCTTGCAAAAGAATTTTCAAACAACAAAAAAAATATAACTACATTACCATCAACCATAGTGTAATAATTTGAATAATATACGTGGTAGACCGAGGAATTTTTCTTTTTTTCTTTTTTCGAATGGCTCAGGAATTTTGATTCAACTTTGTTGTTGATGCAGATGATGATGATGTTTTCATTGTGGCCAAATATTTTTCTTTTCTTTTACCATAATAATAAAGAGAGTGAGAGTGGGAAAGAATAAATGATGAAAACATGGGGAAATAAAGAAATGGTGTGAATTTGTAAAACAAGAGTTTTGCTTGACTGCCACAAAAGTTTTTTTTCTTTATTCTTTTTCACAAAACTTCTTTTTTTTCGGGGTATAGTCAGTCATATGAAACAAGCTCAATAATAATAATAACATGCATATTAACACACAATATTCGATTGAATTTATTGTTCCAGTATAAATGAATATAATGGTGAAAATGAAAACCAACATCATCATCATCATCATTATTATTATCCAGATTGGTATGGTGGTTGGTTGTTTAGCCATACCCAATTTATCTTTGAACCGGAGTAGGATAAATAAAATGAAAAAAAAATTCTACCACCATTTATTCTCTCTTAATATAATATGGCAATGATGATTTAAGTGCATACAGAATTACTAAATCTATTAATCACATTCACACACACACACATATAGACAAATTTTTCATAATAATGATTCTATGCGGACAATTCATTGTAAAAACAACATTAAAGCATTAAGGCATTGCTTTGTTCATTGTCAATTGTTCATTTCAATAATCTATTGTCAGTCTGGTGCATGCATACAAGAATGATGATGACAGGCAACAGCAACAACAAGAATAAAATTTGTTGTTTTTTTTGTTGACGGTTGATTTAGATTGAACTTTTTTTCTTCATGGTTATTATATGAAGAAATTATTGTTTAGAATGAACCTAGATGAATGAAGATTTTTTTTTGGTTCGAGAATAAGAAAAAGAAAATTGTTATTATGTACAGAGGATAGGAAATAGCAAATGGCCCAGTTTCAGCATATAAATTTGTCATCAATGTACATGTGAAATTATTCCACAAACTTTATAGTGTATGATTTTTGGTATACCAAATTGAATTGATTTCAAAGAAAACTAAACTGTTTTAGCTCATTGAAAATTCATTCAGCAGGAACACGCACATTCATTTCCGAAATGAACAATCATCATTAAATTTTCAATCATTTTTTTTCTATCTATTTCTTTTTCTTATCATATAGAAGGAACAAATCTCCTCTATAGCATTGGTAAAATCGACGGATCAGACGATAGATCAGCAAACAAAGTCGAATTCGACCAATGATATGCTCAAACAATCGCAAATTAATTTCAACGATGATCATAAGGATAAAAATCCTTTACAGTTGTCCGTTAATTATCTCCAAGTGCCATCATCTTCATTGCAGCCATCAGCTGTATTACCAATGTCGTTAACCTCACCAAAATTGTCCACAAAAACGCAACAACAATCTACTGCAACAACATCAAGCATAACAAGCGTACCATCAATGCCAGCAAGCCAAACGAATCAACAACAATCGCTACCAACAAATGTGCTTCCATCAACAGAACAGCCACCAAGACCTAAAGTATCCGGTTGGGGTCGTTTTAGTTTACCAAGATCATCGCAACCAGCAGCAGCCATTGCTGAACAATCATCCAATCTACATCGTCCTTCGACAATCTCACAAACAACGCCAATCTTTTTAACAACTTCACCATATTATATGAGTGGAGTTCCGCAGGCAACCGGTGCACGTGTATCAGATCTAAGAAAAATTCTCAATCCTGAAGTAGAAAAAGAAGATTCATTTAAAAAATTTACCGAAGCTGTTGAAAATTGTGATTGTTTTGAATTCAATTTGAATAATGCTGCCAAATTGATAACCATTGTTGTATTGTTGGCTACATTCATATTGGTTATAAAAGCATTGAAAGGTGATCGTTGATAATATTATTTTTTTTTATTTTGGAATGCCATTTTCAACAATGTTTTTTAGCCACCAAATATCACGATAAATCTGACAGGAATACCAATTGTCCAACTAATACAAAAAAAAGAAAAGAAATTATATCCACCCACCTTGTTATTAAAATTTTGTTTTTTTTTATATACAATATGTCAAAATCCATTGAAAACAACAGGAAAATTCATGTAAATAAAAAACACATACACACACACATTATTTTAGCGAAAAAAATGATTTATCTACATTATTTATTTATTACTTCCTATTAAATTAATGTTATTTTTTTTGATTGATTAATTGCAATTTTTTTTATCACTAAATAATTATCAAATTTCAATTGCAATTCATTTGTATTATTTTTCAAATCTTTCATTCATTCCTTTGTATTAGTCAACAAAAAAAAATGATAAATAAAATAAAATAATGAAAATAAGACAAAAAAACGAAATTTGAAAATTATTTTATAAATAGCCAATAGTAGAATTTTTTTAATCAAACAAATTCATCTGGATTATGGGATTTTCTTTTCGTTTTTTTCGGGTAAATATATCAACAATAACAACAACATAGACAGTTTATAGACAGTTTGTGTGAGTGTAAAGTAAAGAACAGATTAATCATTATCATTACAAACGATCACCTATAATCATATAGGTAATATTTCATTTGATTTTTTATATTATTTTATTATATAATGAATAATAATAATTTTTTTTGTTAGCTAGTTTTGTTCCAATTTTGTTTTAGTTAATTTTTTATATTTGCCAACCAATTCCGGTAGATCATAGGCAATGGCCACATCAAGTCGATCAATAGGACAACCACGAAAATATGAACAAGTAGATGTTAATGGCTTGAAATCGATCAAAGGATTTGATCTATGATTTAAAAATTAAAAAAAAACATTTATTTATTGTTATCGTTAAAAAACAATGATACTAACCGGAAAAATTCTCGATACACTCCTGGATCGGGAAGATCATATCGAGATACATTTTGTAATTGACCCATAAATGCACCGGAATATATACGATATTGATGAGGATTTTCAGCAATATCTGCTGCCAATTGTCTTGAACTTGAACCAAACGTAAACAATCCTTTATTCTTGTAGAATGTTGAAAGATAACAATCAATCAATTTGGCATGATTACGAACACGTACAGCATGACGACGAACTTCGGCAATATGTGATTCAATGCGTGAAATTCCACTCAATTGTTGAGATAAATCTTTGAGCCAGCCTGTCTCTTGACTATCAATAAATTCATCAAAATTATCCTGTGGTAATGCTATAATGTAAACAGGAATCATATTTTATTTTGTTATTTTATTACGAAAAAAGTGTGTGTATTGTTTTCTTACTTGAAAGTGCATAAACCATAGGTGGACGTTCATGTGACATGATGGGCGATAATACCCATAATAATTGTCCAAACATTGAAATTATTTGAGAATGTGATGCCATATCAGCTTTTGCTATAATGAATCGAACTTCACGACCTACAGCAATGATGGATGAATATAACACGAAACATGCAAATTATGATAATAATTTATGATAAATCATCAATAGAAAATGGAAAAAATAATTAATAATCAAGTCCATGTAAAATTAAATAAATTAATTGATGGTTATGGATCAAACACTGATTTGAGACACATTTTTTTTTGTATTTCTATGAATGGCCTATTCTTTGCATATATTTTTCTTCAAAAATCGATGCCAATAGTGATGGAATCAAACATTATGTTATTGTGTTTGAAATTCCTGCCCAATCATTTCTACAGATTGAAAATAGGTGAAATTTGGCCTGTCTGTATTGGTTAATTGTTATCTACATTGATTGAATGAGGGAATAACTGATAATTACATCACGCAAACATGGCCGAAACAAAAGGAAAATTTTCCATTAGAATGGTGATTACGACCGATCCCCGAGAATGACAAATAGAATAGAAATAATAACATAATACAATACAATCCATAACGTATGAACCGTTATTGAGGACCCTTTGCTGTAATTTAGTTTGAAAAATGATTGCTTACCTTTAAGTTGATCTAATAAAGCGCGTAGCGAAGTGGACAAATGTAATTGGCTAACATCGATGACAATATAGATGACATCCGAACGATCAATAAACCATTGATAGACATCATTATCAATGGTTTGTTTGGCCATTGCTGTTGGTATCATATCGATCAAACCAGGACTATCGACAATAACCATCTAACAAATAAAAATAAATATTACGTTATCAAGTAAACAGTGATGACAAGATTTCAAAATGAACATTTTTTTCAAATGTCGATACAATCAAAGTAAATACAATTTATTCTTCTAATTATTTTCTAATATGTTGTGTGTACAAATCTTTCTTTCTTTCATTTGTCTTGATTAGATTATAATTTATGATATGTATCCAAATCATAAATTCCAAAATTTTCATCAGAAAACTAAATGCATAATTCTATCTATAAAAATATGTAAGGGGATTGTTGTATGTTTTCGGTATGGCCATAACATAATATAATTTGATTAGGAAAATCGATCGAAAGAAAAAAGGAATGGGTTGCGTGTAAACCATATTCATCGTCATCATTAGATGAGACAAATTATCAAAAGAAGATTTGATTTGTCATTTTTCTTTAATAGTTAGGCATATATAGTTTTTATTAATAGACAGATAGATACAATGTGTGTGTGTGTGTGTGTGTTGGTATGTTTTAATTCCAAACTCATTCAGCCACCAATCAACTAAACATAACAAAATGAAGATTGATTGCTAATAATTTACCAATACTCAAAGTACACACATATATGATACACATTAATAAAGCAAAGTCAATTTATCAACGAATATAGAATCATAAAACATTAAACTATTCTCATTTATCAGTAAATGAGAATAGAGAGATCATATTATGCAACACATTAAATGAATGAAACAAAATTCTTAAGAAATAATGAAATGAAACTAATCATATTTGAGCAAATATGTATTTTATCAATATTATTAAAAGAAAAAAATTCATCTAAATGAATTGAAAAATAAAATGAATTTTATCTATATAAAAAAAATCAAATCTAAATTCAAGACAAAGTTTATCATATAATAAATTATTTTTCAGAAAATTTTTTTGATAGAAATTTGATTCTATTTGGCATAGAAAATTTTTATTTTTTCCCCTTTCAAAATACAAAATAAATTTCAATCAAAAGTGAAAATAAAAAAGATTTTTTTTTTCGACAGAATTAAAGTTTGTAGGAAATAATTTTGATCATTTCATTTTGTTGCATCGAAAGGATTCGATTTCATCCGGAAAAACAACATAATAGAGAATATGTGTGTGTGAATGCAATCAATCTAAAAGCTGTTGTTGATTTGTGATTTCTTATATCAGAATATATAACCTAGAGAAAAAAACCTGTCAAAAAGGATTATTGTGATATTTTAATAATAATAATAATAATGCTGTAAGGATTTGCTATTTTTCATAACCGCAAACCATAGAATGTAGAGTTGATGTTGATGATGATGAAAATTATTTTTTCTTATTTCTTTATGCATGAATTTTTGCAATAAGATTTTTTTTTCACTTACATAACAAGATGCCAAAATACTATATCGAGACAAGAAAACGAAATTATGTATTTCAAATTATTCATCCACGGTTGAACATGAAGAATTGTAATTTTCTTTACCAAAAAAAGTGGTAAGATTCTTTGTCAAACAAAAACTAACAAAATATTAGTTAAACAACAAATGTTCCCAGAAAAGAATAGAAACAAGAATTAAGCTTGAATGTGAAAGATTTGTTTATCAATGTTATTAGATAAATGAATTTCTAACAACCAACAACAAAGTCCAAAAGTTTTTCATTCACACTTGATTCTAGCATAAATAGAATTATATCTTTTTTTTGGTAGGGTTTTTATCCTATCACGATAATTATTGTACTTTTTGATTTTTCATTTCACACAACCATTGGTTATTAATACCTGAAAATTGTTTTAAACACACACACACAAATAATGACAAAAAAGTTTTGTAGATCTAATTTGATTCGATCAACTTGGAATAAAAATGAAAAATTGGATTATATTTGGAAAAAAAGTAAAAGTGATTTAGCATCATGTCCATCAGAATTCTCAAATGAATACCCGGAGATTTTTTTTCTTTAACACAAACACACATATAAATGGGAAAATAGTCTAAAATATACCTTTTGCAAAATGTTGATGGGCAATCGTCGAGCATCAATATAATCAGCAATGAATTGTTCACCGAACCGTTGTAGACTAGAAAATGTAAAATCAGCAGCCAATTCTATTGGACTTAGATGTGTATAATTATCGCCATAAGTCAATATCGAAAATTTTGTTTGCGATGCGGCTCCTGTTTTATTCATTTTTTTCACAAATTAATTAATATCGATCAGTAACAATCTATTGTGTTACCTGTTATGATGATCCGGATGTAGTATATTATCGATCATTATTATGAATACCGATAACATAACAATAGTGATTGGAAACACGCGGGTATCAAAGTAGAAAAAAAAATCCAAAGTAAACGAATGAATAAAATGAATATACAAGTTAATTAAAACATTATCAAACAGCAACAATAACAAAAATATTATCGAACGTAAGCAAAAGAAAAACACAACAATTTTTTTTCGATCATTATGTTATCAATACTATTTCGCCGGATATTGATAACCAATGCAAGCAGACATACAGTAAGCAACATAGTTGAATCAAATCACAAAATCAATTAAACGCCCACCTGGAACGAAACTGAATAATAATAATAAAGAGAGAGAGAAAAAAAACAACAACAACTGCTATTTTTTTCACTTATGTAATGATACCTGGAATCTGTATGTTTGAAGTGAAAAATTATCGATTAATCAATCTATTACTCTTAAGTAACACACACATACACTGAAAATTAATTTTTTCTTTTTTTTTCAGTGCAAAGAAAATTTTTCGGTTCAGTTACACAATGTTATTTGCCCGGCAAAACAAACGAAACATGAAACATTAGTTAAAATTAATAGAAAATAGATTGTCAATGGATTGAGAAGGTATATAAAAACTGAATAATCAACGACTACTATTTATAAAATATAAATTAAGGATGCATACATCTTGGAAATTTTTTTCTTATAAATCGATAAGAACGGAAATATTTTTTTTTCGCAATATTCGTTAATGAAGATTAAGAAAAAACTGTTACAGAAAAGACAAGAGAAAATACTTTGTATCATGTTTTAGTTTCTTTTTTGATTAATAATATTTTCTTCTAATAATTGGCAAATGGAATCGATTCAACACAATAATCATCATGTTTTATGATGATGATGATGATGATAAAAATCAAAAATTGTAATTCAACTGAAATAATGTACCTGTAGGTATTTGCCAAGGTGTACCATCAATACCAAGTAAATAATTGACAATTGAAGATTTTCCAGTTGATTTTCCACCAAGAAAAAGAATCATTGGTTTTGAAAAAATTTCCGAATCACTGACAAAAAAGTAAAACAAAATTAAAAAGAATAATGTGGAAAAAAACTTTAAAAAAAGGGAAAATCACTTACGTAATCAATCTGGTCGTAATTTGACGATATTTATAGATAGTTTCCAATGGTTTTACGGTTGATTCATAAACTCTTTTAACATCTCGCAATATTGATTGTATTAGATTTTGTTCGGCATTATCCTGTCGTATATTTATATATAGGAAATTAGTTTTACCAAATAATCACACAGAATATAATACACTTACATCCTGTGATCCGATTTCATAGACTTTTAAAATGTCATCAATATGGGCTCGAGAACGTCTTGGTTGATCACTATTTTCATCATCATCATCATTGTCATCGTCGTCATCATCGTTATCATCATGTTTTCGAGATTTTTTATTAGTCGATGTCTAAATATTTTTGAAAATGCGCAAAAATCAAAGATTTTGAATTCTGAAATATCAAGCATACCTTTTTATGGCCTGAATTCTTATTTTTTTTAACAGATTCTCTTTTTTTCTTCGCTGGAATAGGTGTCGGTTCATCATCATCATCATCATCATCGTCATCATTATCATCATTATCATGGCTGCTAGGTGAATTTTTTTTTACTTCATGAACACTCTAAATAGATGATCCAAATGATTTTTTACTTTCAATGAATATTTGTTAAATTCTAACCTTTTTTATTTGAGTTTGTTTGTCATCATCTTTGCTGTTTGTTTTAACACCTTTATCATCATCATCATCATCTTCTTCTTCTTTTGCATTAGTCGATTCTTTTGAATCATCATCGTCGTCATCATCTTCATCATCGTCTTTGTCATCTTTATCGTTTTCTGATGATTTTTCATCGGATTTATCATCATCATTATTGTCGTCGTCGTCATCATCATCATCAACATCATCATGCTTGTCAGTTCGATCATTTTCCAATGCATCTTCATCACTATCATTTTCATCATCATCATCATCGTCATTCTCCTCGTCATCATCGTCGTCTTCATCTAATATATATGAATAAAAACAATAAATATTGGTCAGTAGGAAAAATTGAAGAATTTGTGATTTAATTACCAACCTTTGAAATACTGTCTCAATGCTTCATCAACTTTTTCTTTACATTTCACTTTTTGTATACCTTTGGTTGCTTTTGAAATGGATTTTGATGATTCATCCGTTGCATCTACAATTGGATCTATTGAATAATCAGTTTCATTGTACATATAATTTGGATGTCAATCAATCGAAAACTTACTTGAATCAAATTGTATCAATAAAAGCAACACAAACAACAATATTATCAATGAATGTAATAATCTCATCTTGAATTTTTTTTTATATAAATAAGATTGAAGTCAAAATAGAATATACAGATTAAATCTGATTAATTAAACAATGATAATATAATATTGATGATTTGATAATGATTTTTGAATTGAATATGAAAGACGATTAAAAATAAATATTGATTGAAATGAAAATGATTATCGAATCGATTGAATGGATTAATGGTCCAAATATTTTTTTTTGTGTTCGCTAAAGCTGTCTATTTAGGAACGACACCCAACACAGCCGTTAAATTCCAACCAACCAACCAACCAAAAGAGTTAAATCACTAACGATTCTTTCTGTCACGAACTGGATACACGAATACACCTGAAGGTTGAACAAAGGTTGCATGAACAATAGAATATCAATCACTAGGTACAAAATGAAGCTAATGAAATTATGATATTTTGTTGATTATAGAATTAAAAGGTCAGCCGTATGACTGAGAAACGGAGGAAACAACGACAAGGTCAATCTGGTAATGGATTAAATTCTGAACACTAGGAATTTTTTCAAATGTTCACACAAACAAACATTGATGCTGTCTTCACCTTTTTTTTCTTTCTTTCTCTCTCTCTTTCTCTCTCGCTTTCCTTCTCACTCTCACTTTCACTCTCAGCTTGGGTCGCAATACAAGTCGTTTCTTGTATTTGATGAATGTTTGTGTTCGGAATAAAAAAAATTCTTCATACATTCTAACGGGATTCTTCTTTTTCATTCTTATTTCTTATTTGACGTGGTAGAAGTATTTTTTATTCGATACGGATAGAATATTTTTCAAGAACATTGTTTTTTCCTTTCTTTATTCGATGTCAAACGATGTGATATTCGAACAAAAAAACAAACGGCAAACAAGTGGAACAAGCCAATTCTACAGGTTAACTTCGCCTATATTGAAAACCATTGTCATTCACAAAAAATGAATTGTTTTTATTTTAATTTTTAAATACTCAAATTCACTGTTGTTGTCGTAGTCATTTTATCATTTTCATTGATGTTCATTCATGGTAAAATTTTTGTCATTCTCATCATTGCAATCAATAATAACATTAGCAGCATCAAAATTATTCATAGCCTAAGTAATCCACCATGAAGATCAGACGATTCTTTAGGATGTACAGTGGCGGCACATTCATTCATTCAATTTATTCATTCATTTTTCATTCGTTTTTGTTTTTTGTTTTTTGCATTTCTTGGCATCCACTATTATAGATTCACCAATTGGCCCAATAGAATGTTTAAGGCTAGTTTGTTAATTATTCGATTCTTTTGTGTGATGTTTAAGGCCCGCTGTGTGCCGATGATTGTCATTCTATGGGTTTTTTTTGGTGATGTAAATCTTTTGGGAATATTTTCATTATACGCTAATGTTTTTTTTGGTAAAAGTTGACAAGTTATGAAATGAATGAAAGGAAAATGAAAATCTGATTAAATTTTGGGATTTTATTCTATTACTTTTTTTTTGAACAAATGAAAGTTTTAGGTTGCACTCATCAACACCTTTATCATTTTCGTTTTTTTTCTCGAGTTTTAATTTTCTATATGATCCTGTATTCATTATTATTGTGGAAATTTAATCCAAGTATAATTGGGATCTTACACGGAAAATATTAGCACTTAAAATTTTGTTTGTTTTTTTCCGTAATAATTTGCACTGTCTACTTATCAATATAAAGATACATGCCACACAACAAACAAACAAACAAAAAAATTGTCGAATGTGATGAATGAATTCATTCGAAAATTGTTAAATTTTCGAAGTTACTTGATTCTATTGATATTTTTTTTTATAATGAAGAAGAAAGAAACCGGCTACGAGATACATGGACAAACAAACTGAAAAATAAATGAAATAGATTCTTGTGCTTACATATTTGTAAGAAGAAAAAATACATAATAAACACATTGTCATCATCGTCCACATTGTGATTCCCATGGTAATTTTTTCTTTCAATTCAATAGAAAAAAATTCTTTATTTCAATTCTGAATTTAATGAATGTATGTATGTATGTGTGTGTGTTTGTATAAGTTTTTTTTTCAAAAGATTTGATCGTGAAAATTTTTGTTTTTATAAAGAAAAAAAAAGAAAAAGAATAGACAAGACATTTACATTCTGTAAATAATATTCTTCACATGGTTATTTTATTTTTATTTTTTTTTGTCATCTTTGTTCAAAGAAAAATGCATAATTATTCATTTATTCATCCTTCAGTTAACGGTATCGTTTTTTCCCTCTATCTTTCAATATAGCAAACCACCTCGCTTGTTTTTTTTGTTTAAAAATAGAATCTTTATTCGAATTTATGAAATCATCATCATCATCATGGCCATTATTATGCTTAGTGATTATCATTCATCTATCTTGTATTTATTTATTCATTTTTTTTTGTCTGTCCTTAACATAAATTTCCTGTTTCCCGTATCCATTCATGTACAATCGATCTATATTTGGTTTTATAACATCATCATCAACAACAACAACAACACTAAAATGAAATGATAAATTTTTTTAAAACAATCATTAACCAAATAATGATTACAGTATTTTTTTTTTTGCTGGTATTTGATCATTTTATGAAAAAAAACGAGTAGTATTTCGTTTTTTGATTCTGAAAATAACGTAACATTCAAATCTACAGTTTACTATTCACAAAAATTCTAGAGAATAACAGAATAAATAAACAAGAATAAAAAAAAATAAACAAAAATAATAGAAATTGAATCGAAATGTAAAAAATCTAAACAAACACTTTTTATGTTTGTATTTGTTGTATGTCAAAAAAAAAAAAAAATTCAATTCAATTCAGTTGGAAAAGGAAATGCATTTTTCCACCAACAACAACACAAATTCTACATATATTATAATGGTAATGATTTTGAGAATTTTTTTTCGATGAATTGTAACAACAGACAGAAAACAAAATTCGAATCATTGAATACTTTTGCCTTCGGATCGTCGGACAATTTTTTAGAAAAGAATTTTATTTTATTTTGTTCAAAGTTATTGTGTACGTTTATAAATGAATGAATGCTACACAATGTTTTTCTGATAACAAATAGAAAAACGAAGGAATTTTCACAAACCAAAATTTTAAAATGTTCCTGATAAAATTGAGTTTTGATGCCATTTTGTTCGCTATAACAACTATCATTGTCATCATCAATGATTGTGGAAATAGTTGTGTAGTAGGATTAAATTGTTAGATTCGATATTGAAACCGATCATCATTTTCAAAAAATAAGTGATTTCTTAATTTTTTTTTTAGTTGAATGTTTTTCATTCAATAAAATAATTTATTATAAATTGATCATAAAATAAATATCCCATAGGCATGATATAACATTTTAATTTTTTTCCTATATAAAAATTCATTTATTGACATTATTAAATATGAATTAAAAATTTGATTGTGAATAATTTTTCCATTGGTGTTGATTCGAATTCCACATGGAAATAACCATTGCGATTTGGGAGACATAGAAGTGATAATAAACTTAGATGTAGGCTAAAGATTTTATTCTAATTCGTGCGTAAAAACGTTGATTCAATCTTGCAATATAAAAAAAATCATTTACGACGATTTGGCGGAATCAAATGTCTGGGCAGTTCTTGTGGCAAATCATGGCCATTCAATTTGATTTGCATCAAATGCATGGCCAAAGCAAATTCTTCCGAATCTAACATGCCATCTTTGTCCAAATCGGATAGTTTCCATATTCGGCTCAATATCGTATTTGGTAGATTCGATTTGATCATTTCGGTTTTGGCCGCTGCGCCAGTTATCTTATTATCAATTGGATTCAAATTATTGAATATTTCATCATATTTCGGCTTATCTTTATCAACAATCCAAACATGGCTAGGTTCCATTGAACCAGCATCAACACCTTCACCACGTTTATATCCGAATGGCGATTCAGCAACACTATTGAAAGCACCACCTTTGACTTGAGTTTCTTCTTTGTGATCCAATTGTTCCTATATTTCATTAAAAAAATTAGTTGATTAAATTGTTTAAATAAACGAAAATACCTGTGGTATGAGAGCCATTAATTTGGCAATATCTTCGGCCAACATTCTGTCTACTGAATCCAGTAGTGGTTTCTTCAATGGCGGAAATTTGATAAAATCATGATGCAACAATTTTTCTTGCATTTCCTGTAGATCGGGAAAATCACCTGCTGGTACACCATATTCACGTTCAATATCGAGATAAATGTTGCCCAAATTTTTGATTAATTCTTTCTTTTTACTGTCCTTTCCGAACATACTGGGCATTTCTTTTCGCAGCGCACTGATAATGTATGCATGGACCTGGAACAAAAAATAAAATAAATTATAAACATTTTCAATAAAATTATTGTTTAATAAACTTGCCTTAGCTAAACGCGCCCGTTTGATTAGATCATTTAATTTACGTAGCGCTGCATTTCTCGGTAATGATGTAATGTCGCTAAACAAGTCCTGCTCTTCTGCTTCGAATAATTTTCGATTTTGTATAAATTGTAGAGGTTGGTCCCAGAATGATCCGATGTAAACTCGTGCTACTTCGGGTGTGTTTAAAACTTTTCCCAATGACCACATCAAAGCACCATAAACACGCATCAATTGTTGTTGATCAATCATGTCAGCTTTGTTTAGAACGATTCGAATTTTGTCATCATGTCCACGTAAGGCTTCAATACTGCGTCGAAATTCATCAGAAATATCCAATTTGTGAGCATCGAACAATAAAATAATTCGATCAACACGTTCGGCAAACCATTCAAGTACACCGGTAAAATCATAACCACGATCTACACGTTGTTTTTCACCGGATAAAATACCAGGAGTATCAATAATAGTTATCTGTTGAAGTATTGGCGAATTAACGCTGGAACATTGAAGACGATTCAGGAAAGCATTGCCAAATTTGGCTAATGGACGGAATTGCTTTTTAGGATCAACAACCAATGCATTACCAGGAATGATTCCTTCTTGGTCACCATACATTACGGCTATGAAACGATCAGTGGTTGGTTCAGGCCCGATACGGATACCGGGAAAATCACGTTCCAATAGATATCGAATAAATGTAGTTTTACCGGTAGAATATTGACCTACCAATAATACCATTGGTTTGGCATCAAAATCGGCATCTTCGAACGGTGGTGAATGAAATTCATGGAATAAATATTGTTCTTCCAACGGGTAAATTTTGGTCTTGTATATTCGTTTAAGGCCTTCAACAACGGATTCATATAGTTCGGAATTTTTTTTACGATTTGAATTTGAATTGATCCACGAAAACATTTTTATTTCTTTTTTTTATTTGTCCTTTTTTCACAGATGCTAATTGATGGCGATGATGATTTGGTCTCCAAACGCACACACACACAAAAGAAAAAACTATTGACAATGAATATAACCCTTTATTACGCGTATACACGATGTACTACAAATCGAAGATGACAATCATGAATGAGCACGAATCGATCAATCAAATCAAAGACAATGGGGTCGAATTGAGATCGAAATCAACACTAAAAACAAAAAGAAAAAATAGAAAAAAATTGGCATTAGAATCAGAACATTTTTTTTTTGAAAAAAATCAGGGTAAGATTCAAGTAGGAAACGATAGATATATCACGATCAATTCACCTTTAATTTACCATTACACTTGCTTCTATTGAAAATTGTCTTTCTGTTTGTCTTTGGAGAAATTTTTTTTTGCTGTAATGACAAAGCAAACTTTGTCTTCACTATTCATCAAAAATATATAGTGAAAAGAAAAACGAAATTTTGGCTTGTTGGCGATGATAAAAAAAACTCTATCTTTTCTATTGATTGATTGGTATTCAAAGTGTGAAAAAAATCTGACCGAGAAAAAAACAAGCTGATTTCTATACTGATTTTTTTGTCTAACATTAAATATGAAAAAAGAAACTGAAATTGATAGTGATCATTGAAAAAAAACTTTCATCTAGAATCTAGCTTTTTGTTATTATCATAATCCATTTCATGATTTAATCAACCGGCATTTGAAAAAAAAGATATGAACAAAGAGAGTAGTTGATTGTTATCATATACAATTATAATTAGAAAGATATTTATTCGAATATAAATGAATGAGTATGCTACAAAAAAAAAGTTTTTTTAAAAAACTTGCATTCAGATGCTTACTACGTGGAATACCATCAAATCTTAAACAGACAAAATTTCAAAATTAAAATATATAAAAAAGAAACAAACCTTTTTTCCGGTAACGACTTGTTGTTGGATAATAATATTGCTTTCAGAAAATAAAAATTTAATGATCACCAAAAAGGTATTGCATTTAGTTAGAAAATACAAAAATAATCGATAATGAAAAAGGGTGTATAATTAGTGATATCATAATAAAAATATTTTTGGAGATTAAAAACGTTGTTTTTGCGAATGGGGGAGTTCTGGATTTTTTTTTCTCTTGTTCAATTAAATTTTCAATATAAAAACTAGTTGATTCAATGTTATTGTTTGAAAAAAAGTATTGAGAATCACAAGCTGTTTAATAGATAAAATTGGAAAGAAAAAATTGAATCCAAATATTAATAATTTAATATAATTAGTAATTTAAACACAAAGTATACATACAGATTATTTCAGTATGATTGCCGTGGATATATTATGGATGTTTTGATTAAATTAAACCATACACACCGGATTCGGGAAAAATTTAATGTTGCCTGATGATGTAAATGATGATGTGTTTTTTTTTGCAAAACGACAATATTGAAAGTTGTCAAAATTTGACGTTAATGCTAAAATGTGATGATTAAAGATGAATTACATTGAAATGATGAATGCACGCGTCGATGTTGATTGTTGCTTCAGCCAAAGCCATTTCAATATATTGAGAATGAGACACACCATTATCTTTCTATCACAGTTAATCACGTATGCATATTTAATACATCAAATTCAATGCTTAGTTTATCCATAAATGACGATCCTTCGTCTTTTATCATGTTAAACAATTATCACAAAAAAACCAAGACAATATAAATGTGAAATGAGGGTTGACCATTCGCCGCTACTCCAATATCGGTGTTTGTTGAAATAACCGCATCGAAACGCAACGCATACAACAATTCAATACAGGTTCACCTAAATTAAGTGACCAGATAGCAGCAACAGTATGAATGTATACGGGGAAGAATAAATTGGATAATTTTTCTCAATAGATGGTGTTATGATAAGGTAAAATCCAATTTTTTTCTTTTGGTACGAGCAAAACAATAAATAAGTAGACAAACAATCTATAAAATCGACTCGTATTTTGATTGAAAATTTTTGTGTTGTCAAAATTTGGAATAAGAAAGTTTGCGCCAATATCAATTCAAACCCAAAAGTTTGTGATTAATTGGTTGCAAGATTATGATCGAATTTCTGAAATGCCTAAACGTTTTAAATCGAAAGAAATATCCGATTTTCAACGCGGCCGAATCGTCGGTCAATCTGAAGGTGGTCAATCACAAAGAGAAATAGCGACCAACTTGGAGATACCATTATCGACTGTGAATAAAATTATTGTAGAATTTAAAACAAAAGGAAAAACATCTACTGATCCAAGACCGGGAAGGCCAGGACCACCAGAATGTCTTCTACAAGCAATAAAATCAGCTATCGACACCAATCCACGTCTTAAAGCTTATGAATTGGCCGATTTATTTCAGATCAGTCCACGATCAGTTCAAAATCATCTTCATCGCTTGGGCTATAAAGGCTGTACTGTTCGACGAAAATACGTGCCTGTAACATTAAAAAATAAAAAGAAATCAAATAATCAAGATCAACTCCTGCTGGAACAATCACCAGAACCTAATATGACTGACGATACTGATGGTCAATTTGTAAATGATGAACATTGCAAAGTTGAACAACCGGACCGACAATCGAACATTGTCGGAACAATTTCATATCCAGAACAAATACAAACATCCGAAACGAATACTTGATTTTATTAGTGTTTTAATTAGATTTTATTAATTTTATTAAATAGAAATGGGAGTTATTTTATTTGATATATATAAAGATTTATTGTGAATCATCATTAGTTGGTTGTCAACAGTTACCATTAAAACATGTCAGGTACGTATACCATAAGCGTCGGGCATTCGTTCGATCGTATATTGATGACCAACAAGAAACATTATCGGTATACCAGGTATTTTTCGAATACGCCGTTTCAGTGCCTTATCACAGGTACCAACAATATAGCATTTATGTTGCGTGACACGATTTACAATACAATCATCGGCATACGTTCCCTTATGTGAACATGGTAGCCGTTCGAATTGTTCTTTAACGATTTTTAATGCAAGACGATATTTTTGTCCTAATTTTTGTAATTCAGCAACGATACAATCAGTGACCATTGGTATACATTTAGCCAGTAAACAATTCATCATTGATTGCATTATGTCAAGTTTATTTTTGATAGAGAAATTGACAAAATTTGTATCGCATATTATACGAAATGGTGGCCCTAATTGCAAATTGTAATGAAAAAACATTGTTGTTGATACGACAGCAGGTTGATTTTGACGTTCGGCACGTTTAGCTGCTTTTTTTGCCTTTTCACGCTTCTTTTTTTTCAAAATTCTAGGTTTCATTTCGAGTTGATTTTTTACACGTGAATCTTTCATCGATAATAATTTTGGTGTCCGTGTTTTGGCCATTTTGCTTATAACAATGATGAACAAATTTCGATGTTGGTTCGATGGGAATTTAAGAAAGTAAAATCAACATTTAAAATTGATCCAACAACAAATGTTTATGCACGTGAACATTAGACAAATTCATAAAAGACGGTTCCAAATTAGCTTATACAGTGGTAGCTTGTTTAACAAATTACGGTTAATCAAGAATTCACTGTATAAAATTTTTTTCCATTCTATTTAATTTGTGAAAAAAATTCCGAAAATTTCATTCAACTAATAATAGTCGATTAAAGCAAAATTTCAAAATCAATGGTAAACAAAAATGGCTGAAGTGAGATAGAATGACGACAATTATCGATTATGTGGAAACTATTCGTTGCTTGGCATTTTGAAATTTTGAAACTAAAAATTTCTTTTTTTTTGTTGATTTGTTTTTCCATTCAATTTTTTTCACAGTATAGTCGCCAGAATGACACTTATAATGATTTAACTTTGGAAAAGAGAAGAACAAAATTTAAATTTACGAAATTCGAATCATTTTTTTTTTGCAATACCCCATTTATGAATAGAATTCGAATGATGAAATGAATTGCCCCGAAACAACAACGACGGCCGTCAACGGGTTTCTTTTTTGACTGTTGTTCCCCCCCCCACCAATATTTACTGCATGCGAATTGCTTTTGTATTATTGAACAAAAAAAAATTTTTTTTTGAATGTTTTCATTTTATTCGTTTTATGAATATTTTATTTAATTAAAATCTCATCGATAATTTGTCGATTTATCAATTAATTGATTTGAAACTGAAGATTATGGCTGATTTGATTGCTAGTGATGACAATTATAATGTTGATGGTAAATCTTTACACATTTAATTATAAATAAATTCTTGATATTTTTATTTTCAAAATAGAATTAATACGTGAAAGTCAGGCGAAAATTGACCATGAAATTGCCGAACAATTTCCATTGGTTTCTGAATCATATGATATAAGTAAATTGCATAATGAATATTCGAATGAAGATCAAGTTTATCAACAAAAAGTCGCTGTAAGTTTTCAATGAAATGAATTGAATAATTTATCTGATGGATTAAATAAATAAAGGATCTGGAAGCAAAATATTTTGCTCTGCGTAAAACTCGACCAGATGGAAATTGTTTTTATCGTGCATTTATATTCGCTTATTTTGAATCATTGTTTGGAGATCCAAATGAATTAAAACGTTTTATTCAGGTCTGCCATGAAACTCGTAAAGATATTACCAGTCTTGGTTTTCCTGATTTCACTGTTGATGAATTCTATGATTACGTAAGTGAAAATGAAAAGAATTTTATTTTTTTAATGCAACGTTTGTTTGTTAGTTTTATGAAATCGTCTCACTCATCCAAGATGGTAAGGTTACAAACACCCTGGAATTGATGGCCGAATTAGATAAACCTTCTGTATCAGATAATATTGTCGTCTATTTGCGTCTGCTGACATCATATTACCTGCAAAAAGAATCGGACTTTTTCGCCAACTTCATTGAAGGGTCTGGACAGATGGCCGAATTCTGTAAACGAGAAGTTGAACCAATGTACAAGGAATCTGATCATATCCATATAATTGCTCTATGTTCAGTGTTGAATGTTAATGTACGCGTCGTATATATGGACCGTGGTGCTGGAGGTAAAGTAAATGAACATGATTTTATTCCCATACATAAGAACAATGATTCCGATAATGGTAATCAATCACAACAAGAATCTGATGCTCGTATTCATCTTTTATATCGGCCTGGACATTATGATATTCTCTACAAAAAGAAGTAAATCTATCCATTTTAACGAACAACAAATCGATCGATTTTTTTAATTATAGCTCGATTATTTGTGAATTAATTGAAAAAAATATTTAGGCCTATATCTTAATCTTCGTTTCCTTCTTCCATTTTAATTACATTCATTGTCACCAATAACAAGATGACATATATTACACATATATCAATTTATATATTGAAGATTTTGATATTAATCAAACCAAAATCATTTATTAATTTTTCAATCATCTTTAGAATATTCTTATTTTTCAACATTTTTTATAAGGTTGTTGTTGAAACTGTAGGCAGTGACGTTGAGGTGATGCTTGCAACAAATGGCATTGCTATGAATTTTTGTGTTGTCGACGTAATTGTTGATGATGATGATGATTTTGAACAATCTTGGTTCGAATTACTGGTAATTGCTCGTTGTTGTTGAAATTTTCGATGACGATTCAAATGTTTTTTCAATTGTTCGGCCATTGTCGTTGTGTATGAACATCCTTTCCATATACATCGTAACCAACGTTGAGGTTTTAATGTTTCCTGTTCGCCATTCCGTTGTTGTTGTTGTCGATGTTCGATATAATGTGCGAGTAGACCTCGTTTAGTTTGAAACGTTCGTGAACAATCTTTCCATCCGATACATCCATAACGACGACGAGTACGATTTTGATGTGATTCAAGATGTTGTTGAAATGCAGCTCGAACCGAAAAAATCATTCGACAATCAGGCCAGAAACAAGTGTATGTTCGTGTCGTTGGTTGTTCAATCTGTTGTTGATGAGAAGTTTGTAAATGACGTTGCAATGCTTCCATTGTCATAAATTGTTGACGACAATTCTGTTGTTTGCATTGATAGATTGTAGTTGTACATTTCGAAATTTGTGATTCCGGTTCTAAAGTGCTGCCATGCACATCTCGCATATGGCGTTCAAGTATAGTCGAACGAAATGTTTCATAAAAACATCCGGGTTTTTCACATCGAAATTGTGGTTTACGATGTGAGATCTGATGATTCGATAATGATGATTTGGTTCGAAATGTTGATGGACAATGCTCACATTTAAATAATATAATGTTATTTCCTGTCGCCATAGGTATCGATTCATTAATTTCATTATCTTGGTGCTGTTGGCTATCAATGATAACCATTGGTTCAATCGGTTGATAATCATCGTTATCATCATAAGCACCATCCTGTCCTTTAACTTCAAGTGTTGTTGATTGATTTCGATATTGTTGTTGAAAAGCAACTTGTCGATGACGAACTAAATGCCGATTCAAAGTGGATTTAGCTTTAAATGATTTTCCACAATGTGGCCAAGAACAACGATGTTTACGAATTTCTGAATGTTTTAGCATATGTACTCGATAAAGTGGCCGTTTATGTGTCTGATACGAACAATCAGGATAACGGCAATGAAATATTCGCATCGGTTGTTTTTCATCCATTTCCGAATCAATTGATGTTACACAAGCAACATTTTTTCTGTCGCCGTCATCATTTATTAGAGATGCCTGCTCTCCTTGCTGAACATCACTATGATGATTGGCAGTAATAACATGACGACGTAAAAGCATTTTTGATTGTGAGGCAAAATAACATCCTGGCCATTGACATGAATATTGACCAGAATGTGATCGTACATGATTGATGATCGATGATCGTTTATTGAATTGTTTGTCACACAATTTACATGTATAAATTTCTGGACGATTTTGTCCGCCATTTTCCGGTTCGGTTTTTATTCGATCCATTTCAGTTTCTTGAGATCGTTGACCATGACCAATATCCTGATCCGGAGTTGAAATATTCAGACCTTCTTTGTGTAACATCATATGTCGAGATAAAACAACATTCGAATGACTACGAAATGTACATCCATTCCATGCACATGTGAATTGACCGGAATGGGATTTCACATGATTCGATAAAGATGATTTTTTCCGAAATGATGTTCCACAATGAGGGCATTTGAATGGACATTCAATCGCTGTGTTTGTCGATTCGGAATGTTCAGCTGAGATATGTTGTTGAAGTTGTACCATATTGGTCGTACGGAAATTACAACCCGAATGTTGACAGCCATAAATATTATTAGCTAACGATGATTCTGGCTTTGATATACTTTGTTGCTGTAATTGCAATGATCCCGAAGACGATTCTTGTTCTTCCTGATTACGATGTACATTCATATGATTCAAAAGATGAGCCTGAGTTTTGTAACGCTTGGGACATCCGGCTACAGTACATGCATAATTACGATCATTGGAATGTGTCATCATATGATTCGATAAGTAACTTGTTCTAGTAAATGTTTTACCACAGCCAGGCCAACGACAAATATGATTGCGTGCTGGTTGTTGATCGTCTTGTTTAACCTGTTGCGAAGGCAGGGTTTGTAAAATGACTGATTGGGACATTGATGTTGATATTGAAGGTAAACGTATCGATATTGGTGGATCAAATGCTAATTTTGAACAAGAATCCTTACGTAAATGAATACGTAATACGTATTCATTACGGAAAGTTTGATTGCAACGAGCACAACCAAATCGTGATCGATGTATATTACGTTGATGCTGTATCAACAACGATACCTGATGGAATGTTTGCAAACAGAATTTACATTGATATTGAGGCAATCTTTTTGGTTGTTGGTGTTGAATCGTTTCATTTTCTTCTTGAATTTCGGTATCTTGTTCAAAATATTCCACCTGAAGATTTTTTATCAACGATGATGATGTGTCATCTTCTTCTATCTCATTATCATTGGAACCATTATCATTAATACCATCATCTTGATCAAGTAATTTTTTAAATAATTGATCTAATAATTTTCGACGAAATTGATTATCACGATTCATTCGCAATAAGAATGCACCAATCTGTTTGCTAAGACATATCATTTCAGAATCATCAATTGTAGCCATATTGTCACCCATCAATGTAAAATCAGTTCCATCCTCGATACTTTGATTATTAAAATCATCGACAATAGCTATCATCAACATTAGTTAATAACATATCTTAAATCAATCGCTAGTTTCACTTACCTAGAATCGAATAGATGGAACTTTCATAATCATCACCCAATTGTCCAGTGGATGGTTGTCCAAGATCCTGACATGTTTGAAGAAATTTTTCACAGATCATATCTGAAATTTTTTGTTTGGTTTCACATAGATCACGAGAATTTCTTTCTGATTCTTCATTATTAATGCCATCATTTTTGTCATTTTTATCGGTTTGTTCCTCGGATTGTTCTTGCTGTTGTTGAACATTTGCAATTGTGGTAAGATGGCTATTAAGGTCCGCTTGAAATGAATTGAATGCATGTTTATAACGAAATAGATCTTGGAATAGTTTAAGATTCAATTGTAAAAGATTACAAATTAGATTCACTGTTGATTTGGGATAATTCATTTTAAATTCGCTTCAAATTATATCCACTTTGTTCAATAAGTTTGTCGAATTTAAATGATGCTATGTTGTACGTCGCAAACAAAAGCTGCATCAGCAAATGGATAATAGAATAGATGCCAATACAGGATGAGGATTCTTGCTCGACTTGCATCACCCAAATAACAAAAAAAACCTTATATTTAGAGTGTATTGTATTGGCACCAGAATTAAGGCAGTGTAGGCACGGAACCATAACTATCCATGATGAAACTATGTGGAAGTTTTAGCATTAAAGAGTCCATATTACATACATACAGTTATACATACATACAAACATACATGGAATGGAGCATTTGGAACGCCTGGAAAGTATATTTGAAAAAAAAGAAACCAAAATCACACGGACACACACACATAGACGAACTGTATATACATACCCAGATTCATGGTTTGCAGGATGCATGATGGTTCGTATATATCCAGCAGTTGGTCTTGCGTGTGATGGTTGGTTCATTTGTTTGTTAGTTGGTTAGTTGAACGATGGAACGGAATATTGGTGTAGGTGGTGTGTAATCGACAGAACAAAGTTCCAAACATCATAGACACACTCAGAGAATTCGGAGATTCGCGAACGCTGTTTTCGATTTTTCTTGCTGGTTTGCATTCAAAATTATATTTACACTACATACGCACAGAATCATTTTAGAAAGAAAAAAATTGTGATAGAAATCTTTATGATTCCAAAATCTATAGATGGAATGATAAACATAGCCATTATTCAAAAAAGTACAAATTGATCAGGATGCTACACTATCACAGCGAAAAGGAAATTGTGTAGCAATCGAAAAATTATATAATTTCGGATCCCATCATATATGATATACCTTGATTCATAGAAATTTGCATTCAGAAAGAAAAATTAATACATTTTAAATCAAATTTATTTGAAATTCGCTAAATATAAAGAAAAAAAGATGGTCAATTATAGTGTTGGTATGAAAATATCGTGATACAAATGTTTTGGTGTTTGTGTGTGTTCGAATTGATAATGCAAATAAAAAACAATCAAACAAACAAAAATGAGAAAAGTGTAAATGAGATAAATTTTTTTTAGTGTTAAGAGATATGAATTTTCGAATGTTATCATAATCATCAACAATGTCAATGTCAATGAATCTTATTTAATCATTTGGTCTGAAACAGCCAAGCCTTTGACACCTTAAAGGTCATATTTAGAATTTACTCACAAATCAATGGTTGTAGGTTATATCATTAATTAGATTTATCCAAGAAAAATAAACAGAAAGAAACTAATGTTAATGTAATATGTATGAATGGGTGTTTTTATGAGATAATGGATAAAACGGACAAAAGAGATAGTTTAATCAGCATCCATTGAGTTACGACTGTTGTCTGAATGATCTTTACCATCAACCGAAGGTGATCGTGAACGAGAATCGTCGCGACTACCAGGTGAACGATGATCACCACCATCACGGCCTGGGGATTCTGATCGAGAACGAGAACGAGAAGCTGAGCCATTCTTGCCACCACTGCCATTGGCATCAGAACGTCGTCCGACCGGCGATTTTGATCTTGAACGGGAACGTGATCGACTGGATTCGGATCGTCGAGAATCAACCGATTTTGAACGATCTCTATCATCACCACCGGAGCGGCCTCGTGCCGCTGGTGATTTAGATCGAGATTTTGAACGATCAGATTCAGATTTAGATCGTGATCGACTTCTTGGCGATCGCGAACGGGAACGGCTACGTGAGCGGCCACGTCGTGGAGAATGTGATCGCGAACGTGAACGACGACGTCGTGATTTATCTTCGTGCAAACGGATACGTCTACCATGCAAATCTTGCCCATCCAATTTTTCGATAGCTGTTTTCATATCAGAATAGGTAGCAAAGTCAACAATCCTATTTGGAATAAATGAATATTGCATTTTATTTATATTAGCATATTTAAAAAAAACTTACCCCATATTTTTTTCTCGTTTATGAGCATCAGCATAAGTTACTTCACCAGCTTGTCGCATAAAATCTTTAAGATCCTGAACGAATATCAATATCATATAAGAAAAAAAGATTAGAATAATGAAAATGATACACAAAAACACAAACATAGAAAAAAAATCGGTTATTGATAGTAAGGCGAAGTGTGTATGTGTGTGTAAGTAATGCTTTATGGCTGATTACATTTCATACCTGAATTGCTAATGCCATAATTAAGAAATTTAATTATGATCAAATATAGTCAGAACCAGTTAGGTTAGGTGAGTAGGTTAGCCATACATATTCCCAAAAAACGAATTTGTTGTTGTGGGGGATTTTTCACCACCAAACCATTCGGTCATCAAAATCGCGCATTTTTATATTTTTAACGTATCGCAAAAACGATCCAACAAATTATCCAAAAATTTTCTTCAAACACACAAATATTTAAATGGCGGGATTACGATGTTCGAATTTTTTAAGACAATGGTAATATTTTGCGAATAATACATGAATGATCCATATCATAATCATACTTTGGCCTTGGCAGCGGTTGAAGCATTTAAGTGTTTATATTTTGGATATGGCGTGATGGTAGGAATTGAAGACTATATCGAATGAATTTTAAATATTGGATACTGTTTTTTAAGCTACTCTTGATCATCATAATACTATCTATGCCCTAATCTTTCTGTGTAACTAATTCATGTGGTCTATGCGAATCGGGAAAGTATTAGACCACTTGAAAAAATAGGTTTAGAATGTTTCACTAGTCATGTATAAATCTAACAAGTGTCATGCGACAAAATTTTAAAAAAGGGATGATATACCACAGGCTATTGCAGCGGCGACTGTAAATGATAATCGGTCCAAGCGACACCAACACCATATGCGAAAACCACCATTCGCCAAATGTGTTCATGTGTTCAGCCATGGCCATAACCGATGAGAGAAGATATGACCCACCATTATAGCGTAAATCATCAAAATAATTGTCATTGGGCATTGACGACCAAATAAAAATACGGATTGAATAATCGCATTGCAAATTAATTGAAAAAACCACCACTGGCCACCACCATTCCTCTCTCTATACATGGATGATGAGATGTGATTGATTATAACTGTGCTGCTGTCGTCCAACCATCTTATGGCCTTTTTTAAACTATAGTCAGATTGGTCATATATATAAAAATAAAATCACAAAAAGACATTTCCCTCTCCATTGGGTTTACACATTCGTCGGGAAGACTCATATTGTTTTGGGCGTCCAAACCAACAATTCAATGAACCATAAAGGCGTTCTCAAATTTCACACGACTGACCAAAACCATTTGACATCAAACAGAGCGCCCAATTGAATATTCGTTCGAATCCATTCTGTTTACGCTAGGATTAACAGCGGTTTCTGTCTGTTGCTGCAACTTCTAATATTGCCTCATCTTAAATCCTTATTCGCGTCCTCATCACCCAACGCAGACAACCATTTGGCATTTGGATTGCTTTGGATATGATAGATTGATGGGTGTGTGGTGTGTTTTAAATGGAAGACAGACACATCCAGACCAGATAGAGAGAGTGATAGAAATAGACATCGGTTTGGTGGGCGTGTAGAGAGCACCATCAATCACCATGATTAAGATAAGAGGTGGAAAAGAACAACAAACAAGGAGTAATAATAAACAAAGATCAGTAAAAAAAGACGACATGGACAATTTAAACACATTTAACCTTTTCTAATCTGACATCTCATCAAATTAAATCCATAAGTCGAAAATTCATAAGCAATAACGACATAAACAAAAAAAGAAAATGAAAAAAATGCAACTCTTACCTGCCAGCTCACACGACTGCTTAGATTTTCGACAATTACACGATATTCAGTGTTGCGTGGAGGTCCATAACGGCTATTAGAAAAAAAAACAATCAATTAGTTTAGAGGAACGATCTAACTAAATGTCATCTGAAAATTCCCTATACTCAGATAACTTTCTATCATCAAGGTTATTATGCCCCGAAAGATGGTATATAATTGAACATAGTCAACATTCATCACTAACAGCTAAAATTTCATTCAAACACATTTTACGATTGTCTGAACTTACTTTTCATTATAATTTGATCCACCACCACCACCATTACGTGATGAAAATCGACTGCCATAAAAAGATCGGCCACCGAATCGTCCACCACGGCCACGGCCATTACCGCGAGCAAATTCAACATTAACACTATACGTATAAAATATGAGATTAGATCAAATGGGTGAATTTTCATCCAACAATTACCGTTCACCAAGCATATCTTTGCCATTCAATTCATAAACTGCATCTTCGGCATCACGATGATCATCGAATTCCTGATAGCCAAATCAATTGGGAGTTAATTAAATTCTCAAGAAATTTCGATTAAAAAAACTTACGACAAATGCGAATCCATCTTTCAAAAGGATTTCACGAATACGACCATAGCCTTTAAAGAATTTTTCAATGTCACGCTCACGTACATCATATGATATACGTCCAACATAGACCCGAGTACCGGTCATATTTTAGATTTTCAATTAATCGGTAATTTTTATAGCAAAAGAAAAACAAACAAGAATCAAATCGAAAAAATTCGAAATCAAATGTCCAATTGCCAAAAAAGAAATCTGATCGAAATAAAAAAATGACGAGTGAGTATGAAAGTAATGGCGAAAAGCACACCGAACAAATGCTCACTTGCAAGTGAAAGTAAAATTGGTGGTGCTCAATTGAAATACAGCGTTGAAAGTGGCAGTGATAATGAAATTTTGCACCATCATTCATATACAACGTTTTATTCTTTATTCGATTTTTATTTAATCTTATTAAATTTTTTGCATCAATGTCATAGTAAAATTATTAATTTGATTAGAATATTAGTGGAAATGGTCATTTAATATTGATTTTAAACTTAAAAAGCTAAACAATAGATTGAAATTGATGAAAAAATTTCAAAATCATTAATTTTATCAATTCTGATATATCACCATCTATGGGCGAATATTATAAATTTATGAAAACTTTTGTTTCCATTTATTTTATTCAAGTGTTGAATCTCAATAGATTCTTTGACATACAAAAAAGACCAAAGTTTTATTGAACATTGACATTTTATATGATTATATTCGTTTGGTATTAATAATATGAGTAAAAAACGTGTTACATATTTTTATGATCCTGAAGTCGGTAATTTCCATTATGGTACAAATCATCCGATGAAACCACAAAGGTTGGCAGTTACAAATTGTTTAGTTCTCAACTATGGCCTTCATAAATACATGAATGTTTATCGGCCATATCGAGCAACTTATCATGACATGTGTCGATTTCATTCCGAAGAATATGTTGATTTTTTATATCATGTGACACCATCGAATCAAGCTCAATTCCAAAAGGTGATCTCACAATTTGGTGTCGGTGATGATTGCCCCGTATTCGAAGGCCTTTATGAATTCTGTACTCGATATACTGGAGCTAGTTTACATGGCGCCTGTCAACTCAATGATAAAGTTGCAGATATTGCCATTAATTGGTCGGGTGGCCTTCATCATGCTAAAAAATTTGAAGCATCTGGATTCTGTTATGTCAACGATATTGTCATAGCCATACTCGAGCTTCTTAAATTTCATCCACGGGTTCTGTACATCGATATAGATATTCATCATGGTGATGGGGTACAGGAAGCATTCTATCTAACCGATCGTGTAATGACCGTATCGTTTCATAAATATGGTGCCTTTTTTCCCGGTACCGGTGATATGTATGAAATTGGCTATGAATCCGGCCGTCATTATGCTGTAAATGTTCCATTAAAGGATGGTATCGATGATGCTGGCTATTTTAGCGTGTTCAAACCGATTATAAATGATGTTGTCTCAATTTATCAGCCTACTGCCATCGTATTACAGTGTGGTGCCGATTCACTTCATGCTGATCGTCTTGGCTGTTTTAATCTATCATTTCGTGGTCATGGTGAATGTGTTAAATATGTAAAAAGTTTAGGAATACCATTATTGGTTTTGGGTGGTGGTGGTTACACTTTACGAAATGTTGCAAGATGTTGGACATATGAAACAAGTCTACTTGTGGAAAAAGAAGTTCCCAACGATATACCATTAATGGAATATATTGAATATTTTGCACCGAATTTTACACTGCTTGATGATCTCGTACAGCCACCAGGCTCTGATCAGAAATCCATTCGAAATAATGAAACACATCAACATAATCATAATACAAAATCCTATCTTGAAAGTATTGTTAAATTTGTTCAGGAAAATTTACGCATGTTAGATGGTGCACCATCCGTACAAATGCACTATGTACCACCTCCTTGGGTTTCGGTTGATGATCCGGCTTCGAAACCATTGACCAAAGAAGAAGCAATTAATGAATTCTACGATCATTCGGATCAACAACAGCAACAACAATCTGATGATTGATTTCCACCATTGTGGAGATTTTAAAAAAAAATATTTTGTAAAATGATAATTTTATTCGGGTAAAAGATAAATGAGTTTATTTTGTAAAATTCTCTTATCTGGAAAATAGATAAATTAAATCAATTTTGTACATATCATTCAATTGTGGGGATTCTTTTTCTATCTTTGGCGGTCAATTTTTTTCTCTTTCTTTCCAGATATTTCTGTAGACCACCTGATTCTTTAAGTTGTTTATATTTTTCTAATAATTTTGTTCGTTTTATTTCACTTTTATTAACAAATTTTCGATTGGATGAATGATCACTTTTAGGTTCGTTTGTTTGTTCTGAATGATCAACTTGTTCGGTTTTAGTTAATTTCTGGCGTATACGTTTGGTTTGTTCACGTTCTTCATCAGCTTGTATTTGATTGGTTGTACGCTGAATAAGAAATCGTATTTTTTCCTTGGTTTCGGGATTTTTTGCCTTTTTCAATCGTCGCCGTAAATCATCCAATTCTTTACGTCTGATGTCAGTGAGAAAATGATAGTTTTGTTCAAATTTATCCGGACGAAATTGACCACACTGTTCATCGAATCGTGGATCACGAAACTTTTTAGTTGATTTGTCATGAATGGTGTAGAATCTATTATCTAATTTCTTCGATGAAGCTTCGATAGGTCCCGATCGAGTTGTTTTTTGTTTTTTTCTGTCCATCTTTGGCGGTCCAAAATGTTAATAATCCTTGCCACGCTTAGAAAAATGCACATGCATGTCAACAATTTTGCTGTATAAATAGTCGAAATGCACTCATAAGATTTCACACTTGTAAACAATGAAAATTTATTCAATTTTTAAATATATCTTGATTTTCTTCCAGTGGCTAATTTTCATTTTTTTAGTTATTTCATTTTTTATAGATTGCAAATTTGTATAAAAAATTTCAAGTTTTCGGCTAAAATTCTGTAAAATAAGGTATGAAATTAATGACATCCACATTATCAACTGTAACAAAATTCTAACATAAAATTCACTTGATATATAAGCAGTACAAGTTCCATTTGTATAATGGAAGCTGTATAGAACAGTTTAGGCGGAATTGGCGCCATCTAAAGGTTGTTTTGTAAATTGAGTAGATTTTCAACTTCGATCGATCGATGAGTGCGCTGTGTGTGAGATTCTCTGTTCAGAAACTTGCGCGCATTCTCACTCTCTCGTGAATTCTGATTCTGTTGTGTAATGTAAGTGGCTTTGAGAGGAACAACAATGTTGTGCTTGCTGCATTCGAATTCCGGTATGCCTCAAACAATTTGTTGTCATCTCGCCACATTTCAAAAAGAATATATTCATTATCTATCGCGATAGATTAGAATCCTGATCCATTTTAGGATTCTCTCGCGCGTCGTGGCTCCCGGTGTTAATGATTAGCGGTTGAGCTTGTTTGATTAGTTTGTGAAATGAATTATAAAAACTAAGAGGAGTGGACTTATGAAAGGCATATTGTTACAAATGTATGCAATTGCCGTACTTCTCTGTGTCACTGTATACACTTGAGAAGCATACCACTTATATTTGGGCGACAACTTTGACTTCTAAAATGTATAATTTGGCAAACATTTCAACTGTAGTGTGTAACTATTATAGCTGCCGCTACAACATTGAATGTTGAACACATCATCTCGTATGTGTGTTGCAAATTCTGTCGAATTGTCTGCCCCCAATTTGAATCATTGAAAACGTATAATTTGTGAAAAACATGACACACAGACACACTGATTGCTTCCATTTCAAAACCAACAGCGTCAAATCGTAGCCAATGCTTCGAGATGGCGCTACATTTTTAAATTTAAAAAATCAATTGCCGCCATCTATTGGTCCTGCTCTAATATTGTTGCGATTGTTTTTGTTATTTTCTTTGTTGTTCGAATATCTTTTTTCTCACTTTTGAATCTTTTCTTTTTTTTATGTTGATGTGTTTATCTTCACCTGTAGGTGTCTTTGCGTGCACAACTCAAGATTTGTTCACGTAAAAATAAACTAATACGTCGTCCAAGCGAAACAGAATACATTAGGTAAACAAAATCTAAGTCCATCATTGTCGATTCGATAATTAAAGTGTTCCTTGTAACAAAGTTTTTAAATTTGATTTTTCTGTTCCAAACAAAATAAGCTTGAATTTTTGAATTTGATTTTCGAATCAGCTCACTTGAGTGATTGATTTCACAAAGTAAATGGATGAAGAAATTGAACAACGCCTTCGCAGTCTAAATGAAACTGTAAATGAATTGGCTCGTAAAAATAAATCCAAAGAATTGCAGAAAGAAATCGAATTACGATTAGCTAAACTCAATGAACGTGATCCCAATTTTTATTCGGCACAAGAGCCTCCTGTCAAATTGTTATCGATAAAGAAAAATCGAACAGCTGTCGAAGAGGCTGATGATTTATTGCAACAATTCATGCATGAAGTTTCGCTTGATGAAAAAAGCAAATCATCGATTATCTCCGATGAAGAATTGAAAAAATTGGCCAAGGGACAACCAGAATTAACCCTCAACAAGAATCGAAAAAACCCCATGCTTAAAAAATTTAAACAAACAGGTAACCTTATCCATCAACTTATGATGCGTCGAAGCCTTGAAATTCGAGAACGAAGTCTTGATGATGGTAATGATGATGAAATTCCCGATGTTATAGCCGACGATGATGAACCATTGGATGAAGGGATCAACGATGATGTTGATTGGTGTACTACCTGTAATGAGGACGGAGTTTTACGCTGTATCGATTGTGATATGGACATTTATTGTCTTGATTGTTTTCGGTGAGTTTTGCATATTCCATAATTTAATGAGGATTATTGAGAGTGATGATAATTCTATTCAATTTAGGGAACTTCATCATGATCACGATATGCGTGACCATCGAACGCAACCTTATAAATCATCACAATCAGATCGTTGTCAAAAAGCATCATAAGAAAATGTCATTTTCTTTTTTCTTCGTTTTCAATGTATTGGATCAATCAAAATCTAATTTGCTTACAAGTCAATTGTTATTTTTCAATCTCACTTTAAAACTTACAATTGTTAACACTTTTCATTTTTTATTATTATAACGAATTTTGCCTTAAATATTCATGGTCTTATTGCAATTAACTAAAATTAAGATATTTTGGGACAATAGAGAATTCAAGAATAATTATGTTCCTTATTCTCTATGAGATCACTACGTCATGATCGATTGTTTAGAAATTTTTTTTTGTCGAAATCATTTTCAATTGATAATGCAATCGTTTTCATTGGAAAATTTATCATTATTATTAATGTGATGGATAAAAATGGATGTTGAAACAATCATATGATTTATTGTCTTTTTTATTATAAATTAAATGAATGTATCATAATAATTGATTACCAATATTGTTATCCTTTAAGCTAAATTTAAAGGATAATATTGCCAATAATTCATTCGAATTCGGGTGAATGAATTAATAATTTGCTTATTTTTTCCATATGTTGATTCTATTGTCTAATGTGTTTTTTTGTTTTGTTTTTAAAGATGATCGATTTTTATTTCCTAATCACAACTAATTGTATATATGTTTCGATCAAAATAGAATAGACGTATCCAAATGCTATTGATTGATTAATTGATTGATATTGGATTGTCGATGAGGGAAAGGAAATTTTTTCCTATTCTCATTCAACAAAACAATATTTGACAGTTTCTATTTCTTTAGGACTTTTTTTAAGTCTAAACATTATGAATTATTCACATACCTATAGCCAAAAAAAACAAACAAATAAATATTTCGAAAAAGGTCAGTGAGAAAAACAAACAGATAAAAATGATATAAGAATCTAAAATTCCAAGTTTAATATTAAAAAAATAATAAGAAAGAATGCAAACAACAGCCGATAACTGTGACACTCCTCCGCAACGGAAAAAAAGTAGCATAGCAATAAGAGCAATCATAAAATGAAATTATTTTGAAGAAGTTCATTTATCCCGTAAAAAAATACTCAATTCTCTTAATAAGAAAGCGATCATGAAAATTAGAATATGATAGCTAACGCCTACACATTTCTAACTGTGTAAATATGTTTGTATATTATTAAATCTAGAATCTGTTACCAGGATGTGCTTGAACTTGATAATACTTTAATAATAAAAGTAAAAATGATGATGATGTCCAAATTAAAATGAATGACCTTCAACTGAATTTCGAGAATCGGATTCATGAAATAAAATCGTTCGCTTTCAAAAATAAAATACAATACAATACAAGAAGCTAAAGTGGATCTCAAACTTTTTTTTTGTTGTTGCTTGGTCAAATAATTCTGTTGAAGTGTGGGTGAAATACACCAACCAAACCAAAAAAAAGCTTATTCATCGGAATTCCTTTCAATATTATCTGATCGATAGTTGTTATTTATCGATCAAGAACCGCTGTTCACAATAATGTTTATCCTTTTTATGTCATTATTATTACATTATTGAAGTTTTTTTTCACCATAAAAGAAACTTGACTTGATAATTATCTATTATAAATTATTTAGGAATATTCTATTTTGATGATTATGATGATGAGTAATGAGAATATGTCATTGATCATTAATTAAATTATGAATCAAAACTACTTGAAACATTTGTTGTAACCAATATCATTATCGGTTCGTTGGCCGGTGATCATTTTCAGCTATAGCAAACTAATTGAATGATATCGATCGATTCACAATTTATAAATGAATGAATGATGATGATAATAATAATTGTGAAACCTTCATTCTTTTTCATCTATCTTATTTTTCTAATCTTTTCTTTCTTTCTTTTTTTGTCGACAAAGATTTCCGTTTTAAAATTTCAAATACATTTATCATTTTGATTGTCGTATTGACAAACGAATCGGATATAATTAATGTCGAAATTGTGAATCAATTGAATTTTATTTTATGCTCATTTTCGAACGAAAATCTAATTTTATTCGATTCAAAAATTTCAGTTTATTTGGTTTGGATTTTTTTTCCTCTCTATGGGAATAATATGAATATCTTAGATTTAATGAGGAATTACCTACTACTGATTATACTGATTATATCAAGTTTGTTGAACTCATATAAATAATTTCAGAATAAAATTGTACAATTGAAAATGAAACAAAAAAACAAACAACAACAAAAAAAATTCTCACTAAAGATTGAATTCACCGATCAACACGATGATGACGTTTGAGAATTTGAATATTTCAAAACCGAAATATTCTTTTGCAGAAAAAAAACAGAGTTAATTTTGATTTTTAATCTTTTTTTTCTATCCTTTGTGCATATTTGAGAATTTAAAAATTCGAGTCGGGAATGAAATGATTACTAATTTTTCGGCATAAAAAAAATCGCATCGTTTTTATTTGTTTGTTTTTTAAATTCTTTTTTCTGGCGAAAATTTTCGTTTTTGTTTCAATCAATTCATTCCCAAATCATTTGGGTTTAATATTTTTTCAATTTTTTTTTGTTTTGTCCGCTTCAGATTAAATTCGAATGAACTTTCATTGTCAATTTAAATTGAAAATTTTGTTTTGTCAAAAAAGATAGGCAAATTGAATTGATATTGTTTTTTTGCTGTTATTGATTTCCCTTGGTAAATTGGATATGGTCAATAGACATTTGTAATGAAAAAAAAATCAATAATCGTTATTGATTCAAGTATTCATGACTAATAAATCATACATGATGATTATAATACTTTTTTTAGGGTCAGTTTTTATTGCAACAAAAAAAAAGATAACGATTCTTTGTTTTTTTTTTTGTTTTGTTTTGATTGTTGATTGTTGTCCGTAAATCATATGACCAATAGCTTCAAGATATGTTCATTTTATTATTAAACACATGGTTTTATAATGATTATGTAATAAATTGATTTTGTCAATTGAAATTATGTGGAAATTTTTTTACTCATCAATGAAATGAAATCCATTTTCATTAATATTATTTGACGATATGCTAAGAAATAATTTATCATCAATATATTCAATTATTTTCTTTTCACTATGCAAACACAAGATTAATAAAATACAAGTTTGGTTAATTTAATTTTATTAATGAATAACATATCATTATACAAAGAAACAAATTAAAATGATTGGTAATAACAAACAATTTCCTAACATTCCTATCATTACAAAAAAAAATCGTATATAAAAATTCCATTTAAAAAACCCAAAAAGATTTTTTGGAAAGTAAAAGGGTTCGGGTATATGACCCTGGTTCAATAAATGGATCGATTATGTTTGAAAAAATTATCAATCGATTTATTTATGTGTGCATCTAAGTTAAGGTTCATTACATTACATTTGTTTAACTTCGAATCAAAAATTTTATCGATTTCTTTGACTAAATTCATATTTGATCGATACATTTATTTGAAAAAAATACATTATAATGATTTAATTATTTTGTAGAATCATTAATATCATCATCTTATCCAACTAGAATGAATCGATATTATTTTTCTATTCATTTAATCATATTTTAATTTGTTTCATCAAAATCACAATATTCATTTCATTTCATTTTTTTTGCCCGTTTAAAACTTTTTTTTGTCAAGTAATCAAGATGTGATAATCGTTTTACAGCAAAAAAGAAAAAGAAAAAAAAACAAGAATATTTTCTCCGAATAAGAATCACACGTCAAATCAAGTACAAATGCCCATCGGCTTTTTCAAGTTTGAGTGAAGAAAAAAAAAATTCAAACATTTTTATAAATAAATGGAGATTGATGATGATTATAGTTATTTTGATGATATCCGTTTTTTTTATTGAACATCTTCAATCTAACTATTTGTTTATATGTGTAAAGAATAATTCTTGAAAGCCAAATATTCAGACAAACAAACAAACTTAGATCGTCATCGATCGGTTTTTTGTTGTTGTCATTCGTTATTTAGCAATAAATTTCATTTTTTCTAGCCTTTTTTTCAATTCCCTCTATTTTTTTTTCTTTCTTGAATCACATGATGGCATTGACCTAAACTCTTGAATTCAAAATGTCCATTCAAAAGTTACAACAGCATTTAACTTTCTTTAACTTTCTTTCTTAAATTATCTCTGATAATGATAATAATAAGAAAAAAAGTCTTGTATTGTAATAATCCATATGAATTCAAAAACATTTTTTTCATTCTTTATATTCATTTTGCATCATTCATTCCCGTCATCATCATCATCATCATTATGGATCTAGAATTGGCTTTTTGGTGTGGATGCGCGCCAATTCATTACACTATTTGTTCTGCGTGTGTGTGTAACTTAAAAAAGAATACTTATACAAAAGAATTGTTCATTTTTTTTACTATATCGGCACCACTAGTTGAAAATAATTCTCGATCCTATTTATCCATTGCTTTGGAGATTGTTGTTTTGGCCATTCGATTTTTATAGTATTCAATGTCTATATATATTTTCAAATTTGTAACTAAATGAAATGAATGTATTGATGAAACTGAAACGTAAAAAAAATTATTGGCGCCAGTTTGAAATGATGATGGAATTGTGAATATTTGAGAATTTCAATTTTTTTTTGTGCAAATGTGTGTTTGGTTGTTGTATATCCATTACTAATTTTTATTCTAATTTGGGATTCAATAATGTTTGTAATTCATCAGATTTTTTTTTCGTTTGTTTTGTTTTGTTTGCACATATGGTTATTAAATCGTCATAATCATAATCATAATCATCATTAAATCATGGCAAGAGTGATGTTATTATTTCGATCGACAATAACGAACAAAAAAATAAAATTTGTTTTATTTTTTTTTTTTGATAATAAAACAACAGTTTGATTGAATTGATTATATTTACAAAAAAACAAACATAATTTAAACATTGAAGTTTTTCCTTTCTTTTTTTTCACCCAAAAACGGGATGATCGAATCCTTTATTTCGTTTCGGTTGTTATTGTTGATGATTTTTTTTCTGGAATCATATTCGGCATCAATAATTTTTTTTTCGTTTGTTTCATTAATACATTTGTTCGATAGATGTGTCAATGTTTGTTGTTTTGCTTTTGTCAATTTGTTTTGATGTTTTTTTTCTCATTCAATGATCACATTTCTCCTAAGTGATTTTTTTTAATTTTTTTCCCATTTGTCGATTCGTAAATTAGTGTTCGCTTTGGCAACAAATGAAAAGTTTATTTCTGCTTTTTTTTGGTGTGTCGTTAGAGTGAATTTTTTCGACTCTTGAATTTGATTCATTTTTTTTCTTTTCATTGTTTAAATTCTCCAATGGATTCCATTAACAGGGGCAATTAGTTTCATTTGTGATCGTTCATGAAAAAAAAACAATTCCAGATACAAAGTTTTTTTTCAAATTCATTCATCTGGTCTGGTCTATGAGAAAAAAAATTCTGGTTTACTGTCTGACCAGTTTTCGGTATACTGCTTCTGCGTTATTAAAAAGTTTATAAATTCAATTTTGCTATTTTGAATCATTACTGATAATAATATTCATACATTTTAATGTTGTTTGTCGGTGATTCTGTTTCACGAATTTTGTGTTGTTTTTTTATGTAAAAAAAAAAATAAATGTCAACAACCCTTTTTGATCATGAATCTATTTATGGCTAATCATAATGATCATCATGGAATAAATGATAAGAATAATTCAATTGATGTGAATGAATTTATCGGTCATAATTCGGATGTTCCATTCTCGCCATCCTTATCATCTACAACATTTATAAGTTTCAGTTTATTTGATTTAACAACAACATTAACAGCTTTATTCTATGGTGAGTAAAACATTTTTCTTGATAATACATATTAGATGTTAGTAATATATTCAAATATCGAAAATTATAATCACTTTTATCAGGAGCTGCATTTGTATTAGGCACCATAGGCAATGGACTTATTATCTACATCGTTGCACATTATCCTCGAATGCGTACATTATCGAACGTATTTTTGGCATCATTGGCCACTGCCGATCTATTGCTGGTTTGTGTTTGCATTCCAATCAAGGTAGGTCAATAAAAAAAACGATAAGAATTTCAAAAATGCATTAATTTACATGCTAAACACGAATGCCAATACAGTTTATCCAACTCATCACTTATACATGGACATTCGGTCTATTCATGTGTAAAGCTATACATTATGTTCAATCATTGAGCGCCTATTGTTCAGTGCTTACATTGACCATAATCAGTGTTGAACGTTATTATGCTATCATACATCCTGTAAAATGTCGGGCTACATTCTCTATGCGGCATATTCGTAAGATGATATGCCTTACATGGCTATTATCGGCTATACTAGCATCTCCATCAATGGGTGTTTATGTAAGCAATGTTTACTGATGAGCTCCGATTTTCATACTGATCTTGTCGAAATCCTATCCTATCTCATTGTTCAGATGCTGGTTCGAATTGGTGATGAATATGATTCTGATCATTTCTGGTGTGTACGTATTGCTTCCGATTGGGCAGTTGATGAATCGGATATGAATCAAAAATGGCATGAAGCACGTATTGTTTACGAAGTATATCAAATCTGTACAATATTGATTCTACCAACATTGGTCATGATATTTACTTATTCAAGAATTTGTACACATTTATGGATCGTTTTTCATCGCCGTACAGCCATGAGATTTGGCCATGCATGTCATTTGTAAGTATAAATTATTCTAATTCTAATTCAAACATATCATTCAATTTGTTGACACAGTTTGACAAACAATAATGGCGATTCGAATTGTTCAACGGGTACTAATTGGGTATCATCTAGATCATCTTTTCCCATCAATGCGATTGCATTTACTGCATCTATGTCATCGGATTCGACAACATCGACTACGGCAGCTGCTCATTATCTTAATCGAAACAGTACGATATTAGTCGATAATAGTGAGCCAGGTAATGGAAATCTATTTCCGCCACAAACACCGACATCGATTTCATCATCCATAAAATCACATTATAGTACAGCCGTCCCATCAATACAATCGCTCCGAAATTCTCGACATTCATATTGTCAACAATGTTCACATCATTTTAAAACCAGCGATGAAGACAATCAAACTGTCAAACAAGTTAGTAATCGTATAGTTCAAATAAATCAGATAATAATTGAAAACTTTTGTTTCATAGGTAATTAAAATGTTGGTTGCCGTCGTTGTGCTATTCGTACTTTGTTGGGCACCAACATTAGTAATCGGCTTACTTCGTGCTTTCAACATGATTGCCGAAACTAATGAAGGAATTCTGAAAGAAATTATTACTGGTAATTATTAAGCATGATTAAAATGAAATCGAAATAAGTCTCAATTTCTTATGTTACAGTTACATTTCTATTATCATATCTCAATTCTGTTATCAATCCAATTATTTATGGTTTCATGTCGAAAAATTTTCGACTTTATTTTCGGCTAATATTCATGCAATTCTGGTCATTGATCACCACCGGTCATTGTATCGATCATCGTCATCACTATCGTCATCGTTATCACAATAATCAAGATAATCATCACAATGCTAACACACATCGTATTGGAAATTCTAAAACAAATCGTGTGGATATTCAAACTACGAAAATACAGATGGATCATATGGATGGATCGAGAAAAGATCTACAACGAAAACGTCAATCATGGGAATTCAGTCCCACAACCAATATTCAGAATAAATCTTTATCACTGGCAAATAAACATCCCCTCTCAAGTACTATTCGAATGAAAGCAATTCCGCAAGATTCATCCATAATAATTGGACAGGAATCATCAGCAACGAACGTTATTGATCCAAATCCAATGGTCAATGACCATTATCGTATTTGAAAAAAATATTGACATCGAAAGTGATTTTTTCTCTACTTTTTCTTTTGAAATTTTACCCATTAACATTTCATTGATGATACTTAAATAGAAAAATTTACAAGAAAAAATATTTATTTTTCCCTTGCTTAAAAAATAAAAAAAGGAATTTGATATTAAACTTTCAATGCATATTTTCTCTGTGGCCACAATCGTTCACGTCGTATTTGCTTTCGCGTTTTGATGGCTTTTTCGTTCGGTGTCAATTCTCGACGTTTTGCACGGGTCAATTTTGGACGCAAATCCAATGGTTTATACTTTTTGCCACGATATACACGTCGAAGATTTTCCTTTTGTGTTTGATTGTAGACAGTCAATACACGGGCAATATTTTTTCGAAATACACGAATTTTCGATAATTTTGATGCTGTTCCACCAGTTACTTTAGCCACACGAAGATTTGAAAGTTCTTGTTTCAATTCATCCAATTGTTTCATCAATTCATCTTTGCGTTTGCCGCGCAAATCTTTTGTCTTAAGTTTAGTCATTTTGTCTAATTTTTCCTGTAAGACGTTTGTCAAAAAAAACAATGATGATTTAATACGATTATATAAAATCATTGTAAAATAAATTTAAAAAATTCGCTTAAAACTTACCGAAAATCACAAAAATACGGCTAAAATACCAAAATAATTTACAAAACACACAACTTTAGAGCACCGTCCAGCGAAATCAACAGGAAAAAGGAAAGATTTTTTCTTTCACACACACACGTGTGAGCTATGCCTATTGACACAATGGTAAGTTGAAATAGTAACTTTAATTTCAAGTCAGTCGAACAGATGGCACTAAAAATCTTGAACAAAGCTAAATAAAATCATTTCAGTTTTTGATTGATAATCCTTGTTGATTCAACGGATTTATTATCGGTTGTTGTTTCGTTAGCCATCTGGACCCATCAATAAGGTCATCTTTCCATTTGGCTACACTAGTCAATTTTTTTATCATTGATCTAACAACAATGCATACATGTCAAACAAGATGATAAGGTACAAAAGTTAAATTGTTCGGTCGGTCACAAATGTTTTTTTTATGATCTGGAAAAATATTTTAGCCATCTTTTTTTTCAATAGAAGGTTATGTGATGCAGCCAGCTTGTCATTGACGAACATGTAACCTTGCCGAATATTCAACACAATGGCATATATCATCATTGAATTTTTTTTTGTCATTTCTTGTCGATTATCATCATTATCGTCATCTTCGTCTTGGTTCGTTGTTATTTGTATTTATTAACATTTTAAAATGACCAAAAAGAACAACATTCGTTATCTTTGTCAAATCTCTTGTTGTGGCGAGCATAAAATTTTATGACTTTCCTTCAAAATCTCTCCTTTTCAATCATGATTTTTTTTTTTGTCTAAAAAAAATTCCGATTCCATTATCATTCATTTAGTAATGTCATTATTATTATTGCCATATAAAAAACAACATAAATCATTGGATCACTGTAGTGATTATAAACATATTTATTCGTTCGACTAATTGGAATCGGATTTGAATCCATATAGAAATGGTTTTTTTTATCATTCTTAAATCATTTCTATGATGATAATGATGATTGTTCTTTCATTTCTTGAATTTTTTTTTTCTCTTTAATATTCGATATAATTAATCATCATTATGTTCATTATCATTGCTAAGGGCTTGCATTCCAAAACAAAATTATTAATTGTGATGATATTGTTTGCGTGTTTAAATAGGCCTTCAATATAGATGTTTGATTTTTTTATAATCAAGCAAAAAAAAACAAAAATTTTTTTATAACGGGGTCAAAGTATTTGTCGTTGGGTAGGTTTGCAATACACACACACACAATGACAATCATCTTTGTTGTTGATTCAACAAAAATGAATGGCAAAATATTCAATCATTTTCATTTTACATTATCCTTATTAATCCTAAAAATCCATTCGCTTAATCCAGTTTTATTTTGATTATTGAATTTTTTTAAAATAATAATTACATTGCACAATACGTTTGCAATAAATAGACATATATGTACACCTATAGATCCAAATATAATCTATCAGTCATGAATGTTCATCATCATTTTTAGTTTAAATTCATCCATCAATCATCAGTATGATAACTTTGGTGTGCATCAGTGCAGGAATCTTGATCAATTTTTATGTTTTTTTCCCGTCTTTTTCAATGTTATGACTCATGAAAGTGGGGAAACAGAGAAAAGGGGTATCACTATTTTAAACAGGTATCAATTTTAGAAAAGAATAACAAAACAAAAACAAAAATAATGATAATTCCTACACCCACAGTGTACTGAGATGCAATCAGTATGAATAATGTTTGTCTGTTATCCTGGTTTATATCTATCTCATATATAAAATCTCTTCTGCTTTTGTTTTTGAATTGAAAAAAACTTGATTTTTGTTGTTTTTTTTTTTGGTTACCATTCGAATAAGAAGACATTTCAGTGCTTTTATTTTGTCTTGTCAAGATGATGGAGATAAATTATCAATTATGGTTCTTTTCTTATAGTTTATTGTGTGTGTGTGTGTGTGTATAGAAAACCACTATTCTTCTTTTTTTTCTTTATTCTGCGAAAAACAAAAATTATTCGCTTCACAATTAAGACAACATCAACAAAAAAAAAAAACATTAACATTATAAATATATGCATAAGACGAAAATTGTTGGCAATCAAATATGATTCGGATGTGAGAAAGTTCGTCAACCATTTTCGTTTTATTTAATGAATCATCAATGCATTGACATAAAACAAACAGATAAATGGAAGTTTGTTTGTTCATTCTTTCGAATGTGTTTCTTTTAATTTTCGGTCAAATCCATGATGCTGGCCATCATTTCATTCATTCAATTATTGATAGGAAATGCCAATTTTTTTTACCTGGTAAAAAATATTAATTGGATTGTCGAACAAAAAAACAATTTTTTCAATTGTTCAATACAATTCAATCAATCATTTTGATCAGACAACCGGAACTGATATGAAATTGGCTTAACCCGATTGTTTGTCTAAAAAAAAACAAAAATTTGAATCAATCATAGGGGTTAATGTAATCTCTTTCTCAACTGAAATAAATTCGGATTTAAATTCTAAAATAGCAAAAAAAAAACGAAAGAAAACATCTTAACCAAATGAATCCTTAGTTTATAAATAGAATCCAATAATGATGATAATAATTGAAAAAATAGATGATGCGACAATTACATTATGTTACTAACAATTTATAATAAGTTATATATGAAAAAAAACTTGATTCATAAATAGGAAAACCCTTATTGATTGTCTATTTATCTATAAAACTTTTATCTAATAATACTATGGTTGAATGAACCAACTTAATTCTCATTTCAATGACCTTATAGCATCTTTGTTTTGTTTTTTTCAGATTCAAACTTAATACATATAGCCTAAAAATGAATGTTAATGAAAAAAACCATTTTTTAAAAAAACTAACTTGTCAAACGATAGTTATTCTATAGTTGACATTTAATTTGCATGTATACGACATTAACTTAGCTTGTTATTCTGTTTGTTTGCAGTGTTACAGATGGTTAGCATCCACACACACGAACCAACACCAAATATATCTTTGGCCAGATGTTTTTTTCATTCGTCCTTACTGGACTTGAATATCATGTTGGTCGAATATCATTTCTTTTTTTTTCGCTTTCCCTCTCTCTCACGAACCAATGACATAATCAAATTAGTTTTTGGCTAAAACCTTTTTTTCACATTCTATACTCAGAAGATTGGTGTATCTGAATAAACATGACATTAATTGTCACATTTATTTTATCAACTGATTCAATCAGATTTTTTTTTGTTGTAATAAATTCATGCAAAAGAATCTTTTCAAAATATTCATACATTTTGTATTGTTTTGTAACCTTGAAATATATGATTCGGTCATTTTGTTGTTGTTGTTGATTTGGTTCTACCGTCATTCTGAATGAATTTTCATTTTAATTAATGTCAACTATAATTATAATCATTCATAGCAAATATATATAGAATAAGTTGATCATTCCATTCTATTATTATTCAAATCATTCTTGTGTCTATTGTCATTGACAATTTCAGTTTTATTTATATGCATAAAGTATGTAATATTTTTTCGATATATTTGTGTTATCTGTGTTTGTTAGTTGTGTTTTTTTTTTGGCATCTCATTTTCTTTTCGATTTATAAATAATTAAAATATTGATTGATTTTCAAAATAATCAAAAGTTTTTTCGATTCTTTTTTTTTGATCATATATCTTTGTCATTTATATTGGGCTAATCTGATAATGAATTTTCATGGATCGGGTTACATTATTTCTTTTTGTTTCTCTATCTCCAAAAAACTATAGTTTTACTATCAACAAAGCTAAATAAACTAAACCAAGAATATCACTGATGATGAAAAATAACATGTAGATTTGCCGCACCCCAATCCATGTTGAATAACATAAACGATCCAAAAAAAAATCTAAGACACGAATCAAGAATTCTAGTTCAAGAATACTACTGTTTAATTCTACAATGCGCATTCTCAATTTCATTTATAATCACACATATAACTTTAACTAAATGCGGTACATAGGTTCATGATGCTGATGGGTTCTATTTTTTTCCATTCGATAGGTTAAGAGTATAGAGTAGGGTATTCACATACCGTTATTTGCTATTTGGTTCTGGTTCATCCAACCCAAACCCCTCTAACTAACTAACTATCTATCTATCTATCTATCTAAAATGAATGAATGAATACTTTTTCACTGATGCTTTTCTGACCCATAACACAATTGTGTCGCACCCTTATTGTTCGATCCATTTTGGATTTTTGGATTCTTTTGGATAGTAGTGGTGGTGGTGGTGGTGAAAATATATTCTACATGGGTAGATGTTCATAGAATTGAATCTGATTCAAAAAAAACGATGACGTCTGTTTAAGTTTTACATATACCATACATATCTAAGTGTCTGGAACGAATCCAAAATTTTTTTATTACCGTTTTTTTTTCATTAACTTTGACCATTATTTGGGCCAAACATTTTAATTTTTTTGTAGATTTTTGTTTATGTGTGTGTGTGTGTGTTGATGATGATGACATCAAACCCGGTGATGTTTTTATATTTTCATTTTAATTTGATTGGGATTATGGTTAAAAAAACTTGCAATTCATATTTTGTGATTCATATTTTATGAAATCAAACATGGTTTATATGCTGTGCTTGTGCAATTCATTTTTCATTTCATTGACGCGCCCAATTGGCCCATAATGCAATCCTCTCCCAAAAAAAATTTGTTTGTCTTAAATTCATTTTCATTATAAAATTGATTGATTGAATCGATGCAATTTGTAAAAAACAACGAACGTTTTTTTTTGAATTGACTTGATAATGTTCCACATTGCAATTATTTTCAACTGTGTTGTTTTTTCTGTGTGACCATTATTTATCAAAATTTATGTTGCCTCAGTCCAATAATATTTTTTTTTTCGTTGCATCCGAATCAAAAATTCAATAGTTCCCGTATGAAAAAAAACACTATGTGCGAATGCTGTAAACTGTGTTGATAAACATTAAGAAAAAAAGGGCATAGCAACTATAAATCGTCTTATCGTCTAAGCTTCAAGAAAAAAGAGCTTCAACTCGTCGATGATTATCGATATTGTGTTTTATGGGGTCGTATTTACAACCCGATTACGATCATATGGCACATATATAGTAAGAAAATAAAGCTCATTTTGGACAGAATGCTTTTATATAAACGTACGACACACACACACACAGATACAGAAGATCCACAATACATTAAGGCTTCAAAGGTTTGAAACATGTGTGGTTGGAAAATACACACATGCATTCAAATTTGATATTTATTGCTGAATTTTTTTTCATTTTTAAATTTTCCAATAATGTCATCATTGTAAACGTTATAATAAATCTGTGCTTGTTTGGATTCAAATTTTATCATCTTATAAACATGATTAAATCTTTTGCCTATAGGCAGTACAGAAAACCTGTTCCTTTTTTTTCAATTGAAAAGTTGTACATCCACCTAACCGAACCAATGCCAACCAACTATTAATGTTGAATTCAATGGTTGTTTGATATGTGAAACGATTACGAAATCTTACCTTGCTGTTTTGTTATTGCAAGCAAGTTCGTCATCACTTGATCATTGCCATGATTAACCATCATTCGTTGTAGTTGTCGATGGTGGTGTTGATAATGTTTAAACTTGGCAACTTAGTTTTCTTCAACATCGTTAATGTTATACAACAAAAAATATTGCAATTTTTTTAAAAATCGTCGTCTGTTTTTTTTAATTTAACTTGTTTATGATTGATCCATTTGAATATTCAATCGATAATCAATACTTTATCAATTTCGACAATTCAATTGTGTTCATTTATGTGTGTGTGTTTTATTTTATTCATGCAACTATCGCGCCAAATTGTTTTTTTTTGGTTGACAATTAAGTGTTGGTCGCATCCACCCTTAACATCATTACCATCATCATCATCATCATTCATTAGATGATTCATTCAGGATTTTTTTTTTGAAAAAAAGATGATGAAATTAATAAAGAAATAAGCTTTGAATTCAAAGTTCGCCAAACCCGAAATAATGATGATATTATGATAACTTTGTCGCATAAATATCATTAAAGATTACGACGTCAATATGCCATTCACTATGTTCAAAAACTAGCCTCAATTCCCTATTCACTTGAAATTTATAAATCGAGTTCAAAAAAATACTTCCAATTAGCGGCGGCTCGTTTTTCTGATTTGCAAAAGAAAAAAACCGCAATGAACATAAAATTTATCTCAAAGAAAAAATAATCTTGCATTCTTGTGTGCTGGTTTAATATAATCATCTTTTCAAGTTGATTAAGTCAAATCAAAATAAAAAAAAATTAGTTCCCAATGTAATTTGGGTGATTTTTTCGACATCATTATTGTGATATAATTTATTCAATTCAATCTTTATCTTTCATCGAACAAATTTATAATTCTGAAAAATGGTCTGTGAAAACGATGAACCAGTAGGTAATCGATCGATCGATGGCGTACCCGATCTGACATTGATATCAAATATCGATGAAGTTGGTATCAATGAAAATCTTCATGTTCGCTACAATCGTCAACAGATTTATGTAAGTTGAGACATGTGAATTGTTTTTGTTACTGGTTTCTAATTTTTTAAAATCTTAATAATAATAATAGACTTATGCTGGATCAATATTGATTGCTGTAAATCCTTATGAAGAACTGGATATATATGAATCCGAATGGCAACAGTTATATTGTGGGAAACGTTTGGGTGATCTTGAACCACATGTTTTTGCCATTGCTGAATCATCGTACAAGCATTTGTGTTCGGATGATTCCGATCAATCAATTGTGATTAGTGGAGAATCTGGAGCTGGCAAAACAGAATCAACAAAATTTATACTACAATATCTTTGTTCGGTCACATCTAGTCAATCATCGTGGGTTGAACATCAAATTCTTGAAGCAAATACAATACTCGAAGCATTCGGTAATGCGAAAACAGCCCGAAATGATAATAGTTCTCGATTCGGGAAATTTATTCAAGTTTGTTTCGATGAACGAGGCCAAATTGGTGGTTGTGTTGTACGTGATTATCTTCTCGAACGATCTCGAATAGCATTGCAATCAGCCGCCGAACGTAATTACCATGTGTTCTATCAGCTCGTATCGGCAGCACGGCGTGATCAAGAGCTAGCCAAACAATTACAATTAGATGATCCTGCCTTAGAATTTGTATATCTAAATCAATCAGGCTGTACCAGCATCGAAGGTGTGGATGATGCTGCCAATTTCGATTCTTTACGATTGGCCATGTCCGTACTAAGGGTACCCGAAACCATGTCCGATGGTTTATTTGCTGCTCTATCAGCTATATTGTGGTTAGGAAATTTGGAATTCGAAGAACAAGCTGAAACGGAACGATGTAGGCTGACCGAAAATGATGAACTAATCATATCGACAGTAGCCACGTTACTCGGTGTCGATGCATATCGATTAACGTTGATCACTCTACGGCGACAAATAAGTGTTCGAGGTACAGTCACGGATATACCGTTAAGTTTACGTGAGGCAAGAGAAAATCGACATGCCATGGCAATGGCCATTTATTCACGTACTTTTGCATGGCTTGTTCGACATATTAATGCCTGTACATTACCGGATCAATGTGCAAAACGATTTATTGGAGTTCTCGACATTTTTGGTTTTGAAAACTTTCAGTTTAATAGTTTTGAACAATTATGTATCAATTACGCAAATGAAAAATTGCAACGATTTTTCAATCACTATGTGTTTGCCTTGGAACAACAAATCGTAAGTAAAATATAATGCTCTTTATACCATTTTTTTAATAACTTTTAAAATTTTTAGTATCACGATGAAGGTATCAGTTTTGAACATATCAATTTTACTGATAATACGCCATGTGTGGAATTGTTAGAAAAGCCACCAAAATGTGTACTAAGATTATTGTCTGAAGAATGTAGAATTCCACGCGGAACTGATTCATCATTTGTACAAAAACTGCATTCAGAATTTCATCAAAATCATCCATACTATGTCCGCGGTGATGATCGTCGTCATTGGAATGCTCAATTTGGCATTAAACATTATGCCGGTGATGTTATGTATCAAGTAGCTGATTTTCTAGCCAAAAACAAAGATGCTCAACAAGATCAATTTTTTGAAATTATGCTCGATTCAAACAATGATTTTATTAAATCGATCGCTACATTACAAGATACGACCGAATCAATTTATGGTACAATAGGTCGTGCTCAAGATGGCAAAGGATCAAAAGGAAGGCCTTTAGTAGCAGATGCCTTTCGGCAACAATTATCCGCATTAGTTGATCTTTTATCTGCTACCTGTCCATGGTATGTCCGCTGTATCAAACCAAATTTGACAAAATCTTCACGTGCATATGATGTTGCACAAGTCCACACTCAACTTCGATATCTGGGAATGTTGGACATTATTCGCATCAGGCGTGAAGGATTTCCAGCACATTACAAATTTGATATATTTATTGCAAGATTTCGATGTCTACTACTAGTCAAATCATTCAATCATCATCATCATAATCATCATTTTCTTCATCTGAAACCAAATTCAGCATCCGTGCGTGAACTATTGAATCGAATCCGTATCGAACCAATACAATGGCAAATCGGTCATTCGAAAGTTTTTCTCAAAGCTGGAGCAGCTGAAGAATTAGAAGAACGGCGAACAGTGTTACGTGAGCGAATGATTATTCGAATACAATCTTCCTGGCGAAGATTGATATACATGCGGCTTTATCGTCGCCAACGTTCAAGTGCAATTATAATTCAACAAGCATTTCGAGCGATGCGTACACGTTTATTATATCAACGACAACGCCGTGCAGCAATCACCATTCAGGCATTTGTACGTGGAATGTTTGCCCGTGAGGTAGCTCGGGCACTACGCCATATGCGAGCGATTGAAGCTGCGGAAAAACTTCAACGAGACCGTTTAGAAAAACAACAGGCTTCTGACGAAAACAATGGAACTGATCAACAACAACAGGAGCAAGATCGAATGGCAGCGGAACAGATCAACGGACATTTCTTGGGAAAACGGTAAGACACACTCACACATGCAGAAAACGAGTTTCAAAACAAGAAACAAGATTAAAATTTCATTTCTCTATTTTTCTATTATGTTTTCAATTCAATTTATTTTTATTTCTATTTTCATTTTCATTTTCATTTTGACCTGAAATACATAGTGGATCGTCAACACCAGATGAACTGGATGAATTAGAGCGTCAACTACGGGCCGACGTTGAACGATTATATTGTCGTGATAATGATAATTATGAAGAAATATTAGTCGAAGAAACGGAACAAGTGAATAATACGTGTGATACCAACAATAATCAAGTGAACACTCATACTGATGATGAATTACATTTGAAATCATTAAAAGAATCGTCAGTGGATGATGATTCGGCTTTAGAATCCATGTCATCATTGCCACCACTACCTCCGCCACCGTCAATGCCATTAATTGGTCAGCAACCGAATCGATCGATTAGTGATCAGTTTGATCAATTGATACAAAAAACTGAATTGGCAGTAGATTCATTGGATAGAATACAAAAAATGAATCCTCCTAAACCGAAACCAAAACCAAATATATCAGCATATCATCAACAACAGCAACAGACATCGTTGGCGGAAAAATTGAAAGCCATATTAATTGTCGATGAAACACAACAACAACAACAACAATTTATTGATCAACAAGTGGGAAAGATTCACCATCATCAGCCCTCACCATCCATTTGTTCTATCGATTCGGCCGTATCCGATTCTCCAGCCACATCAACATCGGATACATTGATGATGGTAGCTAATAATGATCAAATTCTCAAAAATAATGGTATGTCTCAATTGAATGATGATCGATCATCTACGGCATCCAGTTCAATTCTTGATAATCGTGGATCGATATCATCTTCCGAACATACCGGAACAAATACTTCTCAACGTGATGATGCTATGAGTGTTATGAGTGATGGTGCTGCCACATCTAATAGCACTTCGGATTTTGAAAATTTATCTCCACTTCCTGGCGCTAGTATATCCCATCAACAACAACAAGCCCTTGTTCCCATAACTATTTCAACTACCGTACCACCACCTCCAATGGTTCCAATGGCCACAGCGGCAGCCATTGCACAAGTACATCATCAGCAAATATACACCCAACATCAGCAACAACAACAACAACAGAAAAAGTTGATTCAACCCCAAGTATTGAGCCAACAGCAACATGCAATCTACAATGGTCAACATCAAATGACAATGATCCCGGTAACAACGACCCAAATTGTAGCTCAACCAAATCAACAAATACACCAATTAACGCAACAACAGATACAAGCAATTACAAATTCAAAGTTCATAACCAAACAGATTGTTGATCAACAACAGCGATCACAAATGTCTGCTACCACCAATGGTACTATATCGACATTAAATGGGGAACCAACTGCCGAATGGGAAAAGGATTTCGAATTATCAGAATATGCAAGCAAACATTTAAATCGTCATAAACGTGATGATTATTCGGGTGCATTGTCCGGATCTAGTGGACAAATTGTAAGAACATTGAATCGAAACAAACGTAAAGGTCTTGATGTAAATAGTGCCGAACATTTTCTCACACCAATCGAGATGATTACATGGACTTCAAGTTCAACCATACCAACTGCTCATGTACATTTAGCCATTCCGCAAAACATAAACCTGGCCTGTTCAATATTTAAAGAATTGAATAAATATCTAGCAGGTGAGAAAAAACCTGATGCAGAAGTTCGTTTTATTCAATCAATGATTGGTCATGGTATTGAACGTGAAGAATTGCGTGATGAAATATTTATTCAACTAGTACGACAATCACATGATAATCCATCAAAAGAGCAAACAATCAGATGTTGGTCATTGCTTGCTTTGTCAACGGCTGCATTCATGCCTAATAAACAATTATCTCGCTATTTATTGACTTACCTACGTCGGCATCTGCGAGCAAGTAATACATCAATAGCTTGTTATGCACAATTTTGTTTGGACAATTTACATGTTGGCCGACTGTCGGCGCGACGATTCCCACCATCGGTTGCCGAAGTAAAAGCAGTTACCGCTCTTCGTTCCTTGGTCTGCCGCTTTCATCTGTTGGATGGCCGAACTAAAGCTCTTGATCTTCATCCGGCCGATACCGCTGCTGATGCTGTCCTTTCATTGGCGGCCAAACTTGGTCTCCGTAATATCGATGGTTGGGCATTATTTGAAGTGGCGCCCGAAGGTGAACGTGTATTACGTAGCCATGATTATGTTGCCGATGTATTGACTTTATGGGAATTACGGGCCCGTTCTGAAAACAAATCAACTTCATCATCAGTTGCTTCGTCAAATCATCATCAATCAACCATACCAAATTCACCGTCAGTTGATACGATATCAACTAATTGTCGATTTGTATTTAAAAAACGTCTATTTCGTAACACAAATGAAATTCCACGTGATACGGTTGAAGTAAGCTTATTGTATGCACAGGCTGTACATAGTGTTGTACGATTGGATGAATTTCCTGTTAGCGAACGTATTGCTTTGCAATTGGCCGGTCTTCAAGCTCAAGTGTTGATGGGTGATTTTGTTGAAGGTCGAATTCGTAATTACGAAGATGTTGAAAATTATATAAGTGCTCGAGTACGTCGTGCAGCTGGTCATAGTTCAATGGAATGGGCCGTAAAAATTGCTGATGCTCATCGTTTACATGGTTGTGGAAAAAGTTCCTTAGTAGCTAAAGTCTGGTATCTTTCATTGGTTATGCAATATCCGTTGTATGGTGCGGCATTATTTCCCGTTCAATATAAAGGTGTATTGGCTGTATTTGGTAATATGCCATTATTATTGGGTGTTCATTCTGCCGCTATATTGGTCGTTGCAGCTGCGGATAAACGCGTCCTTGCCACTTATCGATATTCAGACATTGAAGCATTGACCATTTACCCAACAGAATCATTACTTACGCTAAAACTGTTCAAAGAAACACCAGATGCTTCAAATAAATGTTTAACATTCGAAACATTACAAAAAGAAGAGATTGCATCATTAGTGGCTGCATATTCACCACAACATGCATCAGGATTCGCTTTCAGTATGACCAATGCCACAGTTGATGTATTGAGCACTCCAGTCGCGAATCAACGACCCCGTCGATTGCTTAAAATGACATTAGAAGATCGTCTACGATTGCATACCGAAGTGATCAATTGTCGAAGAGCGCTAGTCACGGCCAATATCATGCGAAAACCAGCAGCCGAACATCAGACTAAATGGCGTACAACATTAAGGCGACTAGGTCGTAGCGGCAAGACAAATTCAAAAAACAATCAAATTAATTTAGATGATGATGACTATAGTCATGATGAAATATTGCGAAATTATCCTCGACCATTCTGGGCATACATCAAAGAACCACTTGTTTCGAGCTTATTAGTCATTTCTGATCCAGATCTTGAAGCAGCTGCTGTTACAATGTTCGAACAAATCTTATCCTATTCAGGCTTACGAAATGATACAAGTCATTCGGATAATTCGTCTACCACCACAAATGGATCATCCACATCAGGATCATCGAATGAAGATGAATGGTGTATGCGTGCTACACAATCCGAACAAAATCAAATCCGTCAAGCACAAGCAATTTTGGAAAAATGTCTTGGTGGCGATGCTGATATACTACGTAATGAATTTTTTTTACAATTGATTCGTCAGACGACCGATCATCCAATACCAAATTCTCGTGTTAATATTAAACATTGGCAATTGTTGGCACTTGCCTGTTCGCTTACACAACCATCAGATCGTCGAGTATTGGCATATCTACATGCTCATCTACGTCGCTGTGCCTTGGATCAAATCACACGTGAAGGTCAATATGCACAATTTGCATTGCGAAATCTGCAAGGAACATTAGAAACACGTGGACGTCGATTGGCACCTTCACGCCCTGAAATCACTGCTACCATTCAATGTCGCCGTGTATATGCTCGCGTACATTTTCTTGATGGTCATTTTCAGGCAGTGGAATTCGATGCCTGTGCTGTCATTGCTGAAGTTTTAGAACAAATTCAACTGAAAATCGAACTGCGATCTCATGCTCCTGGTTATGCATTGTATCAAGTTCTAGGACAAAATGGTGCTGAACAGGCATTACAACCAGAAGATAAGGTCGGTGACGCCATCGCATTCTGGGAAAGATGGCATGATGAACATTTAGGTCAAAATGATTCTGCCGGTATCGTACGCAATGTTGTCACTCAAGAACCAATTCATTATTTCATTTTCAAGGTATATATTTGGAATCGATTATTTTTACTCATTAAATTTAACTTTTGATTTTTTGCAGAAACATTTACAAATCGATTCCTATGTTGATCTTAATGATCCCGTTGAACGAGAATTATTATACCATCAAACATTGCACAATGTTCGCAATGATCGCTTCCCTTTGACTGATCAAGAAGCTATACTTTTGGTTGCTATTCGAGCTCAATTAGAATTCGGTGATAGCCATTCGAACAACATGATGATCAACAATTCATTGCAAACGATGACTGATACTAACAATGGGAATTTGGATGATATGTCCTATAGTCAATTAATAGGTAAAACATTACCAGAACGATTAGCCTGTCGAATATTGGTTAAAGATGTTCGAACCCAGCATCAAATTCAAAGTGGAATGGATCAACAACAAGCCAAAGCAGCATTCTTTAATCTAATTCAATCATGGCCATTACACCGCGCTACAGTATTTGAAGTGTTACAAACATACACTAGTTCATGGCCAAAGACATTATGGCTTGCCATTGATCAAAGTGGTATGCATTTACTACAACCTAGAACTAGGGTAAGTATTGTCAAATTAAAAATTTTGTCGATAACCCTTAACTAATTTTTTTTCTAAACAGAATGTTTTCTGCAGTTGTGAATATCGAAATTTGGTCGATTATACAGCAACATCTAATTCATTGATGATTGTAGCGAATGTAGCTACTGCAATAACCAAATCGATTAAATATATGTTTATTACTCACCAGGTTTGTACTTTTAATGTCTTCAACAACTCGATTGATTATAATGAAACTTTTAGGCATTACAAATTTCACAATTATTACGAGATTATACATCGGCAGTATTGAATGCTAATTCGAATCGTATTGCAGCCAATGGCGGTGGTCCATTAAATCGGAATAGATCATTGGCAATGTCATCCCAGGCATCATCAATATCGAATGGTTCGAATACGACTGGCAGTACTGGTCGTAGAAAATCCGTCGAGTTTGATCTTGCGTTACGGAACATGTCGGCAGCGGATAAGAACCATCCTAAAAGTGTTGCATTTAGTGCAGCATTAAATCCCATTCCTCAGCCTCGTCGATCACTGATGGCACAACAACAACAAGCTATCTACGATACTCAACTTCATATTCAACAACAACAACAGCAACAACAATTGTATCAAAATCAACAACAAATCCAATATCAAATGCTACAGCAACAACAACGAAGGTCTAGACAAATTCAAATTCGACATGGAAACGATAGTGATCATGTTTGAATCAAATCGTTCAATGTTCTAGGCAAAAGTGCCAAAAATAAGGAGTCCTTTTTTGTATAAATTCTTAACCTAGTTGATGATTTTTGATTTTGATAAAGAAATTGACAAATAATCAATCAATAAATATATGTAATATTTATCAACGATTGTTTAAATTAATTTTTGTTTTAAAATATTTTATTCATAGAAAAAATTTACATAAATTAATCGAATTAAAATTTGCTTAACATTCGATTATATTTAATATTTCTAAACTTGAAAATTTTTCATAATTATTGTTCAGGCATTTATGATGGCTGGAAAAGTTGTTAAAAGTGATCAGCCAACTGTGCTGATAGCACCTTCAGATTATGAACATATTTTCAAAGGTGATCCCGACACAATCGCTACAGATCAAAAAAAGACTGTAGTTGAAGTCAAAGCAAAAAAAGTATCATCCGATCAACCAACGATTATGATAGCACCATCAGATTATGAACATATTTTCAAAGGATCACAGGATAAAAAAGAAGATAAAACGAATAGACAAATTCGAAAAGTTGCTTCAGAAACACCAACTATATTGATTGCACCATCGGATTTTCAACATATTTATTGTGATCCTACGTTACAAAAAAAGGATGAACAAATAAGAAAGATCAATAAACCGGAACAAAGCCAAAAACGAGATATTCAACAAAAAACTCGATTACCAATTGAACGTTCAAAAGGCAATCAGCGACAGCAACAACAAGAAAAATATACTCATCAACAAGAAATACTTCCACATTCTATCATACAACTAATTGAAAGATTTATAGCAAAACAGAAAAGGGCTTACACTATACAAAAACCAAAATCAAATCGAAATCTTCAATAAATTATTCAATAATGTAAAATATAATTGTTTAATGATGTTTACTCAAGAATGCTTTAAAATAATTGTTTGTAATAGAATCTGCCATTTTCATTTCAAAAATGGTTCAATTGATTTCATTGTTATTTCATATGAATCATTTGAATTTGAAACTAACGATGCTGGTCCTTTCTGGAAAAAATGTTCATCTTCTTTACAATCGTGATATAATACATCAGGACGGACACGTGAAAGCATCGAACATCCAATTATAGTTTGGGCACCTTGTCTGGATGATTTGACAATCATAAAAAATAACGGAGCCAATAAGCTCATCCAAATTAGTCTAGAACTGCTTGTGTATCGATGTAAACGTGTGTAACAGAAACCAGGACTGGCCAAACAGATTTCTACATTTTTGACAACGTTTTTGTGAGTCGACAGTGAACGCATAAAATGTAAGTTTGCCAATTTGGTCGATGCATAAATTTCACGACCACGTTTGTCCATTATAGTTTTCAGTTGTTCATTAGTAATTCTCGATAAAAATTCTTGTTGAATTGTTCCGTGTTTAGTCAGCGTCGATGTAACAGCAATGATTCGTGGTTGTGGTGATTCTTCGATTTTTGACTGTTGCAACTTGGGTAACAAGAGATGAGTAAGCAAAGCTGGAGCCAGATGATTAACTTGCATATTTAATTCAAAATGATCATCTGTTAGACATAAAGGAGCTCCAAATACGGCGGCATTGCTTATCAAAATATCCAATCTTGGCTCATTGCTAATAATATCCTGTGAAAAGCTGTTTACTGAATCCATTGAAGTAAGATCCAAATGTTTGTAGATTAATTGGCCACCGCAAGAAGGGTTTTGTTTCTGAAATTCTTGTATCACCTGTTCGGTTTCTAATCGATTTCGGTTTGCCATTATGATACGAGCACCATGTTTATACAATTCGCGCGCGGTTTCTTTACCAATTCCTGTGTTACAACCAGTTATCACTATGGTCAAATTTCGGGCCGATTTCCCTCCATAGCGTTTTAGCATCTGTTCGTAATTGCCCCAACAATAATAGACATTATATAGGCGGACTCCTTAATAATGCAAACAAAACGATAAACATTGGGTATTATGAAGGTAAAAATACTTTCCTACCGATAATCACAGTGGTCAAAGACGCTAATCCTGCTGTTAACATAAAAGATAGCATAATATCTATAATCTATGATTTTTAATAGAAGAATTCAAGTTAATTCGTATGATCGACAAATAATTTGAGAATCATATTTATGGACGGCAACAAACAGACACAGAAAAAAGTCTGCAGTGTAAACTCCATTCGTGAAGTTTAAGCTTAAAACATGTGGTATATTTTGTTGTAAACATGCAGATGCGTTTGAGTGATCTTGTCTGCAAAAATGTTTACAATTTCAAATCATTTTCGATGTTCGAGTTTAATCAATCAATTATGGCGAACAAAAGATTTGTCCATAGTGAAAATCCAACCTGGGACCGCAATTAAAACAATTTCTAGTCAATCTAAAACACAAAGTGAACCGGCCAGACTAAATGAAGATATTCTATACAAAAAAATTGAATTGGAAGCTCGATCAGCCGACCGCGGTGTATTGGACAGCTATGAAAAATTCGTATTAATGGCTGCCAAATTTTTGGATATCCCAGTAGCCCGAACGTATTTATTTTTTCTTTATTCATAAAATTTATCATCTAAATTTTTTTTTCACAGATGGGAACCATTTCGTTCTATTAAACGTCGAACTTTATTGCGAGCTGCTTTTGTTAAGAAAAAATATCGTGTTCAGTACGAATTTCGTACATATTTTCGTAGTATTGAACTTAAACACCTGACCGGATCGACAGCCGATACATTTTTAGAATACATCGAACGTAATCTACCCGAAGGAACGGCATTAAAAGTGACGAAAGAGCGATTGGAATCAATGCCCGAACATTTGACGCCACCTTCCAAAACATAAATCTTTTAGATATATTCATGTAATTAATTAATTGTTTTAACATTATAAAAATCAATCAATCAAATTAAACTTTTGTTTGTTAAAATAAGGTTTTTGTTATTTTATTTTCATAACAATTTATCCATTCGAAAAATCCAAAAATTGATTTCATCTGTTGTACAATATTTTGTACGGCAGTATTTAAATCAATACACTTAAGATGATTTATAGTCCAAAACTTTTTGTTGATAAACTGGATAAGGTTCGATAATTTTTTTAACCGTTGGAACTGGAACTGGTCGATCAATATAAACATCACGAACAACTTCTTTGACAACTGGTACGATTCGTTCAACCGGTACTGCAAAAGGTTGTGGAACTTTGACAACTCGTTCGACTGGATAAGGTTTTTCAACAGTTCGAATAACTTCATATGGTACTTTGACAATTTTTTCAACAGGAACTGGAACCTTTTTTTCGAAAAATACAAATATGAGATTTTAAAATTTACTAGTATTTTGTTTTATCATACTGGTTGTGGAACTTTGACGATTCTTTCTACAATCTGTTCGACTGGAACTTCTTTGACGACGATTCGTTCAACTGGATACGGTGCTGGAACGAGTTTTTCGATTGGTTGTGGAACTGGTACAATTCGTTCAACTGGGTAAGGTTGTGGAACTGGAACTTTGACGGTGTATGGCTGTAATAAAAATTGAAATAAGATCAGATCATGATCTGAATAATATGGTTACATACTTGTGGAACACCATATGGAACTTTTCGGATAACATCTCTGTAAACATGGTTTACAACTGGATATGGTTGTGGGTATGGTACATCTTTATAAACTTGTTGAATGTATGGAGTCTATATCAGGAAAAAAATGATAAATTTATTTCAATCAAAAAATCAAGAAACCTACTGGTTCAGCAACAGTTTTAACAACTGGAACTGGATAAGGTTGCGGAACTGGAACTTTATATGGAACCTAAAAATATTAAGCAAAAAAAGATGTTTGTTAATCTTTGATATTGATACATAAAGATTTTCTATGTTACCGGTTGTGCAACAGTCTTAACAACTGGAACTGGATATGGTTGAGCAACTGGAACTTGGACAATTTTTTGGCTATAAGTATTGTACGAATTACCTATGTATGGCATAGCGCCATGTACACCAAAACCATATGGAGCGGCCATTCCGTATGGAGCCGGTTTGCATGAAGCAATAACCGACAAACTTACAACCAGCTAAAATCGATTGATAAATAGGAAACAAAAATTTGGTTAATAAATAAATAAATCATCCAAGCAATATTTGGAACCGAAAAAAATTTTATTCAAATACACACATGGACACTCAAACAGATTTAGGATAAAATTAATTTTTTCTTTAACACTTTTTTATATGACTCATTCATTCAAAAGATACTTCATGCTTTGAAAAAATTGTCCATTTTTGGTGACATTGTATAGATGATGAATTTAAGAGGATTTATATCCATGAAGTCGAGCACCGTAAGTATGTTCCATTGGTTGATGATGAACTGGAACTGGAGCGGCATATTTCTTAACAATTGGAACTTCATATGGTTGATCGCGAATAATTTTGTTTACTCTTTCCTGTAAAACTTCAACATGTTTCAACACTTCTACTGGCTTAGCAATAGGAACGGGAACATGTCGAATATGTTCAACAGGTACTGGAACTTCTTTGACAACTTCGACTGGTACTCTAACTTCTTTAACAACTTCGTATGGTTGGTGTACAGGGTATGGTTGATGACGGACAACTTCTTTGATAACTGGAACATGTTTGACAACTTCTTTGATAACTTCGTATGGTTGTGGAACTTTTTTGATTACTTCATATGGTTGTGGAACTTTTTTAATAACTTCATAAGGTTGTGGAACTGGAACTGATACATGAACTGGATATGGTTGTGGGACCGGAACTTTTTGAACAACATCACGATAAACTTCTTTGGTAACTGGAACTGGTACTGGTTGTGGATAAGGTCGTATGGTTTCTTTTACGACTGGATATGGAGCTGGAACTTTTTTAATAACTGGATAAGGTTGAGCAACCGGATATGGAACATGTACTGGATACGGAGCTGGTACACTTTTAACGATTGGTTGATAGTACGGTTGTGGATGAACAACTGGTTGGATAACTTTTTGTTCAGTATGATGATGGACAACATGATCTTTCACACCATAACTGTATGATGGATAATGGGAAAGACCACCATAGATTGAATCAGCAAAGCCATAACCATTCGGTTTAGCATAAGCGGAAACGGACACCAATACAACCAACTTTGTGATGGAATGGGATTGATATATGTGAACAAATAAGAAGAGAAAAAGAAAGGAAATTAGAAATTTTTTTTTTTGGTTAGAATTCAGATGTCAAGGCACACATTTCATTGCGAACTTCATCAAGACTTATCCAAAAATAATTGGGTTCTATGATCATAGAAAAAATTTGAAATTTTTTCATGCTTATTTGCAATTCAATGATTAAATATTGCGAAGAATATATGAGAAGTTCGAGATTATAATGCGAGAAAAACAAATTGTGTGCCTTTTCTTTCTAACCAAAAAAACAAAATAATAATCTCCTTTCTGATTTGTTTCACAAAAAAATTTATAGATCAAAGAAACCCATTCCAAAATTGGAGTTGTGTGTCCAGTCATTCAAAAAAGATTGATTTTCTTTATCACATCTTAATCACATTAATGGATAAGTCTTAATAAAGTTTCGCCACAATGATTATAATGTTACTCAACTTGATATTATTAATTTTGAAAAAGCTAACTACTGTGATACTGATTTATCAAATATCGATAAAATTTTTTGAAAGATGCAAAAAAAATTCTTGAATAACTTACCAATGCTTTTATGAACATTTTTTTAAATTTAACCTGATTTTTTGAAGATTGAATTGGATTGGCACTGAAAAAATTTATCTGAATAACAAAGAAAAAAAAGAAAATGAAAATTATTCCAAACACATCAACACAATGAACACTAAAAATGATACACACACCAATAAATAATTGAGAAAAAACTTCAATGTGTTTCTGTGTTAACACAATCAACAACAACAATGGTGATGATAATGAAGATGACAAATTATTATTATTATTTGAAATATTTGGTCATTTCAATTGCTTCATTTGACAAGCCTTTTTATACATTTCGAATATGTTGAAATTCCAATTCGAATAATAATGGATAAAATGGAATTGTTGTTTTGTATTTGAAATATATCATCATTTCAAAGAGATTTTTCTTATTATCATTATTCGATGAATTAAAAAAAGCCATTCATTTGGCGAAAAAAAAGAGCTCAATGTTCCAGGATAGTTTCAATATGAAATATGGGATGAGTTTTCTCTAAAATTCAAATGAAACAAAAAAAACAACGCCTCCTCTTGAAACCACTGTACGTGTTTTTGAAATATACTTGTGCGAACACTTTGAGTTCAACTTATGGTATCCGTATCAAAGTAATTGAGTATTCGGATTGATACAAATCAAATTCCAATCACATAAGATTCGTCAATTTTTTCTGTTCTGTTCTGTTTCATTTCCAAAAAGCCTAAAATGACATATATTCTATTCATGGTCAAACTTGCAAAAATAACATTTACAATTTTGTAAATAATAGTAAGATTGTTCAAATTTAACTATACAATATTTTGGATGTCCAAATTTATGTACAATGTGTTTTTTTGTTTGATTCGGATGATGAACAAAGAAAAGAAAATTTCCTTTTGTCACCATAAAAAAATGGTAATGATCACCATAAACACATTACGGACCTATGTCCGATGATGGTGAATTTAAACGATTCCTGGAACAATGATGATGATGACGAATAAAATTTCTTTCGAACATGTATTGTTTTGTAACAAAAGATTTCTGATGACCACATTGACTATAACCATGATGATGATGATGAAATTGAACGATAGAGAAAAATGTCTTAGAATAAATGACCAATGATGATGATGATGATGATCAAAAAAAAATGAGAAAAACTTTTCTTTTTGACGAAAATTAGAAAGGATTCCCATGACTAAATTGAAGGCCATCTTTATTATTATTCTAAAAATCATGACAGATTTCTTTGGTTTAAAACTTTTTTTCTTTCTTTCAATATTCAAACATACGTGTGTGTGTGTGAATATTGAATTATGCAATGTATAAATCTAATCTTATCCAAAGATTGTTCTTTTTTAATGAAAATTATTTTGTCCTGTAACTTTTGTACTTTTCTTTGTAAAAAAAATTATTGTTTCATAATTTGCTAATTGTATATATCATATATATGAAAAATTGACAATTTTAATATTTAGTTATTTAGAGTTTTTTTAAGTTTATTTTTTAATACATTTTTTTCATTTCAGCAAATGGATCCAATTATTTTTTGCAAAGGGGCGAACAAAAAACCATCACAAAGATAAAATATCAAAATCAATGTCAATCAAAATCGATTCGAAATTAATGATCAACGATTATCTTGATATCAGTAGTTGTTTTTAAAACAAAATTGTTGAAATCTAAAACAAATTTCATTAAATCAATCACGAATTTGTCAGTAAAAAAAGGAAAAAAATCGTTCAATGAAAAAACATAAACAAAAAAAATTTGCTAGAATCGATATCAATCGATTTCGAAAAAAAGTGTCCACATTTTATTTATAACTGATGATCGGATTTGATTGATTTGATTACTAATTCGATTGATCAAGGATCATGAAATATTCGATCATCACTGTCATTGAACAATTTTAAATATATTGACATGAACGGGCATTATATATTTGGAAATTTCCATTTTTTTTTGTATGTGTTTATTTTAATTCATCGAAGAAAAAAGATACAAAACGATGACAGTTGTGTAAATCGACCAAACATCGATGTGATGAAGTTTGTTCTACAATATGTCAATCATCGAATGAAGTCAACTCTCTCGCTTTCTCTCTATGGAAAATGAATGAATATCCAATTATGGATGGAAAAAAATTTTCAAAACAAAAATAGATTTATCAAAATCATTAAATAGCCATTGCATCAAACAAAAAAAAAGGTTGAAACGTTAATTGGCAAATTCAAGCGAAAAACAAAAACAATTACCAACTATGGAATTTTTAATTTCGGAAAAAAAGGAAGGTACATTTATATCAATGCTAAATAGATTTGAATTTTTCTACATTCAACTGAAAAAAGTTGAAAAAAAGTCGCCCATTATTTGATGATTTGATGACAACTTTTGTTTTGTCCAAAATTAAAAATGGGAATTTTCATTTGCATAACCTTGATAACAACAAGTACAAAAACATTGAATCAGCTAATTAAGATTTCAAAAAAAAAATCAAATATATCGGTCGATTTTAAATCGAAGAATTTATAGACAAAAATTTCAGAAGAAAAATTTCATTTCCATCCATTGAAAATCGTGTTTTTTTTGAACAAATTTTTGTTTTTTAATTCTCACACCCCGTTGTTGTTCCAGAAAAAAATTGTGTTCCTAGTCAATTGAATTGCCATTCATTCACAGAACAACGGCTTCATTATTTGACAAATGGTGATAAGAAATTTACAGAAGAAATATAAAACAAAATTATTGAAGGCGTTCTCATGGCCGCCATGATCAACACAACTACAAAAAATAGAATTTAAAAAGAAAATAGCAAAAAAAAAAATCATTAAAAGCGATGAACAAACAGATCGTGTTCAATTTTGCATGTTTTAAAACAACAAAATTATCATTGTTTTCGTTATTATTGACAGTGTCCATTTTGGATCGAATACAAAAATAAAATGGCATTTCTGTTTTTTTTCTGCTTATTGCCAAAAGCATTCATTCATTACTATTGAATTTGTCAGTAGGAAAAAAAATGTTGATGCTGTAATTAGGTGGAAAATAAATTCAAATTGCTCTCAATATAGTTTAGTGATGATGATGATTAATTCAATTTCGTTTTGTTTGATGATGTTTTTTTTTCTTCGTTGTTATTTCTGAAATTGAAAATCATCAAATTAACATTTGGGACAACCCTGATGTATCAATGTCAATAAAATTATGCGGTGGGATCAGAAAAATGTGAAAAAGTTATTTTTTTTCAAACCTCATTCATTGAATAATAGCTTGTATATTTAGTAGATTTTATGTTGGAATCTAAATAAACATTTTTTAATCATTAACTACACTAATTGAATACCTTTACTTTGTTGTCAATTATAATGATTGTCAACCGAAGTAGCCGAAACATTAAAGTCAATTCACTGTTATAATAAATAATAACAGTTTGGACAATGTTGAAGTAATTATAAGATTTGTCAATCGATCAATCAATCATGCTGTATCTTATCGAATTCGAATTTTCAGAAAAAAAATGATAATTGAAGTGAATTAAATTGATCGATAATAATCCATGGCCAAATTAATCCGATCTGAATCTGATATAGCAACAGGTGCCAAAGCAATGAACAATAATAATAAAAATTTTTCATCTGATGGAACGTATTTTAGATGCCAAATATATGATAACAAGAAAATTGAACAACAATTCAATTCAACAATTTCAGCCATATGGTTATGACAATAATGTCTCGTCATTATGAATGTTTGATCTAGTTTTTCTTTTCAGCATGTTTTTCCAATTTGCAATTGAAAAGATGAATGATGATCATTTTTATTCGATAAACAAAACAAAAATCGTGTTTTGTCTTCGAATTCCACTTGAATTCAAGGTCCGTTTAAAGTGAAAAAAAAAACAAAAATTTTATTTCATTTTTTTTCAAGGAATAAATTGGAAAAATTCTCACAACAAAATCTAATTAATTAAATATATAGTCATCATCGATTAATATTGGAACGAAATAAATTGATTAATTATGATAATTTTTCTGTATGGCTGATCTTCACCATTTTTTTTAACATTGATCCATTAATGATGTGAAAAAGAAAAAAACAAAAATAAATTTATTGTCATGATCACACACCCGATTGAATGTGTGAATGATTTGTTATTACTTTTTTTTACTTTTGTTTATTATCTCAATAAAGAATGAAAGTATCAATCAAATTCAAAAATCAAACCCGTTTCCAAAAACATCTGTCAATCTTTGAAATATGTTTTTTGTCCACCCACATAAGGTTATCATGCCCTTGATGCCAACAAATTATATTTGTTCAAATGATAAATTTTTCGTAACATTAATCTTTTTATTATTATAAATCTTATAAGTAAAAAAATTGGATCAAAAAAAATGATATCAAATCAACAATCGTTCATAAATGAAAAAAATCGGTTTCCTGATTGTTCTTAGCTTGTCATTTATATGAAATCAAAAGATATAAAGATATAAAAGATAGTGAGAATTAGGGTTGTATACAAAATCAATTAATCAATAAGTTTCGTTTGGGTTTGATGTCTGAGTAACATATATAATTATCAAATTGAAAAAATTAAATAATAAAAACTCTTCAACTTTGGCATTGTATAATTGTATTATATAAAAAATAGTATTGGTAAAAGTAAAAAATTTTGTGAATTATGTTGTTGATATTCTGTTTATAAAAGAAAAAAAACAAAAACATTCGAAATGAAAATAAATGATTTGACAATTTGTGTATCAAATGTGAGTTACGATAAATGATAATTTTTTTTTGTTTTGAACACATTGTTTTTTGTTTTCGAATGGATGGCACTTTAAATATTATTCACTAAAGTTGAGTTGGCGCTCATGATTGTTGATTATCATTATCATGATTATGATTATCAATATTATTATGATTATTATTAATGAAAAAGGTCGATAAGTCACGGGTGGAAAATGGTTGAGCAATAAATGATCTATATTGATCTAATGAGTTAATCACATTAAAAATTATCTGAGATATGTTTGAATTGAGTTGATTGAGTAAACTTTTCCCATTATTATTGGGTGTGTTGCCTGCAATGCCAATATTTTTGTCAATGATACCAACATCGCCTCCATCACCATCGATCAAATTGGACGGCATTTTCTGGCTACTGGACAAAAGATAAGATCTAATGGGCAACAGTTTTTCACATGCCATCTGACAATCATGATCAAGTTCATTATTATCATTATCATTTTGTTGCTGTTGTCGTCGATGGTGATTAATGATTCGATCGCAAAGTGATCGTACACATGGATCATCAGATGGTGGTGCTGCCATAAGCATTGAACGTGTCGAAATGGATAACAGACGCGATGCACAATAAGCAAGTTTAGCACTTCCAGGAAATCGTCGTAAATGTTTCCAGAATTTACTGGGAGATTTTGGACATTTAAGTAGCTGCATTCCATATAGCTTATCACCGTTACGGAATTCTTCTAAACTATCAACAAGTTTTTCACGATCCTCTTCCTCATTGTTCACACAACCAAGCGCTTGAGCATAGGTAAACAATGCATCATAAACTTGTGCGGTCAATTCTTCATTCTCTTCAATACGACGATCTTCACGGAATCGTGGATCCAGATAATAGGCAAGAAAATAATAACGAGAGAAATTTTGTTCATTTAAATAGCCATGTAAAATACTGTCGATCGTTTGACGTTCGGTTTTATCACAAACATTTTGTATTCCATTGAAAAAGTTATTGTTATTTATGGCCAGCTTGACATCATAATAAATTTTAATGATGTCTGAGATCACGGTGGACTCATTTTCAATCAAATGCATGGCTGTTGTTAAAAAAACAATTTGAAACGAAGAAAAAGAAAAAATTATGTTGAAAGAAAATTTAAAAATAAGAACATTAACATCATTGACAGACTAATACATACCATTGATGAAAGGTGTCAAAAAATTAAATAGAATTGAGATCTGATTAAAAAATTGGTCCATTTGACTAATTTCAAGCTGGATTTGTTGTAAAATATTTTTCAAACGTTGATTCATTGAATTATTGTTATTATTCGAATCATTATCATCATCATGTATTTGTTCGAATAATTTCATTATGCTTGAACGTGCAACAAGTAACCAGCAAAGCATCATATTTAGTGAGATCCAATAGGTATTTTTATTTGATTGATGATTCGATTTGATTGAACAATGATTATCATTCGATCTTATGAATTGTCGAAAGATTCCCAGTTTATCCGATTCAAATACTTGTTTCCAATGGTTTTGATTTTCTGCATGAAAATCAAATTGATTATCATCAATAGTTTCGGTTGTTGTCAATAAATCTTGAAATAAAATCATCGATTTAGTGATAACACGATGTATGGACGGAATACGACATATATCACAAAGTAATTGATGAAATAGACGATATGAATTTGTTAACGGTACAATATGAGAATGGCATGCGGTCAGATATGAATGAATCATCTTAGCGCAACGATCCGCTTTGTATGGCAGTATGACGGCATTTATACGATCCGGACCTAGTTTATTGAACAACGAATCGATTTGATTGTTAAGATGTTTGACATCGATATCACCATCGTTGGGCAATAATGATGGCGATCGGCTTGTATAAACGATTGATTTGTAAAATAAATTCAAACATGTATTTGATGATGCAATCATCAGATTGACGTTTAATTGTTGCTGTTTTTTCGTAATTTGGCCATTTTTATAATCAACACTGCTATATTGTTGAATCAACGGTTTGCCATATGATTGTGTCATCAATGCTGCATCATCGGTAACACCATCATTTTCGCTGCTATATGAATGTTCATCATTGTTTTCGAACGAAACAATTATTGAATCACATTCGGAAAATATTTTAGCAGTTTCATAATCAAATTTTCTTATCAAATTCAATATATTGTTCGAAACTAATGTATCCATCGATGGTAATTGATAATTTTTATTTGTTGTAGAAAATTTTAACAATTGTGAAATGAATTTTTCGAAATATGAATTCTTTATAAAATCCAATTCGATTCCATGGCTAATTAATGCTGACATTAGGAGATCATTCAAATCATCATGTAAAATGTCAATATCTTGCGATTCCAATTCGTTGTGTTCCATTGAATTATTCACATTATTATTATCATTATTATTACGAAGATCAATGCCATTAGTTCCACCATTACGCACGAATAAAGCCGATTTACCAATGAAATTGGATGAATTATTATTATTATTATTATTTAGTGATGGTGATGATAAAGAATTGTCACGTTTTCTTTTACGTACATGACCATTGCCATTCATTGTTACAATTAAACTTTCTTCATGTCCATTGCCCAATTGATTGAAATAAATCGGGTCATCTTGAATATGATGATTAGATATCATTGACATGTCATCCAAATTAATGACAACAGTATTATTACTGTTGGACAAATTTAAACCATTTTGATTATGATTATTGTTGTTGGACAATTTTTTTGTTGGTTCATGAACTATGAGACTATTTTCTTTACCATTATTCGAATGATGATAATCAATAACGGTTGAATGAGGATGTTTACGTTTCAATTTACCCGATAATATCGGATAACGATTACTATTATTGTTATTACTATTATTATGGTGATCAACAATGGTTGTATTATCCATTATTACATTAGTTGGAGAAGTTGTAGCGGAAACTGCTGCTGCTGTTGGTGATATTGAATTCATCGACTGGATTGAATTATAAAAAACGGAAAAAAATAATAATAAAAAGAAATCATCATTAGTAATTAAGAAATTTTTCAAAAATAAAAAAAAAGCGATTAAATTGAATCGAATGACAAATTGCCTTTTGTGTAATATAAATTATTCAACAAAAAAATAACACGTGATCAAAGATTTTTTTCGGAGATAAGAATGTAAATAAATTTGAAATTTCAATTGATAACTTATTTGATATGAACATTAATTCCATTGTGATTGATATCATCGGTTCCTCATCATCATCATCAATTGAATATTGACAACAGGTGATGTAATAATAATTTCGAACATTGGCAATTAATTTGTCATTCGATATTTTTTTTTACTCAAAAAAATAATCCAAGGATATTTAGGTAATAAAAAGGATTTTCTCTTGTTCTTTTGTTAAAAAAAAAATTCAATGAAAAGAAAAAACCAGTTCAACATTTGCGAAAAGTTAAATATGAAAGGAACAAATAAGAATTGTCGACCTAAACATCTAATTTATGACTGAATGAATGTTATTTAATCACACAACTTTGACGTACACCCATCATTTATATTTTTTTTCGGTTTACTTTATTCGTATTTTTAATATAGTTTCGAAAATGTCAGCATTGAATAGCCAAATGTGTGGAGCCCATTCATCCACGCCAAACTCTAAGCTAATCATTATGATTTGATAATTCTGGGAAACAATCTGGTCGTTTTTATTTATATGTTTCTATTATTGGTTTTTTCCTATTTGTTTGAAATTTAGATCACCAATATATTAAAAAAACGGTTCATACGATCCATCATTCTTCTTACAATTGCCATTATCCCATTAATTCTTTGAATGTAATCAATGTAAGCAAACGAATGAATGAATGAATAAACATTTTGGGTCCCGAATTTCTCATTGTTTGTGAAAGAAAAAAAATCACATTATAATAGGAAAGCCATTCGTTGGGGTAAATTTTCGAAAAACACAATCAAGCAAACATTTTGATCCGATTTCAGTTTCCGAAACTTGCAACGCACATATACACACGATATACCATGAACGTCGCCGCGCATCTTTTTTCTCTCACTCTCTTACTCTCACAAAATAATCATTTTCCATTAGCCACGAACCAACCAACCAACCGACCGAATTGAACCAAACCATCCATCCATCCATTTGAGACAAGTACAGGCAGACATTTTCGATGAATTTTTCTTCTTTTTTTTTGCCAGATGGTTGACTGGGCTCGTTCATTCATCGATTGTTGTGTAGCAAAAGCTATAATGCCATTCATTCAACAAATTCGACACAGACATAAAAACGGCCAAATGGTATTATAGAATGGCACAAGGGCACAATGTGACCGCCACCGTTGTTTTTTTTGGCCCCAAATGATGGCTACATTTCTTTTATTTCCTACCGATGTTTCGACCTCATCATCAACATCATCAGTATGATCGGTCTCTCTCCACCCTCTTGTTTTGTATGATGATTATGATGACCCAGAGTCATCTCAGACGACCATCAAAATCATCGAAGCAGTTAGTTCAAAGTAAAAGATGACCTTTTTTTTGAGAAACAAAAAAAAAGCTAACAGAGTTTATTTTCAGGGACCATTGATTGATCATAACACACACACACACTTGTGTTTGGGAAGTAATCGACAAAAGTTGATTTGGATCGCGACCTAGGGCTAATAGACTATTGATGAGTACAATTTATTATTTGTAGAAATAAAGATAAGTTTCTAGAGTTTGGGAGTGAAAATTGCCTTAACTGAATAACGATAACAACGAAAAAAAAATGAAAAACTAACCGAGGTCGACTAACATTCTAATCTTTCACACCACACACACATGTAATTCAAACGAATATTATATTTGCCTGCAAACCATTCCAGACGTCGGTCGATCGATAGATGAGAAAGAGAGAAAAAAAATAACTATTTGGAAAGGAGAAAAAGATATAAATTGATATGAGAACATACCAGGGACATACTAACAAAAAACTAACACCGAACCTAACAATCGGGCAGATGGAGCAATCAAGTGGCGTTGCTTCTGAATATAAATTTTGTATGTGTTCGTAGTATGTACGTTGTACATTTTATGTGCCCTTGCAGATGCATGAAAGACCTTGTGTTTATTATTTAGCTAAGCTAGCTTTTTTTAAAAAAAGCAGGACAAAAAAACCGAATGGGTACGCCTTGTGAATTTTTTTTTTTCGATGACGAGAAATAAGATATTTTGTTCAGGCGAAGAATATTGTTGTCGCTGTTACTGTATGTTTAATGCCTTGAAGGCAAGTTGACCTTTTTCCCCCTCTTTTTCAACACACAAATATCAATTCCAACTAAGATATAGGAACCCAAATATTTATAAATCAATACTTTGATTGAACAAGAAAAAACTTTTTTTTTTGGTATTCTTCATTCAATTCAATGAATGTCTTTTTTTTCCCGTTGACCATCATCAAAGTTTTGTTTTTACATTTTTTACCAAATCGTTTTTTGTTTTTGATTTGTTTTTAATGCTAATTTCAACTGTTCAATTCATTATATTCCAAACCTAATGTGTTGATGTAACCACAAAACAAAACATAAAAACTACAATAATAATAACAACAACAAAAAAAATTATGGCCTTCGAAAATACATCCGAATGTCTATGTTTATGCAAAGATTTATTATATAAACTAAAAACAAGTAACAACAACAACAACAAAAAAAATCACATAGAGTTTCTATAAAGAACGACTGACATTGAACGAAAATGAAAAAAAAAGAAAGAAAAACCAGACACACAGCTCCCATCATCATCATCATTATCATCAATTTTTAAATACTAGGCTAGTAGAGTAATTTTATATATCGTATGAATTTAGTGCAAAAAACATACATAACATTCATTCAGATATGATCTGGAAAGATGATATTATCTTTGGTGTGATTTTGAATTACAATTTAACAAGAAATTTGGTGCAAAACATTAAATTAATAACCTACCATTAATTGATAAATTAAATGATTATAATTAATCGAACCACCACTTTCACAATTTGGATGATCATTTTGACTAATAAGTTGATTATTATTATTATTACGGCCATTCATGTTGATCGGATTAGTTGCCATTATTGTTGGTGTTGTTTTCAATGTTGATGTTATTGTTGTTGTCTTTGGCGATGATGGTGATTGATCGGTCATATTTTTTATCGAACGATTAATCAATGGTGAATAATTCATAAGTATACTTGTTTTGTTCATTAGATCAGTAGCCGAATAATTTGTAGATTCAATTATCGATGATGATGATTTTGAATGATTTTTATGATTATAATGATCATTATTAATACCGTTATTAGGATTTTTGGCAATTTGTTTTTGATCATGATTATGATGTCCATTTGTTTGTTGTTGCTGTTGTTGTTTTTGATTCAAATGTTTCAAATCATTGGCTGTTGGTTTAGGTACAATTCTTGATGATGCTGATCGATGAATATGCGGTGGTAAATGTGATTTTGATTCAACTTTTTCCAAGTTTGAATTCGAATTGTTTGTCTGTTGTTGTTGATTACGAGGAAATTTTACTTCTTTCGAACGTATTTCACGCATAAATGCAGATACTCGTGATGCTTCGATTTCTTTACGTTCGAAAAATTTACGCACAACTTCGGGTGTTTTTTGACATTTGATCAAATGACGGCGACATTTTGGAGCATTTTTTAGCTGCTTATTTACTAGACAATAATTACATCTCATCAATGACATTTTCCCTTGGCCACCAAGCCATGTCCAATGTGTCCATAATTCACTACCACGATTTAGATATGAATTAAAACGATTCGAATCTTGACTATTGTTGTTGCCATTTCTTAATGAATCTTGTGATTCTGAATCCGAATTCGAACTACCATTTCGATCATTATTTTGTGTTGTTGATGTATGATGTCCATTCGATAATGTCAACAATGGTAATGGCTCTTCTTGAATTTCCATTTTTTTTTAATTTTGTGTTGATAAGTATCTGTTTTTATATCTGAATTCGAAGAACGGTATTCATAGATAATCACTGATAAGATGACATTCGTAAAAAAATAATAATAAATAAAGAACAAATCTAAAAAGTTGCTGGTAACTGTCGAATCGAAATTCGAAAATGATTCGAAAAAAATTTTCTTTTTCTTTTTCTTTTGGATGTGGCCTCGCGCGGCTACAATAATAAAATACTCCGTGTCGGCGATGATGATGATGATAATGGTCGTGGTTCGCGATTTGTCGCGTTGCGCAGCGGTTCTTGGCTTGGACCAATCAACCAACACCAATAATTCGTGCCTGTCTGCAGCTTTCTTCTGCTGTTGTTCGTTTTGGTTCGCGTTGTGTTCAAATCAAGCAGCAGGAGACTTGAGGGAGTCTTTCTATCGTTGTTCAATGTGAGATAAGTTGAGATGAAACGAAAAAAAAAAAAATTGAACTATGGCAATATACCCTGATCGTGGTGGTAGTTTGTTCTAATGTTAGAACAGCATGCTTGTCTTCACCACCACCACCACTATCAAAAGGCCACAAAGAATGAGACCGTGTTTAGTATACTCCGAAAATGGCCCTTTTTTTCGCTTGATAGATATTGCTCCTTTGGTCCTTATTAATAATTGGTGTCCTTGTAGTGTCATAACTCATGCGCACATTTGGTTTTTAATTCCGAATTTTTTTTAGCAAAAAAAAAACTTGTTGAGAATTTCGCGAAATTAAAATTTTTAAACATTATTTCTTTTTTCAATCATTTTATTGTTTTGGGCGTCTTTCATTTCGAATACATATTAACAGCAATGATGATCATCATGATCATTTAACCTTGACTTAGTAGACAATTTTTTTCATTCAAAAAAGAATAGTACAAATGATTATTTTCAGAAGCAAAAACAAGAGATGCAACATACATAACCCCATTTACTGTTTTTTTAATGGCATGCAATGGGTCAGCAAGGGAACCATGCAAACAAACCAGCAGCAATAACAACAGCCGCCAATAGTCAAAAATTTACCCTCAGTTTTTGTCAATGTATTTTCGGGGAGGGAGGAAAGACCAAAGAGAAATCGAAATGATGGTTGACGATCACGTCGCCATGCATGTCTTTCTGTTCTTCTTCTTCTCATCCTCCTCTTCATCATATTCGGGTTTTTTCTCTTCTTATTCTATTTCATCAAACATTCAAACCAAAGCGTGTTATACCCAATGGCCGAAGTCGAGCCCGCACAAAATTATGGCCAAGCTTAACAAAAAAAAAATTCAACATCATCACGATCCTGAATGATGATGATTGCACATCTGTTCCATTCTTTGTTCGTTTATTCGATGGACAATTGAAATGGCGTAGCGAGGGTTATTTTTTTTTTGTTGAAAAAGCTTTGCACATGTGAACCTAGGTCTAGGCCATCATTTTCTACTATAGTTTCGCATGACAGGTCACATATACGGCCCGTTAGGCTCATTTTTTTTGGATCGTTCCATCTTCATGGTTCATGAAGTCCCTCTCTGTATGTGTTTGTGTGTGTTTGTGTGTGTCAATCGTTTTTCGATTCATCGGTACACACGATGATCATCAACGTCGATCAATCAATTTTCGAAATGGTCATTTTTTTCTGTTTTGGGCATTAAATTTCATTTCCATCATTACACCCCAAACACATGGCCAGTATATAAGAATGAATGACAGAAAAATAAAAAGAGAGAGAGAAAGAAAAATCCGACAAACTGATTTATGGGTTCTCAAAATCATCGATTCGAATCTCGCCCAGAAAAAAAGAATACGAATGATGAAAGCCCTAGAGGCAAAGAAAACGAAAGCAACGAATGAGCGAGCGGTAGGAATAGATTTTTCAAGCCAAAACAGATGTTCCCAAATGTTAGGCGCCTCATTTTCTATGATGATAATGCTTAATTTTTTTTAAAATGAAATTCTCTTTAACATAAACTAAATTATAATATCACAGATAGACAAAACAAGTAAGCTTAGACTACTGACCATATAAACCATCAAAATCATCATCATTTCCCGCCGCCAAGGTCGACATATTTACAACACGAAAAAAAAAATTCTATCTATTAACCACGACCGTATTATATTCGAGGTTTGACCTTCGACGATTTGGATGGATGAAAATGAAAATCATAAAACAAAACAAAACAAAAAAACCGTCGATGATTTGGCCATGGGCGGTGGCAGCGACTAACAAATCTATGGATGATGATGGCGTGAATATAAAAAAAACCATGATAGCCAACTGAATTGTACCAAACTATGATTTTTTTTCATATTATTCAACAAAACAACAAAAACAAAATCACCAAATTTTCTTGGCCTTAGGAAAAATGAGGCGTATTTTATGAAAATAGGGTCATTCTTTGTGTGTGTGTGAATAGCCAGATGTCAAATGTTCGCGATGTTCATAGAATCGATCACGCAATTTATTTTAAAATACAGGTCGAGATCAAAAATAAAAACTTAGAACAAAATCAAATGGCTTTCTATAGCGCGCTAGCTGGGAGCATTACGAGCTTACAGAGATCATCATCACAGAGGACCAATTTTATTTTCTCCAATGCAGACACAACAAAATTCAGGCCATGGGTATAGCAAACAAATATAATCAAGTAGCTAAATTCTCAATATAAAGGTTGCCCTTTGACCTAGTTCTCATTGTTGAAATGCAACATACACACAAATGGATGTATGTTCTTCATTCGATGACAGGCGATGTGTTTGTGTGTTGTTCGCTCCAGATCTTTTAAATTTTTTTTCTTTCTTTCTCTTAAACTAAACCCCAGGGTCCGGTTTGTCTTTTTTTCGGTACTTTTAGTGTTTTTTGATGAACAAATTAAAAAAAATTAGGGCGATGTACCTACTTAGATAGCCTGGCGGTTTAAATTGTTGATGAAAAAAAAACACGCCACGCCACATTCGTAATAATCATTGTTGCGCGAGCTATGAAATTTTGTATGACATGACCATTGCATTATATGATGATGAGGATGATGATAATAATAAAAGAATCAAGGACAGTATTTAAAAAAAAAAAGAAAAATTTGCCTGTAAGCGATGAATGGAATTGATGATTCGATCAAGCTCCAGAATTGATGATGATGATGATCGTCACGACGATTTTGATTGCCGGAAATAATCTATAAAATTTCTTCTATAAATGTTTCTAATGAAGATTAAGAAGAAGAAAAAATTCATTTCCGGTTGTTGATTGTAATTATAATTTTATATGACCGATGATGATGATAATGATTACGACCTGGTTGGACAAACACAACACACCGGAGATTATAAAACCGATTCGAGGCGTTACACAAATGATGATGATGATGATGTCATACAAATATTATGCATATATTTGTAAATGAAAAATTTCCGATTCGAATTTTTTTTTATTCGGCGTATTGCGTGTCCATTGACAATCAAACAAAAATTGAAAATTAATTGCTAATTTTGGTTGGCTTTCAATTTTTTTTTTAATTATCCTAATCATCATGATTTTTTTTCTTTACTCAATGACCTTCATCGTTGTCATAATGGTTATCATTTGACACGAATTTTGTTTGTTTTGTTTGTTCACGCTTTAGAATGTAATGAAAAATTTCATCGCTCATAAAAAAAACATTGGCAGACATAAGAGAAAAGGATTGATAACGATGGTCATTTATTGCACTTAATTTAGAATTTCTCTTCTTTTTGTTTCTTTCATTCTTAAAATTAGTCAAAAATCCTAATTCAAATCGAATCCATAGATCGTGGGAAACATCAATGATTTGAAATAAAACTGAAATTTTATTATTATTATTATTATCGCCGTTGTTACATAATATCGATGAAATTCTTAATAAGAAGAAATTCATGATGAAATTTTTTTTCCATTTGTGAAAAAATTTAAATTTTTTTTATTTAAATTTTTCGCTCGGTCGTTTGCCTTTTTTTTTTGTTCGAACAACGCATGTGCTATGATGTTTGGCGCCTTTTTGCTTATGTTTTTTTTTTGTGTGTGACAAGCGCCACCACAGCTGTTGCATGTTTGCATTGTCTCGAACATAATGTTTTAAAAATATTTTTTTTTTGTTTTGTTTTGAATTATTATCAATTTTTTCTGTGGTCATTATTTATTTTTTAAAAAAATGTTAATTAGTGATAATCGTAAAGATTTTTACGAAACATTATTACAAAATCGTTCACATGTATTAGTATTAGTTAGCCATGATTTGGATTCAATTGCAGCGGCTAAAATTGTTCGATATATATTTGAATGTGATCATATTCCATATACGATTGTACCAATTCGGACACGTACAGAACTTCAACGTGCCTATCAAGAACGTCGTATCGGTATTAAATTCATTTTAATGATTAATTTAGGTGCTACTGTTGATGTAATCGATGTTTTGATGCCCGAAAATGATGCACAGATTTTCATCGCCGATTGTCATCGACCATTGAATGTTCATAATGTTTATAGTGAAAAAGATGTACTTGTTCTTTGTTCAATAACCGGTCTAAATAATATTGAAGATGAATTTCGAAAAATTCCAAAATATGAAGAATTATTCTGGGATTCAGATCTCGATGACGATGATGATGATGTTGATGTTCGTCAACTTTCACTTGAACAATTACGTAAACGAAATGCATTCAAAAAATTCGAAGCTAAACGTGTACAATTGATGAATGAATATGAAGAAAATTCTCACTATTCATATTCAACAGCAATGATATTTTTTGATTTAGCATGGAAATTGGGAAAAGATTCAAACGAATTATTATGGTTGGTCATATTATCTGTTACTGATAAACAAAATACTTATAAATTACCAAGTGATTTGATGAAAAAAGAAATGGGCTATCTATCCGATTCGATGCAACGTTTACGAAATATTCGTTCAGATCGTGGCTTTGTTTTGAATATTAATCGTGATGCTCAACCGGGTAATCAACAGCAATCCGAATTAGTTACGACAACTAATCATCTAAACATTTCATATGAAAAAGATTTAAATCTAAAATTATATCGTGAATGGTCATTGTACGAAAGTCTTTGCCATACAATGTACACATCCTGTGGTTTTAAAATCTGGAAACTCAAAGGACATAAACGTTTACATACATTTTTAGCCGAACTTGGTTTACCATTAAATCAATGTAAGCAAAAATTTCAATCCATGGATCTCGATTTACGACAAAAACTTAAATCAGAATTTGATGAAAAAAAAGTCAAATACAATTTGCCGAAATTAATCTGCTATAATTTTGTTGGCTTTCGTGGTATAAGACAAAAATTCAGTGCACCAGATTTAGCCATGGCATCAAGAGCCTTATTAGAGGCTCCTGGTCGAGATAAAAGTTATAATCAAAAATTTTTCGATTCATTCGATTCTCTAACTTGGAGCAATCAGGATTTGATCGATACCGGTATTGGTTTGGCAAAAGTACAGCTATCAGCCATTGTCAAACAAGTACAACTAATCATTGATGCACATTTAATGACCATGATGAATAATGTTTTATGGTATGTGATCATACCGGAAAGTACACCAGATGCAAATCTTTTTTGTCATCCAGGCTGTTTAAAAGCGTTGACCATTTATACGTTAAGCGCATACGCTTCCTTTAATAGTAAATCTCAAAGAGCAATTCGAATGCCATTGGTTTTAGTTACACCGGATCCTGAAAGGCCTGGAATGGGTCTGATTTGTGGTGTATCACCGTTATTAGCATTGAAAGAATGTCGAACATTTTATCGTCAAGCATTTTTGACCACCTCAAAAAGAATGACTACCATCACTGATAGCTGGTCATACGAAGAAAGTATTATTGATCCAGATATTGCCTATATCACCTATAAAGATGCCCATAATTTCCTTCATGAACTTTCTCTTTTACTTGAATCATCCCATTAAAAAATTTTTAATTCTGAAATTCTATACAGACAAACAATTCTTACTGTTCATAGAATTTGTTACATAAACATAAACATTTTATAGTCGCGCCGATTTTTATTTTGGATTCTATTCATGTTTGACAGTTAAATCACCATAAATTAATACTTGATCTAATCATAATGATAATGAAATGTAAAAAATGCCGAATAAAGCAACAATTTTTATCACTTTTTTTGCTCTTTTTATTGCATTAATCGTAAACAAACATGATTTCATTCGACAGACCATTGAAGAATTATTTAAAATGTATCGAACTGAATTTGATGAAATGTCATTGTTGAGAAAAACATCAATAAAATTTGTACCGTGAGTTTGATGAATTTAATTTTGTTGCAAGAATGTCATTTGTCGACTATTTTTTTTTTAATTTAAGCCTAAAATTAATCAATGATTGATGTAAATCTGTTAATTTATTAATAAATTTCTATTCAAATGAAGTACATAAGGTAGCAATCCATTTTATTTGATATGATAGTTTAATATGTTAACAATTACGATGATTCTATTAATAGAAATTGTTTGAAAATTAAAATCTAAACATTATAAACCATGGGCGTGCCAAGATGGTCGAGTGGTCTAAGACGTCAGACTTAAGATTTCCGGTTGTATGGGTTAGCCCATGAAATCTGTAGGATATCTGATCCTCTAAGGAGGGCGTGGGTTCAAACCCCACTCTTGGCAATATATTTTTTTTTTTGAATTTCAATTTTTTTTTACTTCATAAATGTTGGCTTTTAATTATTTTTTTCGCGTTTATAAATATCAATGATATTGTCTTTTTTTTTTTCTCGGTAACTATCGCGATCGGAAGCAATCAAAAAATGACAATTTAAACAAATTGAAAATGTTTCTGTTGATCAGCGCCATCTTTCGCATAGTTCTAATAAATTTTAATTTTTTTTTTTTCAAAATTTTTAGGCCAAGCTCAATATGGTGTTCATCATCGAATCCCGATGAAGAGAAATACTGTCGATTTGAAACGCTGTGTTATCGAACCAATTCGAATGAATATTTTCTTCTATTTGATTCAAATTCTTCCATTTTTTATCCACCATCTTTATTCATTACAAATCATACGATATTTTTTGGTCGTTTATCTGCCGTTTGGGATCATAATAGATTTTTGATAAAATATCTAGCTACTATACCATTCGAACGTAGAGAAGAGCTAAGAAATGGATCTCAATTCTATTGGATTCCTGGACATACATTGATTATGAGTCGTTTTAAACCGGATAATTTACTTCATCTAATACACGATGATATCTTGCCATTACAGGCTACCATTCGAGAACAAATTGGAACCAACATGATTGATATATTATTTTTTAATGATCATTGGCCATTGTTATTAGGACATCCTTTCTTCAAACAACTGACAAAACGAGTATTTTCACAAAATGAATTTACATCTGAATCTGTAATCTGTTTTCAAAATGCTTATCTAGGTTAGAACAACATACTTCAATTACTTTTAATTTTATATAATTTTGTTTTATTTTAGGTCTATCTACATCAACTGTTTGGTATCAATATGGATTTAAGCGACCACAATCACCTATACCAAGAAAACTAGAAGAATATCGTTACATTCAAATACAAGTTAATGAATTACGCGAAAAACTGTTTTCACTGATGAGATTAGATCGAATTGATTGTCCTCGACGAAATATTGTACTTATTGCACGTGAAGAAAATCGTCGAATCCTAAATCTCAATGAATTTTCACGATATATTTCGAAGAAATTTAGCAACAATCTTGATGTTATTCTTGTATCACGTGATAAAATCGATAATTTTATAGAATTGAAACAATTGATCAACAGAGTGATGTGTGCTGAAAAATTTGTTGCAATGCATGGCTCTGAACAAATATTGGCCTTGTTCATTAAACCACCAGCTAACAATCAAATTGAGGTGATAGAGTTATTTCCATATGGCATTGAAGCCGAACGTTCAACCATATATCGAACATTTGCTGAATCGATATTGGGATATAGATATTCGGCCTGGACGAATCCGATTCGCGCTAATACACGTTTTCCCAACGAAAACGTACATGGATTATCGCATCTAACCGAAGAACAAAAGAATTCCATTCAAAAATCGATTGATGAACCTCTTGAACCATTTTTATGTTGTGACCATTTAGGATGGTTATATCGAATCTATCAGGATACTATTGTTGATATAAATATATTCAATAGATTTCTCGACGAAATGAAAATGACGACTGATCAACATCATCATTCATCATCATTATTGTTATTAAATCATAATCACCAATTTTGGAATTTTGGCGAAGTGCAAAATCTTCGTTGTCAGTTTATTAGCATAAAAAATGATGAAGACATTGACAGAATAAAAATTGAATGGGATCCGCCTTGGAACTTGCCATTCATCATAGAACAACAACAAAAACATGAATCTCAGCGACAATACCATTACGAAGTAATCATACAAAAAGAAAATGATACTGATCTTAAACAGCCTGTACAACATAACGTTTATCATACAAGCAACACTTGGTTTGAATTGAAGTACAATGAAAATAGTTTTCATTGTTTTCATGTATGGATTAAAATAAAACTTAATCGCGATAAAAGTGAAAACGGTATAATCAAAAGTCATTTTAATCGACGACCATTGTTTTGTTGTCAAAATGATGATGGTAGTACATAAAAAAAATTAACGAACAAAAAAATGATATAATTTTTTTCGAATTTTCGACAATGTCGTATTTGAAATACAATTACATTAGTATTTTAATGTCATAATGTAAATATGATAACATGTGTTTATGCGATTCTATATGTATTCAATGTTTGAATAATGAATAAGATAATATTAAAAACTACTCACAAAAAATAAAAATAAAAAACCTGAAATCATATTTGAAAAATTTGGATTGGATTCATTGTCTACCGAAATGTGTAAATAATGATGAGGTTGATTAAAAAAATGCGATTATCCAAAAAACTTAATTAAAATTTAACAAATGATATCATGATCAGCTCGAATCAGATTGCTGGTGATGGTCGTCACTGGAACAATAACATTTTGATGATGAACGATGGCCGCGGTAGCAGCAGTCGATTCCATATCGCCATTTGATTGCTGTTGAATGATTTGTGCGACGACTGGCTGTGAAATTGGCTGATGCTTTGGAAATGACTGAACGATTGGTGATTCGATTTGCGAAATCGATGTGTGATCTTCGTTTCCAAATATAGGGCGTGAAGATTTTTGATGATGATGACCATCCGCTTTATTACTGATTTCCAACTTAGGAGCTAATATGTTCATATTACCATTAGCGCTTGGATTATTGAATTGAATCGAATCGTTAGATTCATCACCACTAACACTAGTACTTGCATTGGCAGATGAGGATCCACTTATTATTTGTCGCTCAGAAAAGATTTCATGAATCTTAAGATTGATTCTACGAGGTATTTTTTTTGGCGATGCACTAACATTACCACCGTTTTCATTATCATCTTGCAGAATCCGTTTTGAAACGCTTCGTTTGGCACCACCGAGTGAAGACATAGAAATCATTGCGGTCGCAATCGATGCTTTCATATCACGATGATGGCTATTATGATTACCAAGGCTGCTACTTGGCATTGTCAACATATGCGGATTATTATGAGCAGCAGTGCTTAATTTCATCATATTGTTGATCTGTTCCAAATCTTTACTTGTAGTCAAATTATTTTGGAAACGATAGGTAATATTTTTGCTTGGGGACACGTATGTAGATTGACGTAATGGTGATACAAAAACCGGGTAATTTGGAACGCAACGCAATGGCGATTGAATGTTGGATGAAGCGAATTTATTTCGAGGCATTGGTGACAATTTTACATTCGGATTCTGCAGAAAAAAGAGATTAGTTTGCAAAATGGAAAAAAAGAAATAAATATTCAAGAAAAACAAGTTAGCCTACCTTTTCTTCAGAAGAGAATTGCAATATGTAAGATGATGTGAGATTTGGTACAAAGATTTTATTATAAAAGTCAATTACAGAACCAAATTTCTCATTCGTTTCAGGCGAGCTGGAAGCAGTCGTTTCCGATTGCTGATGCTCAACAATAGAATCAAGTTTTTTCGCAACTGTTAGCAAAACATTTCGATATACAATACTAGAACCTTGTGGTTGAAGTCGATATTTATCTATTATATTAGCAAATGTAATGGTACACTCGCTGTTAATATTGATTCGGGCTACAGCATAGATGCAACACATTATTATCTGATCCAGATGATGATCACACATTAGATAAGTATGCGCTTGTATAGCATTTTCGAAACAAGTCCATATTTTGCGTTTAACCTCATCAGATGTTATTTGTAATCTTTTAAATAGATCTTGCAATCGATGTGATGCTAGTGAATAAACTTTACGAAAGAACAGTGCAATTTGAGAATTGCGTTGATTTTTGCTGACTGGTGTGGACAATATTGTAGACTTGGGGCTGGGAACTAGGCATTCATCGCTTTCTTGTTTGACCGGAGTACTTGTTTGAATAATCGATTTTGTCGAACGTATAACCGATACATCTTGACACACCGGAGTCTGTGGTGTTATATTTTTTGAAGCGTCGGCATTGTTGTTAGTGAATAATTTCCGTTTAACATTTCCTCCTGGAAAACCACTATAAATAACATTCGTTAAATTATTTGTGTCCGAACGAATAACCGGCGATTTCATGAACGGTGCAGAGTTTTCACGGCCATCTTGATTGCTGTTGAAAAAATCCAAAGAAACTTCGGCGGAAGTAGGAGAAGAAGTTTTTGATAGCAAAACCCATAAAGGAGAATCTTTTGTCCATGCAAGGCAATCAAGAATTTGTTCCTCAATCGTATTCAAATGTTTCACAATATCACGCGATAGTCCAAGTTCTTCACGGATGATTGGTTCGATAACTTTATAGAAAAAAAATGGTGGAATTTTAAGTTGTGGATGGTCATCATAAATCTGCAAAATCCATGGAAACACTCGGTTACAAATGTTATAAGAGAAAAGAATTATCTCCAATGAACAGGCGTACAATGAACGAATCAATATATCTGACGATACAATTTTCGACAATGACTGCGATAAATTTGATTGAGGTATACGTTTCGATAATTCACCTTTTAAAATTTTTTCGAATATATAATAGAAAAATGTCTCAGCAAAAACACGACGTTTGTTGGCAAATTCATGTCCAGACGTCATAATGCATTGAAATTCTTCATTCGAACGAATGATTGATTGATCTTGATTACTTTTAGCGTAAGCTTCGGAAAATATATCTCCCATTCTTTTGATGATGTCCTTGATTTTTGTTTGCGGATCTTTGTCACACTTTTCGAAGATTCGTACCAAATCTTTGCTTGGTTCATTTGTATGATTCTTCAATATAGAATGCAACCGACTAATTGATGTTGTTGCGGCCGATATTGGAGTCAATACTTGCTTGACTGGCGTTCTTGAATCAAGATACTGTTTGGAGCTTAACGGTGTTGCTAGACCCAATGTTCCATTTGAATTATTATCATACGATACTTGTTGCTGCTGCTGAAACAATTTTTCATCTATCTCAAATTGGGATTGAAGTTCTGCAGTTCCAAGCTCTTTGCTCGCAGCCTCATTTAGAAAGATACATTCATCGAAATCCCCGACACTCAGAACAAAATCTTCGTACTCTTTTTTAATGTATTTGCTGTGATAAATGAATGAAAACAAAAAAATTAATTTCAATTGACTTTAAGCCTGATTAAATACTTACTAGTTAAAATCAATAGCATCGTTATCGATGATACCATTAGTTCGTTTTCGAAGATTATTGTTGTCAATCAATTTATTTAGCAAAGATTTAAACCAATGTTGTCGAATATGCTTGACTTCGACAGGGATGCCATTGAATTTTTCACAAAGAGTATCTATGATAGAAATGCGTTCATTGTTGTTCAATGATCGAAGATCATTTTTAAACTCTTTTGTTAGCTTATCTGTTAAAGGAACTAATTAATTTCTTTCAACGAACTTATCCATATGGATATTTACCATAAAAATTCGTGTTGACAATATCACGATAATTGTCAAATGAGAGTACCGATGAGAAACAATAATCAATACAAACAAGTAGTAAATGATAAGAGTTGACCAAATGATCTCCGATTTTGGAGAAACGAGATTTGACAAAGACGAATAATGTCCAACAAAACGTAAAAATATCCATTGAATTTAATGGTTGCTTGCGACTAATTTTTCGATGAAAAAAAAAACGTTACCAAATGATAGTTGTTCAGAAACTCAATTGTATTTAGCTTACATTTTACGAATTTTCGGGCTGAATCTACAAGGAGGGATAGGACATTTGAACACTTCTTCAAATATCGGCTTATATTTTTTGAATATAACCGATGTGACATTGAAATTTTTTTCAATTTGTTCTATTTTTTTTCTTAAATCAACGGAAGAACCAGCCATGTCGATCCAATTTTTAATCTTGTTAAAGAACCGCACAAGACTATTGAAAAAACAGTAAGTCAGTGTGAAAATAAAAAAATAGAGTATTATAACAACCTGATATTACAGGAACGAAGAATGCGCGTCAAAGAGACCATATTGCCTTCGATACGAGCTTGTCCACGACCCATTTGTGTAGTACATTTTCGACAAGATATGTACAATGCACAAGCAAGCCAATCCATCTTATCGCCCTTTTTAAAGAATGAAAATAAATAATCAATAAAATCATTGAATAATTCTGAATTCTTACTTCAAGAATATATTTGACACTGATGGAACGAAAAGATTTCCATGATTCTTCCAATGTTTCACTGTCCAAATTCAAATTGGAACGTATCTCAGTCAACAAAAAGGAATGTAATTCCTCTTCATCGTATTGGTCATCTGAATCCATGTTTATGCAATTGTCAATGAAGCAAAAAAACGAATTTGACGATTATATAACGATGATAGTAAGAGCAAGAAAATTCTTGACCTAAAGTATAGTTGTTAAAACCGACAAAACAGTGGTAATATGTCACAAAGACTATATTGTACACATATACAAAATTGAGTCACAATACAGCAACAAAAAAAAGAGGTAATAATGATGATAATATAATTATGTAAATCAATGTTTTTTAATGAATCGTATGCAATTCCATCGGTGATGGGGAGGCGACGGCGGCATAGCCATTAAGAATTTTTACAAAAGACGACAATTTGGCATTAGCAACATCAGCATCAGGATAACATTCGGGTAAGTTGCTTACCACAAGGCATTCATTTTTTCTGTGCTTCTATTTCGCTCTTTTTTCTCTCACTATGTCTTCTGCAAAATTAAAATCAGTACGTTTTGCGCACGCGATTACTCACCAAGAATTTTGAATTCAATTCGAAACACGCCTTCCGTATATCGTTTTTGATACAATTTAAATGTTTTGCCACATTTAAATAGGCGTGGCCAACATTATTTTCAATGACATATTGGCGCGAAAAATGTAAATTCTGTAATGTTCATAGAGGACGTGATTTTAGATAGAACTTTTTAAAATTAAAGATAATGAAATTTTTCGCTTTGAAAATTCAAATAATTCCTATCATAATCATGCAAATGAAATTCTGATTGATCCCGAATTTTGAAATTTCTTGAAATTACATTGTAACAAATTTCCAGCTCATCGATATGAAATTGCTAGACGTACAAACTTGACAGAAAGCAAATTCATACGTAACAAGTCAATTCTTAATGTTTGTGATTACTTGCTCGGTGCTAATTTTTTGACAATCGCATGTCACCTTACTTTCGGCTGGAGAATTGATTAACTTTTTTATTTACCAATTTCGAATTATGTCAATTCAATTGAAATTCTAATCCGTGTTATATATTTGGAAGTTTCGTTATCATAAATCATCACTAATTGACATGGCTCGTCATACAATTGAAATTCCATTGAAAGAATCGGCAGATGAAGTTATTGAGCTTGATCTCGATAATCTTCCCGATACAAAAGAAGTACTACAAATTCTTCAATCTGAATCACCACCTTTGAATATCTGGATTCAATTGGCTCTCGCTTATTATAAACAAAAAAAAGAAGATGATTTTGTTCAGATTCTTGAATATTCTCGTACAGAAGCATCATTAAGCTATAAAGATTATGAGCGTGATCAGATGAAAGCGTTAGATACTTTGGCCGCTTATTATGTCGCCAAAGGTAATAAAGAAAAGAATCGTGAAAGAAAACGAGAACTTTATACGAAAGCGACCGTATTGTATACTAATGCTGACAAAATTGTAATGTATGATCCGAATCATTTGGTTGGCCGCGCTCATTTCTGTTTAGCCGAAGCTGAAAAAATTGATCAAGCCGATGCACAATTTACATTCGTTCTGAATCAGTATCCCAACAATATACCGTCATTATTAGGCAAAGCCTGTATTAATTTCAACAAAAAAGACTACAAAACAGCTTTGACTTTTTATCGCAAATGTTTACGAGTTAAGCCGGATTGTCCAGCAAATGTTCGTCTTGGAATCGGACATTGTTTCTATAAATTGAACCAAATGGAAAAAGCTAAATTGGCATTCGAACGTGCCCTTCAGTTGGATTCTCAATGTGTTGGTGCATTGGTTGCATTGGCCATAATGGAATTGAATAAAAAGACACCTGATTCCATTCGAAATGGCGTACAAATGTTATCAAAAGCTTATTCGATTGATCAAACTCATCCAATGGTATTGAATCATCTGGCTGATCATTTCTTCTTTAAAAAAGATTACGCCAAAGTTCAACATTTAGCATTACATGCTTTTTATAATACCGAAAATGAACCTATGCGTGCTGAAAGTTGTTATCAATTGGCTAGAAAATTTCACATTCAAGGTGATTATGATCAAGGCTTTCAGTACTATTATCAGGCTACACAATTTGCATCACCGTCATTTGTATTACCATTTTATGGCCTCGGACAAATGTACATATATCGTGGTGATTTGGATAACGCATCATCTTGTTTTGATAAGGTTTTGAAATTTTTCCCAAACAATTATGAAACGATGAAAATACTTGGCTCTCTTTATGCTCAATCTGGCGATGGAGAAAAGCGTGATAAAGCCCGGGAATTTTTGAAAAAAGTTATAGATCAACATCCTGAAGATGTTGAAGTTTGGATTGAACTAGCACAGTTACTCGAACAATCAGATCTACAAGGTAAGTTTTTTCGAAATAAAATGAATGACTATTTTCAAAAATGTTATTTGCTTTCATCCTTGTAACTTGAATAGGCGCACTGAATTGCTATCAGAATGCAATAAAAATATTTCGTGAAATTGCCGATCATAACGATAATAATTTGGAAATACCTGCAGAAATTTATAACAATGTTGCCGCATTATATTTTCGTTTGGGAAATTATAAAGAATCTGCAGAATATTATGAAAGTGCTCTAAAACGATGTCAAGAAGAATTGCAAATCGAAGAACATTATCTTAAATTAATTCAAGTGACCATCAATTATAATCTAGGACGATTATACGAAGCGATTCACGAGTATAATAAAGCTGAACAAATCTATAAGAATATACTACGTGAACATCCTAATTATGTTGATTGTTACCTACGATTAGGCTGTATGGCTAGAGATTTAGGTCAAATCTATGAAGCTAGTGATTGGTTCAAAGAAGCATTGCAAGTAGAAAAAGATCATCCAGATGCCTGGTCATTGATTGGCAATCTTCATCTGGCTAAACAAGAATACGGACCTGGACAGAAAAAATTTGAACGTATTTTGCATCAAGAAGCTACGGCTCAAGACACGTATTCAATCGTTGCACTGGGTAATGTTTGGTTACAAACATTATATCAGCCTACTAAAGATAAAGAAAAAGAACGACGTCATCAAGATCGTGCCATTCAAATGTATAGGCAAGCATTGAAAATTGATCCCAAAAATATTTATGCAGCCAATGGTATTGGTTGTGTTTTGGCTCATAAAGGTTATACAAATGAAGCAAGAGATGTATTCTCACAAGTTCGTGAATCAACAGCAGATTTTTCTGATGTTTGGATCAATATTGCACATATTTATGTTGAATTAAAACAATATGTGAGCGCAATTCAAATGTATGAAAATTGTCATAAAAGATTTTTTCAGAGTACAAATGTCGATATTATGTTGTACATTGCCCGAGCCTATTACAAATGGGGTAAAATGCGTCAATGTAAGAATATTTTGTTGAAAATTCGCCGTGTATTGCCCAATGATACCTTGATTTTGTTCAATTTGGCATTGGTCCTACAAAAATTGGCTGCTTCAGTTTTAGAAGATACAAAAAGCTCGTTGCGAACAGTTTTACAGGCTGTTCACGAATTAGGACTGGCATTTAAATATTTTACATATTTGAAAACTAATGGCGATAAAAGTAAATTTGATTTAGCTTGGTGTTCGATCGAAGAACAACGATGTCAAGATTTATTACAACAAGCACAATATCATGTAATGCGAGCCCGAACAATGGATGAACAAGAACAAGAGATTCGCCGTAAGCAAGAACTTGAACGTGAAGAATTACGAAAAAAATTGATGGAAGAGCAACGAGTCCGTGAAGAAGAAAAGATTAAACAAGCACAGGAATTGATTCTCAAACGACAAGAATATGTTGAAAAAACAAAAAATATATTAATTTTTCAGGATGCGCCTGAAGATAAGCCGAAAAAGGCTCGTGGTCGTAAATCGGTTGCTAATGATGAAGATGGATTTGTCACTGATTCATCAAGTAATATCGAAAATCGACCTGATAGACCGATAAAGAAAAAACGAGCTATTTCAGATGGTGATAAAGAAAGACGACGTCGAAAGAAAAAAAGAACTAGCAGTGGTGATTCCGATTCGGATGGAGCCGGCGAAGTTAATGATGAAGAACGAGCCAAAAGGCGTGAAGAACGAAAACGAGCTCGAAAAGAATCAAATAAAAAACGACATTCTACAAAATCTCGACAAGTCGATAAGGAAGTACCTGGTAAATTCAAATCGAAAGCTTTTATTAATTCATCGGATTCATCATCAAGTGATGAACAAGAAGCAAATATTGATCCAAGCGCTGGAACTTTAACGCAAAACATGTTCGACAGTGACAGTGACGAAGATGTTGTTGGAAAAACAAGAGTTTCAAGTGATGATGATAATCAATCAGATGTTTATTCAAATGATAATGATGATGAAATAGTAAAACAATCTAAAAACAAAAGAAAACGCATCCAAAATGATTCATCATCAGAATCGAATGTTGATAATAATAATTCGGATAGCGATGATGAGCCGGAACCAAAGAAAAAGAAAATCTTATCTGATGATGATGATGAAAATGATGAAGATGAAAATAATAATCATCAAACTACTCCTAAAAAATCGTTTGACGATGATGAAGATTCGGATGAATCGAGCTCGAAAAATAGAGGTTCCGATTCAGAAGTCGAACGAAGTCCGATAGCTCGTTCGAATGATGAAGATGATGAAAATGACAACAATCATGCCAATGTCAATGATGATGATAGTGACTAAAAGAATTTTTTTTTCTTCAACTTGATATATTTAATATGACTATTTTATGTAAATTCCTCCCATTTTGAAATTTTATTTTGTAAATTCTCTTTTTTTAAATTCTCTGAAATAATGAATTAAATTTCGAAAATCTATTTGGATTAATATAGCCTATTGTGTTTAAATAGCTTATGAAATCATCAACACTTTTCATGTTTATTGCAAAAATTGACGCGGCATTGATTATCTGGAAATTTTGATCCATTATTTTAGTTTTTTATTATCATGATGAATACTTTTAACAAAGAGGATGCCAAAATGGTTACGCTACAGACACAAGTGGATACTTCCCATGAAGATATGATTCATGATGCACAGATGGATTATTATGGGACACGATTGGCCACATGTTCATCGGATAAAAGTGTCAAAATATTCGAAATAACTAATAATCAATATAAACAATTGGCTAAATTGTGTGGACATGAAGGTCCAGTATGGCAATTGGCCTGGGCTCATCCGAAATATGAAAATCTACTTGCCTCATGTTCGTACGATAAAAAAGTCATCATTTGGAAGGAGACATCAACGAATCAATGGGAAAAGTTATATGAAACAAATAATCATGATTCAAGCGTCAATTCTGTTTGTTGGGCACCACATGAACTTGGATTGATATTGGCTGCTGGATCTTCAGATGGTTCTATCTCGGTTCTTAGCTGCAACGTTGACAGCAACGTTTGGGATGTTAAGAAAATTCAAAACGCGCATTCAATCGGGTGTAATTCTGTAAGTTGGGGACCAGTTTTTCCTCCAACAAATTTTTCTTACACGCCACAAAAACGTATAGTTAGTGGTGGTTGCGATAATTTGGTTAAAATATGGCTTTATACGGAATCGGAAGATAAATGGATTGAGGAACAAAAATTGGAAGCACACTCCGATTGGGTTCGTGATGTAGCTTGGGCTCCATCCACAGGTTTACCGAAAACATTAATTGCTAGTTGTTCACAGGATCGTCGTGTAATTATATGGACAAAATCATTAGCTAAAGCTAATCAAGAATCATCAAGTTCTGGTTGGGCATATAACGTATTGAATACATTCGATGATGTTGTATGGCATGTATCATGGTCTATCATGGGTAATATTCTGGCCGTTTCAGGTGGCGATAATAAAGTTAGCCTATGGAAAGAGACACCGGATGGCCGCTGGATATGTATTAGTGGTCTATCACAAACAAACAAATAATTGATTTTTTGTTTTTTTTCATATTTCATTTAATTATATTTTTACATCAATATTTGAATCATAGAAATAATTAATAAACATAAACTAAAAATTACAACACGAGTGTATGGAAGTATTTGATTTTTAATGATGAATTTTCGACGATATCTTATAATTCAGCGAATTATTATTATTATTTGAAGTCGATGAATTGTCATTATTCGATAACAACATATTGATCTGTTTGAATCTAGCTTGTGGGTTATATATACGTTGACCTTTATGATGATGATCACCACTGGATGCACGCAATAATTTCGTTATATTTAAAACACCGTCCATTATAATTTCATCCAACTTTCGTTGTATTTCACGTATGGCTTCCTGATCAAAAAATATATCCGGAAATCGATAACTTAGCCATAGATATAGATCAAGACAATCATATACACTGAGCAAATGATCTAATTCGGTCATATTGTTTGGTCGATTAAACGGAAATTTTAGCGTTTGACACAACCAATTTGCTGTCATTGGTTGATTATTAGAATATTGACGAGCATATTTAAGAAACATTGCGCATACGAAATTAGATTTGTTATCCACAGGTGCACAGCAGAATACATAGCGAGCTCTCAATGGTAATGAAATGTGTTCGAGAATTCCGGCCAAAAATTTGATCGATTCGATATTACACATAAAATAATAAGGATTCAATCTACACAGACTGACAAAAATGTCTAACAAATTCGTTAGGCTAGCATTTGGCAAAAGAAAAGAGAACATTTCAATCTGATCCAAAGTGGGATGTAGACCTGCAGCTTCAATATCTTCGATCGGTGAAACAAGAACTTCTTTGAGAATTGGTAGGTCTTCTGGTTTATATGCAGTCACATAGCCATGATTATATTGAGTGTTGAATCGACCGGCTCTACCTGCAATTTGTAATGCCTGACTAACCGGAATAACATCCAATGTTTTTTCATTTTTGCTGTTGAATGTTGGTTTGATCAATGAATAGAAAATAATGCGACGAATGGAAAGATTTAATCCCATACCGATAGCATCGGTAGCAACAAGTATATTGCATGGATCATTTGGATCATTATATTTACTGCACTGTAGTAACTTGGTTGCTGGTGGCAATGTTCCATAAATGGTAGCCACATTATGACCCATTCTTTCAAGCTTAAGGCTAACATTATAAATGTCTCGTTTGCTGAAACAAACTATACAATCACCAGGTTGCACATTTTCCAACGATTCCAAAGCATTATCTTCAATCTTTAATTCAGTAAGACGTTTATATTCATGAATCTGAACAATTTCACCAGTGGTTGATAAGATTTCAATGATAAGATTAAGGGCAGCTTTCTCGCCACAAAGATGAATTTCTTCAGCAGCAATTCCGAGAAGAGCACGTGTCCAAGCCCAACCACGTTCAGGATCACGAACCATTTGGATTTCATCGATAATTGCCACTTCGTATATTTGATTTAAAGATGACATTTCGACCGTACAAGATACGTGTGCGGAAGGTGACTGATTTTCATCGGCGAATCGACGTTCTTCACCGGTGATTAAATCACATGCTACACCTGCATTATTGGTTTTTTGATAAACTTCGACGGCGAGCATTTTGAGCGGACCACAATAGATACCAGATTTAGATTCTAAAAATCGATTCAAAGCATTATAGGTTTTACCACTGTTCGTCGGACCACAATGAAAATGAAATTTTCGATTCATTGTTCTTGCCTGTGGATACCAATTTGGTGGCAAACGAAGGTCACTTATTTTCTTTAGATCATCCAAACAATCAATGTGAGGATAAATGGTTTTGGCATGCTTGATGAACGATGGGAATAGATCATCAACGTGTCCTTTACCTTGTAGGATATCACTCAATATAATATGGATTTCGGGATCAAGAATTTTAGAGTCGAGAATTTTTTTTCGATAACTTGAAAACGCTTCAATCAGTAATTTGGGTTTAAGTCCATTTTCAGCAGCCAATTGCCTAACGGTTGGCCTTTGAAGAAATTTATTCAATAACGGTATAATTTCTTCTTTCAACAATTTTCGTCCAGTTATCTCTTCACCAATATCACCCCATTCATCGGAAAACTGTGTAGAATGATCTTGACCAGGCTGTACCAAGGTATCAATGTCTTTTCTTTTAGTTTCATTATCCAAAGGCGATGGAAATGATGGTGGTGATGATGATGATGATGTTGAACAGAATCGGATACATATTTGACTATTGTTGAGCTGCGATATGTGATGTCTGTGTATCATTCGAACATTGACCATTCGTGATAGTATGGCAGGAGTGTTTATCATTATTATCCGACATTGTGGTAAACTGCGTAGATAACTTCGCAGAGAAATGCGCATTTTTTATTCAAATTTAGAGAGAATAAATTCTGGTTTTTACAAAAATAAAATGATCGATTTCCGATGGAAAATTTGATCAATTAAATCATTCCAAGATTAAAATAATTCAAAAATAATTTGAATCGACAATTATCACATGTAATTTAATGCCACAACAAACATCACATGTGTGATTGTTATCAATTAAAACAAAGTTTCACGATCAGATGTCACTACAATCGGTCGTTTTTTTTCATGTGATTTGACCCGAGCTGAATCCCGAAGTTTTTTGATGTAAAATCTTAAAAACAGGGATTTAAAATAGAAAAAAATCCATGTGTTCCATATAATCTATTCTATTTTTTGGATTCTAAATCATCGTTTAAAGCAAAATTTGTCAAAGTAGATTCGCTGATTACCTAATTCGGCTATCAAAACAAAAATGTTTCGTGTGACATTGATAAATAGTTCGAGAAATTTATGTTGTTTAAGGCCACTGGTCAAAAATCGAGTTCTTGTTGCTTGTTGGGAGATTAATGGAAATGATACTACAATCGAATCGCCATCTTTTTCCAGCATACGATTCATAAATTCATATGTGAATTATAATGTTGATAAAAGGTTAGTTTTGCTTTGTTGTTTTGGGCTTATGTCGATAATTTTTATTTTTATATCGTTCAGATTTAATGCCCAGGTTTCGAATAAACGAAGGTTAAGTTCCGGTAATTTACCTTCTCATTATAAAGTTGCGTTGCCTGCGCTATCACCAACAATGGAAATGGGTACGATAGTTTCCTGGGAAAAAAAAGAAGGTGATCGTTTAAATGAAGGAGATTTATTAGCTGAAATCGAAACAGATAAAGCAACAATGGGTTTCGAAACGCCTGAAGAAGGATATCTAGCAAAGATTTTGATACCGGCTGGTACAAAAGATATTCCCATTGGAAAAGTATGCCGTTTTGCATTTTTTTAAACTTGTTATCCATTCTTTCCTTCTTTTGATTCAAAGCTATTGTGCATAATAGTACCGGAACAAAGCGATATTGGCGCCTTTGCCAATTATGTGCCTGTAGAGTCATCAATCAGTGAAAAAACATCGACAAAAGCGAATGAACTTCCCAAAACACAACCACCATCACCGATACAACCAACAAAAAAAGATGCAATACCGGAAAAATCATCTTCGACTATTGCAGCAGCCTCAATGCCATCTTCACAGCCAATTGTTAGTCAAAGCTTTAAAAGTGCTGCAGGACGAATATTTGCTAGCCCACTTGCCAAAACAATAGCCAATGAAAAAGGTATCGATCTCTCAAGATTATCTGGCAGTGGACCAAGCGGTCGAATTCGAGCTCAAGATGTTTTGAATGCACCTTCAGATGCATCGACCATGACGATGACTCAATCGATGATGTCTTCATTCGAAGATATTCCAATGACAAATATGCGACAAGTGATTGCTAAACGATTGATGTTATCCAAACAAACCATACCACATTATTACTTAACAGCTGAAATCGAAGTAGATGAACTTCTTCGGTATGATGAAATTTTTTTTAATCACTAGATTTAATAAATTTTTTTCTCTATTTCCAGAGCGAGAGAACAACTCAATGGAATGCTCAAATCTGAAAATATTAAGCTATCATTGAATGATTTTATAATCAAAGCATCGGCTTTGGCATGCTTAAAAGTACCATCGGTTAATTCATCATGGCAGGATACATTTATACGGCAATATAACTCGGTCGATATATCGGTAGCCGTCAGTACAGATTCAGGCCTAATCACACCAATCATTTTTGGTGCCGAGAAAAAAGGTCTGGTTGAAATATCTAATGATGTAAAAGCTTTAGCCAAAAAGGCACGTGATGGTAAACTACAGCCACAAGAATTTCAAGGCGGTACATTTACCATATCAAATCTGGGCATGTTTGGTGTAACAGAATTTTCAGCTGTCATTAATCCACCACAATCATGTATATTGGCTGTTGGTAATACTGAAAAACGCTTAGTACCGGATAGTGATAATAAACCACGATCAGCAAATCTATTAACGGTAACACTAAGCTGTGATCATCGTGTCGTTGATGGAGCTGTCGGTGCAACCTGGTTGAAACATTTTCGACAATTAATATCCAAACCGTTCAGCATGATGCTTTAACAAAGCAAAAAAAAACAGATATTCTGAATTTAGCAGTCAATTTTAAATTATTGTTTGTTTTGTTTTAAAGAAAAATTAGTTGTGATCATTGATTTCTTTTCTTTTCAATTTAAATTTTTTGTTGTTGTCTGGTTGCATTTTATATATCGCAATAAAATTTGATTAAAATTTCACTGTCAGAAAATAATTATTGCAATTACTTCTGACTGACTGTATGTAAAAATATAAAAAATTCAAAATCAAACTTGAGTTATTCAAAATAAAAAGAGAGAGAACGAGAAATCAAGGTTTTTGAATTCATTGTCATATTTATTATTTATTATTCTAGCCATGACGACGACAATGATAATAATGACAACATTCTTGATTAAAGAGAAAAAATTATCCATCTTTCTATATATCGATGCATATACACAAACAAACTATACAGGCTTCAATATCAGGGACATTTTGCATCATTGCAATCGCTATAAACAAAAATAAATACACCTGCAAATGACATTGAAATCCTTATCATCAGTATTGAGTTTTTTGTGTGCGATATTAGCACATCATTACATTGAATATCATTGAAAATCAAAGGGTTTTTTTTAATGAAGGTCGACAATCGATTCTTTACAGATATTCTGTACAGATTTATTGGATGTTTATTCTAAAAATACGGTACCCTAAAGAATTTTGAACTATACCTAACCACTTTCATCAGAGGATAATGAAAAAATCATCATATTCAATGTCAATATAAAGTTATTTAAGGTCGTATGAGGGCGATTGAAGGACTTTGTCAAGGATTTTCATAACATTGGAGGTGAAATTGTATGCTGTGAGGGTAATTGACCTCGCCATCCATACAGACAACATTTTCTTCCATTAGCACTTTAATCATCTATTCAAATGAGACTGATTGGATTGCACATGGATACATTAAAGATGGTGGTTACCATTGAATTCTTTGATGTAGATTGCCTTCCCATTAGCACATACTTTTTTTAATGCTATATAATAGAAGCAATGGCTTCGAATTTACCTTGAATCATCCGTTTGTTCGTTATTTTTTTGTTGTTGGATTGCACCGCCCATTTTATATTGTCATGATCCAATGTGTCAGGTTTCAACAAGCAGAAAATTTCTTTATCGATAAAATTTGGATGATGTTTAAATATAGACAACAGAAGCTGATATATGCAAGAATTTATCATTTCTGCAACTGCGTCAATATGGTTAGAATACCTTGACATTGAAATTTCAATTACAACTATGAAACCGTTATTGCAAATTGGAATTAGATACATTGAATCATTTTGCAGAAAAGGAAGAAGGCAAAAAAATTGTGATGATGTATTTTTGCTATCACAAGCCAAGCTATAGCTGATGGTTTTTGCGCTATCGCGTTTCTACCCCTTGCTTCGTCCTTCCTTTATTTTTTTAGATAAATATTTGGCATTGACAATGATGTGAGACCTTCATATATTTTCATTTCCAATTTTTTTGGTTATATGAAAATCTAACTTACCTTGAATCAATGAAATGATGACATTATTACCCAAATTTTTGGCCTACTAATTCAATGTCATTTGTTGGTATTTGTCATTGAATATTCGAACATTGGATGAATTTAAATATAAACTTTTGAAAGTTAAATTATTCGTTAAAATAGTGAAAAGTAAAGTTGTAAAGATGTTCTAATCATTTACCGTACATTGGCCACCACGGTTAATGAACGTGGTCAACAAAAAAAAACTAGTATCTTTCAGGTCAAAAGTTTATCTGCGGTGATTGTACTGGTGAAGGTCAATTCATACACGATGACTATCATTGACATTCTAAAAATATAAATGAAAAAGTCAATGGACTGGACCGACCGCATGCTCGTGCCTAATACAATGAACTCGAACGATATAACCTTGACTCGCCTTTCGAAAGAAAAAAGAGTCAAGACCCAAGCCGTGTACAGTTCATTGAAGGTGTTTGACCCTAGTTCATAATAGCGGTCAAAGTTCATTGTAAGGTTCAGAGGGTCGAGATTTATTATGAAAAAAATTAACGGTACTTCCTACTATAGTTTTTTTCAATGTAAATTTTTTCCATCGACTTTCGTGATAATCAAAATAAGAATTTTCAAATATGATTGTAATTCAAAATTTAACAATGTTTGGTGAATATTGCTTAGAAAATAAGAAATTCAACAAGGAACCAATTGTAACATGAATAAGCCTAACCAAACTGAATAAAATTTTTAAGAAAAAAAATCACGACAGTATTTCAAATGTTTATTCGCTGCTACTGTCTTACAAGATAAGATATTATAATTTTAATGAAATCAATATGGGTTTTTGGTAAATATTGATTAATCTAATCAGAAATAAATGCCAATCTTATATTTCAATAAGTTATTTTTTTAAGAAATAAAAATATTATTTTAACCTAAATTGAACGAAAAATCTTGAATAAACATTTAGTTTTCATCAGGTAGGGAATTCAATAGCATCGAATTCGAATCTTTTTTCATTTGTGAAATATTTATTCCATTCCGATCATATTAACGTATTCTGTGAATCGAACCAACATTGATATTTTGTGTTCACAATTATTTCAAATGTGATTTGTTTGAGAAAATTTTACGCGAATATTTTAAGTTAAAATGTTTTTCATCATTGGAATTTGATTTAAAAATTACGATATGGATTTTCATAACTGGTTTTTTCTATCTGTTTCTATAAATCGACGATCAATACATAGAACACTGAGATAAGAAGAAAAAATACTGTCCACTTATGTGCAATCATCACAAAATGTATAGTCAAACTGGCTGGTCTTTGCTTGTTTGTCGATCATTGATCGGCAGTGGTGGCAGTAGTATTGGTCGCCATTACGATCATCATTACTGTCGTAATCGTTACAAAAAAAATAATGGCTGGATTTCGATCCCATGTAACAAACGACCTGATTCGCTTACATATAGCCAGAAGCATAGAAAATATAAAATCGAAAGTGATAATCTTATCAATAAAACACATAAATTATCATCACTATCCATAACTGATACTTATCAAATAAATAGTGCCTCGAAATTTGTCACACTAGATTCATTAGATTCATCCGTTTCATCAGTTGTAATAAATATACATAAAAAATCATGCTTGTCAAAATCTCATTCGATGCACAGGTTGATATTATTCAATCCTGTTGCTCATTTTCGTCGAAATAATTTATTAATCGTTCCGAAAAGTTTTAATTCTTTCGAAACATCAACAATCATGCAATATCATCATCAACATGATCATTCTACAAAAAAACAGCCAATGTTTCATACAAATGATGATTGTGATGATCGGAAATTGTCGACGACAAATCTTAAAGCATGTCGTCGTCAATTAACTTTATTGGCCGAAAGTTTTGTAGATAAACATCCAAAGTTTGAAGTTCAGGTAATTTATCATTTTGGAATAATTGCCTTTTTAATATTTATAGACATCTGTACAATTTTAAATGGCAATATAAATCATAACAATCATAAAATGATCAAGACCATATCCAGTATAGACTAGATATAATAACAATTCTTTTATTTCAAAGATCAAATAACATTTTTCATTAAATTTCCATTGTCTATCTAATTTCAAATGATCAACAAATTGTGTGTTTATCGTCGAAAAAAACATTCGATGTTTATGTTTTTTCCAATATTGACAATTCTTTTGTTTTTTGTTGGATGATATCGATTTGGAAATATTGATCATAGATAAAATGAATAGAGTATTAAATGATTTATTACATTTTGTTATAGATATTTTCCAACTAACATGATTTTTTCTCCATTACAGAGTGCCTATACATTGGCTATTGAACGATTAAATCGTTTACAATCAAATGCTGATTATTTAAAGAATGCTGCTTTTGGTAAAAGATCAAATTCTTTGGAAAGGACCAATCATTTTCTACGAGCATTGGGTATTGAACCTGAAGATTTAAATCGCTTGAAGATTATTCATGTAGCCGGTACGAAAGGTAAAGGATCAACGTGTGCATTTGTCGAATCCATCTTGCGTTCGAACGAGTATAAGACTGGATTTTATTCATCACCACATTTAGTTGTCGTACGGGAACGTATACGTATCAATGGAAAACCAATTTCTGAAGATAAATTTGCCCGTTATTTTCATCATGTTTACAACATTCTGGAAGCGAACAAAACAGATGAATTTAAAATGCCTGGATATTTTAATTTTTTAACCATAATGGCATTTTATGTCTTTCTGCAAGAGAATGTCGATGTAGCCATTATGGAGGTCGGTATCGGTGGTAAATTAGATTGTACGAATGTCGTGCAAAAACCGATCGTTACTGGAATTACATCATTAGATTTTGATCATTGTCGATTGTTAGGCAATACGTTAACCCAAATCGCCCAAAATAAAGCTGGAATATTTAAACAAGGTGTTCCTGCTTTAACCGTTCAACAGCCTGAAGAGGCAATGTCAGCTTTAAAAGAAACAGCTCAACAAGTAAATTCTCCACTTTATGTCGTGCCACCATGGTCAAATTATCCCGATTCATCGAAGATCGATTTGGGTATAAAAGGAGAAGCTCAAAAACTTAATGCATCATTAGCCGTTCAATTAGTCAATGTTTGGCTGAGTAGAATAAAGTTTTCGAATAATCAATTTATTATCCATAGTAATGATGAATACGATTTTTTGAATACTGTAGCACTCAATCAAAATCATTTCGCCACCGGCCTTATCAAGACTGTATGGCATGGCCGATGTCAGATCATTCGAAAAGATAATGTTACTTATTTTCTTGATGCTGCACATACAATTGATTCGATGAATAATTGTCTTCAATGGTTCAATAAACAAACCGATAGTTTCTTATCCACTTTCAACAACATTTCTAATGGTACCTTGCCAAAGATTCATCGAATATTTGTATTCAATTGTACAGGCGATCGAGATCCACGGCCTTTGCTAGCAAAATCGTCTGATTTTGACTTGGCTATTTTTACAACAAATCGTGTGATGAATGAGAAGAAAATCGATTCTGACCAATCAAATTTAACAATTACGGAAAATCATGAAAATGAAATTCGATCTAATAATGCAAGAATTTGGCATGAAATGTTTCCTACAGTCAAAAATCTACAAGTCGAATGTATTGGAGATTGTATTGAACAAATTGAATCTTACAGCGAATCGGTTCGATCACCGATCGTTGTTCTAGTAAGCGGCAGCGTACATTTGGTTGGGGGTTTTATCGGCCTTCTTCATCCAGATTTTGTTTCCTCAGATTGTTGAATTTGTCATTTGTTTTTTATATTTGTTCATTAATAATTGGAATTTTATTAAAATAAAAGAAACTATCGATTATGAACAATCGATAGTGGGTGGTGCATCATTATAAACACTTGATGTTGATATGAATCATATGATCGAATGTGTGTAGGTGAACTGAACAGCTGGCAAATGATACGGATATAAAAAAATCTTCGACTTGCCATTGTATTGGCAATCTGCATTTGCAGATCAGCAAACATAAACTCAAATATTGAAAGATGTCTACTGGATCATTTTCTGAAAATGGTCAAAACATTCTCAACGAAGCTCAAGTATTAGCAACTTTGGCCGTTAGTTATGATCAACAAAAAGATTATGAAGGGGCCATTTATTTTTATAATGTAAGTTTTAATAAATTTAATTAAGCAATTAGCATGAATCATTCGGATTTTTTTAGGAAGCGGCCAAAAACCTTAGAAAATATGTCAATCAAGATGGCGTTAATACGAATGAAGAAATCGACAAAAAGATTTCTGATTACGAAAAACGATCAAACTTGTTGCGTGAAAAACTAAACCAAAGTATAAATTAATTTATAATTTAAAAATGTCCATAATTAGCTCAAGTGAATTTTTAACTTTGATCAAGTTTTGGATAATGAGCATAAAAATCTTACAATCAAAGATGAATCGGATTGCAGCGTGCAGCGATTAGAGTTTCTACTTAAAGAAGCTTTGAATGAAGATGAAGAAGGTGATACTGATGAAGCATTACCATTATACTTGATGGCTATCGAGACTGGTCTAAAAGCAGTATGTATTTATGATTATTTTTTTGAACATTGATTATATGATTATCAAATTAATTAGAAAAAAGAGATTAAAGATCCGAAATTGGGTGAACGACTTACCTTGATCATTACTCAAGCTTTGGAACGTGCCGAAGCAATCAAAGGTGTTAATGTCAAAAAGAAAGAATTTATACCTTTGGAAAAAAAATTGAATAAAAGCCTATCTATTGATGAAGAACCCATGATTTCGATTTCGAAAAGTGGCCACATAGTCAGTGGACATGTTTCTTACACGAAAGATGAGATTGAAGTATTAAAAACAAGTTCTAACATCAATGGAATAGATTATGTTCCATTCATAGCTCAATTAGATTCAAAGGAAAGATTCAGCACACTTTCATTGTTTGAAGACCCAAATGGCTTATTAAAACTTTCGTTGAAACAAAAATCTAATTTTATTGGTTATCGACGGCTTTCGGAAATTGCTGAAAATCCGGTTATATTTACTAATTCTAAACATATTGATTGTTTTGCCATCAAACAAACAATCGTTACTGATTGCTCTTTTATCGCTTCATTGACTGTTGCAGCTCTTTATGAGAGAAGATTTGGAAAGAGATTAATTTCCTGCATAATTTTCCCACAGAATAGACATGGAGAACCAGTTTATAATCCTTGTGGTAAATATATGATCATCTTGCATTTGAATGGTATTCTACGTAAAGTCATTATTGATGATCGATTACCAGTGGGCCATTACGGACAACTAATGTGCTCATATTCGCAGAATAAAAATGAATTCTGGGTATCATTATTAGAAAAGGCATACATGAAGGTGATGGGTGGATATGATTTCCCGGGTAGCAATTCAGTGAGAAAAATTAATTTTTATTTTAATTCAAATTGTTTTAAATGAAAAAGTTTCATTTTTTTTAGAATATTGATCTGCATGCATTGACCGGATGGCTTCCAGAACGAATATCACTATCAGAATATAATAAGGAGAATTTTTTTCGTCTTATTTCTCGGCGTTATACTGCTGGCGATGCATTGATTACATTTGCAACTGGTGATATTTCCGATTTCGAAAGCGAACGTACTGGATTAGTATCAACCCATGCATATGCTATGCTTGATGCTAAAAGTGTTAATGTAATTTTTTCGAATAAAATTCATTCTGAAATTCATTTAACTTTGAAATTTTCCTATAGGATCAAAGATTGTTTCTATTGAAAAATCCATGGAGTCATGTACGCTGGAAAGGCAAATTCTCTGAACGTGATTTGACCAGTTGGACTGCTGAAATGAAAAAAGCTTTAAATTACGATCCAAATAGCGCAAAAAATTTCGATAATGGAGTATTCTGGATCGATATTGATTCATTATTTAAATTTTTTGATGTTTGTTATCTAAGTTGGAATCCGGCCCTATTCAAATATTTTTACTGTACTCACGAGTAAGTTTTTTTAGTGACTATAGCACATTAATGAAAAACAAACAAAAAATCTTTTCAGCATTTGGAATGCCGGTGTGGGCCCAGTCAAAGATTTATATTACATGGGTGATAATCCTCAATACTCACTTAAGATCACAAATCCGGATAGTTCAACGTGGATCGTATTGACCAGACACATTATGGACAGAGATGATTTTGCCAACAACAAAGAGTATATTGCACTTTTGGTGTATAAAAATAATGGCGAAAAAGTTATATTGCCATGTAAGTTGTGCAACTATAGTGTTTGAAATCATATTGAATCATTATTGTTATTTCATTAGTTGAACCAAAGCCTTATATTGATGGTGCTCGAATTAATTCACCTCATTATTTGTGTAAGATTATTGTTGATAAAAACAATCCGGAACTTCGTTATACATTGGTTATTTCCCAATATGAAAAATCTTCAACAATTTTATACACTCTTCGTGCCTATTCATCTTCACCTTTCACTTTGAAAAAAATACCTAACATTTATCTTTACAAAGAAAAAGTAAGTTCATGCATCTTTAAAGACTTTTTAATTCTGAAAAAAATATGTTCTCCGATATATTATTTCTCAGGTAATGAATGGAAAATGGACACAGGAAACTGCCGGTGGTTGTCGTAATCACCCGAATACTTACCAAAATAATCCTGTCTATCAATTAGTACTCGAAGGTAGTTCACGAGACAGTGATAATGAAGTGATGATCGAATTAAGAGGTCCGAAATCATATGCAATTGGTTTGGAAGTCATAACAGTATCGGTATTGAATCAAAATTCACCTAATTATTTTCAACGCAAAGATACTGGATCATTTCGTTCCGGCTGCACTTATTTGAGGCTGAAATCAATTCCGACTGGTACCTATCAAATCATCCCTTCAACTTTTCTTCCTGGCCAAGTTGGTCCTTTTTTTATATATGTTCACTCTACTCATCCAATTAAACTTAAAAAAATCAAGTGATAGAAAATTTGAAAAAAACTATAAATTAAATAGCTATTTACACCTACATGGTGCTACTCAAACTTAATTTTTTTTTGATTCACATTTTAACGAAAAACGTAAATAAATAGCGAATAAATTTTTTTGAAATATAAAATTTGTGAATTTTCTTCTTTATAAGTATGGATATTGAAATGGAAAACTATGATGATGAAGATCCTGCTGAAATTTATAGGAAATGCGTTGAGTTACTTAGCAGTAAAGATTTCATTATGGAAGATTCAGTTATACCAACATTGAAAAGGTATGCGAATTATTGCTTTATTACATGATGAAAAATATTTTGATTTTGGCAGATTTATTCACGTAAAAGGAACCAAAGAAGAGGCTATTCATCTGTTATCATCTAATTACGATGCCGTAGCTCAAATCGCTAACCTTCTGGCTGAATGGCTACTGATGACTGATCTCACATTAGCTGAGGTTCAATCTACAGTTGAGGATAATCTCAAAAATATGATCATCAAGCACTTTGATCAGAAAAAAGCCGATTCTATTTTTCTTGATGAATCGAAAGGAGTAAGTTCTGAATAACGTTAGAACTTTACGAAATAATTTTGTTGAAATCTTCATTAAACTAGAACCCGGATTGGCTTACTGCATTGATCCAACATCAACCTTGGCGTAAATTGATTTTTCAGTTGGCTGACAAATATCCCGATTGCCTTATGTTAACATTCACGGTCAAGGTAAATTCTTTCTAGTTGTAAATACTTCAGAATCTCAAAATCTTGAACCAATATTAGTTGATTTCTGATGCCGGTTTCCAAAGCGAAATAACTTCCATATCAACTGCGTCACAACAATTAGAAGTGTTTACCCGAATCCTAAAAACTTCAGTCACTAATTTCTTGGAAAAAGGCGAAGAAATGCTAGATTCGGAGAAAGTTCTAACTGAATTTGCGGTAAGCCTTGTTGATCGATTTCAATCGAGAATAAATAAATATTTAACGTTCTTGCATACAGAAATTGGTTTCACATGGTGAACACACCTATCTTTACAGTCAAGTTTTATTACACTACCTATCATTAGAACCGAAAGGAGGCTCTAATGTTAAACGACTTTTTCAAGAAATCTCTCGATTCGCCCAGAAAAAGTAACAAAACTGATTCGACTTTAATGTTCTATTATTCTAATGGTTTCATTGAAATTTTAGCGGACATAATGCTACACCGATCATGCTTGCATTAATGGGAATCTCTTCACATCCTCGTTTAGCGCAAGCATTATCAGCAATGTTGGCCAAAGATGCTCTCAATCCTGCCGATATAACTACGGTGAGATCTTATGATAAATGATAAAATTGATTGTACTTATTGATATGTTACTATAGTTATACAAATGTTATCAAGAAACATCTCCCCCACCAGTTGAATTTTTGCGAATACCGCAATTTCTTGATCTATTGTTGGACGCCTTATTTAAACCTGGCTCGAAATTACATTCCGAACAACGTCCCAAATATGTCTATTTATTGGCTTATGCATCATCAGTTCATGAAGCTTATAGAAAGCATAATAATGCCTATAACAATGTTCAATTTCGCAAATCTATTAATCGCGATGAATTAAAACCTACGATACAGGCAATCGAAAAGGTTTCATCATTATGTGTAGAACGAAAAGGATCATCAGAAATTATGCCTGAATTGAAAACACTATATCAAATGATCGAAAAATATCAAGTTGTCGCCTATGGAATCGTTTACTGGGTCAAACATGTTGTCAGTGAACCAAGTTATTTCAAATTAAACACAGAACAAACTCCTTTACATTTAGCTTTATTAGATGAAGTAACTGCCTGCCATAATACTCTGCATAAAATAACACTAAATCTATATATTGATATATTTGAAAAACAATATGATGAACTAGAGGTTTTAGCACAACTTGAATTGAAGAAAATGATCCTTGATCGTATGATCCATTTGATTAGCAAAGGATGCGTAGTTCCAGTATTGAAATATATAAAACAATGCTGGCAAAAAGGAGATACCGATATATCATTGTTTCGATATTTTATCATCGAAGTTTTATCGATGATCACGGCCCCATATTCTATTGAATTTATTGATCTATTTTTACCATTGGTCGAATGTGAAGAAGTGACAGGAAATATGCGAAGCGAAGTCGAAACAACTTTGGTCAATGAATTTATAGGTTTGTATAAGATTATTTTGTTGATGCATAATTTCATCTCTAAATTATTTTAATATTTTCACATTAGAAACTTGCAAAAACCTAAAAAATGAAAATCGTGTTCATTTGGAGGATTAATCGAATTTCGCATCAAAAGGCATGGGTTGGCTGACATGTTTCATTTTTTTCACTGTATTGATTTCTGTAACTTCTCATGATTTTGTTAGTTTTCAATAATCATCTGAAGATTTAATGTATAAATTGGATTTATCATGAGTTGTTTTTGTCATATCTTCATTACCAACCAACTCTATTTGAACAATCAATATGAAACGAATGATGAAGAAAACAATTTTTTTCGACGATAAAAGTCATCATAGATAAAATTATACTTATAATGTTAATCTTTCTCATCAAATATTTTGCGATCTTTATCGTAAAACTATCAGCTCATTTGGTATTTCTTAACATTTACTGGAATAAGAATGTCATTCGATATTTCTAATAATATGTGACATTGTAAAAAACTTTGTCGATTGTGACCATTCTATTTATTTCTTCTCCTTCAATTAAATTTTATTTTAAATATAATCAATAAAAATTTATTCTCGTTTTTTATTTATTCCAGCAAATTTGAGTATTTCTATCTCTTAATTCTTTTATTAAAAACATTGACAAATGCTTTCAAGCATCCCGACGATTTCATCAAAAAAGAAGCACAATTTATTCAAAAAGAATAAAAACAAACAAAAAAAGACAACCTTTTAAATTATTAAAAATTTTTCGATTTTAGTTTTTTAAGAAATTCGTATCGATGTATGTTCCATATTTGACCGCTAGGTCAACAGCGGTGGCTTTTCGATCAATCTCGTATCGATTTAAATCGACTTCGTTAGATGCGAAAAAAATCTTAGGTAAGAATCTTACGGATAATGTAATAGAATCAATCATTGATTATTATTGACAAAGCAATCAGACGAGAAGATGCTTCGATTTGGGAACGTCGAGCTCCGTTGGCTCCACTTCATGTTCGTCAATTAGTTCGGAAAGGTGTTAAGGTGATTGTTCAACCTTCTAATCGACGTGCATATCCACTACAATCATATGTACAATCTGGTGCTGTTGTTCAAGAAGATATCAGCGAAGCACCAGTCATAATTGGTGTCAAACAAGTTCCTGTTGATCTTTTATTGCCGAACAAAACGTATGCATTTTTTTCCCATACGATCAAAGCTCAAGAAGCTAATATGCCTTTGCTTGATGCTTGTCTTGATCGTAATATTCGTTTAATTGATTATGAAAAAATGGTTGATTCAATGAATCAACGAGTGGTAGCTTTTGGACGTTATGCTGGTATCGCCGGAATGATCAACATTATGCATGGTCTAGGATTACGGCTGCTGGCTTTGGGTCACCATACACCATTCATGCATATTGGTCCTGCTCATAATTATCGTGATAGCGGAAGTGCTAAACAAGCTGTTCGGGCAAGTGGTTATGAAATAGCTTTAGCTATGATGCCTCGATCGATTGGTCCACTTACATTTGTCTTCACAGGATCCGGTAAATACTTCATTGAAAAATTTTAATTAATAGATTATAAATATTATTTATCATCAGGAAATGTATCTCAAGGAGCACAGGAAATATTTCAAGAATTACCATTTGAGTATGTTGATGTAAAAGATCTGCCACACGTATCCCAACTAGGTCAAACTACTAAAGTATATGGTGCTGTCGTTTCAAGAGCTGATCATTGGGTCAATAAAAATGGCTCATCATTTGATCCGGAAGAGGCCGAACAGCATCCTGAACGTTATTATTCAAATTTCGCTTCAAATATCGCACCTCATGCATCGGTCATTGTTAATGGAATTTATTGGGCACCAGATTCGCCAAGATTATTGACTATACCGGATGCAAAACGATTATTACAACCACATTATGCTCCTTGGTTACCAACATCTATTGGTTCTCCTGCATTGCCCCATCGGTTGTTAGCTATCTGTGATATCAGTGCCGATCCGGGTGGATCAGTAGAGTTTATGACTGATTGTACAACAATCGACAACCCATTCTGTTTGTATGATGCTGATTACAACAAGAAAACTAGTGATTTCGCTGGTTTGTATTATAAATACTGTTGATGTTTGCATTATCATTCGATAAATTGATTTTTCTTTGAATAGGACCTGGTGTACTTGTATGCTCGATTGATAATATGCCTACACAGTTACCATTAGAAGCAACACAATCTTTTGGTGATTTGCTCAGACCATATATTTTTGATATCATCAATTCAGATGCAAACGAATCATTCGAAAAATTCAAAGGCAGTGATGTGGTACAACGAGCAGTTATTGCTAGCAATGGAAAATTGACTTCCAATTTCGAATATATTATGGAAATGAGAACTCAAAAAGATAAAAGCAAAAGCAGTAAATCACGAGCAGACAATGAAAAATCGGTATTAGTATTGGGTGCTGGTTTTGTTGCCGCTCCTCTCGTTGAAATATTGACTCGAGACGAAAAAGTTCATGTAATTATCGCATCAGATCTTCAAGCTCCTAGTGAAAATGTTGCAAAAAATGCAAAAAAATCAAATGCTGAATCAATAGTTGTAGATGTACTAAAAAATCAAGATCTTTTGGAAACGCTTATTCAAGAATCTGATCTCGTAATCAGCTTGCTGCCCTATTCATTACATCCCATCATTGCTCAAAAATGCATCCAATTCAAAAAGAATATGGTAACTGCTAGTTATAAAAGTCCAGAAATGAGGGCTCTTCATGACGAAGCTCTTGATGCGGGTGTAACAATCCTAAACGAGGTTGGTCTTGATCCGGGTATTGATCATTTGTTTGCAATGGAATGTTTCGAGCAAGTACATTCTAACGGAGGTAAAATAACATCTTTTAAATCATTTTGTGGTGGCATACCGGCTCCAGAATCTGCTGATAATTCACTTTTATACAAATTTAGTTGGAATCCAAGGGGGGTTATCTTGAATACATTATCTAGTGCTAGATGGTTAGAGAAAGGAAAAGTGCATGAAGTTCCTGAAGGAGGTGCACTGATGGATGCTGTCAGAGATATTGACTTTTTAAAAGGTTTCAACTTTGAAGGCTACCCAAATCGTGATTCGTTAATCTATCAGGATGTGTATGGACTAAATTCTGTTCGCACATTATTGCGTGGAACATTGAGGTGATTGTATATTTTTTAATGTAAATTTATCTTAACATTTCTAATCCATTTCTAATAGGTACAAAGGATTCTGTAACTTGATGAAAGGATTTCATATGATGCAATTGCTCAATACTAATCCGCATCCTTTACTTCATCCGAATGGGCCTGATATAACGTGGCGTCAATTCATTGCCAATGTGTTAGCACAACCCGAAGACATTCTGCCTACAACCGTCAAAAATATTATGTTCGAGAAAATTGGTCAAGATGAACAACGTATGCAAGCTTTAGAAGAACTTGGCCTGTTAGGCGATGAAATGATCGCCAAAAAACATTCTCCGTTTGAAACGTTGATGTATTATCTGACCAATAAACTGATGTATCAACCAGGTGAACGCGATCTAGTCGTTTTACGGCATGAGATCAACGTGGAATGGCCTGATCAAAGCAAAGAAAAACGTAACATCAATTTAGTCGTGTACGGAGATCCAGATGGATATTCAGCAATGGCTAAAACTGTTGGCTATCCCACTGGCATCGCTGCAAACATGATTTTGAATGGAGAAATCCAAGAAAAAGGCGTTATTGGACCAACATCTGTCAACGTTTATAACACAATGATAAAACGACTACGAATGGAAGGAATTAGGGCAGTTGAAAAATCGACAAAATACTAGATAATACTTTGTAAATATGATTTAATCTAAATCAATTAACATTATTAAAACCGTTGCTCAATTGGGTATCATATAGGATTTACGAAACCAATCATCTTTGTCTATAAAATCGAATGGTATACGATCATTAGCATTTGATCTCATCAAAGCAAATAAAAAATTTTGACATTCATTGCTTATGTTCGGTATTTTCGAGATATTATGCCAGACTTCCTCATCCAAATTTTCATGCGGATATTCGATATTGTATGGATAGAATTGAGTCAATGTAAAAAATAGATTCGCTCCGTATGACCAAATGTCAGCAATGATTGGATCAAAAAATTCATTAACATTTCCATAAACTTCCGGTGCCTGAAAATTCGGTCCATCATTCCTTTGTTGACTGATCGGTTGACACTGACAAAAGTTTACATCATTCTCTTCAATATTCCAGTAAATGATTGAGTTTTTGAAACCTGTCAATTTGACACACAATTCATTGCCCATTGGTTTCAATAATAAATGATTAGGCTTAATGTTTCGATGTGAGATACCACTGTCACCTAGAAAATCTAATGCTCGATAAATTTGTCTTGCCCAGAAACAAAGTTGTTTTTCATTGACAGGATTCTCTTCGACATATGAGATAATATTTCCACGAGGAACAAATTCCTGAAAGATATACACGTTGACATCATCGGAAAATATTTCCCATGTATTTACAATGTAAGGGTGTTTTCGACCCAAATGACGTAAGACTTTTAAATAGAATGAATTTTTTGGATCAACACTTTTAGTTGTATATATACATGCCATCATAACATATTCTGGCATCATTGTATTTTTTGCCGGATACATTTGCACCTCTGGATCATCGTTTAGTTTGTTATTTGTGTCGATCTGAAACGCATCGAATAATTTAGGCACTTGTTTTACTGATAAGGCACTTTCTTGTGCGCTCAATTGTTCTATCTGGATTTTTTTTTTGAAAAAAAGTTACTTAAACTAGGAGAAAACAGCGTATTAATCTACATACTTGAGATCGAAGTAAACTTCTTGTGAAAAGTAATTTTCGTTGCGATATTTTTTGTGTATATTTTAATGAAATTGATGGATCAGCCGATCTTGCCACTGTTTGGTTTTTATCCGAACCAGGCATTGAACGAATTTGAATTCGTTTTGTTTTTGATTTTGATAATGATGGATCATTAGAAGATTTGCGCATACTTTGCGCCATTGAATGATTGAAGAATGGCATGATGATCCAGTAGTCGATGAATACTGTGGCAATCAATAAAACAAAAATTATACCAAGAAATTATGACAAATTTAAAGTGAAAGCGATTATTGAAATAATTTCAGTCGTTTATTGTTGTATTGAACACAATTATACATATTATATTAAGCAATTAATTTGATTGTTTGGAATAAAAATCAGAACATAAAACCAGAAATATAATTAGAATTTTTTTTTGTTTTTGCTTACTTGTTGTTGACAAACAAATTAATTTAGATTATATTTACAAAATTAGAAGGGGATTGTTTCCCAGCAGTTTGTGATGATGATAATGTACGATGTGAAACATTAGGATCTTCATCAACTCCTTGATTATCACCAGTTTCATATGCTATTGAGAATTCACGGCGAAGTTTTGGTTTTGCATATATACGAGCACTTGCGACTGGATGTTGTTCTTGTCCGTATGTTCGTCGGCTTGTGGTCGATGTTGGCGGTTGATGGACTTGTTGAGCTGCTGCCGATAATGGCAAATTAGAAGGAATATTTATTTGCTTCAATTCTAAATAGGTAGGCTTTGTCGGCCGATTGAATTCTTCATAACGAGAATCTAAATGTTTATTGTAATGAAGATTATTGCATCCTTCTGGTTGTTTTGAATACTGTTGTTGCTGTAGATATTGTGGATGTCCATGTGGATCCATCATTTCGACAGATGATGAAGTTGAAAAGCGTTCATCGCTTAAACTTTTCGAACTATGTCTTAGTTGTTGTCGACGTCGATGTAATGCTTGCTGGTCACGATATCGTTGTTGTGCAGCCAATTTCAGTGATTCTTTTCTCAATTTGCGTTTCTTGAAATAAAAATGAAGGACAATTATTAGAATTGAATTGATCAATTTTGATTAAACAAAAAAAAATTACCTGGACCATTTCTTTCCATCGATCCAATGCATTACGAGCCAATTCTAAACGTTTCTGTTTACGAGTTTGATGTCGTTTGTAAAAAATTTCAAACATAATCAAACCGACACCTCCAAGTATACCCGTTGCAACAAGTATGAAAACTCCAGCCATGTTTTTAAGGCCTAAAGTGGGAGGGAAATGTTCTGTTCGAATGGAACAAACTTGTTCATTCAATAATATCCATTTTTGATCCAATTCTTCCATGAAACCGCTTTCATGCATGCCCAACAAGGCTAAAGACACCTTATCTTTCCAGTAGATTTTATCTGTTGATGTTTTTAAAGTGAAAAAATTCTAAATAAATTGAATTTATCAAAAATAAATTCTACCTTTTGGAAGACCGATTGCATAACCAGATCGGCCGAAATGTTCGCCCGAAATGATCAACTCACAATCATTCGCAGCTTCATATTCAAGACGAGCGCTATCCCAAATAAATGCACTTAATGTACCTATTGATTAAATTGAAATCTGTTAAAAACGATGATCACACTTTACAAACAGATTACTGACCAGATTTAACAGCGGCGATGGCATCCTCGACATTATTGAAAAATATTTCCGACATTCGTTGATGCATCAATTTTAGTTCTACTTGACGTTTAAAATAGTTATCGATAGCGCTATCACGAACTGTTGAATAATTAAAACCATCAGGCGGTGTTCGAAGTCTTGGATCATTGATGCCGCTCAATGCTGTTTGAGGTCGATCCAACACTAGAAAGGCAGCAAGGTTAGCAGTGTATGATGCGACAATGATCATGGCAAAGCCTGCCCAGACCATGCCAAGAACACGTCCGCTAAAACTTCGTGGTGTTCCTTCGCCGATTCCCGAATTAAACAACACACCCCATGCAAACCAGATAGCACTAGATAGATTCAGAGCATCTTCTTCAGTAATTGTTTCACAATTAGGCAATTTATAACGTCCAAATGGACTAAATCGATCCAACAGATAAAGTGCTAGTGCAACTACATGAACGGCAACAAAAACGGAAACCCAGAGACTGTTTTGAAAGGGCTGCAAAAAGGAAGTTAACGGATGACCAAGACGGTGAATGGCTTGTTGTTTTTGCAAAATGGTTATGCCTTGATATTTGAATGGCTTTGTGAAATCGATGGCTAATGAGCGCTCTGGAGTGATTGTTAAGGCAGCTACCACCATATCTGCTCGACCATAATAAAGTTCGCCCAACAAACCGGTCCATTCATGATGGCCAGTTTTATCGTTGAATCTATACGATCCATAAGTGCCGTCTTCTACTTGATGCAATGTATAAGTAAAATTTAATTGTGTGGCCAATTGTATCAATAAATCGATACAATAACCTTCACAACAGAATGTCTTCTGATAATATTGACCAGTTTTTTGATTTTTTTTACGAATAGGACAAGGAACTTGTCCTGTATTGCAACCTTTGTTTTCATTCACGGGTAATACCCACACGAAAGGAATTTCTGCCAATGTAGCAATATGAAGATGTGCTGGCGTTGAATAACTGATCGGCTTTTCGGTTTTATTACCAGGCCAAACAATTTTTTGTTCATCAATATCTATTGCCATTTTCATAGCACTTTGATTATAAAAATATTTTCCAACCATGACCAATTGATTATTGGATGTTCTATTCGGATTCGTATTTGGTTGTTGATTCCAAATCTCATAATGACCGTTCAAACGATCACCGTGTTCATCAAAGCTTATTTTGCCTGTTTTTCCAAAAATAATTGTTTGCTCACGTAAAAAATCATAGAACAATTCTCCATCCGTCCATTGAGAGCGACCGATATTGCGACAATCACTCGGTGGTGTTGAAAGATTGGTTTTATTATGCATTTCTTTTATTGCATTAGATATCACATAGAGGCTATCAAATATATGCGATTGGATATTACTTTGATCTTTGTAACGAATTCCCAAAAAACCAACAGGTAAATTTGCTGCATACAATGCTTGTTCAGAAACTATCCATACGTCGTCAGGTCCAGTTATGCTTGAATCTATTTCGGACAATACTTTTTCGGCATTGTATTCATCAACGTAGAGAACATTTATTCGACATGATGAATTTCGCTCTTTAATTGTTTCCAAATCAGGTCGAAGGATTGGTCGATCAAAATCATATTCGATAATCGATTCGATTTCAAGATTGTTGATATCGGCCAATGTAATAAACTGTGTTTTTACATTACGACCATTGATGGAATCCGATACTATGAAGTGAGCACATTCGAATTCAAGATGAGTGAGCAATTGCATCTGAAATATTAAACTAACAAGTTAAATCTGTAAAGTAATCAAACAATTGAATATCGTACCCAAACATCGGCTTGATTCGAATAAGTAGGCGTGGTTCGCATATAAGATCCATAAAGACTTTTATCTGAGAATAAACTTTCTCGATTGGCTAAGCCAATAGTCGGAATATTATGTAATGAGGATGTGAATGTAATGGCATTCGATGGTATTGTATCATCGATGATTATAGCATAAATTTTAAAAGGCATAAATTTTTGGCAGAAATTTCTTATATCATCAATTGGATTTGTTTGTTTGAGTATACTGTGGCCACGTAGCGATACACCATGAGGTAAAATGTCACCTTCATAATTTATATCTTCGATAATCTAATGATGAATAATTGAATAAAACAATTGTTAACAAAAAAACAAAAAAACATTAACCGTTTTTACCTTTTGAAATTGAACAATTTGTTCGGAAGAACTGAGGACAGCACCAATATTATATTGTTGTTGCGCATAAACAACCACTGATAATATCCGTTGATCCAAATTTAAAAATAATAAATAGATAACCAAACATAATGATGATAATAATCGCTGGAAGAAATCTGATGTAAGGCAAACGTTTAAAATTCTTATGATCATTTTTATTCAAATGTTTGATTTTTGATTTGTTCAATTGAAAAGTGATTAAAAAATATATTCTGAACAATAGAATCATGACTACTTTTTGTTCATTATTACCAATAGAATGATGATGAAATTGTTGATTTTTCTATCAAAACATTTTCAGACATTTATCTTAACGAACTTGATCAATGATGATAATGATCAATAAGGCAACCGATTAATGAGAGAAAAAAAAAGTCGAAAGCCCAAAATTTTAATTTTTGTTGTTATAATTCACTAATCGATTAATAATTGAAATTATTGTCATGATTTTTTTTATATCTTATTATTCTGTGAGTCAAATATATGATTCAATCAATGTTAAAGTGAAATGAGCATGAATTTTTCTATAAATATTCTGTAAGTGTGTAAATATATTATGTTTGTGTTTGTTTCATTTGAGCGCATCCGTCGTTCTTTCCATCTCTATGTTATTATAGTTATTTGGTTGGTTTTGGAACCACTCACTACTTCTACGACTGACAACAGTGTATAACAATTGTAATTCCGAAAACAAAATGTGTCAAAACGCGTTGGATGCTATATGCACAACAACAACAAAAAACCAATTCAAGATTTATTCTTGAATTGTATTGATGCTGCTGCTTTTTAAAAAATCAAGATCTATATACAATATTATTTTTTTTAATTTAATATTCGTCTTATATGCGCGCCAAATAACCCGTACAAAAAAAATGGGAAAAATTAATCCATAAATCATAACGACAATAAACAAAGTTTTTTGGATTGAATTATATCTTGATACATTAATGATTTGGGTTTTATTTTGAATCCAAATTAAACATTATAAGATATTATAAATTTATCCGATAACTGATTAATTTATCAATCAGATCGAATGTCAAGGATAATTATCAATGATTGTCAATGACAGTCGTGATGATAATAATAGTCGTATGACATTGATTTTTAAAAGAAAAATGACAAGATGTGTAATAATGTGTGACGGTGGAAAAAATTAAAAAATAATCATCAATCACTCTGGTAACAACAAGAGATTACGAATCATGATTTTTAACGCCTTTACTTTTTTTTCTAAATCATAATCATTATTATGTTGGTTCTGTCAGATTGGTAACATTGATATATCGGTTAACGATGACAAGAAGGAAAATAAAAGTTTGATTTACACCTTGGATTCTAAATTCAATAATATGAAAACAAAAATGATCTGTAAATTGTGATCTATAGATCAGTTTCTTTCATACAGTATTTTTTGATAACTTATTTTAGTTATCAGGGAAAATTTGGTATAACTTCTGCGTCATCTGCAAATAGTTTATGTGTACAAAAAAAAAGAAAAAAAAAATTCATACTGACCTAGAACCCTGAAAACATCTATACATCCTATGGATATATAATTTTCATATAATTGACGACGACGCTGTAACGATTCCCACGAATTTTGTTATTCTTTTTTTTAAAAAAAGAATGTTCATCCCTTATAACTAAAACTAGAACATTCTTTGGGAATTCCCCAAGAATAAACATCTAATGAACCATTTTTTTTCTAAATAGCACAAACAAACACTTTATGTCACTCATACGCACATTTTATTTTACCTTAAATCATACAAAAAAAATATATATTAGATAATCTTTTTTGTTTATCATTTTATCGCCATAAATTCATACATAAATAGATGAAAAAGTCAACAAAAAAAAACATCCATTGCCCATTTGTCAGTGTATTCAGTCAATCAAATATCACAATACATTGCCATAAAAAGGTAAATAATCATATCAACACCGAACAAACTTGACAGGAAACCACCAACAAAAAAAAACTTGAGGTGAGAAATCATTGTTTGTTTCAATTAAAAACAAAAAATAATTTGTATGAGAACTAATAATCTTTGTGTATACTCTTGCAGACCAATTTACATCGGTAAAATTTATATGTAGGCGAATGTAATTGTAAATCCATAAGTAACCAACAATGATTTTGTTTTTCTGACTAAACCTTTTTTTTCTTCTTTTTTTTCTACAGACACAAAAATCTGATTTTTTTAAAGGAATCAAGTTTATTTTATCATCTCTTTATCTTCAAGATATGATCATAATTGATGGAAAAGAACTGCTATTATACATTAATTTATATGATAATCCAGGATATCTTTATCAAATCTCATCAACTACATAAATCATAAACAATTTTATTTCTCAGTTTATTTGTTTGTTTGTGTTTGTTTTGTGTTGTATTAAACAATTAAAATTTTAAAAATTTTTGATTTTTTCTTTATCAATTTCATCGAATTTTCGTATTAAATTCTGCAGCCGAAACGAAATTCATTTTTGCAAATGTAAGTCAATTCGAACGTTTTTTTTAATTCGAATGTTTTTTGCATTCGAACGTTTTTTGCATTCGAATGTTTTTTTGTGACATTTTTCCTCTCTTTGTTGCAATTCATTTTCAAAATGGAATGAATTGATTGCATTTCTTTTATCTTTTTTTTTTTTTGGTTGCAACTGGGCTAATCACCATATTAAAATAATAATTTTCGAAATGAAAATGGTTACTCTATATATGTCACTAATCATTTTATGAATGTAATATTCAGTTGTTGTATATTATCAACTAAAATAATTAACCCAAATTACTCTACATTAGTGGATCGGACAATGTTGTCATTTGGTGTGATATATATTAAGTAAAGATATTCTTGTTTTCATATTTTATCATTGTAGAATATAGATGAATTTCATTATTTTCAATGAAAATTTTATCCGTTAATCGTTTCATAACCAATTAAATTAATTACAATACATGAAAAAAACGAAAACAAAAATTAATAAATTCTACGAAGACACTCAATAAAAATTGCCATTTTCATTTGATTTTGTTGAATGGCTGATAAGTTATGCACGCATGATTGTCGATTGGACACACGGCCGATAATATTCGATACAACAACCACAAAAAAAAATATTTCAAACAATTAATTAGGATGTCAAAAATTATTATTCGAATTCAAACATTCGTCAACGATATGGTTTTCATTCGAATTATTGATTTTTTTTGTATATGTCATGTTTAACAACACCTGTTGTTCGGATCAACAATGGACAATGTCCATTAGCCTCGATCGAAAATTCATAGATATGACAATCAAACGAAACAACAAAACACAACAAACCACATCAACAATAATCACGAGTTTTTTTAAAAAACAAATATCCGAATGATTTATTGTTTATATTGGAATGATTATATTTGCCGGTAATTCTCTCAAATCAATAAAAATTCAAAAAAAATATTTCACGTGATATTTGACGTTTGTGTGACTAATTGACTAAAATTATTCCTATTTTTCTCAAATCCAAATGGTAAGTTTCTATTATTGTTTTTTGTTCATCTGTGAATATCATTAACATTTTCAATGTAAAAATCTTAAATAAGAAAAAATGATTGTAATGTGTTATCATTGAATGAATGAAATGGTTTAACTTTAGGCCAGAAAAAAAAGTAATAATAATGATAATAAATTACTTAATTTCTTTCTCATCAATATCTGATTATCTAAATGAATGAATGATATGTATGAAGGAAAGGAAAGGAATAGAAAAAAAGAAGATAAATTATCAAATTTATCATCATTTGAAGCCTAAAGATATTTATGATAACAACACTTTGAATTCTTTGTAAATTATGTTATATTATTTCAATTTTTGTTTTGTTCGGAAAACTTCTAGTCCATTTTTTAAAAAAAAAGAAGAATAAGAAAGCAATTAACTGTAGTGTGTTTTAGTGTTATAAATTATGTATGTCATCATTATTATTATAATTTGCATAACTATCATATTTATCAATTGGACTTGTTGTTGATTTTAACTATTAATAGCAATTCCATACAAGAAAACTAAAACCAAACAAAAAAACAATTGTGGCCAAACGAACCGATTCAAATTTTATTTTAGTGTCTCTATTTTTTTTTCTTCATCATCATCATCATTATATTATTGTGTGGAAACTATTTTCTAACACTTTTCCACAACAATGATTACAATAATCCCATCATCATTATCATTATCATCATTAGAATTATTTTGGTTGACATTTTTTAAATGAATATATATTTCTTCACCGGTGTTTATAACTGTTGTTTGTTGACTTTATTGATGATGATTCTTTTTTCCTTCAACTTGTTGTATACTACCCCCAATTGGCTGACACTTTCATAGCAAATTAATCAACCAATCAACAAATATAATCAACTTATTTTCCTTTATGAATAAAATATTTTTCATTTTCATTGGTCTCTTTTTTTTTGTTGTTTTATGTTTATTTTAAACGAATGAATTTTTTTGTTTTTCAAAAAAAAACAAACTTGGAATATTAGCATTTAATAGTGAATGAATTTTTTTTCCGACTGTCTGTCTTTTTGTGTAATTAACATCGAAGAGAAAAAAAAAGAAAAAGAAAAAATGTCTGCAAAGGAGGTACGACAACGACAACAACAAATGAGAATGACGACAACAATTTCATATTACCTAAGACAATCATTGATACAATCATCATTATTATGTTTGATTTGCGAATATTATCATCGATCATTCATATATTATTTTATTTTAAATTTTTTACATTATATTGTGAATTTTATTATTACCATCATTGATTTTATTATAGATCGATCGTTTTATTGCATTATAAATCAAAATAATAATAATAATAATAATAAAATGTGTCTAATTGAAACATATTTACAGATGGCACAGATCGATGCCCATATCAAACAGCCAAACGGTTCGATTGAAACAATATTAGATCTAAGTAATGATGATGAAAAATCACGAAAAGAAATTCAAACAATTTCTGATCGTATTGAACAACAAAATCTAAATGATAATAATGATGTCGAAAATTGCAATAATAAAACAACAACAACCGAATCATCATCGAACGAATCATTTGTCCAATTGTTTAAAATGTTTGCCAAATTTGGTGATTGTAAATCAACAGGCGAAACAATTACATTATCCAATAGTGATAAATGGTTTAAACAGGCTAAAATTATTGATCCATCAAATCGAACAATAACAACAACAGATACTGGAATCTATTTCAAACAGGTTTCCAAGTAAGTTTTTGTTTGCCAAAAAAAAACTGAAATTATTTTACTTGAATATATAGGACCAAAAAAACATTGAATTTCAAAGAATTTAATTTATTTTTGGAAAAATTGGCTACCGTAAAAAAAATCGACTTAACGGAATTGAAAAATAAACTTCAACAAAGTGGACCACCAGCTACAAATAAAACAACAGTAGGATTTTTTTTGTTGATTTGTCGAATTTTGATTGATTTTTTTTTGTAAAATCCAATTTTTTAATATAGACTGCTGTAACAAGTGGTGCTATCGGTCGACTAACTGATCATACAAAATATACTGGATCACATAAACAACGATTTGATGAATCGGGTAAAGGACGTGGAAAAGCTGGTCGTGTTGATGTTACACCTAATACTGGTTATGTTTCTGGATTCAAATCGACAACTTGAAAAAAAAGGATTGTTTCTTTCGAATCAATGCATCCTGATTATTCATAGTTTTGTTTTTGTTTTTGCAATCATCTGCATTTGTTTTAGATGATATAATTTATGTCTAATCTTCATCATATTCTACATTAACTTTATCCATATTTATATGCACAGATTTGAAAATATCCATTTTTAACAATATGTGTCATCAATAATCATATTTAACATAATAAACGGAATGATTTTAATGTTTAATTAAATGAAAATATTCCAATGACGAATTTGAATTTTTTTTCTATATATAGTACATAACTGCCATCTATGTTCCAAGAATGATATAATTGTTGAAACGAATGAGTATCATTATAGATACGTCATAATGTTTTCATTAGCTTTGGCAATGAATAAATTTGATTTTTATATCATTTTACATTATAATACAACAAATTGATGAATGTTGAATAGATGCAATGCTTTATTTCATTAGCATCACCCATTATAATTGACAACAGAATATTGCATTATCAATCAAAATTATTTGATAGGCGTAGGGGAGAAATTTCATCATTTTATTGCAAGTTTAAATTCAAACATTAGCTATGTTTGATTCATTGATTCATTGGTTGGTGTTGCTATTTGTTTCAAATTTCTTTCTATCGAATCATGATTAATCAATTTCGATGAATGATCTCACTCACCTAGATTTCTTATAATACTGGTTGTTGACTTATTTTTTACATCAATGACCTTTCTAAATGATCAAACAAAAAAATCACCAATGTTAAACTATACATAAACATCACTTGGAATTGAATCAAGTAAGTTTTTTAGAATCTTTTTTTAGAAATGATAGAATTCATTATATTTTATGAATAGAATCACTATAGTCAATTTTTCTAGTCGATGAATATTTTTTTTAAAAAAAGATTCACACCTATTCAACCTTGAAGGTGGCATCATTTTGGCCATCGTTTTCATTCATGAGCTTTTGTTATTCAATTTCAAATCGATTTTTTTTTGTTTCCATTGTAACGGACTATTGCCGTTGTATGGCAACACAATGATCGTTTAAAAAGCAAAACCACTGGGTGAAAGAAAAAATAGCTTTTTAGCTAAAATAGAGTTAATTATATCTAATTGTTAAAACCGGACTTGACAAGCATAAAAAACCCTTGATAGTAAATTATTAGTTAATTAGATGAAAAAAAATAAAGTCATTAACGCGTTCGCTACCAGCGACGCATATATGCGTCGTTTATTTGCTGTAGTTCTATGTGTTTTTCGAAATCTCCGGTAGCGAACGCGTTAAACAAAACAAAAAAGTTGTTTTTTGGCTTTCCAATTAAATTGATTTTGAAAAAAACCTGTTCCAAAAATCAAACATTGATATTTGCATATAATCAAATTCTTGTTACTTAAAAAAAATCCTTTTTTTAATTTTGTTATTATTAGGAATCCTACACGACAAACGTTTCGATCCAATGATCATCATACTGTGAAAATTAATCACAATTATTGGTAACCATGATTATGGATATAATGGTGATAACGATAATATATTTTTATTTTGTGTTTGTTCTGTTTTTATTTTCATGATAATAAATAAAGCTGATATGGAGAAAAATACCGTTTTTATTTCTCTCTTTATTCAAATCGTGTAAAATAAAGTAAATTTTACGGAAAACAGTAATTTGTTGTCAACAAAATACAATTATTTGTAATGATAATGTAAGAACAAACTACGACGGAAAAAAAGTCGAATACGTCATTAAATTTTTTTTTTGTTTGTTTGTTTGTAGATCTATTTGGTTATCTCTGCTAACTCACCATATGTCAATAGCCACTATTAGCTTCTATTGGAATTAGCCCGAATCTACCATATGTCATCATTGTTAATCATTGATCATGGCTAATTTTTCTGATTCATCGAAAATCATCATTCTATAGTTGTCATCGTTATTGTGAATTTTTGTTTTCCAATTCAACTTGTAATTTTTATATGCTCCAATTCATTGAATCGTCGAAACCGCCACCACTACCACCACACTACAACTTAACCTAAATTCAATGAGTCATTGTCGTCATGTCAATAATGACGGTCGGTAATCTTTGCAACAAGTTTTTTTTTCGTCTAAAATAAAGTCAGCGACCCAACATTTAATGTACATATAATAATCTTACTATGGAAGATAAACTATTGATCCATAGGAATCGATGATTATTTGAATTATGATTATATACTAAATCACATTCTAACAAACAATAGAAAGAAAATAATTTAGTTTGAACTCCCCTATAAGCTTCTGCTAAAGCTATCATCATCATCATAATCATTATCGTCACTTGTTACAAGTCGAATAAAACAAAACAAAAAATATTGAAAAAATAACAGGAAACAATTGTTGTCAAATGCATGGATTTATCATTATTGATTCAATCAATCTGTCTAAAATATATATCAACAAATGTTTGAGCGTGTTTTGTTTCTTTTTCTGTGATCGGTGATAAACTTGATTTGAGTGAATTTCTATCCGAACTTTTTTTTGCCGTCCTCATTCTCGCCATTTGCCGGTTTAGTTTTTATATTCAACAAGTGGAGTATATGATAATGATTTGCTTTGCCTTTTGTTCATATGAAAACATATATCATTATATATTATCATCATCATCGTCATAGATATCGATTGGCATATATTTTATTTTGTTTTTGATTTAGGCAAATTTATTTTATTTCAAAGTCGAACTTTTTATAAACATTTGAATTCAGACAACACATTTTCTATTGAAAATTATCTGTGATAAATTCTTTATGTGAAAGAAAACTATGGATAAAGGTATTTTGAAAATTGTAATAATATGTTTAATTATCTGAAAAAATTATTTATTCTAGAACCTCAATTACCACCCCGTCCAACCAATTCTTCGATACAAGATTCGAAAAATGCCTTCATCACATGGGGCCGTTTGACTAGTGTTGAAGCTGAGCTTTGGAACTATGTTCCTCCTGCTCCTAAAGATGGTGATACTGATCGATCTAACAATCATCAACAACAATCATCAACTGAAGACCAATTCGATGATAATCATAGGAATAATATTTTATATGATTTTAGAAAATCATCATGTCGACTATCCGAAAATGATCCACCAATATTACAAAGACCAAGTCATTTATTCAAAACTAAAAAATTATCCGCTTCGAGCGAACAACTTTCACATAGCTCATCAAATCGAACTAGACATTTCATAGATTGGCATTCATCAATCGATCAGAATGGAAATCGAAACGAAGATGTTGATAATGAAATTTCTAAAAGTTATAAGGAAAAAATAATGGAACTTTTCAAAATTTCACCCAATCATAATGAACGAAGTAATTCTTTGGTATGTATTGAATATTTGTGTGTGATTAAAAGTTCGCTAACAATCGATTATTCTATAGACAGTGAACACAATACCGAATCCAAATGATTTCAATTTTCAACTAAATCCATTATATTCTAATTGTAATGTTCGATGCAATAACAGCAACAATCATGACCAAAACGAATATGCCAAACTTTATTGGCCATTATCAAGAACCGTCACACATCCATCTTCATTTTCATCTAGTCTTCCTGGTGTTTCACCACTATCACCAATAGCTAATCCATTTTACATGAATATGCCACCTCATTCTCAGGTTTGGCTTTTTTGAATAAATTATATTTTTTTCTTATCATTACATTGTTTTTCAAACAGAATCCTCATCATTTAATGATGTCATCATCGAATCAAAATCTGCAAATGTTTCCTCCTGAACAAATCATGAATCTTCAATTAATTGATAAAATCAATTCAACAAAAATTCAAGATTCGTCAAATAAACAAATATCTAAATCTTCATCATTTTCTAATGAAATTCTTATTCCTGATGTGTTGACACCTATCTCAGTTTATCCTACTACACCGGAAAATCCTAAGCAAATCATTGATTTATTTGATCCATTAGCTGAAAAAATTCCTCTTATTCCGAATGCACTTCAAGTCCATTCTGCACCAGAATATGTCAATAATGTTTGTTCGGACTTGATTAATTCGTCCACTAAGAGAGAAGATATTATCAATAACAATAATAGTAATGTAGATAGCTCATCAACTAAGAAATCTCAAGTCAGCAAGCCGGATCGGAACAGTTTCGACGAAAACAAAGCGCATTCGATTTTCGAATCCTTCAAAGTTGAACCGCGTGAAACTTCATTCAGCAAGGAATTGAAAGAATTTTGTGAACATTTAAAGTCTTTGTACATGACCTGTTTTACTAGCAAGACTACAAGTTCTTGTGATGTAAATTCTGGTCTAGTTTTTTCGCCACAGATCGAAGTCGACGATTTTCACAGACAATCCAATTGTCAATCCGATAAATTATATTTCTATGGTATTTCCAATGCAAATGATTCGTTGCCTAGCGTAGATTTAAATCAAATTACTGTCGAAAACAATAACGATGATAATTTGATCATTATTGATGTTCGTTTCAATTCATTGGTTTATTATAAAATCACCAACAAAATACCTAATGAATCGAACGTTGTTCCATGTGTAAAAGTGATAGATCCAAACTATCTTTGGTTCTCAATGAAATTTCCTGCCGATTATGATAAAACTGTTGATGTGATCATTTCTCACGTTGTTCATAATGTTGCAGAAAAAGAAAAGGTATTTATACTTCTCTATTGTTGTTTATTGTTTCTAAATTGTTTCTTTGTGTAGGACGATATTGATGATTTTTTGCTAAAACTGAATGGTTTTAATGAATTTCTTCAATCTGAATCAACGCTATCTTCATATGTTTATGTTCAAAACTGTAAAATAAACAACATAGACATCGTATTGGAACTAGTTGATCAAACAGCAACCGATTTTTGGCGTCCATTTTTGCGTTGTGAATCAGATACCAAAAAACTTATGAGCGATTTTAATTACCAACAAATTCTGCCTAAACAATTTGTAAACAATTTTCAAGGTTTCAACCATGAACAGCTTAACAATCTAATCGATGATCTCAATTGTTCATATACGACTTTTATTTCCGCTTTCATGGATTCCGGTAAACTTCAAATGAGTTGAAATTTAAAGAACTGATAATGATTAATTTTTGAATTCTTTTTTAGTTGAAAATAAAAAATTATTTCATGAAGTCATGGAAAAAATTTCCACTTTGAAACGGTTTTTGTCAAACATGGAAACAAGTGATTTAATTTTGGCTATAGAAAAATTAGAATCAAATTTTCGAGAAATCATGAATTACACCCGTGGTGATAGTGTCCATAATAATAGCTTTATAGAGGAATCACGAAAAAAATTGCAAGATGAATTTCTCAATATTGTCCAGATATTCGTAAAATACATAGAATTGTATTCAAATACATTTCCCGTAAATTTTGGGCTGCCGAAAGTTGTCAATAAAGTACAAAAAGCGATGAGTTTTGATGATGATCAGACTGAGAAAAAATTTGTTACCTTAAGACGAAGACGGCGAACAGAAATATCTCAGTTAATAGAATCCTTAACCATACATTTAGATAGTTGCACACAAGTTCCAGATAAATGGTCATCCACGTATCATAATTACGCCATAATGGTGAACATATTTCATGGATACAACCTGATTAAATCAACGATAACTAATAGAACTAAAATTCAACATGTGACTACTCGTTTCAAACGATTGACATTTAATCAATGCATTGATTCTGACATACAGATATCAATGTTGCCGCGTGAATGTAGAATCGAATTGATTTTGGCTGGATTTCGAGCCAAATCGGAAGGTTTGAAAAACGGATTTAATTTTATAATTTTTTTTTTTAATATTTTGTAATTTATAGTCGATGCTTTGGCCACAACATTTTTGTATCTTTTCGATAATGATGAAATATTTCAGAATGGGTTTCATCTTTTACCATGGACAGAACTAAAATCTCCTTATACTTTTCCTCCAATTTCAATGGACTTTGATTCACCCGATAAGTCGGCTATATTACGTGAATTTTTGGAGAATAATTATCTTGTCTCCCATAATCTTGATCCAGATGCAATGATGATTGTTATACGTGTGACACCGACATTATCCACGAATATTGATTATTATTTTCCCGAAATAAAAACTAAAGAATTATCCCTTAATATGAATTCGGTCATACCGATGGTAGAAAATGATGGCTCATATTCAGGAGATTCGTTATATGGTTTTCATGGATGCAATACAAATCGACTGACAAATAATGTAATTAAAATATTACAGAAAAATCCAATTGAACAACTCACAAATAATGAACGGGATATCATATGGAAACAACGGAAAACATTGAGAGAATTTCCTGGATCAATATTGAAGCTAATGAAATCACCTTCCAGCTGGTCTTGCCATGATTTGCCTGCTATCTATGAATTGCTAAAAGGATTCGATCAAGGACATTACGGAAATGTATTTCGAACAAAGATAGAAGTCCTTCAATTGCTCAGTATGGATTATCCGGATAAATTTGTTCGACGCACTGTAGTAAAATGGCTCAATTCTATTTCGGTGGATGAACTTTGTGATTATCTTCCACAACTTGTACAATCTTTACGATTTGAAACATCGATCGATTGTCATCTTATTTGGTCTTTATTTGAATTTTCTTTGATGTCGGCCAGATTCTGTCATTATTTTTATTGGCAACTGAAATCATGTCTTAGCGATAACACGTTCGGTATTCGTTGTCAAATCTATTTGAATGCTTTACTCAGTCTATGTGGGGAACGAACTCGTGATCAATTCCTTGGACAAGATAAAATTTGTGAAGAATTTTCAAGGATTTCGGCTGAAATTAAACAAGCATCGAAAGATTCACGTACTGTTATCTTACGTACGCGTCTGGAAAAAATCAATGAAGATCTTAAATCGAATCCTACCTCTCTCCCGTTGTCGCCTGCGTTATTTGTCAATGGACTTGCAATTGACCAATGTTCATACTTTAATTCCAATTCTTTGCCACTTAAATTAGTTTTTGATGGCGCACCACCATATCGTATCAATTCTTGTTTTGACAATTATTCTACTCATGCAATAACCGAGTCTTCGACACAATCAAAATTGGCTACCATTTACAAAAGTAAACATTGGTGGCATAAAATCATTTTCAAATGTGGTGATGATTTACGAAAAGATATGCTCGTTATGCAAATCATTTCAATCATAAATCGTGTTTGGCTTCGATCTGGATTAAATCTCCGATTAATAATTTTTAACGTCTTGAATTCTTCACATCACACTGGAATGATTGAAATGGTTAGTCGTGCATCTACGTTGCGAGAAATTCAACAAGAACATGGATTGACAGGAAATTTTAAACATCACACTATTGCTACTTGGTTAAAACGTTATAATACGAATGAATTTCATTACAAAGTTGCAATCGAAAATTTTATTCATTCCTGTGCCGGTTATGTGGTCATCACCTATCTTCTTGGCATTTGTGATAGACATAATGATAACATAATGGTCACTACATCAGGAAATCTTTTCCACATTGATTTTGGTAAATTTTTTGGTGATGCTCAAATGATGGCCGGAATCAAACGTGATCGAGTCCCATTTGTATTCACTGCCGATATGGCATTTGTCATTAATGAAGGTGGACGACCATCAAAGAATTATCAATTTTTTGTCGATCTTTGTTGCCGTTGTTTTATTTTGGTCAGGCAGAATGGAGATTTTCTTTTATCTTTAATGGCCATGATGATTCGTTCCGGTATTGATTACGTGACTCCTGAAACTATTCAATATTTTCATAAAGCATTGATGCCCAATCTAATTGAATCTCAGGCAAAAGTGGAATTTAATAAATTGATAGAAAAAGCACTTGGATCATTATCCACTCAATTAAACTTTTTTCTTCATAGTATTGCACAATCACTTTCAAGTAGTGGAAATAATAACGGTGGTGCTAGTTCATTAGATGATCGACATTCCTCTTATCTTGGTCCATTATCATCTGAAACGTTAATGAACGATTCAACAAACAATTTAGTCAAAATATCCGAAATGGATGATTTGTCAAATATGGAAGACAATATTTCGGATTCATGTCAGTTTTCATTCACAAAATGTCGATTTACCGAATCACTTGATGGTCATATAACACAATTGGAAATTGTGAATTTCAAGTTTTTCATAGCTGAAAAAAATGATAAAATCAATTTTTATAAGATTAAAGTTGATCGACTTAATTATCCGGAAAATTTTGTATACCGAAGTTTTAAAGAATTTCTTGAATTATATGAAAAATTGTCACGAACATTTCCTTTGGCTAAATTTTATACATTGAAAAGATCACCAATGCTCAATCGAGCAAGTCGACAACAAATTGCATCACATCGAACACGGGAATTGACATTATTCCTCAAAGATCTCATGAGCATGGCTTCGGAAATTTCTCATTCTGATTTCGTTTATACATTCTTTCATCCAATTCTACGAGATCAACAATTTTCCGATCTTGAAAGCATAAATTTTTCTAATAATCAGGCGACAGCCAGTACTGTTCCCGATTATCAATCACAAATCATATTGCGACGACAGCCAAAAATTAAACTAAATCTAGCCTATCGCGATGATGCTCTTCATGTGTTAGTTTGTCATGTGAGAAATCTAGATAATGATCGAGTAACACCTCCCGATTCCTATGTAAAACTATATCTACGGCCAGATCAAAATAAAATTACCAAAAGGAAAACAAGAACAATGCCCAAAAATGCCCATCCAACATTTATGGAAACGTTTGCCTATAAATATCAATTGGATTTCATAATTTCAAAAACACTTGAGGTTTGATATTTTACTATTTTAAAATTGGTGATTTTATTTTATTTTCTCTTTTATAATTAGGTTTCCGTTTGGGAATCGGATATGACTGGCAATAAACGTTTAGGCCAGGTGGAAATACCGCTTAGTCAAATCGATTTGTATACCAAAAATGAACGCTGGTATAATCTACAATGATTTTTCTTTTCTTTTTTTCAATTATTTTATTTGAATTTCATAAAAAAATTTTGTTTGTATCCAATGAATTATTTTTTATTCATTTATTTTCTATATATTAAAAAAAATTGTATCAAAAACTCAATAAAATGCAATGAATGGCTTGATCCTTGATCAGTAATACTCTACAATGAAAAGAAATCTTTCATATATTGATTTGAAATTCGGATATAAATTAGAGAGCACGCGTGCCTTTGAATTGCAAATTAGGTTATCCATTATAATGTGTGATAAAATTTGTTATGAATATGATGCAAAAAAACATTATTGAATCAAAGATAAATGATAAGATGAAATAATGATGGTATTGTGCTCATTAATTTTTATATGTTTTGATAAAATGTTGTTGTTGATGATGATGATGATGATGATGATGATGATGAGCCAATTCTATTAACTTTAATTAACATAACGTTTCCGGCGACGACGACGTTGACCTTCCAATACAAATCGATGTGCCTCTATAAAAGAAAAAAAAAGAAATTTAATTGATAAACATTGTGACAAAGTTCAAAATATTGATTTATAATTATTTAGAACCTAAAATGATCGAATCTAGTTATAAGCAGGAATTTTTTAAAAAATGGCCTTACCAATGACCACATTTGTACCGTTCGTACAACTACGATAACACCGATAACTGCATTGTCCATGAAAACATCCAATCAATCTTGTTCGGGCACATCCTGAACATTCAAAACTTGGATCGGTAGTTGATTTGACACGATATGCTTCGACAATTATAATCGGATTAAACAATCTTGGTGATGTATCATCATTGAAATATTCATTTCTAAAACTAATGACCAAAATGATCACCAATAATGATAGAACAAATAATTTTTGCATTAAAATCATGATGATTGATTTTTTCGCCAATCACGATATGATGATTATGAAAAAAATGACCACAAAACGAAAAAAAAACTGATTTTTAAAACAAATTCATAACACTTAATTTCAATAAATAAATCATTTGAATCATTTGCAACATTTAGTAATCAATGTTTGAATAATTTCATCAACATGGATTGAATGAAAAACAACATGCGACCATTTTGGATATTTATAAAATGATGGCTAACAAATTCTCTGACAAAGACAACATCAATTATCATATCATGAGATTTTTTCGTTTGTTTATTATGATGTTGTTTATTCCATCTTTTTTTTTGTTGTTGTTGTTCCGATTATATCCTTTCATCATATTTCCGTATCTATTAGATTGAATGTTTTTTCTGTTATTATTATTGTTGTTGTCAACACCCACAATTAGCCTTCATAATTGTGAAAAGGATAATGATGGATGCAATTCAACGAACCAAGTTGATAAAAACCGAAAAATGCCATTTTGATTGGCTAATAGTTTATGTTATCATCATTGCTGAAAGTGGTAAAACCAGAACATATCAACTCGAATAAACAAAAGTTATTGTCACTAATGTTGCAAAGAAAAAAAAATTTGGTAAAATCGCAGTTTGATAACAAATGATGGGCGATCATCATAACATCGTTGCAAATATACAAACGATTGAAGGTCAATTCCCTTGGATCTCTTGTTTATGATTTTGTTGTTGTTGTTGATGTTTATGACGATGTTTGTATGGAAAAAAGACAGTTTTTTAAATACTTTAAATTATTTTTTTTACTCATCAGTTTATGAAATAAAAAAAATTGCTCAGAACATATATTAAATTAGAAAAAAAAATTAACGACAATTCTGATTGAATTATCTGAAATGAAATCGAGCTCATAATAGTAATGAAAAAAGAGACAAAATAAATGAATAGACCAATGATCACGACATTATTACTGTGGCCATCTTTATCATTGAAAGTCGTAATTAACTTAATTAATGAATGGAAAAATAGATGGGCTGTTCTTATTCGGGTTCTGTTAATATTACATTGGTTTTCTGTGTTTCATTCAAAATGGCTTTTACCGTTTGTGAATTTTTTATCACTTTTTTTCAATATCTATCATTCTCTTCATTTCAACATAAATTTCTTTCTTTCTTTTCATTTTCTTTCTTGTCAATTCAGATCTTAATTTCTGATCGTTCATTCATTTTCATCTATTTTCATTTGTCAAACGATCTGTACCAAAAGATTATGATGAAAGAAAATTAATGTCTTAGATTCATTGATCTTCATTTATTACTTGTGATTTTGATTTTTTGCGTGTGTTTATGTAAGTGTGTATGTGCTTTGTGTAATGTTTTTAATCGTTATGATGTAAATTGTGATCACGAATTATCAATGTTTGTTTGGGTATGTGTTTGGCCTATTCAAAATTCCAATGGTTCATTTTCAATCATCCCTACAGGATTGTAATAATAGAATAAAAAAGAAAGAAAGCAAAGGAACTGAGAAAACCGCCAATTCTCATCATCAGAATAATAATAATTTCAAGTCATGTACCGATTTGTTGGTAGAATTTTCTTACTCATAAAGATCAAATGTACATCATTATTTTCATTGTTGGCATTCGTTACTATTTTGGTGATCAACATAATGGTACAATTAACAGCTTCATCATCAAACAACAATGTTGAACATTTTATTGAAGTATTGTTTGCTACAAATTCACCATTATTTCATCAGCCATTTAATACTTTTTATGGCTGGAATCAGTATTCAAATATGATTGAAAAAAGCGAACATATCGATTATAATGTTAATAGCAATAACAATAATAGCAATACATTTGAATCGTTATTCTCCGATTATGTACACAACATTGATTACAATAATATGGTCGATAACTTGAATAATCAAGAAAATGGTGCGGATGGTGATGAAAATCAAAGTTTGCAATCATCATCGGAAAACTTGTTAAAAAATAATGGCTACATATCATTGCCGATGGATGCAAATCTATTGGTTCCATTAGGAAAATCATCCGAATCATTATCGACGTTCGATCAAAAACAGCCGATTTCAATCATCAAACCAATGTTCCATCGAATTCGACAACCACAACGAAGATTTTTGATGTTACCATTTCGACGTTTAATGCTCGCATATATTGCACCACGAATTCTTCGTTTTCAAATGTCAATGTTAGTTAGCTCTTTGATTGGCGAACTATCACGCAAAATTATTGATCCGTTTCTTAATTTATCATCATTTGTTCCAAACCAATCGGGATCCATTTCAACCACCAACGGCGGAAATCAAGCTAATTTGAATAATGCTGAGGCTAAATTATTGACAAAACCATCAACAATGATAACAATAGATCAGCTTAAACAAATCCAACATTTAGCATCTATAATGCAACCACAAGAAACCAACGCCAGAACCATTATCGTCAATTCGGATAAAATAAATGAACATCATCCAATACGCATGATGAGAACAATAAAAGCTGCTGATTCGATAAAAAATAAGCCAACAAAACTATATGATCATTCCATTCCATTAGCATCGAATCTTTTATCTAAAACCAATAGAATACCTAGAAAAATAACAAAATTATCCCGAATTCAATTGAATAACGATGAATCCCACAGTATTAGTAATAGAAATAAAAACAAAAAGAAGAAACAAAATAAACAACAAGATTTTGTCGATCAAAATCAAAATGAGAAGGATTATTACCATTATAAAAATGATAATTCTATTCAATCTTTCGATAATAATCCACATAATCTAGATCAATATAAAACTAATAATAATGTTGATGATGATGATGATGATGATAACAACGATAAAAACAATAATGATGAATATGAAAATGAAAATATGATAAAAAGAACAAAGAGGAGAATATTAAGAAGCTATAGTATTATTCATGGTTCTAAAATGCCAACCAAGCATAAAATTATACCATCATCTTGAAATTGAAAGATTTTTTATTTTTTTTTTCATCAGTCAAAGGTTAGATGTATTTGTATTAATATGGATCACCAAAAGTGTGATCAACATCAAACTTATCATTAGGTATTTAATAATAAAAAAGAAGTTGTTTTATAATTTTTTTTTCAATTTTAGGTCATCAAATCTTGAAAAAGTGATCACGGTTATTGTAATTTTACATTATACATTTAATAAATTGTCTTTTCCATTTTCTTGAAAATAGTTGTTTAATAATAATTCAAATTTAAATCAATAAATATTCATGGTTAAATTATAATCATCAGCCCTTATCACATTAAATTAGATGTTGCATGTTTAGAAAAAAAGGGCGGCTTTAATGAATCATTATAATTATAATTTTTTTGTGATTTGAATTTTTTCTGTCAAAATGGTCACATCAAAAAAGATAACCGATTCTAGTTTATTTGAATGAATCACTATTTACACACAAACGTATTCTATTCATTGAAAAAAAAGATGAATAAAGATGATTTTAATTCTTTTCAATTATGTATTTTTTTGTTTTGTTTTGTTTGCTTCATTGATCTGGATTGATGGTGATCATTGGCAATTTTTTTTTGATCATCAAACGTCAGCACTTGTGACGGTAATTGATGATGGTCACATAATGATGGTAGTGGTTTGAGAAATTCATTCAAGGCATACAGGAAATCATGTGTTATCATGAACAAAAATTTTAATTTCACTTGTTTACTCTTTCTCTCATCACAAACATGCATATTAATAATCTTGTCATACTTCCGTTCTAATCGAACTATATTGTTGATATGTTTGACATTAATGATTTTCAGATGAAATTTTACTAGTGGCATTCAATTTACGACATTAGATTTTTTGGTGATCATCAGGGAAATCCAATTGTCGATCATTTATATAATTATTATTTTCATCCATTTATGAATATAAATAGTGAATTTTTTTTGTGATTAATTGTGAATTAATTCATATAATATTATGAAAACAAATTACGATGGATCAACAGAATCCTTTGGCGTTTAGTAATCCAATTTATGGTAGAATTAATTATCGTCCAATACCTAAACCGAGATTAAGTAAGAAGCAATCTAATCAAACAAAAAATCAACAAAATTCCGATGATAATAATGATAATGATTCGTCACCTGTACAAGAAAAACAATCATCAATATTACATGATGTTAATCAACAATATCGCTCATCATCATTATGTTTGAGCGATATTCGAATGACACAATTACTTGAGGAAATTAATACATTAACTGATTCATTGCAAAAGAATTTCAAATCATTACCTGAAAATGTTGATAACAACAATAATAATACTAATAATAATGATGATCAGAAATCAAACGAAATGACAACAACATCGACAACAACACACGCCTCTTATAATGATGAAATACAAAGACGTACAATAATTAAGCGTAAAAAGATCCCAGTTCGAAGTGATTTATTTAACATTTCATTCAATAATAATGATAATGCTAATAGTTTGGATGACAATGTTAATACGACGAATCTCATCCTCCCATCAACATTAACATCAATTACTGATGTGTTGAATTCAGAAACAGATAAACCGATAACAAGCAGTGGGGATTCTGGTGTATTTTTGATGGCATCACAAAAATTGGTTTCGGATAATGATGAAAATGTCAATCGAGAAAATCTGGAGAATAAATCAAAAATTGATAAAATTGCAGCCACCATAAAAGAAGAAGACGAATCTGAAACTAAATCTAAACAAATAGCTATTGATGAGCCGCCAAAATTACCACCACGAAAACCATCCAGATCAGGTAAGAATTTTTTTTGTCGTTTTATTAATTTGAAATTCAAATTAAAATGTCTCGCCAAGATGTGATACCCACTGGAATGGATAGAGTTGAAACTTATCATGAACGATTGGAAATTGAACATTTGCATAATGATACTTTATCATTACAACGAAGTGGTTATCTTTGGAAAACTGGACCAAATTATAAAAGTTTCAAAAATCGATGGTGTGTTCTTTATCGTCATAGCCAAAATTATTTTGATGCAAATTTGTCATATTATTTTAATCGATCATCAATGTCGGCTTCGTTGAGTGGAAAAATTTTATTAGCCGAAATCGAATTCATTTCGATAACAGAAACGATACCATTAAAAACACGTTTACCAAAAATTGAAAAACCTAACAGCAATCGTCGTTCATCAAAATCATCAATAGAATCTATTAATAAAAATCATATTAGTGATAATGATGATTTGGCAAATGGTGGAAATCATTCGTTATGTTTTTTTGAAATCGGTGTCAAAACCAGACAAGGTCGAATTTATTTATTTGCCGCACGATCCGATACTGATCGACAACAATGGATACATGCATTCGTACAGGCCACGACCTTACATGCATTCAAAAATAAAGGTATATTAGATTTGTTATCACTCATATATTTCTTTTCAAATAAAATTTTCAATAATAAAATCAAAATTTTGCAGAAATTTATCATTGTGGATTTGTCAAGGCAAAATTCACCATAACGGCTGAATGGCAAACTTGTTTTGCATTGTTGACAACCGATAGATTTTTCTATGTATTTGAATTGAGCGAAAATGGTTCGACAATACCGACATTAGATTGTGGAAAATATCATATATTTAATTTGAGAAAAACGGTACGGCTTAATAAAATGGATGAAAAAAGTTCGACAAACGATGAAAATTATGGCCACATTAATCGTAAAAATAGTGATTCATTTCGAGAATGTTGTACTATTGATTGTAAATTTGGATTCAGTTTAACACAAAACGGAGGTCACGTTGTGTATCTTATAAGCTCATTCGAATCTCATATTAATCTTTGGTAACAATAAATATTCTTGTTTCATTAGTGTTTGATATGGATTTTTTTTCGTTCGAATCAATTTAGGTTCAGATCTATATGGAGATTTTGGCTAGTTCCTCAACATCCACCGGAGAAATTAATTCTCGAAGAACAATATCTAAACAAAGAGAACGTGCCAATAGCATTTGACAAGTGCCTGAAATTTCTCGATACATTCAACCAAACTGGCCTGAATCTTTTTGGTCCCATGCAAGATTCTATTCATGAACCTACAGTAATCATGACTCAGAATTCATCGCTTGATGAAAAACCAAATCAATCAAATTCACGAAAACGCCTTCCAGGTCATTCAGCCACAACACCAATGCTTACAGATATGGACCTATGGACACAGCAGAATATTCTCCATCAATTACGATTCGACTCGTGGAATGTACATTTGTTGCCGCAAAAATATAATGCTTGTCAAATAAGCCAATTAATGATGCTTTATTTACGATCAATGAGCGAATGTCTATTCACCGAAACATTGATACCATACTGGATAAAACTGTCCAAAACATTAAACAGAAAAGACGAGTCGGATCATTCTGATTCAGATTCAATCAATTCTAAAACTGAACAAATAAAACGTCTGTTGAAATTTTTGCCACCGGTTAATTATGCTTTGCTCAGACGTTTCATCATTTATCTTGCCAAGTATGTGAACGATCAATTTGATTTTCAAGAATCATTAATTTTTATTTCAAATAAATTTTCATAGCACAACACACAATAATGAAGAATATTCTTTGTCGACTTCATTATGTAAAACGCTATTTTTTTCCAAACCGAATAAGACACCCATTTCGGTGTCGATTGCACGATCAATATTGATAGCATTGATACAGAATCATGTGTGGTTATTTGATGTGACCAAAGAAGAGTTGGAGAAAGAATTGCATATCAAACGTGTGGTCAATCTAATAATTAGCCAAAATCGTAAACAAAGTGCGAAAAAACAATCTGGACAGAAATTGAAAATGAATCGAGTTAATAATGCGGGTGGTGGTGAACATATGATAGCAATGGCCAATAAAGGTTATCATGTTGATGATCGAACAAAAGTTAATTCATTAATCATCGGCATCAAAGTGTCAACATGGCCAGATAATAAGCAAACTAATGTTAATGTGCATATAAATCGTAGCACTACAGCGAGCGAAGTATTTGAAATGATTCTGGAAAAAGTAAGCTTCATTTATATACCGATAGTTACGCCTCATATCAAATTGATCAAAATAACAATCTGTATAATTTATATCATATGATGTTAAGGTAAATCTTGAAGATGATGAAGAAATTTTGAATAGCTATTCTGTGTTTGAAGTAATTTGCAATCGTCGTCTGGAACGAATAATAATGGGAAAAGAAAAAATTTTGCCTTTGGTACTTTGCTGGTCAAATTGGCCATCACATTGGTCGATAGATGCCTGTATTGAAATAAAGCCGACGGAGCGATTGCTGAGAGGTCCACCAGATCGTAAGATGATTAAGTTACCCAATTTAAAAATGATTCGATTTGAAAATGAATCCTTGAATGTTGCGCCAATCATGTTAATGTCGGTGATACGATATTGTGGACAAAGTGATACACGTTCTGTTAAACATGTGTTAGCCGAATTCTCATCATCACAATTGTTTTTATATTGTAAAGAAACACATCATTTATTAAGTCAATATGAACTAGATGAAATCTATTGGTATGTTGGTATTGAATCTGGAAATGTATTTCAAAATGCAACACCAATCAAATGTCAGACAATTGTAGCAGATCAGGATGAAGCTGCCGCATTGGTAGTTTCAAGTGGTTCAAGTGCAAATCCAAGTGGATCGATCAAATCTGTCGGATCTACGAATGCTATCCGCCGTCATCAACAACCGCAATCATCGACAATAGTTAATGTCGGTGGTGATGGTCATCAAATACCATTATCAACAGTTTCAAACAAATTACCCGAATGCCAAATAACCAATACTACGAGTATACCAGCTTTAACATTCATCGAACGACATCGAATCAAATCCCGACAAAGTCATGAACGTCGTAATTTTGGACAAACATTGGTATTTAATAGCTGGATTGAGTTGGATCAATGGATTAAAGGATTGTTAGAAGCAAGTTCACATAGGGAATTGTTTGAAATTTGAACAACTTTATTTCAAACACAATAAAAATAACTTATATCAATAATTCTGTTATGTAAATTGAATATCACAAAAAAAAATTGTATAAAATTTTTTTTTTCCAGAAATTCTGCCAACCTTATCAAAAACTCTTCATTATTCAGGTATGTCAATGTGTCTATATATAGAAACACATAGACTTGCTGAAGAATGTTGAAATTCATTTAATTCATTTTGTTCGTCTTTTCTTTGTCAAAACCAAAAAGAATATAATTGTGAATCGTAATCATTTTGTTTTGATGATTCAAATAGTACTATTGGGATTAATTAAAAATTGCCATTTTTCATCTGCCAAACCATTATTATGATTTTCAATATAAATATTTTTTCTTTCATTTATATTGATGTCCCAAATGAACCTAATTATGTGCATCAGCAATAGTAATCAGCAAAGAAAAGAAGAAATAATTGGTGTTGGCGTTAATCTTTAGAGAGCTCAGTAGTTGAAGGCTATAGCTTGTTTAACCAATTAAATTTCACAAGACATTGAATTTAAGCCGAAATCAATGTATTTTTTTATTGATGATAGAATTTAATTTTAAAACAGTTAGTTTAAATTTGAAAAACAAATTGGATTGAATTTTTTGATCTACAACATTTGTTTTTATCATCAAATCACCAAATAAACATTGTTCATTATAATTGATGATAAAAACTGGGAAAAAATCGAACAACAATAAGTAGCTTCATTATGATACTTCATTCAAGTATTGATTATTAAATGGACCACATTGAAAAAAGAGAGTTGTGTAGACAAGAATCGAATGACGATTCTTATTTTATTATAGCCACAAATTAGTATGTTTAATCGATTTTGTGGTTGTTTGTTTGTTTTTTGCTATTATATGACCCAAAAAAATATTTGCAATATGAGGATGATAGTGAACTAATAAAAAGGGTTATTATCATATTGGATTTAATTGATTTTATTTTTTAGATTTCTTTATTATATGATAAAAAATAATGATCACATTGAATATTGTTGTGTGTGTGTCTGTGGATGTATCGTAGTTATGTCTGAATCTTATCATCCAATTTGTATATATTTGATCAATCTAATAGCAGTGTACTTGTTTTGTTCAAAAGTATTGTTGCAGGTGTTGATGATAATTGTGAACACAAACAAACCATAATTTGCTATTCAAATGAGTTTTATGTGTCCAAAACAAATTAAAATGAAAAATAAGATGAAAGATATATACAAAAAATGATTTACATATGACATTAAGACAGACATCAACATTAACCATTAAAAACAATAGTTTGGAGTTTAAAACAATTGATAATAATGTCATTCACTATGTGTTCAAATTAATCCAGCTTTTGCCTGACCACAGACAATCACTTCACCATTCGGTCCATAAAGACGTGCGGTAATCAACATGTTTCCAAACTATGAAAAGAAGGAAAAACGTTTGATTTGAGAAGAGGTTATGTTTGTTTCAATTAAAAAAACTTACTCTTGGAACCAAACTGATTATAGGAAATGTAACTCTAGCGACATTCAATTCTTCTTTACGCAATGGACATGCAACATAATGTTGGCAAGCATCATATTCGATTGGAGGATAACCAAACTCGAAAAAACCGATTTTTATTCGTACATTAGTTGTCACCGTTGGATAATCACTATCTGCAATAAATTTTGCAACCAATGATGCATTTGAACCACGTGTTAATAGACAAAAACGGCTATTCTTTTCTTCATTTGGTTCACAACCTTCCACTTTAAGTCGACGAAGATTACCGTTGCCACAATCATTATATTCCATTAGACCATCATCAGAATCCGATTCTTGTTCACTTTCTCTTTTGGCAATGGTACTTGATAACACTAGCGCCGGTAATAATAACATCAACAACATGATCAACAAAGATGATGACGTTAAATTTAACATTTGTTGAAAAATCATTTTTAAATATTTCAAAAAAAAATCAAAAATCTATTTCTCTCGTCAATCAATGATGATCAAATGAACAAAACAAATAACAACTACATATGTTTTATCTATCACTATTTATGTATTTCGGACTGGTCATTTCTAAGTTCGAACAATCACGTTCACCACCAACACAACAACAACACGAATCGTATATATTTATGAAAATTGGATGATAGGATTAGATTATAAAGGCACACCCACACAAACAATGTTTAGTATAGTCTTTATCATCATAATATTTGTGGAAAAAATCAGTGAGAGATAAAATTTTTTTATTTTATTACCCTTAAAGAAATAAATTGACCTTGGGTCGAATGAAACAAAAAAATCTGTCCTTGTCGATTGAATCCGATATGATAACCCTATTCGTTTGTTATCATTATCATGTTGCTATCATTTGTTACGATTACTGTTGGTGGCAGAATAAAAAAACAAAAATTTATCAAATGCTAAAATATCGATATGATGAAATAGGAATTTTGTCGATATTGAATGCAATTCTTTTTTTCTCCATCTTTCTCGATTCTATTCAGATGTACGTGATTTTTCAAAATAATTAATTTGAATTTGTTTGATGGCATTTTTTTCTTATTATTTCTTTTCATTTCAGTCGCTTTTCTTTCAATCTATATCCAATCAAAAATCCATTTATAAACATATCTAGATTGGCAAATTATAACATTTTATTTGATCATTACATTTTTGATAATTCTTTTGATTAAAAATTGCTATTTTTTCTTTGAAAAAACTATAATTTTGTTCGTGATTTTGTTGTGGTTTTGATGGAGAACATCTGGTCTGATTCACAGCAATTTGAACACACACACACACACACAAACGAATCAATCATATAGTCAATCAATCGATGTTGATGAATTCGAGATGCTTTCATCAAAAAAAAACAAAAGTCCATAATGGGTAATCAAAATCAAAATAGAATATATTTTGAGAAAAAGCCATAAGGATCGACAGTTGAAAAAAGACAGCAAGTTTAGTTTTAGCCATAAATTGATTCTGTTGTTGTTTTCAAAGAAACATTTTTCTTTTTATTTTATTTCACAATAGCAGGAAATGGAACTTAATTAAGCCTCCAAGGCAAGAAAGAAAAAAAGAAAAATTCCGTGTCTTGTGCTCGTTCCAATTGGAAAAAAACATGATGATGATGATTTAAATGCACAATTTCATGTCAGAATATGTTTTTCTTTTCCTTTTTTGTTTTGTTTTTTTTCGTTCCATTACCAGCCAACGCAAAGAAAACATTAAAAGCGGATATTTGTGTGTGTGGATGAAAATGAATGAAAGTCAGTTTATTTATTATTAAATAAAAAAAATACTCATATTGCTTATATTTCCCTCAAAACATCTTTCGTTTTCTTCCCCAACAATTTTATTCCTATGATAATTTTGAACAAACGACAAGGCAATAACAAAAAAAATTGTCACATAAATTTGATGGTTGGTAAAAATGATTATGATTATGATGGTAGTTGTTAAGAAATCATTGTGGCTGTCTATAGAACACAAAAAAAAATATAAGAAACGAATTCGTTTTTTAGAAAATTCCTTCTTTAAATTTAAAAAAAAAATGAAGAAATATCTTCAATTCACCAATAATTTCTGTTTCGTTTTCGTTTTTTTTTCTATTCTTTCACAATATAACTTATTAACTTATTATAATTTTTGAAATGAAAAGAAAATTCCTACATCTCCCAATGGTAAAACGAAAGATAGGAAGAGAATATGAAAAATTGAGCATTGAATTCATAATTCAAAAACATAGGTATTGAAGAAAGAAATAAAAATTCCATTATTAACAGAATATATCGTTTTGAAATTTTTGGAAAATGAACACAAATGGAAAACAAGAACAAATTATTTGTTTTCATTGGATCAATATGATAGAATTGTTTTTGGCATTTATTCATAATCATTTCAAATGTTTTTTTTAATAGAAACAAAAAAAACGTTTGTTTAGATAACATTATAAATTGGCCTGAATACATATAGAAACTATTATTTGAAATTCAACAAGAATGATGATGTTTTTGTACCAGATGAAACAAAAAAAAAACAAAATTATTGGATTAAATTTTAATTACATTTTTTTCCAACATTTCATACAGATGTTTCATTTATTTGAAAACAACGTAAAAAAAACATTTGAAAAATTAAATTTTCATTTTCAATAGTTTAATAACATTTACTGGACTCATTCACAAAACTAAAAGAATATTTTTTTTATTGGTAATTTTTTCGATCGAATTCATTCAATCTTTATCTTTTCATAAATGTGTTTGAAAAGAAATACGTTTATTTCTCATTCAATGCAAAATAAGTTTTTTTTACATTGATTTTTTTTCGAAACTTCACAACCAAAAAAAAACGACAAACTTTTTTCCACAATCAAACTAAATCATTTTTTCCGTATTCATAATGATGAGGGTTTTTTCGATTCGCTTTAATACTATTAACTATGCAATAGTAACACCATATTATATAAACTGTCCAGTGGTCTGCTTACCAAAAAAAAAAAAAAAAGAATTTCCATTATTATGGTTATGGAGATGTTTCTCAAATTTTTCTAGCCAATCTATTCATATCCATTTAATATCGGTCTATATATAAATAGGATTTACGTATACCCAAAAACAAACAAACAAACAAGCAAAAATAAAAAATGGACCAATATTATGGAATGGACAACATTGCCTTTTCATATACAATACGATTTACTTTCCGTTTCATTTTTTTTTCATTACATATCCAAGCACAGATATTCTATTTTTTCATATCATATTGTGGCTTTATTCAATCGAAAATATTGTAATGTATCCTTTTTTTGCTGCTAAAATTCTGTGTGTGTGTGAATGTTGTTGGTGGTGGTGGTCGATATTCTCATTGAAAATGAAAAAGTTAGATGAAGAAAAGAAAGAGTCCTACAGCTCGACATCACACACAAACAAAAGGAAGCACTTTTTTCATTTTCTATCCCCCAGATACAAAAAAAAAATCTATGGTTCTTTGGATATGATAAAATATCGAAATTAATACTACTTGTACGGCCAAAGGCAAACAAAGCTTCATAATATCAAAGTCACAATACACACACTCGTGCACAACAAGCAAACATAAAATGTTCAAGGAAAATAACATTTTTTTTTTTTTGGAAATTTCAACTATGTTATGATGAAAAAATAGTGTTTGATATTGGTTCTGTGTGTTCTGTATTTACATTGACATCGCATGCGTCGAATGATTCAAGAATTTTTATAAGGTTCTTTTTTTAACTTCATTCACGAATGATGGCAATTCCTTCCTCTTTTTTTCCAAAATAAAATTTTCTGGTTCTGGTCCGTTGGTTTCATTTTTTTTCATCTGTGTCTATATCTGTGTCTGTATCGTAATGTATTTTTTCGGGAAATGGGGGAGTGTACACATTCGCATAGCCTTTAAGAAGAAGTCTAAAAGTCACACACAGTGTGCTCGGATGTTCTATACGACGAATAGCCATGATGATGGCTATTATTGTATACAATATATACAGGAAACGTGTGGTATATGGATCTAAATGGAATAAATAAATGACACCATTTGAAAATGTTTGCTGTCAACTATTTCGATGAAGAAAAAAAAATAATATTACAGAATTCAAAATTCTTTTTGATTCTTCTTCTTGTATAGTCTTCAATTCTCGATTCTCATCAACGGTTGATGGCCATGATGATATGGTTTCTTCTATCTTCATGTATATTACATTCGTAGTAGTAGCAATAGTATTTAGTATCAAAATTACATGTGTGTATGTTTTTTACCCCCTCATTTATATTGGCTTGTCCTTGTCGCTTTTATTCTCTCTCATGAATAGTTTCCAAAATGAATCCACAATCATGATGTCAATGGTTTTTAGATACCAACGATCGTAGATCCATTAACTGTGTATATTTCATAATAATCATGCCTAGAGTTACACACACACACAACATATATATACAAACATACACGCAAACACATTAAATTTGGTTCAATTGTATTCCAAAAAATAATATCAACAACAACAACAACCACCACCACCATCAAAAGAAGCACCCATTGTTTGTCGTCATCGTTTTTTTCTTTTGGATGGTGTTATAGTAATATGGTGGCGGTGGTCATGTTTGGTTCACACAGACAGATACAAAAAAGAAAAAAAAATTCTCTAATATTATCTCATTTGAAACAAATGAACGAACACACCTACAGGATCATTCTTTCTATGACAAAGTTTCAACCAAAAATATAGAATAGTATAGAATTTCTACCAAATAAACCCTCTCTCTCTCTCTCTCTCTCTCTCTCTCTTGCTTTCTTCTATTGTCTTTTAGGCTTCTATCATCTCAACACACAATAGTTGAATGAAGCAAGTTAAAAAGTTGAAAAATAAATATTTTTCCAAATTCATTCAAGAATAATATATATTATTTTCCATTGTTGTTTTTGTTGAAAAGGAAAAACAACAACAACAACAATGAAGAAAGAAAAGAGAAAAAAATAAAATAAAACTTTCATTCACAATCATGATTTCATCTTTCTTTTTTTTTCTGATATTGTTATCATCATCACTGACACAGAACATAGCCATTACAGAATTGTGATTGAATCAAATGGGGTAAAAAAAGGGAAAAATCAGAAAAGTAGCAGCATCTGAATGTTGATTCTAAAGAAGAATTGAAAAATCCAGATTATTTGGTCTGCACTTATTTTTGGTTAAATGAATATAGAGAGAAGAATCAAGAATCTGAACAAAGTATTCTAGTGACTGACTTACTGACTGACTGACTGAAATATAGATAGTATTTGATATTAAAAACTAATGCGAATGGATAAAACCATTTTTTTCGAATGAAAGTTTCATAAAACCATTTTTCGTTTCATTTTTTTTGCCCCTTTCTTTTCCTAATAAACAAAAAGCAGCAGAAACAAAATTTCATCACACAATAATAAACATCGACAAGTCACTATGTGATTCATTCATTATTATTATTAAATATTTAAACTTTTTTCCGGATATAAACATCTTAAATGTCAAATTTATTTTTTTTTGAAACTAAATATTTATAAAAAATAAATATTGAATGACGAAAAAAAAATATATGAATTCATCTTCGATTCTCAAGTTAACATTGGCAAACCGCAAAATTTTTCTTCAAAATTTTTAGATATTTTTTTTTTTGTATATTTCTTTTGAAAAAAAAAATCATTCACATGATTTAAAAGTATATTTTAAAAAGATCAAGAAATTAAACAAACAAACAAACAACAACAAAAATGATTATAAAAATTCAATGAAGCAAATAAAAAAATAATAAAAATAGATATTTTTGCAAATCAATCATTTGTTTTTATTGTTAAATTGTTTGAATAACTTGTCCAAATTCTTTCATATTTGAACAATGTTATGAAATTCTAACATTTTTTCATTTGTATCATCATCATGAATAATTTGTTACATACATAAGAACTAAGAAGAAAAAAAAAGCATAGAATCGAATTGAATTGGAATGTAAATTGTAAAGTGAAAAAAAACTAATAATAATAATTCTTGAATATTTTTTCTATTTCCAATCTTTTTTTTTTGTTGAATGTTTGTCGTTGTCAAGAGTTTGTGTGTGTGTTTTGTTTTTTATTTTTTATTTTTATTATTATTATACAATCATTGTCTCGCAATAGCCATAGTTGTCGTCATCGTCATGAATGAATGAAAATAAAACAAAGTGATGATGATGATGATGAAGGGTGGCCGTGGTGGTAGTGCAAGTAAGTGTAATGAAACAAACACGCACACATCATAAAGGAAAAAGAGATAGAATTTTTTTTGTTTTGTTTTTTGGAAGAGTATAAATGTTAGAAACAAATGAACAAACTTCCTTTGGCAAACTTGGTTCCAAAAATACGAAAAAAAAGGAAAAAAAAAGACCAGAAAACCCAAACCTAAAAACCTAAAAAAAACCAAACCAAACAAATATACAGACATGCGGGTATTAACGATACGATATTTTCAATCTTGTGAAAAATGTGCCATAGAGTGAATAATGAAAGAACGAGTATGGATCCTACTTGTCGGGCGCCATTAGGCCATAGTGTTGCCCGCGCGCGACGCAGTTTCATTTTGCTTTTCACAACTCTCTTTCTTTCTTTCACTCATCCCAATCTCATTTCGACATTTAATTCTCGACTGACTGAAATGGTTCATTCAGTTTTATTCCAGAAATTCACATTCAATCCCGCAATGTTTGGTTGATCGGTCGGTCGGTCGATTGGGTTAGTCAATCGGTATTTATATGCTGTTGTTTTTTAAATGTATTTTTTAGGTCGATCAGCCTTTCACTGATATTAATATCTTCTGTCATTTGACATTTAAAGAAGATTTTTGTTTTTTCAATGATCAAAAATCAGTTGTTTTGTTTATATGTTTACAGAATGTTTGATCAAATTTGTTTTGTTTCATGTCACTTTGATTTTATCTCATATCTCGTATATAGTGAATAAATGTTAAAAAGTCAATTCTTCAATGTTTTCATATTAAAGGACTTTCCCATGGTTTATGGTGAAAAATTTTGACTTTTTTTTTCATTTCCTTTAGAGTATCGATAAAAAAACATCGAACCAAATTAATGAACCAAAAAAAATAGAGAAAAAATTTCATTAATTTTTCAATTCTAATCCATATTTCTGATTGTGATTCAGATCACACACACACATCATTTATAATCATTTTTTAAGTTTAAAGAATTTCTTGTTACAATCATCATCATCATCATCATCACAATAATCATTACATCAATGTTATCATCATCTGATATAACTGCCGCGCATTTCATCAATAATTAAATGACAAAAAATTTCTGTTCTGTTTCAAATGAAACAAATTCAACATTCAACCAAATTACCAAGTTAACAATCAAATCATCATCATCATCATTTTAGCAGTGCCTTTTTATATTTTTGCTGTCGATGTAATGTTGTGATCTGATCACTATTTTGGTTCAAAAAGAAAAAAAAATATCATATATAAAACATCCGTTAACCACAATCGAAAATCATACCTATCATACCAAATCGAAAACCTTGGTTCATTAATTAGCCCTAAATTTCAATTTGTGATTTCAAAATTTCCTAAATATCAAATGAAAAAAAAAGCAAAACAAAATAAAAATTCTTTAATCATCATAATTTTTTCCATTATATTTCCGTTATAATCGAATCAATATTAATAAATCATCATATATCGGCACATCGATTTATTCGGTCTCTCATCGAATGGTGATAGTTGATGAAAACTTTTACGAAAAAAAGTTTTTTTGCCCATTAAAATTCTCTTAATTTGAATTTTTCGCAAAAAAAATACTCTATCAATCTAGCATAATCTTCATCATTCATTTCCATCATAAAAAAATCTTTACACTATTCATCATTATGTAGTGTTTGATTCTTTTTTTAATTTTGTGTGCGTGTGAAAAAAAAATTCTCGATTTTTTTCCCTTCAATGTTGTTGTTTAATTATTTTCTTAGTCAATAATACGTCGCTGACAAATCGACATTTTTTTTCTTCCATAATTCTCAACATTATCATCATCATCATCATAATCAAAACAAAAAAAAAATGCCGGTCGATTTTGAAAATGCATATGCCGTTGCACGGCAAACGATATCGCGTTTTCGTACCCGTGACAAAGCCGAGTGAGTAAAATAAAAACAAAACAGAAAAAATCTCCGGAACTCCTCCGGAACATTAAATTTTTTTTAGCTACAAACAAAATTATAATTTTAACACCTGAGTATAATGCATATGGATTTTATTTAATCATTATCATCATTATGTTGATGATATCGATGACTAAATATATCAACAAAAAAAAATTTCTGCCACCGTTATACACCGTTATTTATCATCAATATTATTATCATTTTTTATGGTTCGATTTTTGATCTATATTTTTTCAACAACAACTGCAAAAAAAACGAGTCATATACACGCAAACAAATTGCGCCCACACACCAACTTGTGTTCCAGCTGCATTCAGTTTATTTTTATTCTGTTTTTTGTTTTGTTTTGTTTTTGTTTCATTCATTGTATGCAAAACTTGTTCCAGAAGCAGAATATCCAAACAGAATTTTGGCTTGTTTCTAAGAGTACATACAATAACACACACAAACAGTGTAGGCGAATATAAAAAACATCAAATTTCATGAATAATTCAGTCATGTATATTTTTTTCTGGCTATCATGATGTTGATGATGTAATTTTATTTTCAACATTTGATTTTTTTTACGTATGAAAATTAGAATCTGTTATATGTAACAAGAAAAAAAATCTGGTTTTCTGGTAAAACCCTTTCCGATTTTTCCATAGTAGTCCATTATATCAGATAATAAATAACAACAACAACAACAATATCAGTCAAAACTATAGAATAGTGAAGAAAAAAAAATTATTTAATGCATTTTGGGTAGAGGTCTGTTTTTTTTCTCTCGTTGAAGTAATGATTATTTTCATTTCCGAGATGGAAATGAAATTTGTAGAAAAAAAAATATAAATTATTAGGAATTTTTTTTTAATATTGGATATAATTTCCAATATTCAATATCTTTATTTTTTTTTTGGATTTGTCTACAACGCAATCCATAATTAATATAATTTTATCTTGTATTGAAAAAGAGAGAGTGGGAGAAAGTGCGGAAAATTTTTTTGGGTATAGTTCGGTAATGATATTAATAATCGTATATAAAATGATTTCCTTTCTCTCTCTCTCTTCCCATCTTAATTTTTGTTTTCTCTCTCTTTCATTGAATTCCATATCTATGAGTGTAAAAATATAGAACAACCGAAATGGAATGATGATGACGATGATGATAGAATTGATATGATTAGTAATTGGTAATTAAATTTATTATTATCATTATTATTATATATCCTATGCTTGCCTGAGCATTTCATTTTCATTTCCATTTTGGATTCCAATATAGATATAGAAAATGAAATTCATTCATTCTTTATTTTAATGGAATCGTTATTCGGGAACTTTTTTTTCTGTTGTCAATATATACACATTCTTTTCGAATAAAATGTCATTCTATTTTGGATCAGCCGTTATAAAAAAAAAGAGAAGAAATGCCAATAAAATGAACAGTTTTGAAAAAAAATCAGAAAGTGGAGGAAAAAATGAAAATCGTAATAATAATCGAAAGTTTGAATATTCAAAAAATATCAAAATGTTCAAATAGCGAATATAAAGAAGCAAAAATTATGGAAAATTTTGATATTTGTTTTATATTTTACATTAAAAAAAACTGGTGCACCCGAAAAAAAACCGCGAGGATTCTTTCCAAATAAAAAGAAATGTAAAGAAAAAAAATAAAATCTAAATCTGCTTAAGGAATTATCTCTTTTTTTGCTCATTTTTTTCTCAAAATACCATGTCTGAAAATTTAACGTTTTTTTCCCATCATCTATAAATTTGAAAAAAAGTGGAAAAAAACCTTGTTGATTTAATAGCAATAAAAGATTTATTTTTCATAATGATGGCGGCGGCTGCGGTAAAATTAAAGACACTAATCAATTTTAATTAGAATTTATAAAAATTTATTTTCCGGATTCGACAATAATAATAATAATAAATGAAAAAGGATTAATTAAATCTATAAGCGATGATAATGATGAAATGAGAATAAAGTAAATGGGAATTAGAATAGCTGGTTATAAATTAATGGGAAATGTTTTTTTTTCTTTCATAATTGAAAATGAATGAATTTTTTTTCAATGGATAATGATAAACAAACAAACAAAAAATGTCTAAAAAATTCCATAGAATTTTGTCATACATGTTATGTTTTGATTAAAAAACAACATGTTGTTTTTTTTTGTTTGATTTTGCAAAATCAAAAATAGAAAAGAAAATGATTGAAAAAAGAAAAAGAAAACAAAGAATAAAAATAAAAATAGAAAATTTCAATGATTGTGAAAAGATTGTCATCATAAAACATGATGATGATGATGATATAACTGAGCCCATAGGCGACAATTACTAACAAATAATATAAAAATGTTGTTTTCTGCTTTTATATTTATATTTTTTTTTTGTTCACCATTTGATTTCAAATAAAGAATTCTATTGTTATATTGAAAATTGTTTAAAGATGCACCATGATAATGGTAAATGATTAATATAACAACCAAAACAAAACAACAAAACGACAAAAATTGAACATCCGTGTGAGAGTGAGAGAGAAATGAAAAATACTCATTGTGTTTGCAACACAAGATTTCAATCAAAATAGCCTTTTTTTCCTAATGCACAACCTAAGGCTATAAGGATTTTTATTTTGATTGAATTTTCAAAAAAAAAAACGAAAAACAACCAAATTCGAATTACAAACAAAACAAAACAAAAATATTGAACATACAATCCAGATTGAAACACATTACGCTAATCAAACGAATCAAATTAAATGTAGTGTCAAAAAAAAGAAGAGAAAAAAGTTTACAATTTTTTTGACTTTTTTTTCAAATTAAAGTTTGATAAAAACTTGTTTTTTCTCTCTGGTCATTCTTTATATCTAAAAGAATGATTGATTCTTTGCTATTTTCGTCAACTTCGTAATAAATAAATATTTTTCCGTTGTGTATGTTTCTGTACATGTCAGCAAAACTGGATTGATTGTCAAATAGAAAAAAAAAGAGAAAAATATAACACCAATCAACAATAGATGATGCCTAATAGGCATGGCCATTTGAGGCTTCATCATCATCATGGAACACCGTGATGATGATGATGAAAACAACTTTACGTTATATATCATCATGCATTTGGAAACAAATACTGAAAAAAAATAACCAAACAACAGAATGCATACCAATAGATATATCACATATATGAAAGCAGAGAATTTTCCAAGAACAAGAAACCATTCAATAAAAAATCATAAGGCTGCTGGCAAGTTGATTCAAGTATTTTTTTCTTGTTATAATCAAGAAAAAAAAACAAGCAAGTTTTTTCTGATTATTGGTAATTTCGTTGTTAGATAGAGAGTGTATTTTTGGGTCTTCTTAAAAAAAAAAAAAAAATAACCAAAATTTCCAATTCCGACAATTTTTTCTTAACGAGCTTAATATTTTCGATAACAATAACCGAAGATCATCATCACGAATATTACATTCATGTTCTGATTGATGGTTTGATCTTTCGTTTCTTTAATATATTTACTTCAATTTTCTTGGAAAAGAATTTTCTCATTTTATAATAAGGTTTTCATTTTATCATATGTGTTTCTTTCCTCTTTCCTGTGCGATAACTTGATAGAAAAAAAACAACATCATCTAATACTTATGTAATAAAATGATCATCATTAACCCAGATAACGATGCGCCAAATTTTTGTCTGATAAAAAAAAATCATTGTCAAGTAAATAAATTATGAAAATAAAAAATGGATGATTATGATTGAAAATATGAAATTACTTAAAATGAAATGAATTGCCATTTTAATGCCCCTTATATTTTTAACTTTGAAAACAAAAAACAAAAATTATAACTTTTATAGCTTCTGTTTAAATAAATTATTGAATAGCTTTTTTATTATTGTTAAATTCTGAACAACAACAACAATAAAAAACAAACTATACTGAAAAGAAAATAGAATTCATAACAAAATTTTTTGTTGCTTTTGTTTTTAAAACATACACGTTTGTCGAATGAAATTAAATGTTCAAAAAATGATGTTGTTGTTGTTTTTTTTAATGACGATCATTTGTTTGTCGATTAGATTATCATTTTTGATCATATAGCCATAGAATTGTGCTTAAAAAATCGTTTGAGTGAATAAGAATTTCTATAATAAAAATATATTTTTTTCGCGATTCGAATCAATCGTAACTTACATTCGTAAGTCGATAAATAACAAACAGCAAATAGACTTTTAATGATTGAAATTTAAGAAGGGAAAAAAATCTATCAATTATTCCATTTATTCTTTTTTTCGTCTATATTCTCGTATTTTCAATAACATTGCTATGTTTAAACCAAAAAATATATTTATAAATCAATTCGCATTCGAATAAATCTTCAAGTGGCTATCAGCCGAATCCAGTGTGTGTTAGCCATTATTTTGTTTTGTTTGTATTTTTTTTTGATCTTATCTTTATTCAATCATTTTTTTCTTTGCTTAGTACTTTCTTCTTTTTTTTCTCCTTCAAATTACACATTATAAAAATGTTTGACAATTATACAAGACACACTCATCATATGAACGATTCATCTTTTTTTTCTTTCTTTTGTTCCATAATGATTTCAATTCAGATATTTTCATTGTACCTTATAGTTGAAAATGAAGTATAACAAAAAAAAATCTTGAGCCGTCCACTTGAACCTATACATACACATCGAAGGATAAGAGCTTTGTAAATCCTCTCTTATTTTTTAAATTACTTTTTTTTCCCAATCATTCTTCATCATCATTATGAACATGTTATCTCTATCTAAAAGGAATTAAAGTTTGCATTTTATATATGTTGTATAAGAAAAATAATTGAAAAAGAAAAAATAAATCAGAATTTTCAATTGAACAATTTGCAAATCATCGTTGAATACCAATATATAATCGAAAGTCAAAAGAAGTAGAAAAAATGATTGATTCAAACACACACACACACAATTGAAAACTTACTTGTTAAATAGAAATTCTTCATTATCATATTGAATTCAAATTAATGATTTCTGGTCAAATTATTTAAATTAGAAAATCGATTTTTTTTTGTCAGTTTGCATTCCATTAATTTTAAACTTTTTTTTTGAATACTAATAATATCATCATCAATGTCTCAATCAATGATTCCAAAAAAAAAGTTTTTTCTATTTCTCAATTATGGAAAAAAATTGTTGTCAAGAGAAAACAACAACAACAAAATTCTCTTAAAACTTTATTGCCAAAGCAATTAATGAAACTTTTCTTTTTCATTTCATTTTTATTCTTGATAAATTATTTTCACGTCTGTTAATTTCTAGCTTGTTATCACTTCATAATGTGGAAAAATAATCCAGGAACGAAATTTCATTTGTTTTCGCTACATCTTCTCTTTTGATAATTATTTTTCATTCAATGAATTATATTCTCTACAATTGAAAACTATTCCATTTTTGCTCTTGCAATAACAATTATTTCGAAATGAGAATTATTCTGCGAATAAAATGAAAATGGAATGATACCCGTTATTAATTTCAATAAATACATGTATATTTGTATAACCTTTTCTCTCTCTTTGTCTTTTTTTTCATTCACCCAAACTAAAGTTTTCAATCGATATCGATCAAATCGAGTAGCAGGCGGCTAAAATTGCTTAAATTATTCTGGGGGTTCTTATTTTTTTTCTACTTTCCAGTTAAGATGAATTTATTTCATTCGATTTTTTTTATTCATATTCTTCATGTATGTATACCGATCCCCTTCCATCTTCTTTAATTCGATCGATCGGTAAATAAATCGATATTCAAGGAAAAAAAAGTTTTTTCTCTTGGTTTACACAGATAACTTTGAAAGAAAAGAAATGAGATTTCTTGTTTTTCACACACAAACACGCATATAGAAGATATGAAACTGGGAAAAATATTGGAATAAAAAAAATCTTTCGAGCTGAGATTTTTCTTTCCGTTACTTTTTAAATTCAGGCAAATTTGCATGAAAAAAATTTATGAATTGTCATTGTTTTTCATTATATTTTGTTACATTTTTTTCCATTGTTTAATTAATAAATTATAAATTCTTATTCCAATAATGATAACTTAAACATGGATATTTTTCCAAATATTTGTTCATTGAATTATTGATAATTATAGTACAGCAGCAACAAAAAGTATCAACATTGAAAATATTTTCATATGTGATAAGAATTGAACAAATAACAAATGAAGTTAAAATCATAATTGAAAAGATAAACAATTTTTTTTTATTATTCTTTTTCTTTTTTCTCCTATATCATTCAGACGTATGTTCGACGATGATGATATAAGACATACACGTGGTGATGCTCCGGATCTCATTAGGTTGGTTTTATTATTTGCTACTATTTCAATTTATAATAATGTTAATGATTATTTTATTTTTATTTTTTATTTTTATTTTTTTTTTTGTAATATTAAATAGCAAATTGGGAGAAAATGAACGAGATGTCAACAATCAACAACCATATGATGATCCAAATCATAAAATGTTTAAAGGACGTGGTGAAAGATGGGAAAAATTTCTTGAACCAAATTGTCCATGTTTTCCTGATTTATCTAAACGTTATACAATAGCACTATTGAGCTCAGTTGGTTTTTTGATTAGTTTTGGTATACGTTGTAATATGGGTGTTGCTATTGTTGAAATGATTAGTAATAAGACTGGTGTTGTAAGTATTGAAAATTTTTTTTATTAAAGAATATTTACTTACAAACAAACAATACTTTTTGAAATTATAACATCAATAAATATCTCATAGCAAATTATGGCAGTGAAGCAAACTTTTTTCCCATTTATTGTCTTTTTTCACTCATCACGATCATCATTGCGAATTGAATTATGATAAACTGATTTTTTTTCTATTCTCATTTATAAACAAAAAAAACAGAAACTATCTGACAGAAAAAAAATCTTAGAGAATAAAAAAAAAACAGGAAAACAACAACTCACTTCATTTTCAAATGAACAAAGTAGCACTTAATTTATTTCTTGTTAGCAAACATTTGAATTTCCTGATTTTTCTAATATAATTTTTTTCTACTAATTCGGGTCTGTTGTTTTTTTTCGCTGCCAATGTACACTATCCTGTTTATATCTTAGAAAACAGTCTTTTTTTTGTTAGTATTAACTGAATGATTTTCATTATATTACATCTACTATCATATGAAGAAAATTCACATTTTTCCATCAAGCAAAATATAGTGAATGAAAAAAAAACATTCATACATGGCAATTTAGACCATAATGCAGAAAAACAAAAACAAAAAAAACAAACGGAAAGAAAAATAGAAAATTTCTGCTCATTATTGACATCACATCGTCATCAATCGAATTGGTGTTGTTGGTCTATTCTGTGTATACTGGGCCATTGGAAAATTCCCATTGGAAATTTTATTTCCATCACAAATATTGCAACAACAACCAACAAGAAAACAAAAATTCCACTTTTTGAATTGAAACTTTAATATTAGTATTAATATTGATGAATACTAAATAGATAAAATGTGCCAGAAACAAAATTACACTAAACATAACCAATACTTTGAGATTTTAAACAAACTGTTTTTTGCAATTTTTGTTGTTTAAACTTAGCTTGTTTTATTCAATCAGTAATTTTATTGTCTAAAAAATAAAATTGAAAATGATGAATGCCGTAACCAAAAAGCTGTTGAAATATTTTTTTCCCATAAATACTGTGATGTACAAGAAATGGATTCTGTCGGTAGTTCGTGACTTTCAGTGTTGTCAGTGTTTATGATAAACTAGTTTTTTTCCATACATATTCTGTCAATGAATCATACAATTTTTTTCCCATTATCAATTCTGTCAAATTTTTTTTCTATTTATTTTGGCAATTCCAATTTTTTTCCAATAGTAACAATAATCATTAGAATTGTGTTTGTAAAGATTGTTTGTATTTATTCATATGTGACTATTGCACTAACATCATCATCATTGTCAGAATCATTCATAAAATGAATTCGGAATTCAAGCTTCAACAAACTCAAATTGTAATGATTTTTTTATATTACTTTTTGTATGTTGGAATCCATTCAATTCAACACATCATATCTTGCATAAAAAAATATTAAATCAAACTATATTTCAGTTATAGACATTATTATTATTATCACAATATAAAAGATTCTGTAGAAAATCGATGATGCATAGCATAAATGAGAAAGGAATTTTTTTTGACAAAATTTAATGAAAAAAAAAATAAGAATTGTTACATCGCTATAGGCAATTTGTGTAACAAATTCTTTTAAATTTTTTGTTTCATTTATTTGTAATGAAACGGACAGATATTATGATTGATTAATATTGTATTTCATCAAAAAAAATGATACTATGTAATGTAAAATAACATCAACAATGATGACTTAACGATAAAGACAGCTAACCAACCAAACTTTGACATAAGCACGCACATCACGAAACACATTTGGAATTTTAATTTCAACATTCAAAAGGACAATAAAATAAATAGAATTTTTGGACGAAAAAAAAAACAAAATTAAACATATCCTCATCTAGGCACGAAAAATTGATTTTTTCTTTTTTTCTTTTGTTGTTGTTGTTGTTGTTATTTGCTATGAGTAAATTATTGATCATAACAAGATTAAATTATACAAACAAAAAATCAACTTTATTCTTTAATATTAGATTTGATCAATATTTTTCAAACTAATTTTGATTTTAATCATCGATTTAAATAGCAAGAATTCGATTGGACTCCCGAAACAATCGGTGTTGTTGATTCATCATTTTTCTGGGGTTATATTGTCACTCAAATACCGGGCGGTTTTCTTGCCGCTAGATATCCAGCCAACAGGTATGATATATTAAACTATTAATATTGAAACAGATGCATTGTTAAATTATCATCGTATACAGAGTGTTTGGTACTGCTATTGCAATGTCAGCATTTCTTAACATGTTATTACCTAGTGCGGCCAAAATGCATCCAGGTTATGTAATGTTTGTCCGTATTCTACAAGGTCTAGTTGAAGGTGTTACATATCCAGCTTGTCATGGTATATGGAGACATTGGGCACCACCAATGGAAAGATCACGTCTTGCAACATTAGCATTTTGTGGTTCTTATGCAGGCGCTGTTGTTGGTCTACCAATGTCCGGTTTTCTAACTGAACATCTCGGCTGGGAAACTTGTTTCTATTTTTATGGAATGTTAGGCATTGGTTGGTATGTAGTATGGTTATGGTTATCATTTGAACGACCGTCCAAACATCCAACTATTTCTCGTGAAGAATTGGTATATATTGAAAATAGTCTTGGTCTTGTCACATGTAAACCACCAACCGTAAGTTTTTTTTTGTTATTTTTGTTTACATTGATAATTAATCGGGTAAAACTTTCTGTTTCATTGTTAACTTATAGCTTTATTCAACACCCTGGATTGAGATATTTAAGTCGAAGCCCGTATATGCAATCATTGTTGCCAATTTCTGCCGTTCATGGACATTCTATCTATTGTTAATTTCGCAACCAATGTATTTTAAAGAAGTATTCAATTTTAATGTCGAAAAAGTTTGTATTCGATCTCAAATGTCAAATGTCAACCATAATGATAATATTGTGAATTGATTAAATTCTTATATAGTCTGGACTTTTGGGTGCATTACCACATCTTTGCATGACATTTGTTGTACCATTCGGTGGTCATCTTGCAGATTATCTTCGTCGATCTGGAAAACTAACGACTACTAACGTTCGTAAAGCATTCAATTGTGGTGGCTTTGGTATGGAGGCGTTTTTTCTCATTCTTGTCGGTAGTACCGATAACACTACAATCGCAATCGTATGTCTTACATTGGCTGTTGGATTTTCCGGTTTCGCCATTTCTGGTAAGTAATTTCATATTACCAATTCTCATAAAAATTGATCTGAAATAAAACCAACAATTTTTTCTTTTTGTTTTCCACCAAATGGTCAACAATTTGAATATCTAGTCAAAAGTGCCTATTTCTTTCGACTTGTGTCATTGTGTCGACAATCACTTTTGTCAATGACCTTTGACCTAGTGTCAGAATTGAAAAAAAGAACTTATTTTCAATTACATAATTTAGTTTGCCAATTTTTACTGTGATTTTTTTTTTGACAAACGAATGATGATTAAATAAATTTGAAATAAAATAACCTGTATTAAATTGTCATAGGATTCAATGTTAATCATTTGGATATTGCTCCAAGATATGCTTCCATTTTGATGGGAATTTCTAATGGTTTCGGTACATTAGCTGGTATGCTGTGTCCAATCGTAGTCAATTTGATGACCAAAGAAAAGGTAACTTATTGAATCTAATTATGAATAATTGATTCAATTTATATTTCTAAACTTTATTACAGACACATACCGAATGGCAAGATGTTTTCATTTTAGCCGGTATAATTCATTTAGGTGGCGTTATTTTCTATGGAATTTATGCTTCTGGTGAATTACAGCCATGGTCTGAACCTTCAAAAGATGATCCATTACAATTAGAAGAAACACAGCTACCACCAGGAACACATCCACCTGCTTATGATTGTATTTATCAAGGTGATATAAATCAACAACAACCAGCAGGTTGGGATGATTCAACAAATCAATCAACATATCCAAACTGGGATAATAGTACTGGAGCTGCTCCTATTAATAGTAGTAATACAAATCCATTCGGTACAGCAACAGCACCTAATTATGATCCAAATCAAGCTTGGGATCAATCAAATAATAATAACTTTCAAGCGACAACAACAACAAACACATCCAATTATGGAACGATGGATAATAATAATCAAGCAACATTTTATGAGACTCGTGCTCAATATGTACAACCTGGATCAGGATATTGATAGCCTAATCATCAAATCATATATATAGATTATTAGTGTGAATTTGTGTTTGTTTGTGTGTGTGTGTGTTTGCTTGTGTTTTCATCTGTATTTGTGAAATTGGCTTTGGCCGAAAAAAATGATTCATAACTAATCAGATTATCAATATTTCAGAATTTACACATCAACATTTGTAGATATTGTATTCATCATTCAACGACAATCTTATATCAATTTGATTCTCATACATTAAATTAATAAATATCGGCTGCCTTTAGAGAAAATAATACATAGTTGAAAATGAAAAACCAAATCAATTTCATTCAATTGTATTTTGGATTTGGTTTAAACAAATAACATCATTTCAATTGAATCCATAAAACGACCCTTAAAACAAAAATCATTTTCGAATCGTCATAACAAAAAATAGATAAAAAATATTATCATAATTTCATTGGAAAATGAACGCAACACACTCACACACAAACAAGGACACACGCCCTTAGTCGTTTTTTCTATTTAAAACAAAACAAAAAAATTATCATAATCATCAATATCATCATCTAGGATTTGTGTATACAAAATGTAAAATTTTCTTTAGGATTAACATAATCAATCAACATAAAAATTGACAAAAAAAAAGAATGATGCTATCATTTTTTTCAAAGATTACACATTACACGATAAAGATAAATAACACCCTTATTCAGATAAAACACTGGTTTCATTTTTTTTTCTTTCTTTTTCTCTTGATTGTCACTATTTGATCGATTAAATTAACAAGAATAATGATGATGATCAGCTCAAAAAATAAAACAAAACAAAATGATTTTTATTTATTACAATATCATCATCATCATTTAATGTAATTCATTCAATTCATAATTCGATTAATCCGTTTATCAATGGAACATAAGCCTTTTATTCACTTATTTGTTGTAGATAATGCTAAAATCATGAAATTGTTATTGTTTGTTTGTGTGTTTGTTTGTTATTATTATTGAAAAAATATATTTTTTTTTCTCTCTTCTTCATCATCATTATCACAAAAATAATTATGGAGCAATAATTATTTAGTTGATTTTAGTTGTCAACTGTGTTTGAGTATATTCACAAAAATTATCAATTCAAAAGAAAATATCCCAATTTCTTTCCAAAACGCACCCCCGCACACACCTACACACACACACATCGATTCCCAATTTTTCCAAACAAATTATACCAAACAAAAAATAAGATGCGATGAAACAATCATTTAACATTTCGTTCATACATTTCGTATATATGAATCGAAACATGAATTACAATCAACAAAAAAAAATATATTTAGATTATTTTATCAGTTTTTTTTTCGTTTTGTTTTATTTATTTTTTAAAGGGAATAAAATGGATTGCGTGTTCAAATGATCACTAAATGTAGTATGGATATGTTAGAAAGTTTTTTTTTGAAATGGGACAATCAATTATTATTGTTTTTTGTTTGTGTCCGTAAAACGTTTGTTACTTAAATTTATTTATTTCTACTTTCAATTTTCTTTCGAATGATTTCCTTGTCTATGTTTGATAATGAATTTCATGGACAATCATCATCAATTGAATTTTCTTTATTCTTGCCAACACTATGTTGTTACTATATAAATTACATTTGGACAAAAATGATTCAATAATGATTAGAAATTTTGTGGACAATCAATCTTTTTTTTTGAATCATTTTTGTTATTAGATATAAACTTACACAAACAAAAAAAAACATCATCATTCTATTATTGAACCCTTATATTGTTTGATATTTTGTTTTCAAGTTGATTCATGATTCATTACATTCAACATACAAACAAGCAATAATAATATCATTCAATTTTTTTTCCACCTTTTTCACTATTTATTCTATTGAAAAAAAGCAATTCTTTGAATTTGTTTGAAAACAAAAAATTTAATTTGTTTTGCGTGTGTGTGTTTGTGTGAATTTTATTTATCAAAAATCTGTATAGTGAGTATTTATTTTATCATGATGAAACAACAAAAACTTTTTTCTAATAGAATATTCCTGTAAATTTTATTTTGATCTAATTCTAATTATTAATATTTTTTTTTTGTTTAAGTTTTTTTCCTGTTAAAATTATTATTGGATTGTTGTAATTGTTGTTGTTCCTAATGTAAATAATTCTTTTCTATTTTGTTTTGATTGTAATGAATTTTTCTTTTTGAATTTGCAAAACAAATCATATTACAGTTTTCTTCAACGTTTTTTCAATCGTTGAATCCATCAATCAATCAATCAATCAATCATCAACAAATCCATAAAATACATCACACACACACACAAATATTTTGAATGTTATTATATTAACTAAATAATCATTCCGCGAAAAAAATGATTCTAATAAAAATTGAAAAAAATTTATCTAAATTATTAATGAAGAATTTTAATTTATTTCAAATTTATAGAATTTTTAATTGTAATTTTTTTCAAATAAAAATTTATTCTTTTGATTCGATTTTAGATTTTAGATTTTCGCTGTTACGGCTGATTTGTAGACGAATTTTTTCCAAAATATTTCGCCATAATTCTTGCTCTTTTCGTAATTGCTCATTTTGTTTGAGATTAACTGTTTTCTTTTGGTCATTTGTTGATGTTTCGAGTGATTCCGGTTGTTTTTGTTCATTTTCAATTTTTTCCGTTTGTTTTTCATTATCATTTGTCGAATCCATTTTATCAGAAAATGATGCTTGCGAATCTTCTGAATCGAATGCCTCAAACATTTTATGATCTAACATTGATTGAAGAGCAGCTGCTGCATTCTGTTGATCGGAATCCATTTTATCAAAAAATGGTAAAAAAGAAGCAAAGCCACCCTCACCATTAACTTGACATGTTTGGGCCAATTGTGGTAAAACTTGAACCATTACTTGACTTAATGCATTGACACCGGTCACAGCTACATCTAATTTCATTTCAATACGATCAAATTTAATTAAAACAAGATTGAGTAATTCAGCTAAACTGGTCATAGGATCTTCATGCAATTGCAGCTCGATTTCAGGTGCTACTGATTCTTGTTCAACTTCAACTGTAGCTAAAACTGGTATTTCCGGAGATGCTATTGCTGCATATGGATTCGGATGGCTAGCAGCTACAAAAGTTGGTTGAATCTCAATTTCAGCTACGGCTGGTACATGTGCAGGTGCCGACACATAATTGGGCATACAACGATAATATTTTGGTGAATAGGTCAAACCTGATGGACAGGCAGGTAATTGTGGTACATGTTGACCAATCAATGTCAATGGTTGATGTTGTGGAATATATTTTAAATCATTCTTTTTATTAACAGAAATAGAAACAGTAAAGAATGATGAAAGCAGAATTGCAGAAAATATGATTGACTGTATGAAAAACATGATTGATTGAACAATTCGTTAATGTTTGCTAATGATTATCAATATCTGGCCATTTTATATACTCTACCTTTTATTTTTATTTAAAATTTCTTTGATTACAATAAACAAATGAAACATCAATATAATGTAAATATTTTAACGGAAAAAAAGTTTGATTTATTTTCGTATCGATCAATCGATTATGATAAATGTAAATAATTCGAATGTAATCAAACATGTATTAAATATATTTTTTTTTTGTAAAATTTTTATTTTGAATTTTGGTCACGAATTATGATGGCAATAAAATCGATCACAATAATCCTCCGCCAATTGGTAATCCACTGCCTCTGAATACTGAATCCAATGGAGAACTATTTCCCAATATTGAGGGTCGTGTTCGTCTGGATGATGAAAATGGTGAACCGCCACCACCACCACCACCAAGATTACCAAGACCACCAGATAACAATGATCGTGATGAATCGACAGCAGATGAAATCGAATCTTGAACGAATGCTAATGGATTGCCACTGTTTCCACCTCTACCGGATGGTAAAAATGAAGATGAATCACCAAGTAATGATGGCTGCGATGAAGCAACTTTAGATGTGGGTTTTCTTTTCGGTTTCGATGATGATTTTCGGCATATTTTTTTAGCATCTTTACAACTACTCAATGGAACACCAGTCAAACGATCAGAAAGAGAATTTAGATGAGCTTGAGCTAATAATGAATTTGTGCAGCCTGCTTGTTTACCGGCTACTTTTAGACCACTGCGTAAACCAGCGCTACAAGCTCGATATTTTCTATAAGCACTATGTATATGAAAGAAAAATTTCATGAATAATTGATAAAAATTTCCGATAATACATTTACCAGCATGGATTAGAATCTCTGGTTGGTGCAAATTTTGTTAAACAATCACGCATTCCACTCAAAATTAATGAATCACAAGTTAATATACCAAGTTGAGCGGAAACAATTGAAGTGGCTATAACCACAAAAAATGAAATCATCAAAATCTTAGCCATTTTTTTTTTGTTTACTTTGTTTGTCGAGAAATCAAATTAAAATGAAGATTACATGAAAGGGGTATATATTTATAACGAGAATATCTGAAAAATACGGCGTAGTTCTTTAGGAAAAAAACAAGTATCATTATTATCATCAATACAACTATCATTGTCAGTAATGGAGTGGTTCGTATTAATGATTATAATACGTCACGTCCGTAAAAAAAAACATTCAATTTTGTTTTATTTCAATTTATCGACATTGAATATAGAAAAAAGAATAAAAAATAACTTGTATTGCATAAATCAATGAAATTAAATTAAATCAAAAAAAAAGAGGCGAATATAAGTGTGTTTGTTCATCATTGCTCGTCCGAATTGGTCATTTCAACTCTGACAATTTAATATTCAAACTTAATTGGTTGTTTATCCATCCAATCAAACGCCTTTAGGCAAACAACTTCATTAGATTTGATTATTATTGAAAATCAGGTGTAAATAAAATACAAAGTGTATTTATTTCAATGATTTCTATCAGAAAACTGTTGAAAATTAATTCCGAAAAGATAATGCATCAAACATTATCCTCGTTGTGATGGTTTATTACTGCGACAAGAATTTTTTGGACAGGAACTTAATGGTAAACCGATCAAACGATCAGATACAGCCCATACGACTGGCATCGATAATGAACGTGGTGGACAACGATCACGTGCAACGGCAAAACTATGACCATCTTTAAGTCCTTGTATACAGGCACGATATTTTCGAGAAGCACTAACCGATGACAATCGATAAAACAAAAAAAAAACAATCAAAATATTAAGCCTAATAAAATACATACCAGCAGCTTCCTTTCGAAAATCTTGATGGGCCAAAATTGCTCATACAATTAGCTACTCCAGCATAAACAATTCGATCACAAGAACCAAACACTGGAATATATCGATCAAAATTTCGTATCATTGAGAATAAATCATTCGATTGTGCCATAGTTATCGATAACGAGGAGACCAAAAATAAGAAAATGGCTATTGATGAATTAATCTTAACACGATTATGAATTTTAATCATCATTGTGGGATTTTTATTTTTCGAAAAAAAAACAAACAAAATACAATTCTTGTCGTTGTTGATAGATGAAGATGGAATAAACATTTCTTCAATGAATGAAATATCCAAATGTTTATTTAGATATTGCATAGTATGATTTCTTTCTAATTAACGAATTATTTTTGGAAAATCCTGTTGAGCTATAAATGTTAACGATATCGATAACGACAAATACAAAATTAAAAAAAAAATTATCAAAGAAAAAAAACACAAAGCCTGTTATCCTTGAAAAATCCAAAATCGAAAACTTGTAATTGTCTTCCATCTAGTGATCAGGAAATAAACTAATCGGGGAATTTTTAAGATCAATGAATTTCGATTTTTATTTTCGAACCGGTCAATCATCATCATCATTATCTTTTATATTTTATCCTATATAATCATCGATCATTGATCCATCGCTGATGATCATCATAGAATGATGATCTAGATATATTGTTGTTTTTTTGCTATAACTCAAATCATCAACCGCGATTTAGTCGTGCATCTCATCAAAAAAAAGAAAAGGAAAAAAGCTTTGGCCATTTTAATCTAATACCTGTCGAACAGTGTTCATGTCAATACGATTCATCATAATCAACGTTCATGTATGTCATGTAAATTTGAGATTTTCATTATTAATCATAAACAATTGATAATAGGCCAACGCATTTTTTTTGGTAAATAAGTACATCTATTTGATGATTTTTATGGACAACAAGAGAAAAAAAAACAAAAACAAAAATCTCTTTTCACAGGTAAATGGCGTTGTGTTTTTTCTTTGCTATTTTGATCATCATCATCATCATCATCGATGTCGTTGATGATGATCGTCATCATGAAAATAATCCTCATCAAGATGATGATGATGATGATGGTTATCGATATTAGAAATTAGGATAAGATTTCTTGCCTTGTATAATTTCATTTCATTATGCGACTAAGGTAAAAATGATGAGGTAATTTTACAATATTTTTTCTCTCATTTTTAGTTTATAATCAACATAATTATTATTGTCATCTTCAGACAATAATCATCATATTAAGCTAATATCAATATATGAATATTTAAATTTAAAAAAAAACAAATACTGATTTTTGTTTTCGTCTTCATTTGAATTTCATTATGTAATCAACTATTTGAATGAATAAAAATTTTTCGGTTTTTATTTTTATCTACAAAAAATGTTAGTTTGAAAAAAATCAATATATTTAGATGGAATGTGTATAGGGTTTTTTTTAATGAAGAAAACGAGATAGGAAAAAAAATTCATCGATCCTTAACAATTGGAACGTGAAATAATTTATCATAAATTGTTGATGATTTTAGATGATGTATACAAGTGACGGTTGCCTTATTATTCAGACAACATTCTAAATGTTCAATACAATTGATCGGTTCATCATGATGTAAACAATTCAATATTGGTTTTGAACATTGATGTGCAAAATTTGGACCCATACAGCGTAAAAATTTAAATGCACCATGTGTATTATAATCGATGAGCGGTTTATATAATTTATGCAGATCAGGCATTGCTAAATCGAATGGTAAATTGAATGCCAATGTTGATGAAGGTATTAACAACAGTACAAACAACGATACGCCAATGATCATCTTATTCGATTTGATTATTTCTATATATCGGATAAACAAATAATAATAATAATAATAATACGGAAAAAATAGTAAAAATGGTTATGGTAGAAAATATATCTCTTTTGTGGTATGGATAATAAAATCAATAAAAGAAAATATAACCAAAAGAGAAAATGGTTCAATCAGGTATATTATAAAAAAAAAATTGAATTGAAATTATAGGATGCTTCAATGTCCGAGCTTCGGATTTATTTTTTTTAAAGAAATATATTTAGGATGATGATGCTAATCATAGTGTTTGTAAATGTGTATGTAAATCATTATTTACATACCTTTCATGATTATGATGCTATTATTATGTGATGGTGAAAAATTTTTTTTTTATTGAAATTCTTTTCAAACTAAACAAAATAGACAAAATTTAAGGAATTCATCAAATCAAACCGTCAAGTAGGATAATCGAATACGAATGATTTGTGTGGCTGCATTGTCGATCATTTGTTTGGTCTTTTTATATTGATATTAGAATTGAATATTGTTGTAAAAAAACAAAACAAGCTGGTATGGACCAGATCGATAATAGTGGTGATAACAAAATTACGTGCAGGTGAACACGTTCCATGTACTCTATAAATTTGTTCTACCATATTTAATGACCTTAGTTTTGTTTACATTGTCGATAACGTTGTTATCTTCGATGATGATAAAATTCGTATATGTCCAAACAGTGTGAGAGCGACAGAGATCTTGTCGATAAGAACCAGCACTCTGCTAAAATACATTAGATTTGGCTATCGGTTTTGTTTTGGTAGTAAACAACAAAAACCAAATCAAACCGGACTGACGGAAAACGAAATGACAATTTGCGTTGCAGGCTAATCACAAATGGATTTATTTTTTTTTTAAAGTTTTATTTTGTTAAAAGCCTCGTCATTAATTATATTGATTTGAAAACAAAAACTTTTAATCGTCATTAGGCAGTTATCGATAATGATGATCTTGTTTTTTATCAATCCGTAAAAAATATCTTCTATATTTATTGATTTTTTTCAGTTTCAATTTCGATGCTATTTCGACCTGTTTTTATTCTATTTATTAACACAGAAATAGTTTCTTTTTTATCCATTGATGAAGATTTTTTTTAAAGTGATAAAATATGATTAACTTCCGTACTTGATTATATCGCTTGCACATTCACATTAATCTTTTTTTTTCTTCTGTATGAACTTTTTACTTAGTTTCGGAATCGAAAATGAAAATGAAAAAAAATCATCATTCGAATCATTATACTATAATTTGTTTTAATCAATAATATTAAGTCTTCGAAACCAAGTCTTCTTCATTTTTGTTTTTCTGTTTGATACTTGTGAATCACGATTTTATTCACAAAATTAAAAAAAAATGACGGTTATTGTTGGTTGGTTGTTTTAATAACATTCCCGAGAACATGATAGGAAAAATTTTCATTTTCATTTGTTACAAGATTGGGTTGCTCTAATTGTCTATAGACCAAAGTTTTTTTTTGGGAGGAGGGGGGCTTAAATAATCTATTTTGGGTTAAAATCGAATAAGTTATATTTAGCTTGAAATAAAAATCAATACTGGAATATTTACCGATTCACAGATGATTATTATTTACTTTCAAAATAGACAACCAAAAAAAAAATCATTGATTGATTGATTGATTAAATAGAAAATTTTTTTTTCTTTTTAAATTGATTGGAAAAGATGTTTTCGGTAATGGACAAAATGAAAATAAATTCAATCAGAACCAGATATTCTTTTTTTTGTTGTTGTTAATGATGATTAAATCATGGTATTTTTATCATCATCATCATCATCATCATCGATTAATGATCAAGACAAGCTAAACACTAATTGAATACCACATATCGAGACGATTTTGAATCGGATTGAATGATGATAATGTAGCTTGTCGAATAGTCAATCGATTCATTGATTGATTGATTGATTGACATACGACATGTTTCAAGATATTTGAATTCCAAGATTTTTGAAAAAAACTAACATACCATAAATAGTGATGGTGTGAGCCGATTTTTTTTTTATTAATTCCATCAAATTTGATGTTCATCAAGCTTCTTGTTCATTTCGATGAGGAAAACACCAAAAAAAAAAAGATGTTTGCTTTTGATCCTAGAAACAAACAATTTTTTTCTTCCAATTTTTTGATTGACTGACATTTTTTGTTTGCAGCTTCTATCTGCCATATAACTGTATCCGTAATGTTGTAGTTAAATTAAATTCAACAGGCAATTGCCAATGATGAGCAAAAAAAAAATAGAAAATCTCCCAGATTAGGAAAATATTTTATTATTCGCGGTCCTTTTATGCCAAAATAAAAATATCAATTCCAAAATTGAACATTTGGATTTATGAATAAATAAATAAATAATCATCAAAGCTATGATTATGATGGGTGTCAAAAAAACGATGAAAAATGTTATTTTTTTTCATTTTTCTTAAATTTTAATTTTAATTTCATTTTTTTAAATATTAGTTTTGTGAAACAATCCTTCGGGGCTTGTTTTATAGCAAATATTTGTTTATTTTCGTTAAATTAGAAAACATGTTGAGAAAAAAAAGGTATAATGTCGAAATAGAAGGACAAAATGAATTCGATTTTTTTTTTTTGATTCAACTATTCGTCCATTCAATGTGTAATTACCCGAATTTTGTTGATACATTGATAAAATACAGGTGTGAAAAAAACATTACTAGCTATTACTTAAAATTTAAAAAATGAAAACATTTCCTTTATCGAGAATTATTATTTTTTTTTGCAGATGGGAACGAAAAAACTTTTGTTGTGTTCGAAATATTATGATCATCCAAGTTTGAAAAAAGGGGCGGATGAACAAAATCGGATCAAGCAAAAAAAAAAGGTAAAGATAGAAAGAAAGAGATAGAGGGAGAGAGAGAGAGAAAGCAACGATGAGCCTGACCAAACATGATAGTTGAAGAGTTGATCATTCCATCATCATAAATGTTCAACGCCATAGTAGTTCGTTTTGGTGCTCTGGATGTGTGTGTGTGCAACAAGTGGAAGAACAAGAAATCGTTTTTTTTTCATTATGTAAAGATTTGAGTAATGATAGAGAACCTATGGTTAGTTTGTGATAGCATGTACAGTGAAACTTGATGGATGATCGATTCGATTCTTCATGGACTCTTTTCATTCATTGTTCATTCATTTGATCGTCGAATACGGACGAAGATTTTCTATGTTTCTATCACGCCGTGAATTGTAATTGACCCTTGAAAGCAAACAATTTTCCTTCCATTAGACATTAAACTTGTTATTTTATTTATGATTCATTCAATCGTTATCGTAAATTTTTTTTTGTCAATTTTATAAAAGAATCGAATGTTAATTCATTCGAGTTCGAATGATCAAGCCAATCACAGTCTATATAGTTGCTTTCGTGTCAAAGTTGAATCCAATCCATTTTTGTATTCTACATGTCATCTGATCCATTTGAGCATCCAAAACAAACTATTGCCACTACGACCCGAACCAACAAATACGTGATGTTACATTAAAAACAACGTTTGTATTTAGATGCTATGTGCTGTGTGCGTGTTTGTGACAATGATAATGGCCACGGCCCCAAAAATGCCAAATAAAATAAATTGTATAACAGAAGCAAAGGCAACCGCCCAATAAAAACAATCTTTCATTCGGTTGTCATTGTTTTTGTTGTTGCTGTTGTTGTTGTTGGTTAAGGTTGATTTGCGAGCAACTACGAAGACAACTTGTTATTGTTGTTGTTTTTTCCGTTGAAAAACAATTGTGTTCTTGTATATGTTTTGGTATTCCATCATCAGAAGCAAGTTCTCTCCAATTTTTGAGTAACTGACGACTGTTCAACCAATCCATAATAATCCATTGTAACCACAACATGCTTTTTTGTCTGTATCGTATTCATATGAGTGTTGGACATTTTGTGACGTCGTTTGTTATATATCTCATGCTGTCTTGATTTGTTTATCAAATCAATGGAAATGATTTTCGTTGTGTCCAATTGAATTTTAACCAATCACCAATCAATGGTCAACATTATCATCATCAATCGTAACACCATACCAAATTTTTGAGTAAAAACTCATTTTTTGATCTCGATTTTGTTCATCGGATTTTTTTTGTCCTTCTCTGATTAATTGGATGAATCATTCATTGAATGTCGAAAAATTTAACGATTTATATTTATCATGCGTAAAATGATTTAAATGATAAATTCTGTTAACATTTACGAACAAGGTATGTTCTATTTACGAAAATATCTTTGACAAAAAAAACTTTTAATTTCATTTTGTTATGATACATGGAAAATTGATGATTTGTTTTGAAGATCGATCTAATCAACACATTCATACATTTGGCCAATTAATTTTGTTGAATAATATTTGCCAGTTATCATTTTTCTTTTTGATTAACACAAAAATCAAATCAAATCTTATATATGAAACCTGATATATGTGATTTGTTTGTTAATCTTTGATAATTTTGCTCGAATTTATTTCCTCATAGCATCTTTATCATTTTACTATTGATCAATGAATGAATGATATTTAATTGGAATGCTTTCATTTGATGTAGATTTTTTCGGAAAAAAAATCCATCCTTAAAAAACGAAATCATCTTTTTTTTCAATAATCATAATGAAATCGCTTTTTCTTTTTCAATTCTCCCTATCTCACTTATACACAAATTATTATCAATCACATTACATCATTTATTTGAAATATTTTATGTACATTGATCAATATCCGGAAAAAAATAATTCATCATTGATATGATCTCTTTTTTCCCCTCACTAGACATCCTCGTTATTAAAAATGATGATTATTTTGAAGATAAAAATTATGATTAACCACCAAATGATATTATTTGGTCAGTTTTTTTGTTTTTGTTCAAGCTTAATTTAGATTTTTATCTAATTATTTTTTTCTGCTTATCATCAATCTAATCTCACAGATCTCACACTAATGAACAAGGAACAACAAAAAAAACAACAACAACAAAAAAAAGATTATTATCATGTTTGGGAACACCGAACCGAAAAGAAAAACGGAACACTATTTTAACATCAATGTCAACCTGAATGTTATTATTGTTTGAACAACTAATGGGAAAAAAGTCAATTCAATTTTCTTTCTATCTATCTTATTAGATGTATAATTCTATAATTCATTCATACCATAAGATAGAGATAATATCCTATAGGAAAATATTTCGATTATTAAGTATGTTTTTTACCGACCACTGTTTTAGGGGTTAGCTGTGATCGCTTCAATGATTGAAGCAACAAAAAACAACAAAAAAAAAGATTTATAATCCTGATAATAAAACATTAATTTGAATGGTAAATCTATCATTCTACTATTCTTAGCTCCAGATGTTCATACTAAACAAACAAAATACCTCATGATAACTTAAAGATGTCTAATTAAGTTTAATTGTCTACCTTGATTTGTTTGCTGTTGCTATGTTGTTGTTATTATCGTTGAAAAAATAAGGCTATAGGTTTTTTTCTGAATTGATTTTAATTGAGCTCTTTTTTTTCTCACAAACGGATTTTTATAAAGTTACATAATGAAGTAACATAATACAACAAATGTATTGTATCAATATGATTGCAATTCAGTTGTACTTGTAATTTTCTTTTAATATTCTAATTATTCAATTTCATTCGTTAAATTTTTATCATTGATAATTTTTTTTTTTAAATTTACTATGAACAAAAGTCATAGGTAATTTCTTTGATTCACTATTAAATTTTTTTATTCTCATCATCATAGTGATGATATTTTAATGACAATGATTATTATTATGACCAATCATCATCATCATTATGATGCTACATTAAAAAGGATTTTTCTCAAAAAAAAATTATTTAAACCTTGCCTGATATCAATGATTTGACCTAGATTTATGACCATTAAAGTCAACTGGATTAATTGGATTTTAAATTTCTTTTTTTTTCTCTTTTTTACATTTCATTTGTCAGGTTACACACAATCAACTACAATCGATTTTTTACCCGTTGTTGCTGATGATTCATCAAAGTTGTTAAAAATATCTTGGATACATGAATCAATAAATCAACTAACTTTGATTGTCAAATTAAATCGAATCTACAATGAGTACGACAACATCAATGATTTATTTAAATAACAACAGCAATCATTGCTGTAATATAGGTGATCATCATCAACCATCATCAACAATAGCTTTATCCAAACAGCTACAACGGCCATCTACAATACTTTGTCAACGTCGTAATTCATTACCTCGAATGAGTTCAATCGCTAGAAATAATTTATACCGTAAAAATTCTCATCATCAAAATCAGGGTTATTGTTTATCATCGAACAATCATCAACAACATTCAGTTGGTCATTCTGCACAAGCATCTGCATTATCATTACAATACATATCACAATATTTAGCTACACCGGATACATTGATTTTACCCGAAAAATTATTGGCTAAAGTAGCTGCTCAAAATAATTTTTGTTGCTCAAATACTGGTATTAATGATGTCTGTCATCATAATCACCATTATTATAATCTAAACCAGACATCAGATCATCATAAACAACATCATGGAATACATTTAGATATGCGATTATCACAACAACAACATTATCATCACCATCACCACTATCATAATAATAATGATCATAATTCAAATCATAAGCCCAATACATCCGATTCTATAGTAGATGCTGCAACAGCTCAATTGGAAGAAATAATACGACTTTGTCGAACATTACAAAAGAATCCAAATCTAGCACAATCATCATCATATATAAATAATACGGGTTCTGTGATGAATGATTTGTTACTAACACCATCATCATCAGCAGTTGATAAATATCATTGTTCATCATCTTCATGTAATAAATCGCCAAAATGTCGATGTAGCGATGATTGTATAAGATATTTTCAACATTCAAATCAAAATTATTCACATCAAACAAATGATAAATGGCGTTCCATCGAATCATCGACAATAAAATCTAATCATGAAATTGATAAAAATAACGAATCAATCATGCATAGTGAACAACAGCATACTTCAATAATATTGACCAAAGCCGGTATTGATGAAACTGGTCTTATTAGTGATAACAACTTGACGGTCGAAAGTATTAATCCTCAACCTCATGAACGGCAAGCAAATACGAAAAAATCACCATCATTATTGATCAATGACCTTAGGCTTAATCATCATAACGATAATAATCATGTTTATGATGATCATAATGTTAAATGCCAAGTGTTAATTGATGATCATAACATTATGGAAATTCAACAATATGATGATGATGATAGGCAAAGCAAAAAGCATCAAATCAATTTGGAAAACAAAACGGTTGAATTTAAACTGAATTCAACAAAATCATCGACACCTCCTACATTGCCTCCTATTTCACAGTATTCGAATATCAATGCACCCATAACCACAGCCAATATTGTGGCCATCAATAATAATAACAGTGAAAGCAATAATGACGTCCTAACATCGAATGGCAACGGCATTATTAACAATAGTAATCGTTTAGTTGTTACCAAGTTGGTTGCCAAATTCGAAGAAAAATCCTCCACACATTCTGCATCATCGACGACGTTGTTACGGACGTCTTCATTGAAACAGTACAATAATGATGGTAATGATCACGAAGATAATTACAATGAAAATAATACTATCATACATAATAATGATCAACTCAGTAATTTAAATCGTGACAACAACATCAACGAAAATGACAAACGTGTCGCTATTCAATTACCGTTACTTCCATTAGATTCATCAACATCACCATTATCGACAACAAAGCCTAAATCGAAACTAAAACCTAAACCGCCACCGAAGCCTGTATCTCTAATTTTGTTATCATCTACTTTATCTCCTAACACAGCAACTACGGCAACGATATTATCTACGCCAGCTTCATTGAATGAAGATAAATCCTTTGGTCTGTCAAACAGCATTAGTTGTAGTGACAACGATGAAAAAATCAACTTCAACAAATTGTCACCTAAATTATCAACAGTTTTAAACGATAATCAGAAAAAAGACGACACCAACATCAACGACGTCATTTCTTTTTCGAATGATTACACTTGTTGTGATCGTGAGAATTTTGATGAAAACCATGCGACACAAAAATCCACTTCATTATTTTTGATTAAAGATTTTGAATCCCACGGTTTACGTGGTGATAATCAAATTTTGACCAATGATACGATTAATACCACAAATGCTATATCCTCTTCTATCGATAATAATATCAATGATTATTATAATAAAGATGATGATGAAATCAACGACCAATCTACGCAAATTACCGATTCACCATCTATTGTAAATGCCACGAAACCTACATCGATTGTTCAAACGCAACATCAACAATCATCAAATCGATTTTCGACAACACAAATAACTAATTTAGACCAAATAAGCATGGAGGATCAATCAACCGAATCAAATAACAATAAATCAATTGAAAAGATGAATAACAACAAAAATTATAATGATGATAATGATAACAAAAAATGTCAAAGTTATTGTTGCTGTCATTGTTGTTGTCCGAATACATCAAGTTCCTATTGTAATGATACAATGCACAATTGTAACAATAAATTATTGGGCATTGATCTATCGAAAATTGCTAATTTGATACCACTGTCATCGACCAACAAACGACAAGTCAAGAATGAATTATCTGGTAAGCCAAATCAATATAAAAAAATTGTTATGATTTATAAATCCAATCAATTGATCGTTGCCAAAATCATTTGATATTAATTCAGTTTTGATTATTTTTTTTGCAATACACTTGACCTCATCATCAACCTAAAATGATGATGTATCTTTTCAATCTAGCCTTTAATGAGAGAAAAAAAATGTATGAATAGATTTAGATGCTTGCTAATGAAATTCTGAATTTCTCAAAATTCGTATCATCCTCCACTTTTTTCTTGTTTTCTACTAATCATCAAAATGATAAATGATTTGCATTATATACCGCGTAACAAAATCATGATTGTTGAAACTTTGTTTTTTGATTTGGCTTTATTTGAAATTTCAATAACGTGTGTATGTATTTGTGTGTAGGTGCAATAAGCCTTGTCTGATGATTGAGATTTCTTTCAATTATACATGAATGTTTTTTTATCATGACGTTGCATCTGATATTCAAAATGTTTAATAATCTTGTAGGTAAAATTGTATTAGATCATTATTCAAATTTTTTTAAACAACAACAAAAAAAAGATTCTATTTTAATCACTAAATTTTTTGTTCTGTTTATTTATTTCTTTTGATTGTGAAATAACAACATCAACCATCAAGAACAAAACGAGAACAATCTTTGATCATTTTATAAAACGAAAACAAAAATATATAAACAAATTTCATCAACCAACAATCATTTCTGATTGATATATTATTTGGAATTTGTTATTTCAATCAACAATTTTTTTGTTTGTTTGATGTTTTCTCGATTATTAATTCTCGGCTATTTTTGGAACAACATAAATTTTGTTGTTTTTTTTTGGCAAATCGTTGTATTAATTAGATCACATATACACATCGGTTATTGAGATAGTTTGTGTATTGTTTCCATTAGAGATGAGGTCAAAATAATTAGATGAATTGATTTCATTTTCTTCTTTTTTTTTATATAATTAAAGTCCGTGTAATTTTTTCTCATGATTGCTTGAATGATGATGATGATGATGATAAGACATTGAAAAAAAGAAGAAGAGTTGATTAAATTTTTTCCCTCCTTTATGTTGTATTTATCAATTAGATGAATGCTTTTTGATAAATGATGATTTTGATAACAAGATTGTTTAAGTTTGTTTAGGATGCTGTTACAGTTTATTTTTCACTAACCGAACTAAGATTATCATTTATATCGGCGGCATTTTTTTGTGAACAAATTTGCAAATAAAACCTTTTCTTTTACAATATGTTAATCAAAACATCTGAAGGAATCTGTTTTTTTCATCATTTGTTTGTTTTTCAATAGTAAAAACATTAGCTATATGAACAACTTCCTTTCATTCATTATCAATTTTTGTTTGAATTGAATAATCAACTCTATACATCATAAAGACTATTTTATCTCATTAACAATTAAGATTTTTTTGTTTTGTTTTGTTTTTGAAGCTGATGATCATCATATACAGTGGTATCTGAATGATGGTCGGCCATAATCCATTCCTCATATGTGTGATGTTTGACCAGATTTTTTTTAAAATATTGTCTTCATCACAAACAAATCTGGTTGTCGATTACATTTTTTTTCTAGGTTCACTAAAAACTTATAAATAGGATAAAGATTTTCCAGATTTTTTTTCTTCTCCAGTCTTTATTTCATCACGGTGTAATATTATTATTATTGATGATGATGGTAGGCCAATTTTTTTCTGGTATCATAAATAATCACACACAATCTCATCATCAACACGATTTGCGTGCATTCTTCTTATATATTTATATAAATCTGTGAATATAATCCGATTATATCTATATAAACAACCAAAACAACTACTACTACTATTACCTGATGATGATCATCATATGGTTTGATCTATTCGGTAGGTCCCCTCAAGGTTCATCGACTACGATGACGACGACGACAAACAACAACAATATACAGATATATTGATCTAGTTTTATTATTATTTGTACCTGAATAACAACAAAAATCCATTATTATTATCATGTCTATTTCATACACACACATATTTAATAGACAATAATCATTACAACTAATCATAATTTTCGATGTAGATTGTGAAAATGATGAAAATTTGTTTAGTCTATAGAAAGATAAATAGATAGAATGGTTAGCTATATATAATAATGATAATACAATAACCTAATTGTTGTATTACTGATGAAAATTTTTTTTTTTGGTTGGTTGTTTGTTTGTCTGTTATTCGTCGTGACCTGTAGCTATTTGTTATCAGGTATATTTAATATACTTTATTGTTGTTGTTGTTGTTGTTCGGTTTGATATTTTGTTTGTGGGTCATTTTTTTATTCTTGGATCGAAAATGAAATGTATACATTCAATTTCAAACTATAATCGTTTGTCATAATAATAATAATAATGTTCCCCTCTATTTTGTCATTGTATTTTATCCAATTTAATCATAATAATAATGTTATCATCTTTTTATCTTATCAACAACAACAAAAAAAATTCCATGTTTTTTTTCGGTGATTGTCCATTTATGTTTTCGTTTTATTATCATCATGTGCAATTATCGTTGAAACGGATTTTTTCTCTCTTTTATTATATGTCGAGATGCTTTTGGAATGAAAAGAAAATGAAAAAAAGTTATCTTCAGTAATATTTATGGCTATATCACGTTTGTTTACCGTTCAATTTTGTTTGTTGTTTGAATGAAACAAAACAGTATAATTTTTCAAATCATTTATCAACATTGTATCTTATAACGACAGATGTCATTACTATCGATGGATTCATTTTTTTCAAAAAAAAAATTACGAAAGAAATGTTATTAAATTTGTTTCTTTCGGCACGAAATAACAACAGGTGGTACAGAAATATTATAAATTTTTCTATTGATCGATAATGATTTTTTTTCTATACTTTCTTTAAATCGGGATCGATCACCTTGATGGGAAAAATGGTAAAGAAAATAATATTTCGTGAACAAAATAAATAAATATTTATTTGATCATGAATTGATCAACATTGTCCAGCAATTTAATATTTACTTATAGACTCTTTTTTATATTCATAATTTTCGTCTGTTTATTTAATCATTGAAAAGCTCTTGAATTGAAAAAAAACAGGATAAAAAGTATCGAAAAGTTTACATTGTTTGTTCTTCTTGACTTTTAAATATTTTGTTTCATAAAATATTGCCAAAAAGATGTTACATCTGTTTGTCTATCTTGTTCATTTGTTTTTTTTCATCCTATTCATTCGTGTATTCTTGATATATCTCATTCAGTTTATTGTGGAAATGAAAAAAATGCCAAAAAACAAACACTTTGAATAGTTTGGAGTTTATGATGTTCATATATTCTTTATTACCACCATCATCATATTCACAAATATTATGATGATTCGTTTGTTTTTCACCGTTTCTTTGAAACTAATTTTAGTCGACCTGCCATACAATAATCAAGTTGTTATTCTATCAATATTCTATAAGTAAGGAAGAATGATATTTTTATTTTCCGCAAACAAAAAATATTTTATTCCCTTCGTTCTCATATGAATAACAAGCAAACAATTATTAGAATAGAGTGCATTCTAAAATTTTTAACATTTCCAATCATTTGTATGTGTGTGATGATGATAATGATTATTTTCTTGTTATGATTATGATGATGGTTAATGAAAATCTCACCTCCAGCATCGTTTTTGATGAGTGAAAAAGAACAAAAGATTTTTTTTTGTTCTTTCATTTGTGTGACTTTTCTTTCCTAAAAAAAACAAAAGATCATTTCATTTAATTGAATTGAATCGATAATATTTGATAAATTTTGACAAGTAAATGGTGATGATGAACAATTTCTTTTGTATTTTTATTGTTCCTCTTCCGGTTTAATTTCATCAACAACTAAAATCTTATTTTTGGTGAGAAAATTTTTATTTCCTTTATTTTTTCTTGAAAAACTTTTTAAAATTTAACCCCTGACCTTAATGTTATTAAATCGAAATATTGTGAAAAGAAAAATCCTCTATTTTCACAATATATAATTTGGAATTATTTTTTAAAAAAATATTAATTCCATCATCATAATCCAACCATTTAAGATGATAGCATAAATTGTATTTTTTTCCTAATAACAATGAACCACAAACACTCTCATCATTCGCATACATACCAATTTTGGACATATTTGTCATGTTGACTCTATGCCATTAAATCTAATATGATGAAATTGATTTACTTAATGTTTCCTCTCTCTCTCTTTCTCTTCAATCTTTGCATAATGATTTCAAATCCCGTTTTCGGTTAATTTGGCGGTCGTTTGACTTTTTGAATTGAATAAAATTGAACGAATGAAGATTGATGTTGAACAGATTGCCGACATTTCATTAGCTTATATTTTACATTCAATTTTCAATTTGAATGCAAATTACATTCATTTTATGATTTTATTTGCAAAAAAATGATGATAAAGCCATCTTTCATTCATAACATCAAATCAGGAATTTTGAATCAAGAAAAAGAAAACACACGCATATGGTAACTGTTTTTGATGATTGCAGATGAGATCAGATTGAGAACAATTCGTTTTTTTCCAAATTTTAATTATTCAATATTTATGATAATTGGAAATTCTTAGTTTACAAAAAAGAAAAGAAAAATCTAATCGATATTTAATTTTGTTCATCCTACTATTTATTCGACCGAAACAATAATAATAAAAAACAATCGATTCATTATTGTAGTTCGTTTTATTCGTTACTAAACAAAACAAATACAAAAAAAACAATGTGCAATATGTTTCTGTTCGCTACTTCCGTGAATGCAAGCATATACTTCACCTGTTGCATTATAACCTATTATTTGTTCAATATATTTTTTGACTTTCTATTCTCTTTTATTTTTTTTTTCTTAAACATTTTGGTTGAAAAAAAAACGACAATTTTTTTCTTCATTGAGGTTTTAACAAAACGAATATTATATGAATAAAAATCTTTCAAAAAGGAACAAAATTGATGAAATTTTAAATCAACATTTTTTTGATAGATTAGATGAAATTTTTAACAATTCATGCGTAAAATACACCTGTTTTTTTCTTTTGCGGGTAGCCAAGAAACAGTAATGATTATATATTTCTATGTTTGTGAATGTAGATTTTGCAATTAGACAATGTTTATTATTGGCTATCAATCAAGAAAACCACAGAAAAACAAAGACCAACTTTAATTACCAATTTACAAAAAGCTCTTATTATTGTCAAATTTACATTTATAATTATCTCATACGAATAAAAGTTTAATTTCGTAATTTTGGAATCACAAAAACAAAAAAATTATTTGATTTCAAATTAATTTATTCAAAATTTGATAAGAAATATGACCTTTTGATTAGATTATTTACTCGATCCAAATCGATTTATTGTTTCAAATGTATGTCTTGTTGAAATAAATTGAAAATAATTTCGTTTTTATTTCCATCAATTTCGTCGTCGTATATGGTCATTCGGATTTTTTTTTTGTGGATGATGATGAGTTGTGGCGCCCATTTCTTTTTCATTTCATTCATAATATGAATGATAAATGGATGAAAATAAAATCAATTTTTGCACGTTTTTATTTGTCTGTTTTCGTTGTTGTTGTTGGTATTGTCAAATAACTAATGTTCCTGTCCATTTTCGGGAATGAATATATAAATGGTTAGATAGAAAAAGATATTTTTTTTTGGATTTTGATAATGTTTTTTTTGACTAGCCGTTTTTCGTTTTTTATCACTGTTTATTTAAATTGCTAAATATTGTGGCTTCTTTTATTTATTCATTTTTTTGTCATTTTTAAAAAAAAAACTTTACCACCGCTTATTCTTTTCAAAATATAATGACCTAAATATTGTCTCCTTTTTTTCTCTTGTTTTGTTTTTATATCCGTATATGCTTTTATGTTTGTACGATGAAAACAAAACAAAAAAAAACACAAATCGTATTATATCATATTATGATCCTTATGAATTATTGAATGATAATGATGAGAAGGATAAATGAAAGAAAATCTCAGTATACTATTACATCGAAAATATTATTGAAAAAAAAGATATCATTTTTCATTTTAAATTATGATGATCATCATCATCATCATTGAATTATCAAATAGCTTTTATTTTTATTTTTATTTTGTTTATTTATTTTTTGTTGTTGTCGTTGTTATAAGTCTTATAATATAAGATATTTGGCCAAAATATAGGATTGTCTTAAAATCTGATGAACAACTAATTAAATCTTAAACAATTAGATTGATTATATAAAAAACGGTTTTCATTATTCAATCTATTGATGCATTTCAATTTCCATATACGTCAATGTTGATGATGAAATTTTTTTTCATTTCAATTTTTTTCCTCATTTTTTTATCGATTTCGAATGATTGAATTTTATAATTTTTTTTTCTTTTTGTCAACCTTGACACCTGCATGATGATGACAATATTGATTTGATTTATTGAATTATTTCTATATATGGCAATTTGTGTTTGAAATTTTTTTCTAGTTTGTCAAACTTATCGAAAAAAAAAATGAAATTTCTTTCCGATTTTAACAAGTATTGCGAAAAATTTACTGAATTACAACAGAATTTATTGATCTATCATTGAATGTTGAAAATATCCTTCATTAGTTTCTAGGATTTTAGTAGAATGGAATCCGATTTTTTAGAAATTCATTACTATTTTATCAATTACCATAATAATAATCATGATAATGATGATGATGATGCCTCGGAGATATTATCGATTCAATCATGGCAAACAGGAACAGATTGACAAATAATGATGTGCATACTGATGATGATGATGACTGTTGTCAATGGTTGTAATTTCCATGGTCTATGCGACCATCATTTATTTATTACAGAGCAACAACGTCGTCATCATAACAACTTCGGGAATATTATTATTGTTTAGATTGAAATTAATTTGAAATTTCATTTTTTTCACCATTCGTTTCGGTATGTGTCTCTTGTATACTTGTTTCCTCTGGAGCAATAATTTCCATTCCTTTGAAGAAAATAGATAAAATTTTATGTTGTTTTTTTTGTGTATTCGTTCGAGAACTATGTGTTGTAATGCATATATGATGTTCAAAGACAGGTAATGGCAATGAAGATGAATAGTAATCAACACGCACGCGGCAATTTTCATCAATGAAAAATTTGTATTAAAAAAACAAGTTTTCATTTGTCGTTTTTTTCGCTTCCATATCTCCGGCCACTACCATCAATCCATTTACAAAACAATCGATCCTAGTCGATATGCATGATATTAGCAAACGTAGATGAAATTAAAAAATCTACAGGGAAATAGATGATGAAGTTGGTAAAAAAGAGACAATATAAACAACAACAAAAATAAAAAGAGAATAAACACTTTTTCGTACTTAAAGAGAAAGTTATTTGTTGGAACATCATGAAAAGAGTTACAGATTTTGATTCGAAAGAAACTATCATTATGATATTTTGTCTTTCAAAAGTCCAAGTTCGATCCATAAAGTTCATCATCATCACACATTGTATCAACCAGAATGAATGATTTTTATATATAAATTAAAAGTGAATTTTTTGATTCATAAAAATCCTTGTTGGGTTGCTGATGTCTGTGTTTGTGAATTCAATAATGACCTATCGTACATATTTTTATGTTTTTACATCTGTAAACGAAAGAATCATAGAAGCTAAAAATAAATATTAAACTTCTAATTACTACTATGGCTATCATCAGAATCAAATTTTAGTTTATTCATTAAACGATGGAAAATCTTCATGAACATCATCCATTTATTTGGGTTGTCGACTTGTCAATTTGGATGAAATCCAAAAAACTATATACAAACAGTAATTTGATGATGTTTTCTGTTTTGCATGTGCTATGAGAATGTGAGATGATCTTTTGGGATGATTTTTTCTTAAATGAAATACAAACATGATTAATTCATCACTTCATTGCTATTAGTTGTTGAATTTATTTTCCATTCGCCTGTTGATGATATTTGAATTAAATTTTGTTTAGAATTTTATCTCTAGTGTTCACGATACAATGGGTCGGTTTTATTTATTTATTTTCGACCGTTTCGATCTATTCGTCTATCATTATTTTTTACAATATTAATTTTTTGTTTTTTTTTCATTCAGATTCGAATGCCATTGCCAAGGATGAACATGTACATAATGAATCAAAATCATCGCTATCGGCTAAAATAATCACTAAACATAATAAAATTAAGTGTCCTGATAACGGTGTTGCAGTCGATTCAAATCCGAATAGTGTTCTGGTTGTAGTCGAAGAAGAAGTTGTTGTTGCCGATGAAACAAGTCCAACTGGTTCCAGTGATAATAGCTCATCAGACGAAGGTATTGAAAATCCTGCCGTGTTAGATGATGATGAAGACATTGATGATGACGATGATGATCACCATCTACGTATAAATGAATCGAAAAAATTGACCGTTGTTGATGATAGTAATAATAATTGCCATTATCATCATCATCATAATCGAAATTATTCATCACATTCACACCATCAACATCATTTTAATCATCATAATCAACTTGTTAGTCATCATCAACAACAACAACAGCATCAAGATTCACGAAAATCACCAAGCCTATCGTTCAAATCAAGTCGAACCATTTCACCTTTGTTTCCCAATTCAACCAACCCTGATGATGTTCATCAAGTGGAACGTTTTCTCAACGGTAACCATTCACAACATCTGAATTCATTGGAACAGGAAGAATTATTATTGCTGAAAGAAATATTCGAATTAGAATCTGAACAATCTGAGCTAGAACAACAACCAACTAAAACTACCGACTCACAAAACAAACAAACAGATGATGAAGATGTGGATGAAGAGCTATTAGAATTTCAACGTATCGAACGAGAAATTAAATTGTCCGAACTACGTAAATGTCTTCAGCTTGTTCAAAAACAAATACAAAATTTTAAAGACAAATTAGAACAGTCGATTACTGTCGAAAAAATAACGGACAACTTTGATACAGCAACAATGGCCACAACAACTACGGCATCGAATTCGTCTTATTTAAATGAACAATGCCAATTGAATCAAGCTCAGCAAGAAGTGCAAAAGTATGCAATCTTTTCTATTACTTTGCCCTTTTAATTAATCAATTTTTTATGATAATATCTTTTTTTCTTTTCTATCCCACCTAGCAATATCAACTCGTTGTTGAAATCTAAGTCACCTTCATTGGCACCATTAGCTGAATCGGAAAATGATGAAAGTGATTCGAAAGCCGATTCGATTGAACAAAATCATGAAATAGATCTTAGCGATGATTCGGATGATGGTTCTGTTAATAACGAGGCAGCTATTGAGTTGAACATAGCGACTACAAACAATGAAAATGTCAGCAAAAATGATTTGGTTAGAAGTTTGGATGATTTACTACATGAATCGATTGAAACACGTCTGGAAAAAGTCAATGATCTCAGTGAAAAAGAACAAGAGTCTTTCGTTGTGAATGAAATAAAATCACCCAAAGAACAGAATACCTCATTGATAAGACGTACAAGTCAATATGACAATGAACTTCTTCATGATTGTCGAATGAAACATTTTGGTTATCAACGAAATTTCGACATGTTAATGTTGAAATCAGTATATCAAAAACTAGATTTTGACAAACAAAATAATTTAAACACTATAGGTGATAAACAAAACATTATGAATGCATCGAGTATCAGTAATGAAATGCTTGAATCAACAACAACAGCTACAGATTCTGAAAGCGATTCTATTGTTTTAAGGCAACGTTCTGCACGATTTCCCGCTGGTCATAATATTGAATCAACATCGAATCTCCAATCACAAGAAGAATTATCAACGCATAGTGATCAGCCTCCTGTACTACGGAAAAGAAATTCGGCCATTTCAGCCAATAGTAGCACAACAGTTGGTGGCAGCCAACGACCATTAACATTATACATGCCAGCGCCCAATCAAAAAATCAATCTAATCACTCATTTGCATGCATTAGGCCACGATTTGACATCATCCATTGTAACTAATCATTTACTGTTGACTCCATACACTTGTTCCGGTTATTTATATAAGCATTGTACAAGCGGTGTTGGCAAATGGCGAAAACGATACTTTCATTTTGATCGTATGCGTAAAGTATTTGTTTATTATCATGATCGATCAGATTTTGAAAAGATGAGACATCCTAAACGTAAATATTATTGAATGTCAAATCAATCAAAAATAATACTTAAATCGTTTTTTCTATTTAGGTGGCGTATTTTTCGATGAAATCCAAGACGTTTATGTTGACCATACTCGTATAAATATGAAAAAATTTCTATCAAATTCTGGAACAGATCAAAATTCATCTTCTAATCACAATGGCAAACATGGATCACCAGGAGCTCTAACTAATCCGACTAAACCGGATGGCACCCGTCGTGTATTTGTCGTTTCTACTGCTACATTTAATCGAAAATTCATCCTTTCTACATATACTCCGGAATTGATGCGTATATGGATGGATGTAATCTTTACTGGAGCTCAAGCTTATCTCCAGGATTTTGATGATCAAATGAATTAATTGGCTTCCTGATTTAGCATTTTTTTCATGAAAACATTCATCTAGTCAAAATATACATGAATTGTGACAACAAAAAAAAATGTCTTAAGTTTAGGAAGATTTTCATTCAATAATCTATTCATTCATTCATTCACTCATTCATCATGATCATTATTGAACATAAAAGCCATGATGATTATTTGGCTAAAAAGAAAGATACACATACGCACATGATACACACACGGAACATGTTTTTTAAATAACAAATCTTTCATCTATTCATTCTTTTTTTTCATACAACCAATGTTTAATGATTATATCCTCAAAATCGAAATTTGATATAAACGGAAGTATTTTATTTGTATATACAGTGGTCAACTTTTTTTTGTCGGCGAAATTAGAATATCTCTTCACCTGATGATTTATGTAACATTTTTCTTGATAAATTAATTTGAATGATTTTTTTATCAAAAAGTGTATATATCGTCAAGAAAAGAATAATCAAAAAAAAGAAAGAAATTGTTAAAGTAGATAGCATTATTGTTTTCGTTTGAAAATGATCAATGCGATATAGAAAAATAAAATCATAGGTATACCAATCGAAAGAAAACCATATTGTACATGAATATTAGATAGATCCCAACCCTGAAGCATTATATGACGAATTGTTTTTACCGGTATGCTTAATGGCCATAAATAGAATAGATAATTGAATGGTTGAGATAATGATTCTAATGGCCATAATACACCAGCTGAAAGACATTGAGGAATAGTTATAAACCATACCAATACCAGACAGGAAATTTCCGAATTGATTGATGATGAAATAACGAATCCCAATGACATTGCATTTAAACTTTCCAATAATAATAGACTAAATTTAAGCCAATAACTTGAATTACTTGGATTGTCGAATAATGCAAATGCGATAATATCAAGAAACCATAGCTGAACAATTGAAATGACAAGACTGGTGATGATGTGTGAGAAAAAAACAAGCTCATGTGATACACCAGCAATAAGTGATCGTTCAAATAGGCCATCTTTACGTTCTTTGTTTAATGTCAATGATGCGATAGTGATTTGTGATATATACAAAAACAAAAGAAAATAACCGGGCATAAAATAATCTTTGAAACGATAATCTTCAGATAAAGCAGTTTTTTCCATTTTAATCGGCACCTCTAATAAGTCCATATATTTTGAATGAAATAATTGACGTGAAAAGTCCCCAAAAGATTGCAACAATGTAGTGTAGAATTCAATACTGAGAATATAATATGAATTATCAATGAAAATTCGAATAGTTGAATCATCGATAGTTTCATTATCGGCGGATAATCCGTCTTCAATTCTTATATCGATTGCGTCGGTGTAATTTTCCGATATCCAAATTGCACCGATTGCTTCACGTCTTTGAATTGTATTTGTTGCCTCTTCTAATGAATTATAAAATTTAGGTTGAATTAGATGACCTCGAACAGATTTCATTGCATCGATAAATAATTTTCCATATCCAGGATTCGGTTCTTCGTTATAAACAGCTGCTGGTATCTATAATGCAACCATAATATAAATAATAATTCAAATGTTATTCTGAAAACTTACCAATGTAATATCTTTACTGACGGCCAGGCAGAATATCAATGCCTGAGTTGCCGGCAACAAGACAATGATGATTGAAAAATAAGAGCATGCGAATTTGTTTAAATTACGATATATCAATGTCAACAATATCCATAATTTGATTGTCAATAAACTTGTATTGAATAATGTTCTCCAAGATGGAGTTGATGATAGTGATGAACAATTACTAACTGAACATTCGAAATTTTTGTCAAATTTATTTGGTATGATAAATATTTCGTCAGGATTATGATGATGATTAGCTATTGAATAATGATGAGGACAAAAATATGGATTGATTTTAGTTGTTTTATGATTTTGATATGATTGATTTTGTAGATCTGAAGTGGATAAATTAAGGCCCTTGTCCTCATAACAACAGAGTTTAAGAAAAACAGCTTCAAGATTTGCTTCGCCATGAATGGACATCAATCTTTGTGGATTATCTTCGGCCAATAATGCACCGTTTCGCATCAAACCAACACGACCAGCATTGACAGCTTCTTCAATATAATGGGTAACAATAATCATGGTCATTCCTTCAGCTGCCTTTGATACCAAATAATCCCAAATCTGATTTCGAAGCAATGCATCTATACCGACTGTAGGTTCATCTAATATGACCAGGTTTGGATTATTGATCAACGAAACGGCAATAGATAATCGTCTTTTAGTGCCACCAGAAAGTTCACGAACCAGCATGTTTCCATTTGGCAGATTGGTCAATGTAGTCAATTCTTTGCGTCTTTGATGATTAAATATTAATAAAATTAAATGGAATAAATTCAAAATTAATACTTATACCTGGCGTAAAATTCTTCATTTGAAATTCGATATATTAATTTGAAATATTTTAACGTTTGATTAATGGTTAGATTGTCACACAAGCCAACTTCCTGAGGCATAAAGCTGATTGTTGAATTTGCTTCACCAGGTGTCATACCGAGCACACTGATTGTACCTTGTTGCATTTTCAATCGTCCCAATATTAATTTGAGTAATGTGGTTTTCCCCCCTCCGCTTGGACCCAATAATGCATAGATTTGTCCATATGGAATTCGAGCACAAAAATTGCGCAGAATTTGATTATTTCCATAGCTAAAGTTGACATTACGAATATAGACCGCATCTGTGGCAGACATTTTTATTTTCAAATTGAAAATTTGATCTGTCGATTTGATTTTGACAGAAAGAATGTGATGAGATGATTTCGAATAACTTGGTGATGATTGAATTTGTTCGAAAAAGAAAAAATTTTTTGTTGTAAATTTAAACAAAAATCACTTTTTGATTGTTTTATTTATACCATATTTTGACTATAAATTCAATAAGTGAAAAAAAATTGTCATATCTTAATGGCAATCTAAATCGATTGATTGTTTCAGTAATCTTTTCATCATAATTAATTAAATTACAAAACAAAAGATGAGAGAATTTTTATTTAAAATTAGCTTGAAATTTTATAAATACATTAAATCACATTAACACATACACAAAACACAGGTAGACACTTATATTAGGTTTAATTGAAGTATTTTGAAAATAATATTGAGGAAGTATTATACATAAAAATTTAAGAAATTGATCACTTCTTGATAAACTACATTTTTTAAGCTATACATTTACACACACAAACACAAACATATAAACCAATAAATGAAAAAATTAATTTAAAAAAAATTCAGTGTGGCAATTCATCTAATGGAAAATTATTCATTCATTCAGTCAATATGACTATATAGTTAAATATGATGCAAAACGTCTGAAAATTTATAAATGGAAATGAACATGGATCGATTGAATCAAATCGATGTTCATTCATTCAACTACTGGTTGTTGCTGTTGTTTTGATTGATAATGGTGATTGTGGTGAAATAATAAATAAATAATATTGATGGCCGGTAATTATAATTATATTTCCAAAAAATTCAATGTCATCCTATATTGAAATATTTTTTGTTTTTAATGGTAGTATTAAATTAGGACGACGAAAAAAGTGTGTAGAATTTTTAACAACAACAACTAATGCGATTGATGATCAATTAGAGAAAAGAGAAAAGTTTTGCCTGTGTTAAGGCGATGATGATGATATTATCAATAAAATGGTCATTCGTCTCTTATTAGTTTTCTTTTATGAATCAAGGATGTCAAATTTCTTTCTTTGTTTGTCTCTCTTTCTCTTTTATTTCTCTTTATCATTCAATCATTCGAAACCAATCCAAAAAAAATGTTTACAGTATTCAATGAGGCAATGAATTTTTTGTTTTGTTTTGCTTGTTCCAACACAATAAGCTCAAATTTATTGGATACACACACGTTTATTGTTGTTCCTTATTCAGTAATTGATCAGTAACGATGATTTTTTTGTTGTTGTTGTTGTTGAAATAGAAAATGAAGAAATAGGTCGATCAAATAAATATTCAACTTTCACCCATAGGTATAGCACACATACATAAACCTAAGAAAGGGAAAAAACTTTTTGGTCTAATGAAATACAGGATAGAAATCAAAAGAGAAATTCATTTTTTTTTCGTTCTGTTCACATATATCACAATAATAATGAATAACAAGAAAAAAAGGAGTACGAATGAATAAAACAAGAACATGAAAAACAAATTAATGATGATGAAGAACTTTGAAGTAGATGATGGTGAATTTATAGATGGTGAAGAAGAACAAAAACAAAAAAAATTAAAATCTTCAGGATTTGCAGAAAGCAAAAAAAAAAGTTGACAACTTTAACCATTGAGGTTGTACAGTCTATAGATGTGTATTTGTCTGTTTCTGTCTGTATATCATATTTATAAAGGTAAATGCAATGCCGATAGATAATATGTATGAATCGAACATCATCGAATGATTAAACATCGACCACAAAATTATTGCGGTCCAATCGAATAGCTAGCGCACTTGAAAATTGTTTTTTTTTCGGCTAGTATTTGTGTGTGAATGCGCGACAACGAACAGAAAAAAAAATCAAATACGAAAATTCAAATCTCTTTCCATTATTTCCATTCCATCGGTCTTAAAATGTTTAATATCTTTCTCTTTTCAAATTTTTCTATATTTTTTCGATCATTTTTTTTGTTGTTTATCGTTCATACTATCTCCTTTCTATTTGTGCATATGTACTATCAATATGATTTTTTTAGCGCGAATAATGAAAGATGTTTGAACCAATAAAGCGATGGTTGACCTATTTTGTGAGAGCACGAATAAAAAAAAAGTGTAACACTAAACCATTGATTTCAATATTTATTATTGGAAGAGAAAGAATGAAAACTTGGAACATTTGTACGTAAATTCCCCACACTTGTTTTTATTTTGAAAATGAAAACAAGTTTCAGATCTGTATAAGCAGACAAACATTTTAACAACAACAAAAATCACAAAAAAAGTACGAAATAATATTTTTCATACACGAATATAGTCATTTTATTTTTTTCGGATTTTTATTCCAATACCGCAAATGAGAATTTTTTTTTTTGCAAATTTTTTTGGTTATTAATTTATATATTTATAAACAAGCAATCGCAACATGTTTGATATGATCAAACTATAGTTTTACAGGTTACCCCAACAACAACAACAACAACAAAGATGTCACTAAAAATTTCAATTCAAAAAAATAAAGGAATCGATATGAAAACAAAATTTATTGCAACCAAATTGCAATGGTGCAAAAGAAAAGTTGCCGCCAGCTACAATCTTATCGATATCATTCGATTTTATACATAAAAAAAATAAAAGATTTCATTGATTTTTCATGTCTTAATAACAATTTTTAGTATAATTATACAAACTGTTCTTGTTTCAATATCATCATTATTAACGGGGTTTTTTTAAATGAAAAAAATGTCATCATAATTTCATTTTTATATGGCAATGACGATGGTGTCAATGTGCGATAACTCGTTTTTTCCGGAGTAAGTGAAAAGAGAATTAGATCCAACACCAATCGAATCGAATAGGAAAGGACGAAATGGTTACAAGGATGATATGATCAGGCAACAAATGATCGGCTTTTTGGTGTATCATAAATGGATTCTTCATCATCATCATCATCATGATAATCACCATGAACATCATTGCCATTTGAATGAATGTTAACGCCCGATTTGATTGAAAAAAGATTCGGCGTACTAGTATGATAATAAGCAATAATTTCATTATTATTATTTTGACCTCTTTGTTGTTTGATCGGTAAATTGACTTTGGTTACATCGATTAAATTGATTAATGAACGTGATGATGGTACATCATATATGGGATCAGAATATGTTTCATTTTCCAGATAATCAAATGCAGCATTCAATTTATTATTAGCAATTCTCATATTTTCTGGTTGTTCCAAATGTTGTTGTTGTTGTCGATTAGATTCTTCGATTTCTTTATTTCGTTGAAATTGATGGTGTTCAATTTCAGTGATTACAACTCTAGTTAGGCTTCCACCATTTTCTAACTGCAATAAAGATCTTGATGAAGAATTATTTCGTTGATAACGAGGATGTTGATGCGAACGTGACTTTATACCACCGTTCACCATCGATGGCTGATCCTCACCATGATTATTGCTAGCTAAAGATGAAAGATCGACCTTTGAACTTTCCGGGCTAATATTTGCTAATATAGTATAAGGAAGAAATGTCAAATAATATTAGTTAAAAGTACAGGCAAATTCAACGAAAAGTCGAGGCAATGACCAATTAGAAATTTTGGTATACGTGCTAAATGTATCGTACATACCGTGTGCTAAATTTTGCGAATCCCGATCATGTCCGGAGATATAAACATTCGGGCTGACATTCTGTTGTTGTTGTTGTTGTTGTTGATACCCAGTTCGTATGGCAATGCCACAACGTTTTTCCTGTTCTGATGGAAAATATTCATTCTTATGATTATTACTTGTGAAACTTAATTTAAGCAAAACATTCCGAAACAATTTCGTGAAAGGAGATTTTCTTTTTGATTGCTGTTGCTGCAATTTCTGACATGATCGTTTTCGATCTCTTTCGATTGTATGTTTTTTTTCATTATCAACAAAATCATTATTTTGTTCCTGTACATTTCTACGACGATGTTGATATTTTTCAAAAAATTTTAGCACACCATACATCAATGATAATAATGAAACAGAGCCAAAATAAAGAATCAATGGCAATGCTTCAATATTTAAATGATGCATCGAATAAATGAAATTTTTTTTTTGGAAAAGCTGAAAAATTGCTAATAATAATGATAATTAGGATGAATAACGAAATTCGAATGGCCACCATTTGAATGGCATTTTTGTGTGTGTGCCAACGTGTGATGTACTTGCGCCAATGATTTACGAATGTCATTTGTAATGATCAAAAGCGGAAAGTCAATGATTATGTTTGTTTTCAAGTCAACTATTGCTGCAAAATTCTATTATTGTCGTCATATCCTTTCAGGATATCAATATTTGGTATTTATTATTTTGGCTGTTAGCGGCCCAAATAAAATTAATTCAATTTTTTTTAGTTAAATTTTATTATTTCATCAAAAACCGATTAAAAATGTCGTCCGATAAGACAATAATCAAAATAAAATGTATTTAGACAGACTTATAATAGAATGGAGAGGGAGAAAGAAATCGGTGATATTTTTTGACTGAAAAAATATAAATGTGAGTGAGTATTGTGAACGTTTAGAATTGTGTAACAGTTTTATTGTGAAAATTCGATTCGTGATGATGATAATGATCTGGTCCCAATAATAACCTTGAAAATCATCTATTTATATGTATGTGAATATTTACAAGTGAAAGAAATGAGTTAAACCCTTAAAGTGTCCAAAAATTTTCTTTAAAAATATTTATGAGCTGTCATCCTTACATGAGTGACATGGCACTTTAAGAGTTAATTGATTAATATGATTGAGATGATTGTGATCACAAAGATTAATATAACGGAAATGTATAAGATAAAAAAATATCGTAAAAACGATGTATCCGCAAGGCTATCTATTCGTTGATTAGTATTTGATGTTGATGGTAATGATCCATCAGATATGTCGCTTGATTCTGAAGAAAAATATAAATTAAAAACTTTCAAACGTAATAATATAATGATTATCTACCTTTGGTATGATGACAATTGCAAAAATACAATTGTAATAATGAATGTACTGTTAGATTGAAGAATAAATAGAAAGCTATTGACCATAAGTATGGGGTAGATAAATGTATAGAATTCAATTGAAATGCCATAAAAAGGGCACCGATAGCGCAAACATAGCCAATATTTCCGATTAACCAATGTATCCAATTAAATATCCATCGTTTACTTGATTCACATTCAGGCCGAAATACAGCGCCAATTGGATTTAGGACAGCACATAAAATGGCAATCATTCCAAGTATTTGATGAAATCCCTATGAAATTGAAAAAGAATGAGAATTTAAAAATATTTTTTCTAATTCAACAAAAACATACAATAGTAAAACCATCAACGTGAAGGAAAATGCAAATAGCTCCGATGCAGACGAATATTAATGCAGCCAACATACTAGAACGATGAATCTGTGCAAATGAATTAGATGTCAATCAACTCAAAATTCAAAAATGAATTTATCTTACCGCAAACCAAATACGAACACCAAACAATGAATGCGAAAGCCATAAAGGTTTTAGATAACGTGCTGTAATAATACCGATACTGGCAAAACCAACCCAAGCAACAATCATAAAGAATGCTGTATAGATAAAACAGAGAAATTAATAATCACATAAAATCATAACTAAAAAGCATACCATGAAATTTGATCAAAAACATTTTTGAATATGCTGATATTGAACCTGTCATTCGAAAATCGACCATCGAATCGGAAACAATCTTATCGAAATGTGGTTCTTTACGGTGAAAATTGCTGAAGGGAGATAGACGGCCAAAAGCCAGCATAATATGATATTTATCATCTCGAAGATCATAGCGAGTACCACGTAAAGTAAAACGACGCCGTTTACGCCATTTACAAAAAAGAATACCATTATTATATGTAGCATTCATAACGGTTACACCATGAAATTCACTTTCAGACAATTCTTCATTTGATTTTCCTACATTAATACTGTTCAGTATTTGTGGTCGACCATTGCTCAGAATACAATCGGTAACACTATCATTGCCCATTATTTTATCATGTGATAATGCCATCGAATAATAGGCAGAGGTAGACATGATGGGTGATGTTGATCCGAATGTTACTGCTCGTTTACTGGTCATTGCCGATTTATGATCTGCGATTATTTCAAATTCCACTACAGAATCTGTGTATAAGACAAAGCCGGCAGTCATTAAAATAATACAATTACGTCGGCGAAGACAGCCATGTGGCAAACCAAAACAAAGTTTTCGGCTGCATACATTATAATCAAGATAATAGATAAGATCATGTGTACTATGGCTTGGATCATGTTTTGGTGAATTCTGAACTAAAGGTTGATGTGATACAGTTAGAAATGGTGATGGTGGTGTAATGGCTGATGATGATAGAGCTACATGATAAGGTGAACGGCGATGATGATGATCGCTATCTTTATTCACAACAAATCCACTTGGAATTTGTGGTGAATCATTGGGAATGTTGAATGCATTCAAACTATTCGGATTATATTGAACGCCTAATGGATTTGGTGATAATTCAATCATATCCGAATCGATAGCTGTCCAGAAGACATTTTTTGATTGTACAACAGTCACACGAAATACAATATCACTGATGAAATTTTTCGGTGGGGTCCATACAGTTTCAATTTTATATTTTGGAAATGAATTTGTGTGCGTTAAAGTATTCTGATCATATAGAAAAATGATAAAAATTGAATAAATGATGATTATTTATAATAGCATCGAAAACTGTTTACCTGATAACCACCCAGACAATCCAATGCTTGTGCATGTTCATTTGAAGAGAATTGTCCATTTACTAACATTTCTCTATCACTATGTAATCTAGCTTGCATAATGAATCCAAGAAATGTATCAGATGGTGAATATAATGTTACCACTATTTTTGAATCGTTGAATCGATTTGATGCATTTATTCGATAAGATGAACGGCCATATTGTTTATCAACACCATGACCAGGATATAATGTACGACATGCTTCACCATTCGGTGCTCCATTACTATATGCATCAATAATGGTCACAGTGGTCATCATCATATAAATCAACAACAATAAATATGAGATGAACATTCTGGAATGTGATGATGAATAATGATACATCAATCTATGACGTAATAGATGAAATCTAAACAATTGAAGAACAATTTTTACAGACCTGATGAATATGTTTGTATCGAATTCGATCATTCAATAAATCATTATGATTTATACTCACATTTTTTTTGTTCACAAATCTATATCTAAAAAACCGAATGGCTATTTGTGTTTGTTTGTGTGAATTCACCTGTGAATCCAATTATCGAACATATTCGTACGACAATAACGGTACTGTCACTTCTATTCAAGTTCTGTTTCTATTTGATCAAAATGAAAACAGTGGGAAAAAACAAATATAATTTAATAATAAAATAAATAATGAGACAGTTTCCGGTCATTCTTTTCTACTGTAAAGTAATGGTATCTGTATTCTTAAATAATGACAACTTAATAAATCAAATTTGCATAGCAAAAAAAAAATAATGATTTTTTTCTTGTTTTAATAAAATCAACAACAAAAAAAAACACTACATTCTTCAAGGTGACCAACCAATTAGCTTGTTTATAAATTTTTTCTACATTCATTTGTACCATGAATACCAATTGGAGCAACGGACGTGCGAATGAGGATATTTCACAATCAAGTTGTTTGTTTGTTTGTGTGTGTGATGAAAAAACAACCAAGTCAGTCAGCCGAATCAATCATCATGTTTGAAAAAAACAAACGGAAATTGTGTCAAGTTGACAATATGAAATTAGTGGACAGTGAAAATTATAACATAGTTTTGAAATAGAAGAATAGTAGTATCAAAAAAAAAGGAAATCATCGACCATAATAACAAGTGTTGAACAAACAGCTGGTCTCCCCCTCTCACACAAGAAATTATTCCCCATATTCTCAAGGTTCTCAAAACGACCGTTCAATATCATCAATCTATCAATTTTTTTGATTGATAATAAGGATTGCGGAATATATCGAAACGCTTGGTCGCTCTTCATAGTTTTGTCCTATTGAATAAAGGAAATAAAAATTCAATCATTTTTTTTACATAAAATCAAAACAGTGATATCAATTTTCGTGACAAGAATCGTTTGTCAACATTTATTAATATTTGTTACGGCCATTAAATCGTCGTTCTACATTCCATTATAATGTGGAATATTTCAAGGAAATTGATTCATATTTGTCTATTCCATTATCAACTGAGCATCATTTTATTTCATTTGATTTACTATTTAAACCATGCCAAAAAGAATAACGAATCAATTAAAATTGTAATTAAAAACAGACGATATTCAATCGTCACAATTCAATTGAACAATGAATGCAATAGATTATTTTTAAGGAAAAAAACGGTTAAAATTCAAAAAGAAATCATAAAATGACAGCTGTTCATATGATTTACATGGAACGTTCGAAATCAAAATTCATAGAAAGAATGCTAATTTTATTTTTACATTCAGATGAAAGCGTTAATCGATTCAAATGATTGAAAATTGAGAAATCATAATTTAACGCCTCTTACACTCTATTGATTCAACATGTAAAACATTACGAAATATGGTCAAGAGTGTGCTATCATCTGCTTTATTCCCCGAGAAAAATTGAAAATTTTGTAAAAATGCTAATAAACTTGTATTGGGATATCCTAGTCAAATATTATTCGCAAACTTTGTATAAAATGATGATCAATTGAATGTTTCAAAAATAAACAACGACTATAGTCACCAAGCTACTTGATGGCAAATTATTATTAAAAACAAAATGATGAAAATGCAACGAATTATTGATTGTATATCGATGAATTTGATTTGTTTTTTGTTTTCATTTTTTTGCATATATCATTAATGTAATAATAATAATGCATGATGTCGAAATTTAGAATTTTGTTTTGGAGATTTAGTCTAAGATTAATCTCATCGTGTCTTTATGATGAGATAATTATTATCTTCATCCATTTAATGCTATTACAACAACAACAGCAAAATTCCACTTTTAAGCCTTCGTTGTGACGATAATAAAAATGGACATGTCGCTATTTCAGATATCATCATCGCGTTCATCATAGCATGTATAATCGGAAGATGATTACATCATCAATGTGTTTCGATAAATATCGAGGTGAGTGTTTTCTCGTCTATCGACATCATCATCCTCAGGAAAGATGAAAAAAAAATATTTACATAAAACGACAAATAAACCGATTTTCATTTCATCATCATTGTCATCATGAATAAGAGATCATAATGATCATTATTCAATGAACATCTGCGAAAAAAAAAATTAAAATAGAATGGTGGTTGTGAAAAGTCATAGATTTGTCTAAATACATAAAGTCTTTTTTTTAAATGGTGATTTTATGCAATTTAATGAAAATTACGAAAATCATCTATTTATATACAATAGATAAATCATATGACTATTGTTTGATGCTGGATAATATTAATAAACCATAAACAATCAAGAAAAAAACCATTCGATTTCTTCAATATTATTGGGAAAATTTGCTGGAAAATAAATATTTGATTTTCACACTTGAAAATAATTAAAGAATTGAAAAACCTAATAGAATCTCGTTAAAATGAGAATTCAATGTTTTTTTTTCAAAACCAATCATATCTACAGAGGGGAGAAGGGGAAATTAATCCAATCAAAATTGTAACGAATACAATGTAATCATTATATGATTGGAAAATTTTATTTTATTTTGATCAACAGTGTGAAATTTGACATTCATGGCAATGAAAAAAAAATTACATCATGATAAATATATTGATTGCTTGATTGTCATTTCAGGATATAAAAAGAAATATGCACAATTATAAAAAAAACGTCAATCATGGCTAAATTTACCTTGAAATTTTCACTAAAATTCATTTGAGAGATGAATGTGCTTTTTTCGTATTTTGATGTTTTGTTGATAATCGATGTTCGTGTGCCGTTTCGAATGAAAAAAAAACAAAATTAGATTATTGATTTATATGATTGTAGAACGAGAAAAACAAAAAATCAAAACTATCAAGTAATTAGTTTCACATGATAAAAGATTTCGAAATTCGTTCATAAAAATCAATGTAAATATTTAAAAAAAAATGGAAACGGAAAAAAGACGATTCGACAAACACACACAGAATTGATCTGTTTATTCAGGATGATTGTTGTTTGCAGCAAAATTCATTGATTGTCAAATGAATATCAGGAAAAAAAACTAAATTCAATCTTGTTGAAGATTGGACAAACTAAACCAAAAAACAAAATATTTCACTTCAAACGTATAATCATGTCTTTTTCTAATAATTTTTTTTCAAAAAAAAAATGATCGGTAAAATTGGATTGTGCACTGATTAACACGAACACAAAAATTAATATGTATGATAATGATAATGGCAATAATAGTCGATTATAAATGTTTATAATCACATGAACAAAAAAAAACATATTCCGTTAATAGCAATTTAGATAAAGTCCAACAGATTTCTCTTTTTTTCTTTTATTTTCATTTTGTAGAGAAAAAATTGTTTCATTTATTAATACGTTGTTTGTTTTCATTAATATAGAAATCATTTTTTTCTCTTTTTTTTTCACTAAATACATACATGTTTCAGGATCGCAAATGAAATGAATCAATGTTTCAAGTAAACTCTAAGTTTCATGAACATGAACGTCAGAACTAAAATGAAAAAAAACGAGCTGGTTTTATTTCCCCCTTAAGGTAAAACAACAAATGAATAAAAACAAAAGGTTCAGGGTCTTAGTAATTTGAACAAATTAGAAAAAAAAACTTTAATTAAGATGTATCGAAATGAGACTTTCAATAGCATCGAAATCTATTCATGATATGTTATTTATTTACTGTCAGATTTTGAAAAAAAGAGATATTTCAACTGTGAGCAATCAACTGCATTTAGTATATCCGTTTTAGAAAATTGAAAGTTGCAACCAAATTTTCGGGAACTTTTTCCTTGTTGAGATATGATACATGCATTAATTAACGATAATTTCATATGCAAACAAACAATTATTTCCATCATAGTTATTAAATCATCAGCAAGTTGATGTAAATATTTGTCCAAAAAAATGATCTAATATAATACCAGGAAAAACCTAAAATTTTTGTCGTACCGGATATAATATTGGATTGAAACAAATTTTTTGTTTTGTTCTTTTCAAACTTAATTTCCTATCTTATTACATTTTATTTTGGGAATTTAAATTTCAAAAAAAATGAAAAAATTTAAATTTTTGGTCATGGTGATTATTGGTGACTGGTGAATATAGTTGTTAGCGGCCGGTTAGTTTGTCCAATTTTGTTTCATGAAAAAAAACAATAGCAGCTATTACCTTGGTACGATTATAGTTGAAATCATTTATTGATATCAACATTTTGTTTTTTTGTTTATAACGAGAATATAATATGATCGTCATCGACCAATGACATTTAACTTATTTTAAATTGACATTGATATAGTCGGTTTTTGAAGGTGGTAGTATATTTTGATATTCAGATTGAATTCAATGGGAAACAATTATACATACGATTTCATTTCGAATCAATGTTTAAATATTTTTTCCATGTATAAGATAGTTTGCTGGACAAAACTTCATGGACACGTGTGCAACAATCCATGAATTTGGATATATTTTGAAAAAGAAAAATATTTGTTGTTTTTTTGTCAATTTCAAAAACGAATGTATGGCTCGATATTTTCCAAAAATTATGAACTTTGTTTATGTGATTGGTATGAACTTTTTCTTCGAAATCCATTAATATCCAAAAAAAACACTAATGATAAATAATTTTGTTTACCCACTAACAACAACCAATTTCCTTTTTTTGGTTGTTTAATTCTGATCATTAATGAATAATATCTAAAATTTAAAATTTTTGAAGAAAAAAATCCCAACTATGTTTGATGTATGTTAAATTTGAAATCACACATTTAAATTGCAGCCATTGGAACGAAATGGACCATTTTTTTCAGACTAATTTAAGATAAATACTCTAATTTTGTTAATTTAACTTTTATAATTAACGTATATTGAATGAAAGCTCCTCAGAAAACATTAGTTAGTTAGATAAACATTCCTCAACAGCTATTAATGTTAACAGAGAAGTTTAATTGCTTTTATCCAAGGTGTGATGTTCATCAAGATAAATAATTAAATTATTTGTTGTTGTTAGGTTGTTGTAAGATGTCGCTGTGACATTGAATTTTTGAAATCAACACTGCCATCTAATGACAGAAATCAAAAAACAATAAAAATTACAATTTTTTTTTTTGAAATTTTATTTAATTAAATTTTTCGAATATCTGGACACCAAAAATGTCTCCCCAACAATAGGTGATAATAATTATGATTTGAAACAAGAAAAAAAATTGAGAATAATTTAGGCATGGACAAGTGTCTTTTGTGTGTGCGTGAGAAGGTAAATTCAGTGTTTATTGATAATAATAATAATAATCCGATGGTCGGGTGTGTCCAAACTAATTATTAAATTAATGTATTATGGTGACAAATTAATCGTATATATTGCAAACAAAACATACATTGAGAACTGAAAGAAATCCCTAATAGAAATAATTTGCTATTGATTTATGATGTGGAATGTCAGAATTACTATTTTCTGAATCATTTCATGAATGATTCTGTGAATAATAATAATAAAAAAAAGAGCCTGGCTTAGGACTACAAAGGCAAATTCATGGCATTTCTTTGTTTATATAACTAAGCTCATATATAATATTCTTTAATTTTGTTTAACAATAATTTCATTGAGATAATCATTAAAATTTATGTATTTAAAAAATAAAATAATAAATGAAACGAAAAAAAAACAATCAAATCTTAATGAGGTATAATCTGACAACAACAAAAAAGCAATGAAATTTGTAATTGTATCTATATGAGTATAATGTGCGTGTGTGTAATTCGATTAACATTTTTCATTTCAAAAACAATTCACATTGAATAACATCAATACCATTTGATTCATTTTTTGTTGTTGTTACATATCTTTAACCAAAAATAAAAACTTTGCCAAGTAATACAAAAAAAAACAACAACAATTAACAAACGAAGAAATTTAAATGCATCTTTTTTTCCGTTGAAAACGTTGATTAAACGTGAAGGCATCCGATCCAAAAATACGATCCAAATATTTCCACTCATGTTCATTTAAAAGTAAACAAACATGAATCAAGTTAAATTTCCATCCAATTTTCGAGTCGGATATAAATGAATAATTGAAAAGGCGATAACCAATATCAAGAAATCACACTTCCCTGTAATAAATAACAAGAATAGAATTGAAAAAAATTTCTGAAAATGTCAATCAAATAAACTTACGAGGATTCCAAATTACAATTTGAAAATATGAATTCTTTCATACGTTTAAGATCGGCTTTTGATGGTCGTGTTACTGTATTTGATCCACCTGTCAATGTTATCTGAACAGATGATATGCCATCTTTCATTTCACGTACATCGATTTTTATATCGGGACTATCTGCTGGTGACTTAGATATATCTTCAGCTCCACATTGATCAACAATATTACATTGTGAATTTGAATATTCATTTTGATAACATATTGGTGAAGGTGAATTTTGAATTCCACACGATTCATTCAATGAAGGACTTATTGGAAGAGCCGAATCACGATCCGATGAAGTGGAAGGTTTTCTTGTAGCTTTACGATGATAATGATCACGTTTCATTACCACATCAGTATCTATATCCTCATCTTCTTCATGTAGTTGCAAATGATGAACAGTTGAACAACAGTTGCAATGATCGCATTGATTATCTACAACGCTTCCTACACTTAATGGCACTGATCCGGTACTACTAAAGCCGCTCGAACAACAAACAGATTCTGTACTAAGGCATTTATTTTGTTGTTGATGAGACGATGCAAGTGATCGAGATTGAAATGGTTGACCACCGGAAGAACAATTATGAGCAGAATTACAGCCACCACAACAGTGTTGTTGTCCATTTTGTGATTGCTGATGATGTTGATGATGATGATGATAAGGGCACTGAATATTTTGCTGTTTTTGGTGTTGGTTGCCATAATTCCATGACAAACGTTTATGAATGGAATTATCTTTTTCTTTTTTGAGATGATCGATTGAATCAGCTGTGTGATAACGACGATCTGGTCGATAAGTTCTTTTTTGTTGAGGACTACGATTGTTTTTTGTATCGTCTTCATTTGCATTGTCACAGTTATTCATCTCATCATTTTTATTATCGGATCCAGCTAATTCTGATGATAATGTAGCTGATGGCGATTCTTTATCGGAAGAGCTATTTTGATTAACTGATATGTGTACCATGTTATTGTTATTAGCATCTTCGACAGATTTAGTTTCAGGCGTTGAGGAAGCACCATACGATATATTTTTCGTTTTTATCAATGGTGGTTTATTGACAGTCATTGTCATTGGATTAGGTATTCCTCGTGAGCTAATCGACATCAATGATGGTGGTGGTTGTGGTGGCGGAGAAGATGGTAAAGGTGGTGAAACAGTTGTGACATGAGGTGGTAATGGTGGCAATGGTCGATTCGTAATTGATTTTGTCGGTGATCTTTTTGGTGGTGGTGGTGATGGAGAAGGTGGTGGCGGATGAACGGCAACTTGAATGGTTGCTGTTGGTGGGCTATTCTGACTCGATTGACAAGTAGGAATAGGTTCGTTCAATGTGATAGTGTTTTGGTTCCCGGTGTTCATATTCGAAATATTTGGTACAGATCTTCGAGTTTGGCGTGATTGAACCGTTACAGAATTGACTGGCTGAACATAAGGAACATTGACTGAAAGACTATTTTGGTTGAGATAACTTGATGAACCGTTACTATCAACACTGGTTTGATTACCGCAACCACTATTGTTGTTGACGCCTTGTCGTTGCAATGATTGTTGCGGTTGCTGTTGTTGTTGTTGACTTCGTAATAGAAAAGCTCGACGTTCATGTCGTGGTGATGTGATCGTAACAACCGGTGATCGATTATCAAATGATTGTGAACGTGCAAAAGAATCGGTATCTTCGACTACTAAACTAGGATTGCGAAGATCACCTAATTCAAAACTGATAGCTCTAGGCGATTGTTGTGTAATAGAAAGCTGATTACAAGTAACTTGATGTTGTGGAGCATTAGTAACCATTGTTTGGCTGGTAGTTTGTATTGGCTGATCATTCATATCCTGTGAACCACTGTGTGAATGAATCAGACTTGATCGGCTCGATGATCGTGGTGATGTAGTGAATAATTGATGATGATCATTTCCGTAGATCACATCATCATCATAGCTATTCTGATATGTAGTACAATGCTCCGGTTCGACAGATGAAAATTTAAAGCTACGATAGTCTTCCTGTGCTTTTCTAATCTGTTCGACCCAGTTTCGTGTTTCCGATGTGAACAATAACATATAAGTACAAGCCACATTGAATTCATTCAAATAGATCAACAAGAATCCGCTACTCTCTTTCAGTTCATGAACCACTAATCTATCGATAATAAATGGCTGTCGAATGACTTTCATGCGACTATCACTGCTTTTTTTATTTAATGGTTTACAAACAAGAAATACATCAGTGAAAAGAAAACAATGTACATCTTGTTTGTTAGTGATAGAATCTTTTAGCTTTAGCGTATCTTCAAGATATAGATGCCGAATTTTTTGTGGTGCACATCCGGGCATTGTTTGCATCAGATCAAGATCTAAATATTCTTTAAGAAACTGTAACAAAAATGAAATTATTTTGTAATTAGTTTAATATCGAAAATCGATTAGATTAACAAACCTTTTCAGCTTCATCATTGCTACATTCAATAGCATCATAAATTTCGATTCGGCTAACGACCGCAGATAATGCTTCGTATTCTTGTTTTCTTGACATTGAGGCATTAATTCCACTTACAAATCGATCCACACAATGTATCTATTTGTTGAAAATAAAAAATAAAAAACAAAAATGAAAGAAACAACAAAAACACTAAAATCTGGAACATTCAATTCATATTCCAGATTTCAATTTGAATTTAATTTTTTGTCAATCATTTACCATTCTATTGAGACAATCTTTATGCGTTTCATTGTCAGTTTTATTTAGAATTGCTTTCAATAACAATGAATATTTTGTTAGACGCTGGAATGGCTTCACCAATAGGCCCATCAAATCAAGTCGTTCACAATCTTTGTGTTTTCTGCACCACTGCACGAAACAAATATAACCAATAACAAAAAGATGGAAACAAATTGAAACAAAATGTTATATATCAGTTATTGATAAACAATGAAATATGAAAGATATTCAAAGAAATGATGATTTCAATGAAACCTTTCAACACTCGGAAATAGATTTGACATAGGCAAATTTTTTTGTTTTGTTGTACAAATGCAATTTCACTTACCGATATGTATTCTTCGAACAAAGCATTTGATTTTCGTTTTTCTTTTAAATAATGTAAACATTTACTATGCTCCAAGCAATACCGAATGTATGGGCGAAATATCTGATCAAACTATAAAATTTATATTTGAAAAAATAGAAATTAATGAAATCACCATAAATTGAAAAATGCAAACAAAAAAAAAAAATATAATGGTTGTATCATTGTTTACCTGAAGAAATCCTTCTTCCAACATTGTCGGATTCAATGGTGTCTTTGTTTCACGACTATGATTTAACATTGGTAACAAATAACGCATCCAAAAATGATGATTTGCTTCGTATACTTCGCCAATATTACTGAAAACGTTGTATACATCGATCTGCAAACAAAAAATCGATCAAGACAATTTTAAATTGAATGAATATAATATTAAGAAAAAATCAATTAAAATACGTCACTGTAATTGAAATGAATATTGATCAATTCTAATTGAAAAAGACAATAATGATATGACATGCACTATCTCTACACTTGAGAATATCGATTATCAATGTATGTCAATTACAAATGTCAGTGATTGTTTTAGTGAAAAGAAAAAAAACATTGATTTAAATAAATTAACAATGATTATAAACAAAAACAAGAAAAAATTTTTTTTCTCCAGGATAATGAAATATCTATAGGATGTTACCAAATAAAGCTAAAATTTGTTTCTAAACAATACAAAAACCGAAACGGGAAATAATTTATTCTCATAACTCTTCTATCCTCGTCGTTGTTGTTGTTGTTGATGTATTGTTTTTGTTCCTGAATAAGAAAAAAAACACTATTTTTTTGTGTCAACTCGATCGTTATTTGATTTTTTATTAAGATTTTTGTTCTACTATAAAAAATGGACATAATTTAAGATCGAAAAAAAAGTCAAACAGAATTGTTCATTGTCGATGTAAACAATGGATGCATTGATATCACACACAAATAACATATTCAAATAAAGTTAGATGAATATTTTCACTTTTTTCTAAATAACATGTTGGGCTCAACAAAAAGCAAATAAAATGAAAAGCAAACCTTTGATTTCATCATCATCATCATCATTGAAATTCCTTATACAATGATAAATGAATCAATGACATGTACACATGCATGTGATTTATTTGGATCAACAAACAATAGCATTTAGGCACCTACGCGATTAGAATAGTTATTTTCGTTTAAATAACAATAATGTCCATATGCATCATTAAATTATTATTTTGAACATAAAAATAATCTCTATTATCATCATTATCATCATCATCATTATCACGATGATGAATAGAGAAATTTGTATTAATCGGAATCAAGATTAGAGAATAAAAATCTTTTCTTTCTTTTGTTGTTGTTGTATTCGTGATAGATAGTAATACATGATAATTCATTTAAATGATTAGGATCCACTAAAGTGAGAGAATAAGAAAGTGAAATTTTTTTCAGTTTAATCTCATTCGCCTATTTAAATTGATATGATTTGATTGAGCAACAATAGATGTTAAAATTTTATGATATACGTGATCTGTGATTCAATCATCTTCATTATGCTAAAAGGTTGTTTTTTTTGTTATTAATGTTCTATGTATATCTGTAGATCAACAACAAACTCTTCCGCCTACGTGTTTAATGATACAAAACAATTTACATGATTGTCATTGTCATAATTTAACTGATTGAAATCATCATTTTTTGACTATATATGATGTTTAAAAAGAAAAGTTAGAATATTCAGCCGAATGACTTTATTGAGATTTGAATAAAAATTGTTTACAACATAAAGAAAGTGATAAATAAAATCATAATAATAATAATGAAATTTTTCATGAATAACTAGCTTCAAGCAATAAAACATTTTTTCAAGATATTCTGAATTCATAACTGGTTATTTAAAATGGTGATTGAGGCAATGAATATGAAAAATATTCTAACAAATTCCGAAATAAGAAATGAAAATAAAATTCAACAAACCTCAGTGAGAAGACATTCATTCTGAAGATTCAATAAACAGGCTATGCATACATCATTGATGACTTTTAAGCGACGAATGTAGAACACTTCTGTTTGTAATAATTCCCATATAGCTTCATTTTGACTTTGTATACGTGCGGATAATTGATCAGCATTATCGACAATTGAACGCCATTCTGGTTCTAAATAATAATATGAATCAACCGATTGATCAAATGATGTGGATGATAAAATTTGTCCTGGATGTTGTTGTGGATGAGATAACATTGTTAATGGATTATTATTGGAATGATTATTATGTAAACGATGAAGATCCGTAGTTGATAAAGAAGTTTTAGCCGTCGATAATAATGACATATTTGATGTAGGCGTTGTCGAATTTATCGCTGTTGATGTATTGGGACTAATATTTCCACCAGTAAACATACTTGATATTGATAATGATAATGCTCTTAAATGATTTAATTTATTCGTACTAGCAACGAATGATAAATGTTTAGGATCTGGTATACCATTTTCTGTATATTGTTTTAACAGATCGGATAATTGTTCCATTTTTTCCGTATCACTTTTAAATGGTATAGAAAATATACCACCAATTTTACGGCTTGAATTTTTTAAATTTTTCAATGTGCTTTCCGAACCACCAAGACCGCCAAACAGTTCATGACTGTCGGCTAAAAGATTGTCACAGGAGACCATTGCACCACGTCTTTGGCGAAGATTTGGGCTCTATTCATTTTGGATAGAAGCAATGAATGAAACAAAAAAAAAAGAATATATACCGAAAGAAAAAGACATTAATATTAATGAACAATCAAATTATATTGAAAAGAAATCTTGATTGTCAAAATCATATAACAATACAAACGAAGATAATAAGATAGAAACCCTAACAATAGAATATAGATTTGTCATCAAGTATGAAAAAAAATGATATGGATAATTTCTGATGATTTTTTTTCTTTCTTTCTTTTTCTTTATGTACGTAAGTGTGAAAAAAAAGAGAAAAGATTCGGAAACTAAAAACTAAAATGAAAAATAATTAATCGAAAAGAAAATTCTGTTATGTTTTTTATATAGAATAAAATGTCAACACATCATCATAAAAGAGATAAATGTATGGTAATAGGAGTGATACGAAAAAGAAATTTACATATCATACAAAAGAAGGAACAGCATATATATTCATATATCCGACAAGTATACATGGCCAATTTTCTTTTTCTTTTTCTTTTTTTTGCTATTATGCTGATGAAAAATATATTTTTTTATTTTCAAAAACATGAAAAATGTTATATAACTCGGTATTTTGTAAATTAATTTTTTTCCGTGGACTTTTTGTTTTGATTAAAATATGGATGTCGGAGAAAATGAAAATGCATTTTCAATCTCAATCTGAATTTTTTTTTGAAAAAAATTCTAAATTTTGCAGAAAATTGAGTAGGAAAAAAAAGCTAAAGTTAACTAATAAATTACAAAAATGAAGATGATGAAATATCCATCACATCAAATCATTTATGAATTATCTTTTGTCGTGAGTTTTAAAACATTCAAATTCACTTTTATAGTTGTCTTGTTTTGGAAAGATTGAATGAATCTAGATTGAATTGATGTGATTTAAAATAGCCTCTACGATGATGATGATGATGATGGTCATAGTTTTTTTACATTATATTTTCGAAACAAGGAAAACAAAAAATGTAACGAAAATTCCGGCAGTAATTTCTTGTCTTATTTTATCATTATAAAATGGCGATGATGATGATGACCATGTTTATGGAAAAAATCAATTATGAATAATGTGATAAATACATGTACAAGGTTGTTTGGAACAAGATGAAATTAATTTTCGATCTGATTTTGAGAAAAAGCTATGAAAATAGAATTGACAAACAGGAAAAAAATGGAAAAAATTGAATCACATTTGTAGTTAATGATTTTTCTTTTCTTTTCATTGCCCTCTCTCATCATTCATACATGGCTATAAAATGCTGTACCAATTTCAATTTAATAATGTATATTACTAACAAACAAATATGGGAAATGACAAAAAAAAATATGTAAAATACCAGGATATGATTGCAGGGTTGACATACAATGTGGAAAATGGTGACAGCCAAAAAAAACAACAAAAAAAAACAACAGCATAAAATCTCATAAAAATTCCCATTTGATGTATTTGACAATATTCATTCTCATGCATCCAAAATCCGATTTAATTTAATTTAATTTTTTTTTTTTTGTTATCCAAGGTTTAGCTGTTTTTTTGGAATACCAGCAGGAAAAAAAGACAACATTCATAATATGGATGCGTGTTTTGTAAATACAGGACAATAAATTATTTTTGTGGTCAGAAATTTTCTCTAACTCTCTAGCACAATAATAATAAAATTGATCGCTTTTGTTTCAATTGTGAGCTTTGAATCTAAGGTTTAATGATGAAAAAAAAACAACTTTAAGATAGATAATGTCCGCAGAATAGTGAGAATAGAATAGTTTGATCTACGAATGAATTTAGAATACAATATCACTATCAGATAATAGGATTACGAAGCATAAAAGTTTGCGAAAAAAAACTGCACAAAAGCAGATGTAAAATTTAAAATTATTTTATCAATTGAAAGAATTATATTCAAATGATGATGATATAATAAAATACAAACACAAAAAGTATATTGACATTTTTATCTGGCCATCATCGTTAAGCAAACTTTCTAAATGATATTTTATAACAATATAAGAAAAATAAACAAAACTAAAGCAATATTTGATGTTTGTGTATTAACATTTTTACATTTAAGAAATGGAATATCATAAAAATTTACTGAATAAAATTAAGATACAACTTCGATTAACCTTGACATACATGTGATAATGATGTCCTAATTCTTTTTTTTCTTCTCCTGTTCCCTATTTTATACAGGCAACGAATTGGTTAATATTTTATTATGGGTCATTATGACAACAACATAACAACACATATTTTGTTACAAATAAATGAATTATTCTGAACAAAAAAAAAATAATTATTATAATAATCTTTTTTTTCACTCAGCTAAGCCCGTAAGCTAAACCAAAAAAAAAACAAGAAAGAAAAATATGGATAAATTATTATAACTTATTCATTGTATTCATTATCATTTTTGATCTTGAAAAAACTGATTCTCTTACGGTTTTTTCTTTAATATTAATTAATAATAAACTTTTTTCATCATCATCATTAATACAATGATGATGATCATCTTTAACACCTAAATTTTCATAAATTAGGCCAAATTATGTGGGTGTTGAGTTACATATTTAAGCAAAAAAAAAACATGATGTAAATATCTTAAATAATGTTTTAAATGAATGAATAATTACTTAACGGAACAAAACAAAAAGTTGACCGAGAAAAATGAATATGAGAAAAATCCAAAAAAACGACAAATCAAGATGAACATTCATTCATTATTTTTTTGTTCATTTGTTATATGAACGAAAATTTTGATGTAAAAATTGATAAAGTCAGAAAAAAACAATGCCGATGTTATCTCATCGGAATCGTCTCTCCTTGAATCGAATGCAATTGATCAACGAAGCAAACAAATCATTTTACAATATCGATCATGATGTAAATAATATATCTTTGAAAAAACAATTCGAGCGGAAGTAAAAGAATTTTTTTTCTATACTGTCATGTTTTTCTCAATTTCAACAACAACAACAACAACGAAAAAAACCGAAATAATGTAAATTTAGGATGAAATGGAAAAAAAGAGGAATGATATATGTTCATTCAACCATATATACGAGGTGTATGCGACAAGATCATTGAAAAAAGAAAACAAAAAAAAAACATTGCCGATGAAAAAGCAAAAAATTTGATGACGACAAAAATTTGATAATGTTCTACAAAATGATTGCGAAAAAACAAATGATTGTTGATTGAGAATACCAACAAACAAACAAACAAAAACAAATTATGCAAAATAAATTCAAGTTTTGTTGTTGTTGTTTTCGTTGAATTTCTCAAGATTTTTTTTTTCATTCTGAAAAAAATTGATACATTTCAATCATGAATTGATAAAAACATTGAAGAAAAAAAAATTGGTAGCCAATGTTGATTTAATTTATTTGTGTTTTGTTTTTTATTTAGATAAATAGGAAGTAAAAACCGGATATAATCATCAAATATATTATAGTGTGATAAAAACTAGTAGACTAGACATACTAAATACTAAATCATCATCAATATAATTGAATGTTTTAATAACCTTGATGATGATGATTACCATCATCATATATAAACGATAATTTGATGGTCAGAAAAAAAACATTATGCGTAAATTTTTGTATTATGTGAGTGTGTGTATGTGATAATATCATTAGGGCTATGATAAAAAAAAACAGTTTACTTCATTAAACTAGCTACCTGTGATTGCTTTAGATTTGAACAGAGAAAAAAAATCGCTAAGAAAATAGTGTCCATTTTAGATTCAGAATACAATCAAAATAAAATATGTAGAAAAAAATTACTAGCTGGTTCTGCTTTTCTGAAGGTGACAGGTGATGCATTGATATCTATTGTATCATTTTGTTATTTTTTATTATTAAATATTCAATAACAATTTCATTGTTCAACACAAGGTTTCATATTGAACGAAACAAAATATTACTTCCTTAATTTTTTTTCACATTTGAAAAAAAATGAAAAAGAAAAAATAATACAATAACGATCTAACGGGTGAAAAAAAAGAAATTTCATAAATAGCATGTATGATTTGACCTTTTTCACAGTGATATGATGAGACTTGTACAGTCATTATCATCATCTGCAAAAAAATTTCATTACTTTTTTATCTTTAGGTAAAGGTAAATTTTTTTTCCAACCAAAAGAACGACGGTTCATTCACCACACATACAATAATTTGATTCTATCAATTCTTTTGTGTTTATATGAAATTATAGCGAAGAAAAAAAATTCGAGATAAGATGGATGGTTGTTGATGACATTTCAACTGTTTTTTTTTCGTTTGCATCCAATCAATATTCGTATTGTGTTGTATACAACAACAACAACAAAAAAGTTCAATATTCTCTGAACAATTTAGCTTTGTGTTTTTATGAAATTTGTTCAAATGCAATGAATGGCGGTGAATGTCAAGGTCAAAAATAAAATGAAATTATCAAATGAATGATTCTTTATTGTTTGTTTATTACAAATTGGGCGCAAATCACACCCAATCAATCACCATATATAACATTTTTCTATCACTATATATCATTAATATTCGTTGAAAAAAGAATGTATAATCCAAAAAAAGTGTTAGATTAGATAAAGAAAATGAAATAAAATAAGCATAGTTTGTTTGAATTATTTTGGGTGAAGGATGTTTCAAGATTTGACATACCCCAGCAAATGATTTAGTTGGTGATGATGATAAATTTAATGGTTGTGTATTGTTATTGTTGGAATTCAATGATTGATATAATGAACTAGCAGATGAATTGCTACGAAAAGCTGATGGCCTATTATGGCAATTATTATTATTATTATTATTATTCGTATTCGTTTCGGTAGATGTTGAAAAATTTAGGTAATTTTCACGTGAATTTGTCGTCTGATTGTTGTATGAATGATTCGAAGGCTGTTTATTATTGATATTATAAACACTATTACGATTATAATTGTCGGTCGTGTTCGTAGTATCAATTTTGGTTTGATTATGGTATTCACCAACGTCGAATGTTCCATCGTTTTCACCTAAACAAAACAGAGAATACAAAAGAAAAAAAAGACAAAATAAATTATAAATGGTCAGGTGATGTAATGAAATGAAATGATTGTATGGTTACAGTTCTGCAGCCAAACAATAAATATGATAAAAGTGCATGTCAACGCAAAAATAAGGTAAACAGAATTGTAAAGAAAAAATACTTTTCTTTTCTACTCAACAAATTCTATTATACAATGAATAGGCAATGAATTTTAGCCTTGATTCTATTTCATCTGAAATCAAAAACAAAAAACAACAAATCAATATCAATAGAATCGTGACAGATGAATTATGTGCAAGGTGGCGTATAAAATGTTTTGCTTTCTTTCTTTTTTTCTGGATTATTCATCATGAAACATAATTTTTTATTATTATTATTCAAAAAAAGACAAGATAAAATACTCATACATTTAATTGTTTTGATGATGAGTTTGATTTGTTTTTTATCAGAACTTTTGCCCGAATCATTGTTTAAATTTTGAAACGGAAATAATCGAATGTCATAAGGAATAGGTAAAAGCATTGTGAATTAAACTATCAGGAATAGTGAAAACAAAACTGCAGCTGCTGAGATTGATGATTATTTTTTTTGGATAATAATGATGATGAATGTGATCATTCAAGAGAACTTGCAGTATAGATTTTATTTCATTTGCAAAAAATTTCTTCTAAATCAATCATTTTTTGTTGTGATAATTTGCTATAAACAATCTTACAGCCAAACAAACAAAAATTGCTGTTTATGATCTTGCATTACTCATTATTATCATTATGATAATTATCATTATTATTGTTAGATTCTAATATATTTATATTCTATATTGATAATAGATTGTTGATCTACGTTCACTATTGGAAAAAAACAACCATAATAAGATATGAAATGAGATAATAGTATGTAAACAATACGTTGTGATGAGGAAAATCTAAAAACAACTATCAATGTGACTATAGTAATGTTTTCCTTTGAAAATTTGTTGGTATAAAATAAGAACATTTAGTCTATTTAATTAAGAAAAGTTTCCTGTGCAATGTAACAACCATGAGATCATTTAGTTTTATAATTTTAATTTGAGTTAGGAAAAAACAAGAATTTTATCCTTCAAAAAAAAAAAGAAAACAATACTGAATCATGAAACAATAAAAGTACAAATTCAAAAACAAAAACAATTGTAAATGATAATAAACGATTATGTAACGTATACACAAATTTTGTCCATTTTCTGTGTAGAAGATTAAAAACATCATCGTCATTCTTAATTATTATGTATCATGAATAATAATAATAAAATTATAGAATGAAAATTTTTCAAAAAAAATTTTGACATATTTTTTTCCTAAAACCATAGTTTACTTTTTAATAATCATTAATTATATTGCAAAACAAAGCCGAACATCATCATTATAATAATAATAATCTTCATTATCATGATCTTATACGTGCAATATTTAATCAAAGTAGATACCATTTTTTCAAGAGTAATAATTTTCTTGATGAAAAAAAAACTTATAAAAATAAACATTATAAAAGCAATCCTTCGGTATAAGAGCAAACTTTAATGAAAAAAAAACATTTGTTTTTCTTTAGTTTATTTTTCAATTTCATTTTCATTTCATCATATCAGTTGATCTCCTTTTATGAACGAATGATATGTATTATGTGACATGAATATATTATTTTAAACTATTTATATAATCCTCTGATTTGTCTATCAAGTTGATATGTACAGAACAATATTTGACCATCGGATTTTACTTTGACCAAGTTAATGTGACCGATAGGAAAAAAAAGAATGTATTAAATAAACAACTGAAAAATTGTTAAAAGTTTGAATATCGTGCAAATCGATCGATTAAGCATCGATTCAAAGATATAGTTGCAAAGAAGATGAAAAAAAAAGATATTTGAATTAAGCAAATAAGCAATAATCTTGAAAAGATAACTTTTGTAGTCAACGCAATGTCATTGATTATTTGTTTTGATAAACATTATACAACATACATACAGCGATAAATGCATGGTAAATAGATCAAATAGGTAGTTCTAATCAAATTTCAGTTCCGGTAAGCTGATTTTGATGGAAATTTTCTTGTAAAATCATTTATTTATTTATTAACAACTTATATTACTTTGATGAGAAAAGCATCCATTTCATTTTGTATTCGAAATAAATTCAAATAAAAATGATTCAAAAAATTGAATTTGAATAGCAACTGAAGAAACAAATATTTGACTATTAGACTAATAAGAATAATGAAATTTGTTTTTATTTCAAAAAAAAAACTAAAGCTCCAATGCATTTATTCATAATAAGAATATGTTGTGTTTGATTAGTGTTGCATTCAATTCTTTGAACTTTAAAATTCATATGATTTAAATGAAATAAATTCTGATGGATGCAATCAAGATGAAAATAAACAAAATTTCATCAAAGTTCAAGTCATGTGAATTTAAACACAAATTTAAACTCTAAATCACATTGAACTTTTAAAATTCAATAAATGAATTCTGTTTTGGTAAAAATAATATTGTTTAGTATCTGGGATGAATGAACAAAATCTACCAAAAAAAAACCTAAACTTAAATTAACTTTTTTATTATAATATCATGACAGCCATATTTGGATGAAAAATAAAACATAAATAAAGAATAGTGGAAAAGAAAAAAAATTCTTGCACATTTCAAATGTTGAAAGCTTGATTTTTGAAATAAATTGAATTGAAATGATATTTTAGTTTGTTCCGCATAATCCTAAAAAACAATTATTATACACAAACACATATTAAAAAATTTGGAAAACTAAAATGACGATTCAAGATGATAATAGGGTATTAATGATGAAATATAGATTAGCAGTAAAAAACGTACTAAGGTTAATCCTTGATTTTATCAAAATGTGTTTAACATTTGATGACTTATGAAGTTTGATCTGATATTTTTTTCTATGTAAGAAAAAGACATTTCCTTTAATTGATTGCGCAAGAAGATTAGGATCGTTTTTTTGCTTCTCTTGCTGATTATTCGCGGGAATTTTTCATTTTTTGCAAACAAAACAAGAAAAATTGAGGTGAAATGAAAATTGATGCTTTCTAGCATTGAATTCCATCCATCATTTATTGAATTGCAAAAGTAATGATATAAAGAAGGGTGTAGATGTCATCATGTCATGTTATTTACCGATCAATTATAAGTTCAACGACAAATATTAAGTCATAACTAAGCGACAAGTCATCAAATGATTCATCATTATATAATTCAAATTGACTGTTAACTGATTAGGTTGATCATCTGGACTCTTCAACAAAAAAAACAAGTCGATTTGATCGAGAAACAGAAAATTCTTATATCTCAATGATAAATATTTTTGTCATTTTCTTCAGGGTAATAAGACAAACCAAAATAGAAAAATATTGTTAAAATTTTTATTGAATCAATCAATCAATCAATTTGAGAAAACTGAAAAAAATAATAGTCGACAAAGATGACAAAATTGTCGATGAGACAATCACACAATGATCGATTTGAATTTTTTTTTTTGTTTTCACATTGTCGTACGAAAACAGAAACAACAACAAAAAAAAGATAAGATACATACGATAAAAATGGAATAAACTCAATTCACGATTTGAATCAATCAAGATGTTTTAAATGTGATCGTTATCAATTATTATTATGGGAAATAATAAGAACAAACATTCCGAACACGATGGTTTTGGTCACAATATATGAAAATTGTCAACGATTATGCATCAATGTTTTTTGAAATATCATTGTCATTTTTGTTTGGTGATCGAAGAAACAAAAAAAGAAGAGAATTTTGATCCAATCATAAAAAATCAGTTCAATCCTTCAACCACTGTACTGTTGTAATGCTAAATAGCATCTGATGATGTTTATTTTGTTTTTTATTCATCAAACAGAAATTTTTTTAATGTTATGGCCGATGATAAAAAAAAGACTGATACACAAGACCAACACTCTTTCAAACACTGTATTTCGGATATGCGCGAGAGACTCTTTTTTTCCTGTTATATGTTCTGGATTTTTTCTTCATCAACGTTGTCTTATACAGACATTCTCTTTTTTTCGGATTCGAATCATTTTGGTTTGTTTTTTTTGATGAAAAAAAGAACTGGCAAATAAAGATGGAAGTAAATGAGAAAAAAAGACTTTTGTCATACCAAATAAAAGAAATATACCAATATCCAAAGAATATGCAAAAGATAAATGTCAAAGTGAATAGGAAATTCAAAAGAGTAGAGTATAATACAAAAGAATCTATTCATCCATTATAATAGAGAAATTAAAAAAAAATAACAGACAAAAAAAACAAAAATAAAGGCAACAATAAAGTCTTGAAATTTCCATTTAAATAATGTTTAAACATTTTCAAATAGGAATTCATTTTCATTTCATCATCCTCACTGAAAATGATGTGTGAATATTTGTGGTTGAAAATATAGAGAGGAAAAAATGATGTCGAATCCAGCATAAAGCAAATGTGTATGGTGATTATTTTGTATCATTTTTTTACCAGAAAAAAAGTTAGTGTTATATGTGGGTTATGACCATTATATAAAACAAGGAAAGTGAAAAAAAATGATTCAATAATCGATCCATGACGATCGATTCGGTGAAAATAAATCGATAAAAATGTGTTTATTTTAGGGTTAATTAATTATAACTTTTTAACTTATAATAATGAAGAAAAAAAATCATATAAATTCCAAAAAATTTTAGGATAAAATTTTGAAAAAAGTAAATAGAAAAAACTTTTAAAAGCAGTTATCTAAGATTTTGGTCGACCATAATTAACAAATTGATCGTAACCAAAATTAGAATCGGTAAGATTGTATCGTTTTTTTCTGGTTTAATTGTCACAATGATGTTTTGTGTGTGTCGATTCGGTAATGAATTGAGATCATGAACAAAACAAGCAAACAAACAAATAAACAAAAATAGGTAGACATTTTCAATCATTCAAAC